AAACGAACCTCTTAAGACTTCTGAAGCGAAGAGATTTCTAGCATACCTACGGATCAAGGATGTAAACGCTAGGACGTTATTAGCAACAGACATCGGCAAGGAAGACCGACTTCTGTCTATCCTAGAAGAATACCGGTAATACTAGAAGCTATTCGCCGAAGAACTCGAGACCGGACTCCCGGAACACAGCAACTACGACCACGAGATACCCCTTAAGGAAGGGAAGGAGCCAAAGCTAGAAGCAATCTACGGACTTAACTAGAAAGAAATGGAAGCACTCGACGCTTACCTCGAAGAAAATCTATAGAAGGGATATATCAGACCCTCTATATTACTAGCAGGATACCTAATCCTGTTCGTACCAAAAAAGAATGGCAAACTACGACTCTGCGTCGACTACCGGAAACTTAACGACATTACGATCAAGAACTGCTACCCACTACCGCTTATCTCCGAACTACGAGATCTACTGCACGGAGCCTAGTGGTTTACAGCACTCGACCTAAAAGGAGCCTATAACCTGATCCGGATGAAATCAGGTGAAGAATGGAAGACAGCGTTTCGAACACGCCGAGGACATTACGAGTACCTTGTGATGCCCTTCGGACTTACCAACGCACCCGCGACATTCCAGACGATGATCAACTACGTCTTATGAGAATTTCTAGATGTGTTCGTCGTAGTTTACCTCGACGACATCCTAATCTTCTCTAAGACTCTGAAAGACTATAAAAAACATGTATACTAAGTACTACGGAAACTGCAAGACGCCAAACTCCTAGTGGAACCCGAGAAGAGCAAGTTTCACGCTAAAGAAGTCGAATTCCTAGGTTTTACGATAGCCCTAGGAATCCTCAAAATGTCCAAAGACAAAATCGCAGCAGTACGAGACTAGCCTATACTATAGAACGTTAAGGACGTACAATCCTTCATTGGATTTGTGAACTACTACCGACGATTTCTGGAAGGATACTTAGATAGAAACGACCCCCTCACGAGACTTTCGAGGAAAGACATCCCCTGGCAATGGGAAGAAGAACAGAAAAAAGCCTTCGACGAGATCAAACAACAAGTCACATCGGAACCAATACTCGTCATACCAAACCCCGAGAAACCATTCGAAGTCGAGACCGACTCCTTAGACTATGCCATAGGAGGACAACTAGGTCAACGAGACGAAGAAGGATAGCTACGACCTTGTGCCTTCTTCTCACGCAAACTACACGGCCCAGAACTCAATTACCAGATACACGACAAGGAACTCATGGCAATTATCGAAGCATTCAAAGAATGGAGACCGCAACTCTCAGGAACCAAGTACGAGGTCAAAGTAACGTCGCACACCCACTTCTCGCACACCCCCACATTTCGCACACCCATAAATTGGGTCATCATGAGGTATTCATCAACTTCATAACTATAAGTCTGATTCGTCTCCTGCAACTGTGATACTATCGCCAGTTTTAATAGGTAATTCAGGCTCGCTAGATTCATCTGAGCTATCCTCAATTTCGCCAGCCTCAATTTGGGCTTTGTGAATTGCCTCAATGTTGGCAAACTTCGAATTTGGGCTCATTTGGACCTTACGCCGCTTCCGTACCATTCCAGCCTCAACTTCTGCTTCCAACATTGCAATCTTCTTCTCTGCTGTAGCCAATTGATAGTCCTTTTCATCAAATCCCTTTTGAACCTTCCGAAACAACAGTCGCTGCGTTTGCTGATCTTTATCCAACTTGCTGAATAAGCTAAGTTGATCATATAGATCAACTGTCTTCTTGGGCGTTGACCAGGCTACTATGGATGTAGCAGATGCCCAGTTTTCGTCTTTTCCACCATCAGAGGCCCTCATAGGCGTAGAATAGCCTGGCTTTGAGGGCTTGGAAGCATTCTCAAGCAGTAGAGGGCTCATGAGCGGTCGAGCTATCGAAATGGGCCATAGTCCTGTTGCTTTCCAGCCGCTTCTGATATTCTTGCTTGAAAATGCCATCTGGCGTGCTTTTCCATAGCAGGTAAGAAAGTTCCGTTTGCCTACAACTATAGAATCGTTGTGTTGAATGAGGTATCCAAGCTCTTTTCGATAGGTCGCCTTGAGAGGCCCAAAGACTGCTTGGTCTAGAGGTTGGAGAACGTGGGATGTATGTGGCGGTAGGAAAAGGAGATATATCTTGTGTTTATAACAGAGATACATAAATTCTGTTGTTTCATGACTGCCATGACCGTCTAGGATCAATAGTCTCTGCTCAGAGGGATGATCAGGCTTAGTCAGAGGGATAAAGATGTTCTCAAGCCATTCCACAGCTGTAGAGTCTGAAGTCCAGCCATTCTCAGTTGCTGTGAACTTCCAACCACTGTAAATATCACGTTTATGGATATCAAGAGGAAACCATTGTTGTTGAACCGATTTCCCTCGATAAATAACAAGTGGAGGAAGCGCCTGACCAGTTGCAGAGACACACTCAAGCATAGTTGTCCAAGCCCGAGACCCAGGCTGTTTTTTTCGCATTGATGAGCTTTCTGATGATCCCAGTACTAAGCCATTTGATCCTCTGCCTTCTAGGATACCAGTTTCATCCATGTTATAGCGATGATGTGGTTTGATCGCCTTGATCTCTGGAAGGGCGAGTTGTTGAAACCATTGCCTGATTACATTAGTTGAGGCCCCATTGACACGCTTAGAATCGATGGCTCTAGCTCTATGAACCTTGATTGATGGATTTCTCTTAATAAAGAACTGAATCCAGTTTCTCCCAAGTGGCTGGGTAGTGCCTCTGATGTCTAGGATTCGCTGGGCAAATTCCTTGAGTTGTTGATGTGTTGGCGGCAGCCCTAACGCCGCCTGGATACGCACCCATTCAGCTAAGTGACTTTCCTGTGCTGGAGATAGCTTCTGGAAGCTAGAGAAAGCTACATTTCTTGCCTGTGAACCCTTTAATCGAGACTGGAGGGTTGATGGTGGAATTCCAGCATCATGAGCTGCCTTTCGGACACTCTGCCCACTTGCAACTGCATTGAGAGCTTGATTGACTTCTGTTTCCGTATACTGGCCCATTAAGCGTATAAGAGTAACTATTCAAAGAATTATAATAATCGCTGTAAAAGTGGTGAAGATATTAAATAATGTTGAAGAGGGTAAAATTCTACATGAGCGATTTATGGGTGTGCGAAATGTGGGGGTGTGCGAGAAGTGGGTGTGCGACGTTATACACCGACCACAAGAATCTCGCACACTTCACCACATCGAAAGATCTCAACAAACGACAAATTCGATGGTCCGAATTCTTGTCAGAATTCAATTTCAGAATCGTCTACCGGAAAGGCAAAGAGAACGGCAGGGCCGACGCCCTCAGCCGAAGACCGGACCATGAGGTCCAGGCACCTGAGGAAACCCGAGTTATCCTCAAAGCAGACAAAAACGGAGACCTTGTGCCAGCAGCCAGACTCTTAATGATGGCCAGAAGAGACAGTACCAGCACGCCTGGAAGGATGTCTCCTGAAGCCATTAGGGAGATACACTCCGCACCCGCACACGGTCACCAAGGCGTAACTAAGACATGGAAACGCATCCGCCAACACTACGACAAAACGGCTACACGACAAGAAGTATCTTTAGCGATTAAGGACTGTGAGGTTTGTGCGAAAAGCAAACCCAGCCGACATCAGCCTTATGGAAAGATACAGCCACTCCCAGTACCGCAAACCGCATGGGAATCTATCTCGCTAGACTTCGTCACCAAACTACCTAAGTCCCGAGAACCAATAACCAACGTCTACTACGACAGTGTCCTCGTCATCGTCGACAGACTCACGAAGTATTCGTACTTCATCCCGTACATGGAGTCTAGCACTGCAGAAGACCTCGCCTACAAGTTTCTGCAGGTGATCGTAAGCCAACACGGAATGCCGAAGGAAATCGTATCCGACAGAGACAAGCTGTTCACTTCCAAGTTTTGGAGATCCCTGATCTCGCAGCTAGGATCCGACTACAAGATGTCTACTGCTTTCCATCCGCAAACCGATAGCCAGACAGAACGAATCAATCAGATCATAGAAACCTACCTACGCTGCTACGTTAACTATTAGCAAGACAACTGGGTTTAACTGCTACCTATGGCCTAGTTCGCCTACAACAGCGCAGTAGGAGAAAGTATAAAAGAATTACTATTCTATCTGAACTATGGATTTAACCTAACAGCCTACGGACAACCTCGACAAGGCCTAGCAGCTCTGAAAGCTGTAGCAGACATCAACAGACTTAAGGAGATCTAGTAGGAACTCCCTAGAGACCTCGAATTTATGCGCGAACGCATGCGCAAATACGCTAACAAATCAAGAGTTGAGGGACTAACTCTAAAGGAGGGGGATAGTGTATACCTTCTCCGCCGCAACATCAAAACAAAACGACCAAGCGATAAGTTAGACTTTAAGAAACTTGGACCCTTTGAAATTACGAAGAAGGTATCTAACGTCAACTTTAAACTCGCACTACCCGACAGCATAAAGTGTCATCCAGTCTTTTACATTTCACTACTCGAACTAGCCCCACAAGGATTACGAACAAGCGACGTTATTATTGTGGAAAACAACGAGCCAGAGTACGAAGTCGAACGTATCATCGACCACCTTAAAGAACCCGAAGGATATCAATACCTCGTCAAATGGAAAGGATACGGACATAAAGATAACACTTAGGAACCTGCGAAGAACCTTACCAACGCAACTGACGAACTCTCCGTCTATTGGCAACAATACCGAGAACGGGAAACCACACCAGCGCTAGTAACGCCTCCCAGTCAAACAAACACCAACGGCTACCAACGGATTAGACACCCACACAGACACGTCAGACTACTAGCAGAAGCAGACAGACCGCGACAAGGAAAACCGTTTATTCGGTTAGGAACACCAGAATACGACTAGGACCCCCCCGATAAGAAGTTTAGAGTACCAGGATTCCAATCAAGGATTGAATCCAGGTCTATCACACCAAAGCCACCCATCGATTAAACCTCCGATACGGGAGACGCCACCGGCTCCTCCTCTATAACTTCTCGACCCTTTCGGAAAACCATTCTTTTCTGCTTACGTAAACGATCCAACCGCGCCATGGACTCGTCCAACTCGGCCTGCGCGGCACGCAAAGCAGCGGCTTTCTTTCGCAACACCTCCTCCTCAGCTACCTCTGCGTCCTCCAAACGAGCCGCTTCATCTAGTAAACGATCAACTACGACAAGTTAGCAGCACGTACGAAACGCAAGGAGCGTAGAAACGTACAAGCACAAACAGCGTCCGCCGCCGCATCACAAGACTGCCCTAAGCGAGTACACTCGCCGCAAACCTCACCACCCGGAAGAAGCTTGCAACGCTTCCCCGCGGAACGATAGTAAGAACAAGGCATGTCGACGACAAGGCTAAACTCAGCAATACGCAATGCGCGATTACGACGACGAAGAGTAGAGGCAGAACTCGATTTCGATTTTTGAACGCGACCTGACATGGTGTCAGCATCATGAGTAGATCAGGAAGCACGATTGATGGATCCCCAACCTGGGACTAACGACCTACTTATGTTGGGTCTTGAGGACAAGACCTTTGGAGAGGGGACCTGATGTTACGACCCGTAAACAAGGATAACAGCCGAACGACCCACTTGGGCGTCGGGCGGCTAGGACAGGACATTTGTACTACAGATTGATTGATTGATTGATTGATTTATTCCTACTCGGTTATGGAGCCGCTCTTATGTCAGCAGCTATGCCCGGATAGCGGGGTCCGGCAGACAGCCGAAGCGTTCGAATGTTAATCCGAGCCGCCCCACTTCGCCAATGCGAAAACATTGACCAGCTGTCCCCAAATTCCTGCTTTGCACTTTAACCTCTATCTACATTTGGCGGCCACCTAATGTTGATCGCGGTTTCCTACTAATGTGACCTCTATGATAGGATCTGTCGAGTCCTAATGCCTCGTTCTGTGGTTCTGCGTACCTACAGTCTCCCCCCAATGTTCAGCTTTGTCTGGGTTGTGACTCGATCCTGAATTGCCCAAGGATCTCGGTTTGTTCCATGAATCTGATGGCTTTCGCGGCTGCTTTGCGTTCGTTCAATACGACCCGGAGGTTATGTCGTCCTGGGATGGCTCCTAGTTCCTGGCGTCGGAGTTGTCGAAACCTACGGCACCGCAACAGGACGTGCGATACCGTTTGTCGTCCTTCCCGGCATTGGCAGTTGGCGTCCGTGGCGTCCGGAACTCTTCGGTTGAAGAGGAAGTCCCTGAGTCCGATCTTTTCCGTGCGCATCTGCACGAGGATTGAGCTCTGTCGTTTGCTTAGCCCACTATGGAGCTGTAACACTTTCTTTGTTGGTTTCGGCGTGTGACGATGGGTGGTTCTACCTCGTGTCTCTCTCGACCACTCGGCTTGCCACGTTTTATTTGCCTCCCTATGCGTCCATGTCTTAAGCGTTGACCGGAGTGCGTATAGCTCCTTTGGTGTGTCTGCCTTAGTGCCCGTCTGGCCGTTCTGCCGCCAGCCTGTGGCTTCTTTGGCTGCTATGTCAGCGTCTTCATTGCCCTGGATTCCCGTGTGAGCGGGTACCCATCGGATCTCTGTCTTAAGTCCATGTTCCTGGAGTTTCTGTGTCTTGTCTGCAATGGTCTTGAGCAAGTAGGAGCCTGATTTGCCCTTCGGCTTGGCTGACGATCTGATGGCTGCTTGGTTGTCGGTGTAGATGAGGATTTTACTTCTGTTGTTCCCTTTCCGTTTATCCTCTTCCGCAATCTCGAGGGCGAGGATAATGCCTCGCAGCTCCCCTGCATAGACTGTTGAGGTGGCGTCATCTCCCATATATGAGCTACGGGTTTGTCGTGTAGTGTGGCATACCGCCGCTGCTCCTATGTGGCCGTTGATGCCGCTTCCGTCTGTATAGATATGTAACGCTTCATTTTCTATATCGAGACTTGTCTGGTGTTCCTTTGCTGCCGTTTCCGCAGTGTCTGCGATATATATGCGCGGCCCTTGCCACCATGGAGGGGTGATGAAGGGTGGGATCTGCTCGCTCGGTCTGGTGTTACTGCCCTGTTTGTTGTGAAGCTCTTGTTCGATTGTGTGTCTTGGGCTTAACCTTTGCTTCTTCTTTCTTCTTCTCTTCCTCCTATTCTGGGTGCTTTCGCAGCCTTGCTCTGGTGGGCCTAGCCTGTTGATCGTGTCGATGTTGTGTTTCCATATTCGTTGCTCCATCGGTAGCAGGTTCATTTCGACGTCGAGTGCTGGAGCGGACGTAGCCCTGAAGGCTCCGCACATTGCCCTTGCCGCCCTTGCTTGTAATCGTTTCAGTCTATTGAGAGTTCGGTCTGTGTATCCCTTTCCCCTCCAGCCGGAGTTAGACCATGCTGAGCAGGCATACATCATCTGTGGTATTGCTACTCCTTGGTATATTGTTCGCATTTCTTTGGTCTTCACTCCCCAGGTGGAGCTCCCGAGGCTGCTGATCGCGGAGATGGTTTTTGAGACTTTACGCTCTATCGCATCGATGTGTTGTTTCCATCTAAGTATGGCATCCATCGTGAGGCCAAGGTATTTGCATGTCGGTTTGGGGTGTATTTCCCCCCATTTGCTCTGTAGTGGAGTATTGGTATTGATTCTCGACCTTGCCCTTGTGAAGTGGACTAGTTGGAACTTTTCGGGCGCGAAAACGGAGGCGTGGGTTGTTGCCCAGTCCTCCGCTTCGTCTAGTGCATCTTGGAGCTTGCGGCATGTTTCTTCAGTCGTTTCTGCCCATGCTAGGATCGCTACGTCGTCTATAAACCCAGTGGCCAGTGTTTCCTGGCCTTGGTTACATCTGTCGAGGATATCTGCATTATAGAATAGGTATAGGATCGGTGAAAGAGGAGAGCCCTGTGGGATGCCGGTGGTGAGCGTGTAAGGCTCTGACCGGTATCCGTCGATGTGTATTTGGGTTTGTCTGTTTCCTAAGAAGCTAGTAATCCATCGTACTATGGATTCGTTAATCCGTCTCTTCCTGAGGTTGTGTAGGAGTCTCTGGTGTGACACGTTGTCGAACGCCCCCGAGACATCTAGGAGAAGGAGGCTCGCCGCCATCCCTTGTCTAGTGTTCCAAGCCTCATATATCTTATCGATAATGAGGTGTAGGGCATGTTCCGTCGATCTCTGTCTCCTCCCGCCCATATGGTTCTTAGGCAACAGGTTGTATGTCTCTGCTAGGTAGCTTAGCCTTTCCGCTATGATTGCATCCATAATCTTTCCGACTGTGTTGAGCAGCGCTATTGGCCTATATGCTTTCGGAACTGTATAGTTATCTTTACCTGGCTTCCGTAGCACTATGGTAGTAGATTTCCTGAAGTGCTGGGGGCAGTAACCGATGCGGAGGCTCTGGTTAAATGCCCTGGCTAGGTGAGGGCTGATCCATGGTTTGGCGATTTGTAGCGCTCTGTTCGTGATGCCGTCTGGGCCGGGTGCCTTACGCGGTGCTGTTTTCTTTATTGCTTCCTCTACCTCGTTCTCGGATATTGGTGGGAGCGTGATCTGGTCTCTATATGTTGCGTTTTGTATGTCCTCTAGGTTTGCTTCTGGTGGTGCTGGGAAGAATGTTTCCCGAAAGAGCTCTGCTTTCTCTTCAGGTGTGGTTGCCGTATGATTACTACCTGGCTTGGCGATTTCTGGCGTGACTGTCGGCATTTGGTTCTGTCTGGTTCTGGCCCATTTAGCAATCCTCCAGAGTGATTCTGGTGATTCTGCTGCTGTTTCAACCGCCTCGCGATGTGCCTTTTGTAGCGCCTTTCTTATCGTCCGGCCTTTCTTGTTTCGGGCTATGATATATTCTTCCCAGTTCTGTTCTGTGTGTTCCGCATAGAACCGTCTTCGGAGTCGTTTGGTCTCGGCCAGGACCTCCTCGCACTCTTCGCTCCAGCCGGCTCGCGATTTGGGGGACAAGATCTTCTTTGGTACCGCTTCTTCAGTCGCTATACTGAGGGCTTCAGTGATGTCCTGGACATATTTATCGAGGGCAGACTTTGTTCTTGGCCTCCTTAGTGGTGGGAGCTCCCTTTTAATAGCCCTTATGAATACCCTTTCGTCTAGGGCTTTCCAGTTTCTCCTTTCCTCTGGTTGTAGTTGCGCGATTGTGAGGTCTAGCGACGTTGCTATCGGAAGGTGATCTGAATCGTGGTTTACTTCGTCTTCTATGCCGCACTTAATAAGCCTTTCGATGAGTCCTACTGTAAGTAGACACAGGTCTATCGTTGAGCTATAGTCTCCTTCCTTGTATGTGATTGTTCCCGCGGGTAGCTGGTTGATGAGGTCGGAGTCGTCCATGAGTTCTACCAGTTCCCTGGCTCCCGCGTCTGTCGTTCGAATGTCGCTTCCTCCCCATAGTTCGTGGTGGAGGTTAAAGTCCCCCACCACTATTTGCTCGATGTGATTGTTGGTTTCTAGGGCTGTTCGTAGTTGTTGTAGGACCGTTTTCTCTCCCTCTTCCTGATTTTGGGGATTATATATGTTGTGTATGGCAATTTTGACGCCCTGGTCAGTCTCTGATCCAATGGTGAGGGTACAGAGATCCTTGCTGTGTTCCTTAAACTGCCACTTAGAGTGGTCCAGCTTTTTGTTTACGAAGAAGCAGACCCTGGCTGGGCCTCCCTCTCTGTTCGACGGATAGCAGAGGTGGAAGCGGTCCTTTGCTGGGTGGTGTGTTGTGGCGTTAAATGGGTTCTTCCATGGTTCCTGGATAGCGATGATGTCGTATTTATCGATCCGAGGGTCGCGGAGGAGCGTAGCCATAACGGTGTCTCTTGATTTTCTGACGTTATACTGTAGTATTGTAAGTGTATGTTGTGTTATCATTCACTATCGTCGACTATTTCCATGTTGTGGCTGTTGTGTATCGTCTGCGTGTTTACGTCTATAGCTTCTAGTGCTCGGCGGGAGGGCATTATTACCCTCCTTGGTCTGGGCTTCTCTGGGGCGACTGTGATTGTGTTTTCGTCGTTTTTGTTGTTTTCATGCTGTGTATCGCCGCCTGTTGACTTTTGGCGTTTCTGTACTTTCTTCTTAATGGGTGATCTGCTACGCCCCGGGCGGGTATCCTGAGTTGGGCCTGGTTCCAGTACCGGCCTTGTTGTTATTCCAGTTTGGGGTTCCGTCTCCTTAGCGGTTGGGGATGTCTTCGCCTCTGGGTGGTACCGTGGTCGTTGTCTATAGGCCTCCTTGATCTTGGCTAACTCGCGCATCCTAGTCGGGCAGCGGCCGTGCCAGGCCTCATTTGTACTACATTGATTGATTGATTGATTGATTCCTACACGGTTATGAAGCCGCTCTTATGCTAGCAGCTATGCCCGGAAAGCGGGGTTTGGCAGACAGCCGAAGCATCGACGATAAACCGCGACGCCCCACTTCGCCCTGTTGTTGGATCAGGACCAGCTATCCCCAAGCTCCCACTATGCTATCTATTCTTGTGTGTTTATGCCCTCTGTTGAAGATTGTTGTCCTCCTGCCTGCTCTCTCGCTTGGTGTTGCCTTCTAGAATCCTTCTTTCGCGTCCTCCTACTTCGGTTCTGTTGGTGCTAGGCACCATGTCTGGTTCTGTATACCTATAGTCTCCCCCCAGCCCTCAGCTTCGTCTCTTTATCTTGTCCGCATCCTCTCAGACTCGCATGTGCTATATCTCAGTTGAATCTGTAAATCTTTTTGTTGCCTCATGCTGGGTTCCTATGTGGCTCTATGTTTCCATCTTTCGACCACCACCTCCATCCACCGCCTGGAGTCGGACTCAATCCGCAAAACACAATGCTCCAACCGCTTCGATTCGTCCGATTACTAAGTATGAGAGCTCGTACACAGATTCCGCAGACATTGTCATACGTTGAAGGGGCGACAATCCTTCTTCGCGGAGGGGGCGACAGGGGACCAATCTGTCTACAAACTATAGTATTTTGTAGCATCGATCGTAGCATGCCTGGTGTCTGGTGCTTTCTCTATGCAGGAGGTGATACCGTTCTGTCGGGCTTGTCGTCGTTGTTGTCGCGGGACGTTGCAAACTTTGTCGGGGGTGATAGGCGACCCATAACCTATCGGTGGCTGTAGTGTTGATGTTTGTTTAGGCTTGGTCGTTATGCTCACGTGATAGCCCGTGACTCAACCGCGGTGGTGTCGATGGTGTTGTCTATTGACGTGTCATACTTTGTGGCTTGCTCTCGAATTTTTCGTGGTCAGAGCCCGCCCGCGGCCACGAGCAGGCTCTTTGGGAGCAGAATCAATGCCGAGGATGACATTATGCCCAAAGTGACCTCTGAGAGCGCGAGCGGTCATTTGTACTACATTGATTGATTGATTGATTTATTCCTACTCGGTTATGAAGCCGCTCTTATGCCAGCAGCTATGCCCGGAAAGCGGGGTTTGGCAGGTAGCCGAAGCGTCGACAATGAACAGCGACGCCCCACTTCGCCCTGATGTTGCATCAGGGCCAGCTATCCCCAAGCTCCCCACTATGTTCTCTATTCTGTGTGTTTGTGCCCTCTGTTGAAGAAGTGTGTTGCTCTCCTGTCTGCTTTCTCGCTTTTGTGTTGCTCTCTAGAATGCTTGTTTTGCGTCCTCCTGCTTCGGTTCAGTTGGTGCTGGTAGCACCGTATCTGGTTCTTTGTACCTACAGTCTCCCCCCAGCGCTCAGCTTTGTCTCTTTGTTTTGTCCGTATCCTCCCGGACTTGTATATGCCGTTTTCTCAGTTGCATCTGTAAATTCTTTGTTGCCTCCTGCCGGGTTCCTATGTGGCCTCTTGTTTCTTGCCTGTTGACCACTATTGCCCTCCACCACATTGGCCCAAGGGTCTTCCACGAAGCACAATGCTCCACTGACTCCGACATGTTCGATTACTGGGTATGAGAGCTCCCGCACAGATTCCGCAGACATTGTCGCGCGTTGAAGGGACACCAATCCTTCTTCGCAAAAGGGGCGACAGGGGACCAGTCTGTCTGTGGTCTGTAGTATTGTGTGGCATCGATCGTAGCATGCCTAATGCCTGGTGCTTTCTCCGTGCGGAAGGTGATACTGTTCTGTCGGACTCATCTTCGTCGTTGTGGGACGTTGCAAACTTTGTCGGGGGTGACAGGTGACCCAAAACCTGTCGGCGGCTGTTGTGTTGAAGTTGATTGTTTGGGCGCAGTCTTAGTGCTTCGTGTAGCGGCTTGTGGCTCGCCTGTGGTGGTGGTAACAGTGTTGTCTATTGATATGTCGTATTTTGCGGCTTGCTCTCAAGTTTTTCATTGTAGTCGGGGCGTGCTCTGCGGCCATCTTGGGCCCCTTTGGGACGTAGAATCAAGGCCGAGGATGGCATTGCATCGAAGGGGGCTCTGTGGCCGCGAGCACGCGTATTTGGGGCCGTTTTTGCTCCGATTTTCAAAAATTTCGTTCTCGCTGTTGTTGATGTTTTCATTTGTACTACAGATTGATTGATTGATTGATTGATTTATTCCTACTCGGTTATGAAGCCGCTCTTATGCCAGCAGCTATGCCCGGAAAGCGGGGTTTGGCAGGTAGCCGAAGCGTCGACAATGAACAGCGACGCCCCACTTCGCCCTGATGTTGCATCAGGGCCAGCTATCCCCAAGCTCCCCACTATGTTCTCTATTCTGTGTGTTTGTGCCCTCTGTTGAAGAAGTGTGTTGCTCTCCTGTCTGCTTTCTCGCTTTTGTGTTGCTCTCTAGAATGCTTGTTTTGCGTCCTCCTGCTTCGGTTCAGTTGGTGCTGGTAGCACCGTATCTGGTTCTTTGTACCTACAGTCTCCCCCCAGCGCTCAGCTTTGTCTCTTTGTTTTGTCCGTATCCTCCCGGACTTGTATGTGCCGTTTTCTCAGTTGCATCTGTAAATTCTTTGTTGCCTCCTGCCGGGTTCCTATGTGGCCTCTTGTTTCTTGCCTGTTGACCACTATTGCCCTCCACCACATTGGCCCAAGGGTCTTCCACGAAGCACAATGCTCCACTGACTCCGACATGTTCGATTACTGGGTATGAGAGCTCCCGCACAGATTCCGCAGACATTGTCGCGCGTTGAAGGGACACCAATCCTTCTTCGCAAAAGGGGCGACAGGGGACCAGTCTGTCTGTGGTCTGTAGTATTGTGTGGCATCGATCGTAGCATGCCTAATGCCTGGTGCTTTCTCCGTGCGGAAGGTGATACTGTTCTGTCGGACTCATCTTCGTCGTTGTGGGACGTTGCAAACTTTGTCGGGGGTGACAGGTGACCCAAAACCTGTCGGCGGCTGTTGTGTTGAAGTTGATTGTTTGGGCGCAGTCTTAGTGCTTCGTGTAGCGGCTTGTGGCTCGCCTGTGGTGGTGGTAACAGTGTTGTCTATTGATATGTCGTATTTTGCGGCTTGCTCTCAAGTTTTTCATTGTAGTCGGGGCGTGCTCTGCGGCCATCTTGGGCCCCTTTGGGACGTAGAATCAAGGCCGAGGATGGCATTGCATCGAAGGGGGCTCTGTGGCCGCGAGCACGCGTATTTGGGGCCGTTTTTGCTCCGATTTTCAAAAATTTCGTTCTCGCTGTTGTTGATGTTTTCCATTTGTACTACAGGATCACGGGAACAGCGGGAACTTACTCGGCACGGAAGAACTATGGTATAAGTCACGTGACGATAAGATAAGGAAACGATCAGTGGAGTACAGGACGGGACGCTTAGTGATCAGTTAGCATTGCCAACTGATCGCGATCACCTCATGCACCTAGGTGATCACCCCCAGGTAGACAAAGAACACTGTTCAGGACTTGTATATAGTATGACCTGAGCCTGGCTCAAGGTTAGACTTCCATAGCTCTTTAGCAATCAACTTTGTGATTACCCTAACCGGTACTTTCAGCTATACCTAAGTGACGACTACTCTACGACTCTTGTTGAGGCCTTGACTGATCACCAAGACCTTTGAAGATCTACGATCTATTCGACCAGGACCACGGAACGACTGTTACTACTCTCAATCCCTGGCTTACTGTTAACACAAACCCACTGTCAGTTAGCTGGCCGTAACATTAGCCTGCTTAAAGCATTTTAAAAACATATTCGTATAAAATATAGTAAATATTATTATTAAGAATTAAGAATATACTCCTATACGGTCTCGTAAAACTCTATATATATACGTATACGAAATATAGAATTCGCTTAAATTTATAATAATTACATAGTAAAGATAAGAAGCTTAACTATCTATATAGGTAGTATATGCTTATCTCGTTTATGCATCCTAATTAGGCAATGTTTGAATTTTGACCCAGTGCGCCCTGCGGACTGCCGTAACACATCCCAATTATTTTTTATTGTTTTGCTGTTATTACCCACACGAGGCTACTTTCACCTTGTGAAGCCCATGGTTTGGATTCAGCCCTTTCTCTCGGTAGGCAATATTTAAGACCACACCACCCATGAACAAAACCTCTGCTCCCCCACTTGCGTAGACTATGCGCGTGACTTACATGGTTATTGACTTGAATCAAAATTAGAGACACACTTTTATTATCTGCATCTTTCAACACTTTTGTGTAGTTCAATCGGGTTATCTTGTGTCTTTGATCGGCTGTATTCATGCGACAGCAAATGTCGTTCATACTGCCTTAGGATCACTTTTTCAGCAGCCTCCAACTACTGTGTGCTAAGCAAAGAGTGAATCGCTGCAGCGATTCTGGGTTCATATAGAATGTTTCTCTAAATATATACACATTCTCCGTAATAGTTCGTTGAAAACCCCGTGGTCCTTGGCAGATCAGGGATGACGGCCTGAGCAAAAACAGCGGATGCGCTGAGCTTGTTTAGTATAAAGAAAAGTCGCCCTGTCTGTGAGGTTACCCAGCATACTGAATCTGTAGGAGAGGGTAAACTCATTGCTTGACTGTAACCTACAGTAGGGAGCGCCGCAATCAAATTATACGTTGGAACCACCAAACAACAACCAACCGACACCGCCAAAGACATATCATATGTGTCGAATTGCACGCTCGTCGCTTAAAGCCACGATTCTGCGCTGTCAATAGTTGCCGAACACATTAACCGTTCTTATGATTTCCGGATAAGTTTTCCTTTTTGCTTTTTTTTCTTTCTGTTTTTTTGCCCGAGCCCCCTAACCATAACAATGGAATACATTTTGCGAGATGCTTGTGACAGTTGCCACTGCAAGAAGAGCCGATGCGTGTCTCACGGAGGCGGCAGAGGCGGCGCATGTGTTAGCTGCCGTCAGAACGGCCGGCGTTGCGTCTTCTCCCCCCGGAGCCAAATGGGTAAGCCCCGTCGAGAGGGCAAAAAGAAGCGAGGGTCTTCAAACATTTCTCATACCATCAAGCCTCTAAGGTCCCAGGCCGGTGGAGTAAAGCTCGATACACCGACGCCTTTGCCTGCGGATGCCTTGTCGCCGTGCGATTTGCCGCATAACTCTTCCGCCGGATCGCCGAACAAGAAGAAAGGCTTGTAAGTCATCAAAAGAAACACTCGGACCCTTTTGCTATAGCCTCGGAAAAAGAAAAGTTGACTAATGAGTGTTATGAGCACAACTAGCCTATTGCTGCCAGACACGCCTTTGGCTCAATGTGCAGGATTGACAACACACTTTTCAACGCGCCCCTCGCTCCGTTACGATGTTGCGCAGCACTACAAATGTCGAACTGCTACTCAACTCAACTAGGTAGGTTGAAACTTGTTAGCGGGAGCATAGTACCCCTGTCTATGAATGAAGAACGAAGAGCCTAATATAAAAACTAAACTTTCTAAAACATAAACTATCTCAACCTCTCGCTTTAGGCATACAGCGCGAGTAATCTAGTCACTAACGTATAATAGGTTTTTCTATAACCGAGATCGTTATATAGTCGTCTAGAAACTCTGCTCTGTCTTACTTTGCATCCAATCGAATCTATATCGATTAACTAGAAGCCAAAGTTCTTTGCCGCTCATATAAAAACAGCGATCAATTTGATCAGCCGAATGATAAACAGGTATAAAGATTTTTCAGAGTATTAGACGAGGTAAAGGTCCGGAGCTCGGAAGAGTAAAATATGTATCTTCAGAGATGTATAAACCCATGCTTCATTCCTTCATTTTTTTTGTTCAGTGGTAGGTGGGGGGGGGGGGGGTGGAGGGAATGTTTTGCTTTCATTTGATCTTCATATTTTTACCATGCTGTCTGGTCATTTGGCAGTTTACAACGAAAGACTGTATGGACCTTATGTTAAGGGCTATGCCCGGTTATGTGGCATGAGCTGTGCCCAAGCATTGGTACCACCTACTTAAGTACAGCAGAAGCACAAGCACGCAGCTTGTTGTTACGTACCTTTTGCGAAATAGCATAGGTGGGCTGTTTGGCTCAATGGTCAGTTATGTCTGCTGCTATATTTGCCCCACAGGGGTCCGAGCTATTACACCTTATTGATGATCGAGTTCTTAAAAAATGAAAAATAAATAAAAAACGCATATCGTGAAAGTGGCGAAACCGAACGTCTTGAGATTTGACCTCGCAGATAGCCCTGATCTCTCTCGTCATAATAAAGTAAACATGTGTGTTGCGGAATCTAGCCTGTAACGCATCAAACATGGCTTATAGATGATGAAATATAAGACCAAGAGAGGAAGAAGTCCCTAACATAACGTCTGATTAAGCAACGCCGTTACATCCATACTCCTTCGTCCTGAATATCTTTGCCGTCTGTTGACGCTGCCAATAACTCCCTCACAGTCCAAGCCTTATATTCATACCCAGGGACTGAATTTGTGTTCACAAAAGCCTTGCCATATAAAAGGTGGTTGGCGCACGCTTCAAAGTTGTCTTCGGCGTACTTGGCAGGGTCATGCTCCAGCTGCCATTTACCAAGCCGGTTTTGAACCCCCGACTTCATAACCACCTCCCAATCAGTTCTATGAAGGAACTCGCGGGTTTTGAAACCTTGTTTCTGGACGCAAGATACTCTTTCGAACCTACAATCTGTCAGTATAGATCGAGCACAACTCAAGCATGCATGAACAAGAACGATAATTGACTGCGGAATACGAACCTAAGATGGTTGTGGACCCGCGTTGCGAGGGGTATACCACTTTTCCCCCCTATTCTGAGACAAGTTGCCAAGGAAATGGAATTCTCCATGGCAATGGTCGCGCCACTTCCTGACGTTGGCAAAATGGGATGCGCAGCATCACCTATCTGGACGACCCGTCCATGCGGTGACACCCACTTAGGCTGCGGGTCACGCCACATGAGCTTCCAAACGAGTAACCCATCCGCGGGAGTAGCCTTGACGAGTTCCTGTGCAAATGGGCACCAGCCGTCTACGAATTTGGCCATGTTTTGGCTGTCATCCTTTGCCGTCCAGCTCTCGGTGGCTTGGTCGTTGTCATCCTATGCAGCTGTTAGTTCAACACGGGCAGAGTCATGTGCAAAAACCAAACCTTGTGTGTAAGCACCCAGCTGACTTCTTTCTCCGTCTTTCCCATAACAAGGTGTGAGTCCGGGCCAGCATAGAAAGCAAAATGAGTCCGCTTAGCCTTGAGGACGGGCCCTAACACAGGGTTGTTAATTACCCGATCGACTGGATACGTGGTCCTATGAATTGCGTATCCCGAGCTGATGGGGGCTGCCTTTTCCCCTAGAACCAGCTGCCATGATACGGAACCGACTCCATCTGCAGCGACGACGACATCAGCCTCGAGCCGTCGTCCGTCACTCAGCAATACACCGCCTTTTTCGTGAGTCTCAAAATAGCCAACAGCAGCTGTGGAGAGGGATGTGACGATTCCGAGACGACGTGCATATTCGTAGAGGAGCTCGTGTAATTTGGCGCGGTAAATAACGAGCTTTAAGTCGCCAGGTTTGCCGAGTGGCCACTCGCCAACCAGTTCGCCGTCATCAAACTTATGGAGATATGCTATAGGGTCCATGACGTGCTTCTCAGCTTCCTCCATAAACCCCGGCCAGCCAGCAGGGGTGCGCAGTGCGGAGCCGGTGATTACGATAAACTCGCCTATGAATAAGCCATGCGAGTCAGCTGCTGTTAAACTTCATACGTAGCGGTAACGGGGCTTCATAGAAGTCTTGATGACAGGTTTGAGCCAAATTGAACAAGATCTCCTCCACGTACCAAAGTCTTTTGCTTCGTCTCGTCGCTCAATCACTCGAACGTGATGGCCTTGACGGTATGCTTCGATAGAGAATGTCAAGCCGGCGATCCCCCCGCCAACGACAAGAATAGAAATTCCAGTATCAGTTTTTCGCTCCATGGCTTGGTATGTTTTTTCAATGATTCAACTTCAAAAGAACTGCAATGATAGTTTGTGACGAAGGGCGGGAGGTAAGCGGCGGTCTCTACTGTGTTATTTATAGTGAAGATGCAACAGCCCATATGGAGCGGATGTTTTCTTAATGCTGGTGGAATTTCTTTTACTTTCTTGAATAGACCGATAGATCCCTATTGTCAACAGAGAGCGTTAGATCAAAGAACTGGATTAGCGAGCAAAACTACCGTTGTAAGTTGCCGTTAGAGAGGCCGACGCTAAGCATTCCCAGCTATTAAGGTCGTGGATCCTCCCCAACGCACTCAGTTTGCACCAACCAATCAGCGCACGCAGCACGCATGACCTGCCCGCACTCTAATACGCCGAAGTGCGTATCGGCCTTTCAGTGGTCCTCCATATATCCGCTTTGTCATCCGCCGTAGGGAATACTTCCGCGGAATGCAATCATTCATCGTTTCTGCCGCTGTCTTAATTTTTTATAGTAGCCTGGGTCCTGACTCTTGCTAGAAACTTAAAGTAGCCATAGACAATTTGCCTACTCACTGGCTATCGGGAAGATCACATCAAAGTGGTATTGGATCCTTTCGAATGCAGGCATAACTACATTGTTGTCAACACGAGCTCCTCCAAGCAGGGGTTCTTCGAGCAGAAAGAATGATGAGCGCAGGACCACTTCCCAATCCACAGAAGCCTCCTATTCTCCTCAACCTTCCGTGGGATGTAAAGGAAAAGATTTACGACTACTATCTCGCCGTGGACCACAACGACTTCGACGAAACTTTCCAGCCAATGCGCAAATACTTCAATCAATCGGAGTCCAGACAGGCCCTACCATCATTGATGCTCTCATGTAAGAGTGCCTACGACGACCTCCGCCGACGAGTTCATACCACCGCTATTATGCGTGTACGCACACATGGACACAAAGACCGCCGAATCGGCTTCGCTGTTCACGGAACACTTCGTTTCGAGCGCCTGCGTACGCTTTACCTTGTTGTCGCCATGGACTATCCCAACTGGAACGGCTGGTTGACCGTTTTTAGCGAGATAACGCAGCGGTCTTCCAATTTGACCCGGTTGTTGATTGATTGGCAACCAAGACCACGCCACGTAGCACAAGTGGGATGGGAAGCGAAAGTTACCGAGAAGAAAGAAAGGGAATTTCTTGGCATTTTGTCACGGCTGAAAAAGCTTGAAGTTATCACATTCTACGGTGACGTGGCGAAGAGTTGGACAGAACGGGTTAAAAAGGTAACACCCGCGGTACTGATTTCCTATAACAGTCGATGGTGGAGAGAACCTGGTCAAACATGACGAGGAGCTGGGAAAAGGTTGCGTTTACTATCGCGAATTCAAACCGACTTACAGACTTGAGATTATCATCAAGTATCTTAGCCCAATCACTCCAGCAACCGCGCAACTGGATTACGAGCTAAAGCTACTTGGCTTAGCTGGAGAGAACCAGATAGTAGACTTCCAATATCAATTTGCCGAGGGACACGCCAGTCAGCTCTGTTTTTGTAGTGGGCAGCGCTTTGAGTATTGCCTACAGAGGGAAGTCGTTTCATTCTTTTGCAACACGAACAGGGTAGAACATTATCCAAAATGGGACACTTAATTTGGTAGTCAATCTTACTTAACCGTTTCGTACTGTCATGGACGTAGATTCATGATTTTTAAGTTTATCCTGAAGAAAGATAAAAATTTGGAAAAAATAAGAAAACACTAAAGTTCTTGTTTTGTCCCAAAATGCTTGAGAATGACTTGAAGACCAAAGATGCTAGGGACAGCTTTTACCTCTACGAACCCTAAAGGATACCAGGGAGACACTGAAGGCTTACATTCGAATAGTCGGACAGAAACCAATAGTGTATCTGCTTACGCCGTGCCTTCTAGATGACTGGTCCTTGAAAGATCAAGCCCAGTCAATTAGGGGAGCACGGAGAAGACAGAAAGTCAAGCCGCCCGAGACCTCTCCATCAAGCCTTTCTCCGCCCCAGTCTCTTCAAAAAGATTCCGCCGAATCGCTGTCTATAGCTTACGCTAGCCCCTCACACATAAGATTAGGCAGACACTTTGCAGTGGAGCAGTTTTCACTATCACCCTAACCACAAAAATAAGAATGACTCGTAATCAAGTATCAAGGGTACTAGGTTAAAAGTAAGTCAAAGCTTATTTGAGACTGTTTCCATGTGTCCTTCTCTGAACTGTTTAACTCGGGTGGAAAGGAGGCCTGTAATAGCAAAACAGCTGAAATTTCTGGGTGAGTCTTGGATGATAACATTTCCTGCCCGTGTCACTTTTCAAGCTAGACCGTATTGTCGGAAACTAAAGCCGCAAGGATATGTCATTTCAGTCATTAGAAATCCAATGTGATGCACTACGAGCCCATGTGGAGAGAGCCTGACTAATTACAATCGAAGAGAGATAACGTTTACTTCAACCACGTCAAGTTTTGTTAAGGAGTGGAAGTTTTGTTAAGGAGTGGGACAGCAATTGAACTTGAGAACCAGCAGAGACCTTTTTGATCAAGTTTTCACCGCAAGGGAACAGGAATGGGGCATATCTTGCAAGAGAAAAAAATAAGAAACTAGCCAGCCACTTGCCAACGTGCATTCCGCGCCCATAAAACCCGGAGCACCCGTAGCATTTGGTGTCGTGACAGCCAACGTTATAGTCGATCCATCGTATTCAGATATTTTTGTTTATTAGTGCATGCCGCTGCAATCTCTTCGAGATAGCCAAGGGCTAGTATTGGTATGCTACAAGCATGGGAGGCATGGGTCAACGAGGCGCTGATGCATATACTTTGCCGAATGAATCGCATCGCCACGATCTTCTGGGACAATTCAGTTCTGTCACGTAGGCTTTCTCATGGCTGATTTTCTGACTCTTTGGCAGGCAGAAAATTAGCGAATCTGTGTTCAAGTCTCATTAATAACTCACGATGGAACACAAATGGGGTGAATGAGTGGGTTCTGAGAGGAAAACAGCGAGAATGAGAGAGAGAAAGAGAACTATCTTCGCATATTATCCAGATCTAAATTACGGTTGATCTTGCATCTGCAAACGGCCGTCCTAGCGACTGACATTGCATAATGAATAACCTCCTGTCTTGTGTCGACCTGTCTGGAGTAGGACCAGTCAGTCGATGAATTCTAGGCAACTTTCCCTAAGCCGCGTAGTGCCGTAGCCGTAGCCGCAGCAAGGCTCCTAGTCCCTAGTATCAAGGGAATTTGTAAGGTGTGCATGAAATAGTACGGCGGCGTGCTGTGAGTTTGAAGTACGGTGCTTCGCTATTGGGCGCAACGTCTGCTGAACTATCCCGCCTTACCCCTGTGGAGGTCGGATAATTCAAGCCGAGCCAGGGCTAGAATCAAATGGGCTAAAGCTAATTTTTGTAATTAGTCAGTAAACGAATGTTGCATGGGATAGTTGCGTTACGCGTATACCAACGATAACCACGCTTCCTGTCTTAAGATGGTCGATCCGACCTTCCCGTTTTGGTAGATGTCGTTTGCAAGTGGTTTCCACAACATATAGGATATGCCTTTTCAAATGAAGGGGCACAAAAAACATTGCACCATTCCCGTGCCAGACTACATCATCATAACCGATTTCATGGACTGCTTGAAGAACAAATGTTTGCTTGCCTTGCGATATACCATCATTCTCGGCGTAAATCATTCCCGTAAGCCAGCCGCATATGCCTGATAACAAGGGCCTCTGATGCTGTTAATCTTAAGTTCTTTCTCCGCCAATTACAACACAGTATTACACACAACTTGTAAAACACCAGGTTTAGGTAACCAGCGAGTCTGGATCAGTTGCTTCCATAGCAGTAGATAACTTACTTACGTAAACCTGCTGAGAGCCCGCCAAAAGGAGGCTCGCGAGCCGGTGTGCTGCCGTGATTGGAGCATCACCATCCCAAGCGGTTTTTACGTGATGAAAGGAAGAGACATGAGGCGTGAAACTCCTGAGAAAGCTAAAGAATATTGCAGCCGTAGCCCGACTCATGCAACGCCAAAAAAGGCACATGACTAGTTTGACTTGAAGAAGCACCGTACCCACGCGCTAGATAGGTTCGTTGGATGTATCAATAGCATCAGTAGTATTGGGTAACGAATGTCTGCACGTGGGGCAAAGGGCACCCATTCCGCTGTTTACATTTATTGTTACATACCCCCTCGGGCAAAGCCCCCTGTTACGCACGTCCGTCCTGTATCCTATGGCATCTTGTCTATCGGCCATAAGTCTGTTTGCAAGGAGCTTAACCCCGTAATTCCGGGCCCATTAGCTGGGGAAAAGAATAAGTGGAATGAGCGAGCCGGCCACCAACCTGAGAATCGGCCTGTGTGCCAACAATACACCATGAAATGTGCACAACCTTACTAGGAAGGATAATTGACATTAAGCAGAATAGTACTATAATTAATTAAATGAGCAATTTGAAACTACCGGACTACGTAGGTGTTGAAAACAGTGAATCCGCTAGCCTGCACCCCAAAGAATTTCACTTGCGTGGAAGGGCTTAGCTGGTTGGCGAGCAATACATATCCTTTCGATCCTATTATTATTGCCAATTGCAAGTATCTGTTGAGTCCAGAGAAACGAATGTCTCGCTGGAGCAGATGGGACCTTGTCGTGAGCTATAATGCCCATGCATATATATGGCTGGTTAGAAGTGCGCGAAATCATTCGGTGAAAGATAATCTCTGATCAGGTTACACGCCGAGTTTGACTTGGGAAAGATACTTTGTTTCCTTCATTGGAATACACGAGCTATCCCCTAGGACAGCCACGATTACATGTAAGTAAACGACAAACTTGCATCTGTACAGTCGAAGGTGCGGTGTCTGGGACTCCACAGCTTTGCCAAGCCGGCTCTTCGAACGTCTTGGCTGCACAACACAAGGCTTGACATTTAATTTAATATCATGAACACTAATGTAAAATGAAACTTTGATACACAAACAACCATGCTATAGTAGAGTGCTTACGACGGCAGTAAGTAGAAGTCAGCTTACAAACCAGGCCTCCAATAACATCGCCAGCCCTTCATAGCCTCAACATCGCGGCAAATCCCCGTGTCTCCCTCTGCGTACGGGCATGGTTATTTACGTGGTGCTCGCCGTCAAATCTCGGCCAGTGACCCTCTTCTTGTCAGATTATTTTCCTTACTGATACATTACTGATATAATCTCTTCGGCAATATTCCTAAAATGATTAAACTCTCGTCAGCCTTCGCCTTCACGGCATTCGCCGTCAGGTGTCTTACAACTCAAGAAGTTTATGACTATATTGTTATTGGAAGTGGCCCAGGCGGAGGTCCTCTGGCTGTTAACCTTGCCAGGGCCGGCTACAAAACGCTGCTTCTTGAAGCTGGTGACGATCTCGGAGACGACCCAACCTACAATCACATCCTCAACAATTACGGCGCCGTTAACGGGGCGCGCGGCCGCTGGGACTTCTTCGTTCAACACTCAGAAGATCCTGCTGAGCAGGCCCGTTACGCTCTGCAGACTTACCGCACTGTCAACGGGTCCTTTTATACCGGTCTTGACCCTCCCTCCGGTGCCGAAAGACTGGGTATTTGGTACCCTCGGGGTGCCTCACTTGGCGGCTGCTCCATGAACAACGCCGCTATCGCTACTTTACCCCCTGACGCCGATTGGGAAATCGTGGTGAACCGCACGGGCGATCGGACTTGGTTGGCCGAGAATATGCGTCAACATTTCATTGAAATTGAACGCAACGAGTGGTTCCCTCGCGGCACCCCTGGTCATGGATTCGACGGATATCTGCGTATCAATACACCTAACAACTCCTGGACCGAGCAGCCGAGTAATGTCAATCGCATTATCGCAGGGCTTGCAAACGCTACGGACCAGGACATCAAAATCGTGCCTGATCTGGTTGTTCGAGACATCAACGCCGAGTCCCCCGACCGAGACCAGCAAGAGGGGTTCTACGGAATGAGCCTTCACATCGACAGCCAGGGTTTCCGTTCTGGCCCCAACACTTACATTCGCGAAACTTTAAATGACTCAACAAACTACCCTCTAACGGTCAAGCTCCAGAGCTCGTTACTAGAGTCCTTTTCGATGATTCGGGCTTAGTCCCGGTGGCCAATGGTGTCGAGGTCTTACAGGGTCAGTCTGTATACAAGGCCGACCCTCGATGGAGCAAGGACAAGAAGAGCGAGCTTAAAACGTTCACGGCTAAAAGGGAGGTTATTGTCTCCGGAGGTGCCTTCAATAGCCCTCAAATTCTTAAACACTCCGGTGTTGGTCCCGCCGATGAGCTGAACAGATTTGGTATCAAGGTGATCAAAGACCTCCCGGGAGTCGGTGAGAACTTGGCTGAGAACTACGAGGGAGGTTTATTGGGCCTTGCGAGCCAAAACATCAACTTAGATGCCGGTCAGGTCGCCCTTGTTCTCAGAACTCCTACTGAGACAGGTGGTCGTAATATTCATGCCTGGTGCGGCCCCTTTGCCCTTGAGGGATTTTGGCCCGGGATGCCCAAAGATTATGGCCCGCGCCAGTACATGTGTGCATTCGCCCAGATGGTCCCGTGCCGGTAGCGTCAGGCTCAAGTCGGCCGACCCCACGGATACTCCTGACATCAACTTCCGGTTCTGGCAGGTTGGCGGCGATGAAGACCTCCGGGAGATTGTCGACGCAGTCAACATCATTCGCCAAGGTTTCAATGCCGCCGAGGCTCCTGTGACGCCGTGGAGTGAAATATATCCTTGCCATGGCAATGCCAGTAACTGCACGGACCAGGCACAGCTTGAATATTTCAGGTCCCAATCTTTTGGCCACCACGCCTCTTCCTCCTGTGCCATCGGAGCCGCTGAAGACCCGATGGCTGTTGTAGATAGCAAATTCCGGGTCCACGGCGTCAAGAACCTCCGTGTCGTAGACGCGTCAGTGTTCCCCCACGTCCCAGACGCCTTTCCTGTGCTGCCGACTCTCATTATCTCGCAGAAAGCCTCAAAGGATATAATTGAGGCTGCCTCTTCCGCCTGAGATATCTTCTGACGGTTCTATCCTTCATGACTGATTACGTCACACGAGGAGCCAAAAGTCTGAGCCAACATCGGTCGTCGCCCTGCCACCCACATTGTTAGCCTCTTGACTGAGACAGACGCTTGAGGCCTCAAGTCTTGCGAGTTATAGAACAGTTAAATAGTTTCAATAGACGCTAGAAATCGCTCTTCCATATTGTGCATGCCAACTTTGTGTCCCAATTTGCAGCCTCAAGACACCGCGGCAAAGTATCACTTCAATATCATGCATTGCAGTGTTCGGAACCCAGCCCCCCTCATAACGTTGGACTGCTACTTGATGCTTAAATCTTTCGATACCCACCCCGTTATTCATCAGTTTGCATGTCGCTACGCACGGTCTCTGCATGCTATTTCTCATCATACGCCGAACGCGTTCGATTTTGTCGAGATCCGGCACATAAAGGGCTAACCGAACCAGGAAATAGCCTAACATTCAATGAACCCGTTCTAAATTTGCATTCAAGGCTTCAGTTTGCGACGGTTAGTGATCTATGCTAGATCGTCCCGTCCAATGTGGGACAGAGAGATCTTCGTACTCTTGAACTTCCTGGCATGAACTTTCCCCTCGAACAACATATCCATCTCTGCAATTGTTCATACCTTAGATTCAGGAACCATAAGATATTTACAAATCAACCCAAGAACGCCGGCTACGGCCCAAAAGAACCCGGTCAAGGTGCTTCAATTCCAAGCAGTGGGGTTGAATATGAATGGAGTTACAGTGCTGGCTACAATGTTGACAACAGAGTAGGTATTCCGCGCGACCACAAACGACTTACTTCGAAGCAGAGATGATGAAATTTCGGACAAAGTAATGGACAGCACCAGAAGGTTGGCCCACACAACCGTCGACGGCGAGAAGAGGTCCGATGCCCCATGCGAGGACCGAAGATGACGAACCTCGCAGCTGAGCTCCCATGCCACCGATTGCTGCGAAAAGGGCTATGGTTAGGAGTTTGCCACATAGGTACATTCTTCTTCGACCAACATAGGTCATCACAACCCACTGTAGCGTCCACGCCAGCATTACAGCAAACCAAGAGGATATAACCAAGATCTCAGAGCACCAAGAACCCCCAGGACAGAAAGTGCCAATGCAAAGATGGTCATGTTGAAAGATTGGTCGGCAGGCAGACCGGCCTATTGCAAGAAATAGGTCATGCATGCGCGCAATGGTGCGCCGGTCAAGACCTGCATGATATAAACGCCCATGACGATGATGGTACTGCGTGGATTCACGCCTTTGAAGTACGTCGCATCACTCGTACCGGATTCGACGCTCCTTTAGTGGGCCGTGGTAAATACCATAAGGGAGACGAGTTTGTGATTGTCGATATCCAAATCCTCATCAGTCCTCCCTTGGTTTAGCAATAGCAACCATTGGTTTCTAGATACCACCATTAGAACGTTGTTTAAGCCAAACAGAGAGATACATCACGCCTTTCGTAAAGTAACATTGGAGTTAAATCTTATTCTTTAGTTGTATCGGTACGTCCTCGGGTGCATCACGAAAGGGCATCATCAATACGACCTGACAACCAACACTGCGAAGCCCGGCATGCACAAGGAGCTGCAAGCCTACGTGGACGTTTGTTCCATGGAATTTCACCTCACGCATCTGCAGCACGGTTTCGTGAGCGATCACGAGGACTCTCTAGGTTTAAAACCCCATTCCAGACTACGAGAGGTCCGCCAGGCGATGGAGAAAGTGGTGATGGAGAAGAAACCCCCTACATCCAACATGACCACAAGGCTTGAAACCCAACTTGAATGTATGAACGCTGGAATAGGGCATACACTAGGTTCTGATCGGTGTGATTATTGGCCCTGAGTCCCAGGTGCATAACTACGACGGTATTATTCCGTTTAGACCTCTGGCGCATGGCAGGAGTGCCGATAAAGCAAGCTATTTGAGGCTTGCGCTATTGTACTTCGCTAGATATCTTGTAGATGAACAATGCTTCCTTCTTGAAAAGGTATGTGGCATAGATACATAACTCGCTTATGATAGCTAGAATAGATAATTCAAGCTAAGTTGATATATGTATATGTATAAATGAAACATGCACTGAGTCTTTGGCCGCTCGCAGACAACAACAAGCACAACCCACACAAATCACCGCTGCTACGGACTGACGCATGCTGGCAGGCGAACTGTCATTTCGCAACCACAGGACGAGAAACAAAAGAAATAGTGCCAATCGATAGCTTTAGGTACTCGAAGAACTAATCAGAAGAATAGAATGAGAACACTTGTAAATTAGCTTCTCAATTCCCAAAAATATAAAAAGTGATGATGCCTATACAATGTCTCTGTTGCAGCAGTCCCCTTAGCCTGCCTCTCACACGCTGCCCCATGCCTCCACATTGTTAGTGGAACCTCTGCGCTTTCGACCCCTCGAGTGGCCACGTCTCCTACCAATTTATTAGAAGTCTTAAAGATGTTTATATTCAAAGATAACAAACTAAAGGAATGTGAAAGAAAAGCCATATCCAGTCAAGGTTATAATAGATTATTAGTCTAGCCGCTAGCAGCATAATACATGAAGCTAAGTCAGTTACAATTGAGCTTTAACCATCAGCCTACTCTTATTATATATTATAGCAGCAGAGTTGCTCGCACGGCACATCCCTTTTCTATCCTTGGCCTGGCTGTACCCCTCATCTCATCCCCGGCTCGAGGCCCGTTGCAATCAATTCCTTCGACGGTCCTGGAAAACTTTTGGGGACGCCCTCTGTTCAATTCAACCCGACGCAATGGTTGCCGTCATCCGGCCGCAGCCTGCTATAGTAGGCAAAAGCGAAGATGTAGTAGCAGATAGCCGAGACTTCTTCCGTCAATTGTCACCCCAAGACGAATGTTGGGATATGCGCCAGACATCTGTGACGAACGCCGACGTTGGCACTGTTGTGCCCTTTAACTCGGGTTTCGTACACACGGTGCTCCGCGCCTGGCAACAGCATCTGCACCTTGAACTGCGACCCGACGACGTGTGGCTGGCCGTGCTGGTCCAGTTCAGCTTCTTCGTCAACGGTCCCGGCCGCGCCGAGGCGTTACGCCACCACTTCGTTGCCCACGAGGGCCAACGCCGCCTCATGGTCGATTGCCGGGCCTCTCAGACGATCGAGCAAGTCGACATGGCCTTCTTGACTGATAGCCTTGTCGAACTGGCCCGCCAGCAGCTCGTGGACCCGGAGTTGGCCGACTGGCTGCTCCCAACCTTCAGCACAACACTCCCGCAAGACCGCTCGACCGCAGCCGCCGTTTTCTTGGGGACCGTAAAGCATTACTTCGAGTACGGCGCGATGATCGGCTGCGGCTTCCCTTCCATCAGCCTCCAGGGCGAGCGCAGCGACTGGGCTGATTTGGCGACGCGCGTCGCCCGGCTCGCTGACTTTGACGACATCGCGGCGGCTGGCGCGGCTGGTGGCGGCCAGGACGGGTCTGTCTCTCCCATGATGCAATGGTCGCGCGCCCTTGGCGTGGCCGTCGACTTCATGGTCGAGAGCTTCGACAGGCCTGAGGACGACGACGTCTGTGACTTCTGGATGCGTGCCTGCCACTCGGCCGGCCCCAGCATGTCAGGCGGGGTTGTCACCTTGTCCGGCTGGCTGACGGCCTTCTGCTGGTGGCGGGCCGATGGCACCAGGCAGAAGGCGTACGAGGATACTGAGCTTGCGAGGCTATGGCACGAAGACTGGCGGAGACTGCAACTACGCGGGGTTGGTTTTCCGGTCATCAGTCAGGACGACGTACCCGCCGGCGTCAGCAGAGTTACTATCACATTCTATCGTGACGGCGACTACGAGGGCGGGGAGCGAAAGGGGATAGAGACAGTCCTTCTGGCGGGGTCGACTGGCATGAAGATCATAGATGCCGAAGGCACCAGAGTTCGTCCGTTCTCAAGCTGGTGGTTGCTAAGCCAGCAGCTCAGGCGCAAGACCGTGGCCGGTACCGTGGCCGGTACCGTGGCCGGTACCGTGGCCGGACTATCAAAGAAAACACCAAGCCCTGGGCTGCTACCTAAACGAAAAGGACCTGGGCAAGGACTTGTACCTAGACCCAAAAGCACCCGCTTTCAAAACATACGACGGTTCTCAACGAACCCTGATGGCCTTGGTGATAGAGTCTGACTTCCATTACACTGGACGGTAGAGCAGGTTCAGCATCCCTGGGCTAGTAGATGTGCCCTGCTGATGAATTCAAGGCTTTGACTTGGAGTCTAGAGTCTTGATTCACCACGGACTGTTCTAAACAGCTGCCTTCTGCGTTGTACTGGGCTTAGTACTATTGTGGTTGTAACATTGAGTTTATGTACCTTTTTGTGGCTTGAAAACTTTCATGGCTCTGCCGCTTTAGTGCCCCCAGGAGACGATACTCTGATGATCATATCCAGTGCGGCGGTGTTCGTGTAGATGTGCATGATGATGGCTCGTTCTTTCGAGGAGGGAGATGCTGGGGCGGCAACAGGTGCGAACTTGGTGAGCTGCGGCTAGTATTAAATGAGCTTTAGGAGATTTGTGATGAGACTCAAGAATTTTGGTGCTCCAGCCGTTGTTTTCTACTTTCAGTCCCTCTCTTATCGATACGTTCTACGGCTCGTCAGTCATAGCGCTCATCTTCCAAGAAAGAAAAAGAAAAGATTCCCAGGACCGAGGTAAGGAAACCTCTTGTGAGAGAACTCGCCGCACCAACAATGACTACTCTAGGTTTATGCGCAAACGGAAACTCGCCGTGGAAGCACCATACCCATTGTCAATATGCTCTTTACCATCAGGAGCAACACAGCCGGAGCCCTCATGATGGTATATCCACGAGTCGTCCCCAAGGGTCGGCTGCGTTTTGGGACTCTCATATCCGCGCTAATGACCTCTCAAAAAATCTCTCATTCACATTACAAGTTATCACACAAGCTTTCAGTAGCTTAGTCAAAATGGCAACTCTCTCAGAGCAAATGCTAATGTTCCTTCACTGGGACAGCTCTGCCTGGGCTTCACGACGTTATTCAGAAAGAAAATGCTAGGCTTACAACCTATAGAAGAGACTAATAGAACGCTTAGAATAGTGAAGTGTTGTAGTTGTTACTGTTGAGCACTCACTGGTTAACTGAAAAGCCCTACGGTGGGCGCCTGCCCCCGGTGGGAGGAAGCCCGCCAGCAGAAGGAATTGCCACCATCAGCAAAGGCCGACGAGGTTGGACGACATGAGTCGATCGTAGGATCTGAAAGAGATTCGCGCATCTTTTCTCTGAAACAAGGTCCCCAGGCATTTCCTTAGTGGAGTGGGATGATGCACTACCGACAATTGTTCGCATGGTTGCTAACGGCGTGTGGGGAAGCAATAGTCTCACTCAGCTGAGCTTCATCATATGCCATGTGCTTCTTATTACTGGTGAACATCCTCCCAATTCATGCAGGCTGGCTGGTTTGGTAAAATCGTCAGACGGAATTGGCAACTTGGAGTACATCTTCCGGTGGGGCCATTTATCCCATGCGACAACTGAGACAACAAGGTCTAGAATCTCTTCTGCCAGGCGTTACCCAGCTAACTATAAAGAACCTCTCAGCCAGCCACTCGCATACTGTCGGATCATCGCTAGACCAAAACCATCGGCAACACAACTAATATTTGGCGTCTTTTGTTATCCTGTTCTGCCGCAAGCAACCATCCAATACCCGAATGTGCTATCATGGATATGTAGAAAAGAGTACTGGTCGTCTGTTCGACTGTCTCTTCATGTTTGGTATGCATCTCACAACCTTCCAGCACCATACTTATTGTCCTGGGAGTTTTCTGTTGTCTACAGCGTTCTCAAATGTGTCGTGCTAAAAACAAATCATAGCGTGAAACAAGCACCATCAACAAAATGGCCCAGCTGCTTGCCCCTTACAACAACTCCATGCGCCTTGGGCAGGGGTTTAATTCATACATTCAGCAGATTTGTCTCGATAATGCCGTGCTTGAAGACACAGAAGAAAATAGGGCACGCTTGGACGACATATTACATAGTTCCGGTCATTTCAGCCCTCCCAGAGCGCCAAAGAGAGGCTCAGCTGATTCAGCTGTGGCCTGGACGGAGCCGAACTATGGTGTCGCTATCGACAGTTCCAGCGACCACGATGTTGAGGACGCAGAGGTAAAAATCATTGAACAAACCCAGGCGAAAGATGAAAAGTGCATGGGAAGCAAGGAAAAATCAACTCGTTCCCCTGAATCTCGGCGATGGGGGAAATCCCAGATTGTTACATACAACTCACGATTTGTTGATAAGCTTAGCGACGTTACGGGTACGTGATACGCGTTACCAATGAATTTCCCCAAAGCAAATACACAAAAATAATAACTGACGGGTTTGCAGAGGCTATGAACATATCTGGATCTTTGTCTATCAAAACAGGAATCATAGGAGGCCAGGCGAATGGTTCCTATGTCGATAGTGACAAATTCAAGTCCAGCGACATCAACGTCCACGTCCAAGTGAAGGTCACCAATCAGACGGAAGATGCCAGCAAGCGGTTCACAATCTTTAACAAGATTAAACCTTTAGAGAACAAGGACTTTGCTAAGATATATGGGGTATGCACTGCCCATGAAGAGTTCTCTGTACCCAACCTTAGCAATGCTGACCTGCTCTTAGGATACTTTCATCTCTGGGTGGGAAGAAGGCGGGGAATTTAATGCGATCATCTCTATGAAAGTCGCCGATAAATCAAAGATCGCTGATATCAAGGCGGAGATCGACGCACATATAACACTTCCATCTGCAATAAAGCCCAAAGTTTCGGCCAGTTCTGGAAAAGACAAGAGCAACATTGCAAAGTATACTGAAACGACATTCGCTGTCAGTTGGTCAGGTGGTGGAATTATAAAGGACAGGGGCGAGGAATGGAGCATCCCAACTGTCATTAAAACAGCAGCAGCATTTCCAGACCTTGTCGCCGAAACACCGCAGCGCACATATGCCATTTTGACGAAGTACTCTGCCCTCGAAAGCTATCATTCGCAAATGGGGCATCATCGGCCGCTGAGCTATGAGAATGCAGGAATCTATACTAATGCACTGCTCGACCATTATATGGATTACAAGGTCCTCTGGAAGCAAATTTCACAGGCGATTTACGAGCTGGAGGCAGGGCGTGCTACCATTGAGAAAGCTCGGCCATCAGAGGACTTATTTAAACATACAGATATTAAAAACCAGCTGACACAGACCGACGTGGAACTTCTAATCGGCCGTAAACCCGTCATGGATAGCAACGCTCATACTAGTGCAGAGCTGCAGCCCAATGGAGAGCCAAGAACCGACGCTGTGGCTTTGACAGCTCATGATCTCGCAGTTACGGTACAAACTTACTCGGGAAATCTGGCAGGCGGCATTACTACATACGAAATTTTCAATGCCTCCTTTGCCGGACTAATTGAGGCCCGTAAGGTCTGTCGCTTCGAAATGGCCAAACTTGTCACGGAGGTCGACCTCATCGCCAGATACCCAAAACTGGCTGCCAACTCTGGGAGGGACCAGCTGTTTCTCAATCCTGTGGTATTCAAGCAGCTGCTTCCGATTGTTCGCGTGGCGTCTGAATGCTCGGTTGCCTGTCAGAGCGACCCTAGCGCAGCTCTTCTCTTGGGATATAGCCCGCCTAGCGAGCCGGAACGGCAAGCAGTACCGGTGTACAAACTTGAAGAGTCTTTTGGGGCACACGATGTGAAGATTCAGGAAAGATTGCACAAAGTTAGGCATAAGTCAAACAATTATCGTGTTCAGGGCTTTGCGGGGGAAATCACGAATGTTCGCCCGCTTGCAGTACCAAAGAACGACCTAAATTCTCTTGAGTCTTTGGACCGTCCTACCAAGTTGGAGGTATGGTACGTCTCTGGCATCGTTCAGGGAATTCAGGTGGCATATTCCAGCAACAAAGACCTCAAGCACGGTGTGTGTGACGGCCCATCCTCGCACATCATAAACCTTGACAGTACAGGTTCCGAGGCCATTTATGAAGTCGTGATCGAAACAGCAGTCGACGAGATGGGAATCCCTGCAATCACTCAATTCAGCGTTGCAACAACACGTTACAAAGTGCTTGATACAGCGCGGGAGCCTAACTCTCAGCCGCCTTATCCCGAGGCAGGTGAGGATGGAACCTACTCATCTGGGGGAAGAGGAACTACTTCAGGGCAAGCAAAAGACAGCAGGAAAGGCGAGAATATTAATACTGGAGCGACTATGACACCTAAGCCTCGCCGATTGTCTAACCCAAGGACATTCAAATGGTCGCGGCCGGACCACAACCACCACTGGAACTTATGAGGGCTTTTCAGTGTTGCATTTGAAGACCGTCTTATCACTCTTGGGATAGTATGGGGTAGGGACGCCTTTGTGCCCCTACCGCTTTCTCCCATGGTGTGGCCTCTGTGCAATGAGTTTCTCGGTCTAGGAACCGCACTTCAAAAAAGCATTCACAGCCACAGCCTACCAAAGTCTAAGAACTTCCCGGGGAAGTTCCTCATGGGTCACTCAGTCTCTACGACAACCACCAAGGGCAATTCCATGGCAATACCTCCAGCGGTATTCAATGCACTCGATAGCATTGATGTCACGTGGAAGATCAAAACCATCAGGTTTGCGGCTGTTAAGTCCAAGCTTGTCGCAATCAAGGTACTTTACTTCACTGGGGTTGAGATAGAACATGGCGCCTATCTCCCTGGCAGTGAAGTTTGGAGCTGCGATGTGAAGTCGGACTTGATCATGGCTAAGATCACGGCTGGGAGGGCTAGTTGGTTCTCCGTTGGCTGTATCAGCTCCGTAGAGTTCATCCGCGCTGACGAGCAAGGCATGCTTCCACAATGGCCCCTAGATGTCTCTACAATCCGCTACATCGGGAATGAGGCGATGAGCAAATCAAAAGACGCCTCCGTGGTTGTAGAATCGGCTCCTACAACAGCAGGTGTTCCTTGGTCGGTGCGTGGATTTTATGGCGAGACTTCAGGTGGAGTGATTTCCAGACTGGGAATTATTTGGGGCCGAGGGTAGTCTTCTCACAAAGCAGACGCATAATTATCTCATCATGTAAACTCAGAGTAAATGGAAATCGTGTGACATGTACCTTAGGAGAATTATTTGATATCGACCGCAATGTGGGCGAGGGACCCAATGGGGGGTTTTATGGTTATGTTGATACGTGCGCACTTTCGTAACACAGAACAGCTGCACCTTGCTACGGACAAGATAAAACTGGTTGGGCGCCGAGGATCTAAAGCACTACCATCTATGTGGCCGCAGCCAAGATTAAGCATGTCTTAAGGCCTTTACCAAAGCTACGTCTTTATTATCTTATAGGTACTCAATTAGTACTGGAATCACCGAGAATACATTCACTTTCGGCTACCATGGCTTTATATGAGCCCGATTTTCATATAAAAGGAGTTTTCAAGACGACCACTTAGGCAAGTTGGAAAGGCATGTAGTTGTGAGATTGAGCTTTTCACAGAGGTCATCCTCGATTTCCTCTCGGACATTTCAATACGTCTCTTAACACGGTCACTTTCTCATGCTTCCAACTTTATTGCAGACCTTTCAGACTACATCAATATCAATATGTCGTCTGAACTCATTAATCACACACCTGATCATTGAAAATTTTCGTTGCCATGTTTTACTTTCATGTCCTCTTGAAAACTTTGCTTTAAGGTCCTACGTAGCTAAGCTATGCTGATGTGGCTGCCTGGGTATGGCTAAAGGGTAAGAAGGGAATTCCCTCCCAAAATCAGGCTGCGGCCAGTCCTCCAGATACAGCTCCTGGTCCCGATTACAGCCGCAGCCAATCGATCATTACAGCGCATCCCAGTCCCACTTAGTGCGCGGTAACGGGTAAGCCCCCTAATTGTGAACGTGTTGTCAGCCAACAACGAGCTTGCCTTTTCAACTTCATCACCGCCGCAATTTTCCCGTCTTCCTTACCATAAGGCTATTTGATGAATCTTTTTCTAACAAAACATGATTATTTGCCAATTTTGCCGTCGAAATGTCCTGGAATCGCAAAAGACCTGGGACTACCACCATGTCAACATGGCCGCGCTCAAGGTGTCAGCAGAATCAGGCTGCGTCTTCTGCAAAAGACTTGCTCCCTTTGTCAAGACCGTCCATGGAGGAATCCAAAAGGAGACTAAAGCGCTCTACCGATGGACTATGCGCGAAGTACCTCATATTCGAGAAACTAAAAGCAATGTCTCAATCACATTCCGTCCAGTACCTGATGAGCAGGGCGAGAAGGAGAGCACCAGAGACCTCCCGGAAGTCAGATTTTATGTATTCCACGAAGAAGGTAATCACTCGTCGTTGGTCTCCGGACGTATAGTTACTGATGTTTGTCCCAGACCTGGGATATATTCCTAACGAAGAAGCACTTGGTCCGGGGACAAATTCTGAAGCATCCATCAACCTAATGAAGAGCTGGTTGAACCATTGCAAAAACAACCACCCAAGATGCAAGTCACACCACACAAGGCACGGTTTCATGCCAACTCGAGTTCTAGACGTCGGTGTTCAAGGCGACCATTTGCCGCCGACACATATCCGCGTGGTCGAAACAAAGAAGAATCACATAAATGAGCCATACATGACGCTAAGTCACTGTTGGGGCAAAAAGAGCTTCGTGCAGCTTACGAACGATAACTTTGATGATTTTACTAACCGTGGCATCCCGTGGAAGAACGATGCTCTTGGAAATGACATCTGTAGCAACAAGAATTTCGAAGAAGCGATTATCGTTACGCGAAACCTCGGGATTCGATACATTTGGATTGATTCCGTTTGCATCATCCAAAACCAGCCAGACAAAGCAGATTGGGAGGCCGAGGCAGGGCTTATGCACAAGGTATATCGTAACTCGTACTGCAATCTTGCGGCTACTGTTTCGGAGGATTGTTCAGGCGGACTGTTCCGAGAGCGAAACCTTGACGTGCTGCCAGCTCAATACGTCCCCGATGGCGCATCTCACAGATTCAGAGAGCGAAACAGGCGAATCCTCTCCTCCGACCTCTGGGACAAGGACCTTCTCGGCAGCCATCTCTACGGCCGCGGGTGGGTCTTTCAAGGTATTTTTATTAGTTTCTCCGTCGTCAACTGTGCTGATGATATGTCTCAGAACGGATGCTTTCTCCCCGCCTCTTGCAGTTCGCTCAGGGCCAGATATTTTGGGACTGTGCCACTACCTCTGCCTGTGAAGCCCTCCCCGCCGGTCTTCCGCCATCTCTCGATGTGACAGCCGGGATGGATCGTAGTTGGCGCCAACGTCTTCAAAGTGCCGATAGAACCGTGCTCTCGCGAATCAAATCATCCAAGGGATCTCCCGAAAAGTTTTGGGAGAGCTCCGTCCTGGCATACACCAGCTGCAAGCTCACCAAACACGACGACAAAGACGCAGCCATGTGGGGTATATCCAAGCTTGTACGCGACATGCAAGGTGAAGAGTACGCCTACGGGCTTTGGGCAACCTGGCTCGAGGAACAGCTCGCGTGGCGGGTGGCAGACCGACCAGCGGCGAAGTATCCAGAAATCGATGGGAAGGAATTCCCGTCTTGGTCGTGGATGTGTTTGGATGTGCCGATTCAGGTCGCTCCAAGATTGGAGGACAATACGCGATTTTATGCAGTGACGAATCACGAGGGAGGTCCGATCGCGTTTAAATTTGAGAGAATGCTCCATGGGGAAATGGATACTGGAGATCCTCCAAACCCGCATGATACTCCTGAGATTAAGACGAATAAACCGAGTGACGTTGAGAAGGAGTATGCAGAGACTTGGCAATCTAAGACTGGTCCAAATGTTGGTATACCAAAACCGGACGAGCGCTCCAAGCTGCTGTCTGAGGAGATCGAAATCCTGGGACACATATGTGGGGGCACGCTTCGATACACTTCCCTCGAGAAGCGTTGGTTCATAGATATTGATGGAGTACGGGAGCAGGCCGTTGTTGAGGCGTACCCGGATCTTCAACCAGGAGAAGGTGACGCAATATGCCAGTTTCTAGTACTTGCGGCGTCGAGAATCTTTCGAGATAGGCATGGGCAAGAATTTTATGACCTGGATCAGATCGAACAGAGCAAAGCGGAGGTCGAGGAGATGCAGTACTCAGGAGTAGGGATTCTGGTCCAATGGGAAAACAAAAAGGAGAAGCGTCTAAGGAGGGTTGGTGCTGTGACATTTCGGCAGTTGAATTGGGATGACTGGGCTTCCTTCCGGCGGGCTTGTGGGGAAGACCAAGAAGCGCTGCAATATGAATTGGATGTTGAGGATGGACAATCCGTCTGGCTTGCTTGATACGCTACGTTCAGTTCATAGGGATTGTTTTCAATGGGCACGTTAGCCGTCGAGAATGTCATGCCAATGTTTTGGTCCTATGCGTCGATAAAATGTGAGTTTAGAAAGTGATTTGAGAAAAGTAATTTGCGTCGCTTTTCTCCATCAATACTGGAAGCGGGAATTGCTTAAATATTTGACGCCCAAAAGTGAAATCACTTTGTCCATTAGGACAAGTTGCTGCGTTAAATATCGGATGACAAGTCCATCTTCCAGCTCATTCAACATACCAACGAGAAATCTCTTGCTTGGGTGAACATTATTCCATTATACTGGGATTCTTTGCAACTAGTCTGATTTTTGGGTTCCTTTGATTAAAAGATTATTGTCTAAAGTAAGATAACGATATTTATAAAAGCTTTCGAATGCCCGATCAATATTCGTCAATCCACAACTACAAAGTCTGCCTGCGAGTACACAAACGGTTTCGAAGCAAGCGATTACGTCTATTCGCTTTGGACCTAACCTAAAGGTACCCTAAAACGTCCCAACTTGGCGCCAGGCTTCTTTTGCAGGCCAGTAGGTGAAGTGCTTCTGGATACCGCCCCCTGATTTCTGACTTGGCCTGGAGTTGATGGTGCCCGTTGCGGTTCGCCCGACAGCGGTGGTGGGGTTTGTGTGTTTCTCCTACTGCACACAGCTTGGACCTCACTTGGGGGATTGCAGTAGCCATGATTACGTTGTAGGCCGTCGAACCTAGGGACTCCCGCCACCAGCTCGTTATCGCGTTCGATGTTGAACTTTATATTCCCTGTGCAATATGTGCCAAAGCAAATATCTTCCGGGTTGCACAATGATACGCATATGTAAGTCCAAGCCGTTTGACCAAGACAGCTGTAGTTGATTGGTACACACGCTCCGCCGTTCGTGCACGGATTCTTGCCAACTTGGGGCACGCAAGCTTCTGTCGACACCTGGTTGATGATTCTTTCTCTCCCAGCTGGCAGGCCGTCACTGGGAAGAGTGTCGTGGTCGTCAGCAAATGTCACAGCTATTTTTGGCGCGGGTACAGGAGCGGTCGAAGGCTTTGGAGGGGTCTTGGGCGAGGCCGTGCCATTGCGGGATGTGTACCCCGTGGAGCCTTCGACACAGAGACTGGGATCTTGAAAAGCCGCCCGGGAAACGTCGTGCCATAGAGTAGTCATGTTGTAGACGTTATCAATTGTGAAGTACAGCCTGCAGTCGGCTGCGGCGTAGCGAAACTGAAGAGGTGTGGAGATGTCATCCGCGCGCAGCTGGTCGCGGAGGTTGAACCCGGCGTGCTTGATGAAGATTCCCCGGTCCTGTCGGTTGGCTGGGAACTGGGCCTTTGCAGTCTCATTATGTTCTCCTATCCACTCGAAATCGTAGTCTAGCTCGTCTCCAGAATACACACGCGCACCGCGGGTGCCGGCTGCAGCTTGCATTGGCCCTGGTTTGGGCGCGCCGCCAACAACGACGGTACGGGCGCCGGCCTGGGTCGCGAGCTCAAGAAAGAGAGCGCACGCAGAAGAGCATGTTCCGTCAGTGAGCTTAAAACAATGCGGTGTTAGATCTTCAAGGCGGTTCGAACAAAGGGTGGGGATCTCATTCGGACTTACGATGACTATGTTTTCAGGAGTCCACGGTACGTGTCTCTCTGCATCGTTATCATCCAGATAACGGTTGAGCAACCAGCCGTCGAACGCTGCAACGTGAAAAGTCGGGTTTTTGAGGTCGTATTGTTCCTATAAAAAGCGTTGGTACATAAAATGAACATCGTTAATGGAGGATTGGAAACTTACCACAAGAGACATGTCATCTTCGAGTTGTTGTCTAGGCCCTTGGTACTCCTCCCAAGAGGAGAAATTCCTCCTCGTCTCAGCATTTAGTCGAGTCACAATCGTCCACTCGTCCGAGACAAGCGACAAACTGTCCTCCTGGTCCTCTTCACTGCCAGCAGCTTGTTCTCGATACTTATGAGTAGTAGCCGAGCCAAGAATGTTGGCCAACTTGTGACTGCGTCGCTGACTTCCAGCAAAGGGGTCAACTCCAGGAAACAGTTCTCGGAAAAGAAACAGTGCAGAACCAGACGATCCGCCAAAGTTCTTCTGCAGGTCAAGAATGACATGGTTCAGGCCTTTTTCTTCAGCCCCTTCCATGAACTCTGTGAGTAGCTCACCAAAGTCGCCCAGATCATCATCGTAGTGGTTGAAATGAGGGATGCTGAGTACGCCAGTCGATATGTCATCGTAGAAGTATCCCGTTATGATGTTAGCACCGTAACTGCTTAAATTGGCCAGTTTCACATCCGCGTTCTTGGGAAAAGCAGTGAAGCTTTTTTCATACCAACTAGTTGGTTCTTCGTATTCATCCATCCCGTCAATGGTCTGCAAATCTGGCGTGATCGGGTCGCCGTCTTCGTTGAAGGACAGGCCTCCAAACGATGGCGGTAGTGGAACGTCGGGATATGACGCTGGCAGTAGGCCGAGGACGAAGAAGTTGTAAAAGTCGCCACCAGTCGTTAGAGGGCCGGTAAATTCTGCGTTGTCGTAGATTGCGAGCCAGTGTGTCTTCAGTTCAGGCTTGCCCTGGGCTTCAAAGGTGAAATTAAGGGTGTCACCGGGATAAAATGTGCTGGAACCGGCGAAAATGCTAAAGATGCCTTGGACGTCCTGGACTGGGCTGTCCATAAGCTCATTCCAATCGGCATGAGGCTCAAGCATTCCAACGGACTGCAGTGCCGCAAATTTGGTCAGAAACTCCACGGCCGGCTCTCCATTTATGTGCGAGATGGCTGAAATATCGATGACGATGCCGTTTGTCAAGTTATTTTGGCGGTCGATGATATCGTCTAGTTATAGTAAGTTACGTAGCAAGTTAAGGCTGACAAAAAAGCAATCTACGTTCTCTACGTACCAGCAAAGTAGATTTTGGGAGTCTCTTTTCCGTCGATTGATGCCGCTACAAGAGGGATCGGGCTCGCGAAGGAGAAAGCTGAAAGAACACCCGCCCGCAGACTGACGTGGGCGTCATGAACCGAGTATATGAGGTATTGCATCGTGGCCTCAAAGTCGTACTGGTTTTTGAATACGCCAGCAGTGACGTTGCGCTTGAGATCTTCCAAGCCCTGCATGAGATCGAATGCGGGCTGCTGGTAACCTTCTGGTGGATTTTTGAGATGCTTCAGAGTGCTCTGGAACTGCATTGTCGTGTTGTAGTACTCGATGAAACGAAGGGCCGCGGCTTCGTGGAATGGAACGCTTATCAAGCACTCGTAAGCATCTGCGGCATAAAAGAACCGGTATCCTGTGCAACGCAGAAGTCAGCAAACTTGATTTGATCATTGCCTAGGTGTTGTTCTTACCATCATTAACCGCATCAATAATTTGGCCGCACATTGGCGTTTCTTCAAGAGCATCTTGACGGCGTGGAATCTCCTTCGGCAAAATAGTAGACGGATAAGCGAATGACAGGGCAAAGAAAAGGCCTAACGACGCGGTCAAATCTTTGAATAGCATCTTTACGTGGGGTGCTCGCTCAAAGCGGCTAAATGAATGGACTTTCGTGAAAGATGATCAAGATGAAAAGACACTCCATAACCCCAGATTCCGGTGCCAGGAAGAATGAACGCTTTATATTCTTCTGGCATGATGGCTTTTTATAGAACCCACTTTTGGTTGCTGGAAAGGATTGCAACCATTCAAACTGGCCTGCGACTACCTAATGTTACCTAACAAGCTGGATATAGGTCGCTATGGCCAGGGAACTGATACTTGCTTCTTTTGTGCGTAAGGCTGAGACGACGACGTCCGACCGTCAACTGAATTATGATTATCCCCCCTGCCAATGGATGCATGTCAGCGTTGGGCTATTTGCCAATGGCTGCGCCATCCTCTACAGAGCCGAGGTAGGTTCAAGTTACACACATACTTTATTACTATGTAGAGCCTCGTTGTAATTTCCACAATAGCCTCAGAGGGCAGGGTGACCCATGAAGCTATTCGGTTAACCGTTCTCTTGCGAAACTAAGCTATTCATCCTTCAGACCTTTGCTGTAACTTTCATTCTTCAAGGGGTGATGTATTGTAACGCCGGCCTCTTGAACAGGCCCTGCTTGATTCGGCATTGGAAGACTTTGAGTCTCATGGGTCCCGAATGGGGCCCATGTATTGGGGATGCGGTAACATTGATTTGTCTTATTCGGCGCTTATCCGAGGGCCTCGCATATTGTGCCCCGGAGGTGCTTTTATGCCAAGTCTGATCCTTGCGTTCCTTGCATGACTGCCAGCCTGATCATCTGCGCGTAAAGAACTTTTGCATTGCCTTGCAATTCAGCGACAGCAATTCAATAAAACTAGAATTAGCAGCATTGCATCGTTTCTTGAAAAATCTAGGACGCTGGAGATCATAGGCACGTCTCGTATTAGCACAGGCAAACCACAGGACGAAAGGTCCGCGAATATAGACTTTTCCGGCAACCCGTCTATTTAGAACGGCGAAGGAAGAAAGCAAACCACGTAGCCATGATTGTCGTCATCAATAGATTCGTCCCATGTCAATTCTGGAGACATAGCCCCATGCAAGTGGATGGCGATGTCACCATCACCTAGTAAACTGGGCGTTGATTAGTGAACGACAATTTTCCAATCATTCAGGGGCGGCCGCCCATCTTGATCAAAAACCTATTAGCTTTGACGGCAGTATCGGCTAATATTCTCTTGGTACTCTGGTTTCTCTGGGGTGTGTGGCCCTTGTTAATATTGCAGGGTTACTGTAGAGTGCTTATCTTCGTTGTCTATGACGGTTTTGTGGCACAAGGAGGCTGCAGGTCGGTGCCTAGTTCCGGGTATGGTTCCCGTGCGGCTCTTGCACGATTGGTCCCTGCCTCCTTGCCGGAATCTTTAACCCTAAACTGCAGACTCCGTTCTAGTTGTGCTTTTACAAAAGCCAATAACACAGGAAATGCTCATTCATGGTTACAGAACCCTGGGCCAAGGCTATTGACATGATTAACATTCAAGATCAAAAACAATCCAAGCGAGTATTCAAGGAGCGTCAAGGAATACATCCGGCATTGAGCGAATGGCATGAGCCTGGAGCAGACACATGGGAGCCTCTGTGGGATGGTTTATTTGCTAGCGAGATATTCATAAGCTGGCAGCGACGAGACAGCCGGTGGATACTGCGTTGCGTTGGAACGCCAGGCTCAGGAAAGGTGAGCTCATTTTATCCTGGCAGTTCCGTGTCTTTTCCCTTTTCCTCGAATCCACAACCCTCCCCCCAGGAAAACCTCTACCACCACCACCCTCACTCACTTTCTTATTGCCAAACCGGCCATTGAAGTCAGCCACTTCCCTGATTTCTGGTGCGCTGACCACGTGATGGTATTGATTAGACAACCCTCTCGGCTCTGGTGACGAGGAAATTGAAACAGAAGTACGCCGGGACCCGGGATGCCGTAGCCTCTGTCTTTGTACGGAACGATGTGACTTTTAACGGCACCGCTTTTGTCGAGGACGTTTTGATAGTTCTATTCAATCAATTGTCCCTAAAAGGCATCGAGGACGAAATAATCGCCGCGAAGTATCGACTCTATCTTGACGCCAGAAAGCACGGCCATCGCGACGTTTTTCGTATCCAGCTCACCAGAGATGCGCTATATTCGCTCCTTACCAAACTTGATCATGCATTTCTTATCGTCGACGATTTCGACAGATGCAGCCCTGCTGTTGACCTGTTTCTTGAAAATGAGTTGTCACTTCTGGCGACTAAAGGGCTTAAGGTGTTTCTCACCTCGCGCATCACTTGTCTCAAAATTTTACCTGAGAAAGTACTCTGCGACTCTTGCGTCACGGAAGACCAGGAACATCTCAGCGTCTATTGGGCATGTGCAGGTTGCGAAGGAACGGGTGTTGAGCGCGAAGTCGTACATGTCCTCTGCCAAAATTGCAGAGAAAAAGGCGAGGCTTGTGGCAAATGGTATGTCATAACTAGATTTCGAGGTGACCAAGAAAGTAAACTGACGTTCGTGGCAAATGTGAAGTGGCAGCTCTGTGAACTTCAGCCAGCCTTTCGACCATGTAGAGTTGAATCTTGGTTTCAATAACCATTACTTCCAACAACTAATCGATCGAGAGCTCGAGATGGAGCACGGAGATTTAGGCTTGAAAAGCACCAAAGAGGAAAAGCCCCCAATGTCTGATCTGGGTAGAAGTCTCACAGACCCCCGGAACCACGAGGCTCTCGCAACGTTACGCAGCAGAACTGCGGACCAGGCAGACGGGAACGTCAGCCTCGCTCTTCTCCGTTTGAATAATGTTCATCAGCTTCAGTCAGTTGACAGTATACTCTCTCCTTTGTCAGACGTCCTTCCGGCCAATGTCGTGGCGTTCTTTGACGCCGGCATGCAGCGTATCGAGGAACAACCACCTTACCTGCGAGATCTGGGACTAAAAGTCATTGCGGCAGTGGCGCACTACGGCTATCATACAGGTCTAGGGTATGAAGTCCTTGATAAGCTCATCCAAAACTCCTTGCAGACCCCAGCGAGGCAGCAGCCAACTAGAACGCAGTCACTACCAGTTGCACCCACAACTGCAGCGACCGAGGCAATGGAGGAACTTGCTGTTTTCCATGTACCTCACCGCAGTCTTGAAGAGATGCTCCACGCCGCTCGCGGGTTCTTGGTAATGGGAACCTTAGGTTATCGTCCACTCAGGGCGTACTGTCAGGCGTTCTATGTGTATGTGAAGGAGAACTACAATGAATCTCTGGTACGTGCTCGTGCGAAGCTGGACTTTGACAGCGTTGAAGTCAATCAAGAGGGAGGCTTGGCGGAGCTTAAGTAAGCCCGAGAAAGTGAATTGAAATAGATAGCTTCAAAGCAGACGTATCTCAAGTCCAACGTATGTCTAGCATCTAGTTGTCATTGAAATCAGAATTCAAACTATTACTTCTTTCGCCAACTATTAATGAGCATTGCAGCTATTGACTTAAAACCATTATGGCTGATATCAATTTATGTATACCTAGGTAGCCTACTGTCTGAGGGAGGTGTACATTATACAAGAACCCTTCATTTCTGGATGTCAAAGTCAGACCCCAAGCGAAGTGTTAGATATACTATGGGTAGGTACTGAACGCAAATTATGTAGGGGTTACCGTCTGGAACAGTATCTATGGTGTGGGATGTCTTTGTGACAGCAATACCTTGGGCTGGTTACCGCAATCGAGGAATCGGACTTTTTTCACCTTGAGGGCGCACCTGCCTCTTGAGCTTTTAGAAGGATATCTGGGAAAGAGGTATTGGCAACGGATAACATGATTTAAACCTGGGGATAATATGAGGCGAAAGGGCACACAGATCCAAACGTACGTCTACTCTCTCACATTCCACGTGATATCACCTTTCTCCGTCAGTTCAGGTTCACAAGGCCGCGGGCTCGAAGGGGTAGAAGGCCATTTGTTGTTTTTGGCTATTTCAATGAAAGAGTAGAATCTAATAGAAGATCATAAAGTTTCCCATTGAGTGGTTCAGCCCTAAAAAGTCGGACGTAGAACCGTAGCTTCCGAGGACGGTCGGGTATTTTGCTGAAAACCATGGTTGAGCAACATAACCACAACGGCCTCACCCAAACAAGCGTTCCTGTTTCGCCTCAGCAAAGAACAAGCAGTACAAAAATAAAACGCAACCCCGCAACAACTTTTCTACTTTCTTCCTAAGTTAATCTTCCATATGAATTTCTCTTCTTCGGCTTAAATTGTTCACACCACACAGCTTTATATGGTGATTGCTTCATCCTGAATTCACAACTTCCATTTTTACACAATTCGCTGCACCACCTTCAGACACTTCTGTTTTTTCTTGGGAAAAACAAACGATTGAACTTTTAAATCATCATCAAAACGATTTACGCTTCCAAACCAAGGAAAATGGCGGACATCTTCTCCCCCACTGCTCAGCTCATGCGTGGCGCCGTCTCGTCAAACTACACACTGGTCAATGGCTTTCGCGTTCCGAAGCGTATCAGCGAAGCTCGCCAACAAAAACACATTGAGGATGATTTATTCTTCTCTCCTACAACCGAGCTCATGCGAGGATCCATTGTCAGCAACCACACACTGGTGAACGGTCTTCGTGTCCCAAATCGCATCAGCAGTCGCAAGAGCATGGCAAACAGAACAACGGCAACAGATATGTTCTACTCACCTACGGCACAGATCATGTGTGAATCAGTTATTGAAAACCATACGATGGTCAATGGCCTTCGTGTGCCGAATCGAATCAGTCGCCGTCATGGGCGCACCGAAAGCGAGAATACAGGCGACCTCGTTCCTTCTCTCACAACCAATCGGGTGCACAATCACGACGTATACATCCACAAGTTATCAAGGGTCGAGGTGTACCTCAAATCGTTAGCTACTCTTATGAATCGAAACCAGTAGTAACTTGACGCCAAGGATGGGAGACTAAGACCGATACCAAGGAGCGAACCGAAGAAGAATTCAAACAGAGTATTGGAACAACCAGCCATCTCATAAGAGCGGAGAAGAATCATACGCACTATTTGCGCTCATCAACATGAGGCCAATACCAGACGGGCAGGCTTCAGTAAAGACAACAACATGACCATTTCTGAAGAAAACTTCGAAGCTGTCATCGTGTGAGAGAACATCAACACTTCAAACAAAGGGTACATCAATGCCAAAGTAGCAGTGAACGCATATGATGTGTATGGAGGGGAAAGAATTACTTGCACTGTCTCTGTTGATTGGATATTGGAGGAGAAAGTGAGATATCCTCTCAGATGGCTTTAGTGCTTTGTTAAAGGGAAACACTGCAGTCTTCATCGCCTGTCGAGACCATGCTCTCGGGGTATCTCATTCCTGGATATTTGGGACGGAAACTGCAGTGAACGAAAATCAGATGGCAGGCCATCATGTGGTACAATTGATGAAAGAAAAAAAGACGGCAGGAGTTTTAGGATTGAATGGCAGATACCCTGGGCTGAACAATATGCAATGATTCGAGAGAACAACGGATATGTGCCTTTTGCGTCGTTTACCTTCTTTATGAGTCTGGCGTACTGAAAGGTGATTCAGTGGTGAACAGCTGAGACATTCGGACATCCTTCGAGAAAGTGCACCTGTGTTGTTCCAATGGTTCTTTCCCTGCTGGGTAAGGAGGTGCCACGGCCCCCAGGGGTCCCAGCGCCTAGGCCGTGAAGACCCCGCACTAGTCTCTTTTAGGCAAGGATCGCATGTCAAACCAAATTGGGGCCCTTGTTTGTGAGGGAAGGAGCTTCACGAACCCCGCCAAGCGGCCTGCTGCTTTGGTGCAACTAATTTCATCTCAGCTTTTGCTTGTCCGTTGGAGGATAAGATCATTGCGTTGCGACACAGCCCGAATTTTTCTGTCATATCTACTTAAAGGTAAGTCCGGTGGTTTTTCTTCCTTGGAGACACCTAATCGACTCCCCCTGATTAACTCTTCATTTCTTCATCCTGCTTGCCCCGCCTCAACTTCTCTCTGACCGCCTCCAGGATACAAAACACCATCGCAGCAATGGCGGACAACAAGGTCTACCGCGCCAGCACCACGGCGCCTGTCAACATCGCCGTCGTCAAGTACGGACAACTACATCCATGCAAACACCAATAACTATACTGACCTCTCTGACAGGTACTGGGGCAAGCGCGACCCCAAGCTCAATCTCCCTACCAACAGCTCTCTCTCCGTTACCCTCTCTCAGGCCGACCTCCGAACCCTGACCACCGCGTCCTGCTCCGCGTCCTACACCGATGGCGACTCCCTTATTTTGAACGGCGAATCCTCCGATGTCTCGGGCGCCCGCACACAAGCCTGCTTCCGCGAGCTGCGTGCCCGTCGCGCTGCTCTCGAGGAGAAGAACCCCTCCCTCCCCAAGCTCTCGACCTTCCCCTTGAGAATTGTCACCGAGAACAACTTCCCCACCGCTGCAGGTCTTGCTTCCTCTGCAGCTGGCTTCGCCGCCCTCGTCCGCGCCATTGCCGACCTCTACGAACTCCCCGATTCTCCTTCTGAGCTGTCCCTCGTCGCTAGACAGGGCTCCGGATCTGCGTGCCGCAGCTTGTTTGGCGGTTATGTCGCGTGGAGAATGGGAGAGCAGGCCGACGGCTCCGACTCCAAGGCGGACCTCGTTGCCGAGGCTTCGCACTGGCCTCAGATGCGCGCTCTGATCCTCGTCGTCAGTGCAGCCAAGAAGGGTGTTTCCTCAACGTCTGGCATGCAGCAGACCGTTGCGACCTCCGGTCTGTTCAAGCAGCGCGTCACGGAGGTTGTACCGAAGCACATGGCAGAGATGGAAGACGCCATCGCCAAGCGCGACTTTGCCAAGTTCGCCGAGGTGACGATGAAGGACTCCAACTCATTCCACTCTTCTTGCTCCGACACCTACCCTCCTATTTTCTACATGAACGACGTTTCCCGCGCTGCCATCCGTGCCGTCGAGCAGATCAACGCCGCTGCCGGCAAGACTGTTGCGGCCTATACCTTTGACGCTGGCCCGAACGCCGTCATTTACTACCTTGAGGAGAACACTGCCACCGTCGTTGGTGCCTTCTCCTCTATCCTCGGCTCTGTGAGCGGCTGGAAGGACGGCTCTGCAGACCTCAAGTCCACTGCCACCCTGGACGAGACTGTTGCCGATATCATTAAGGGCGGCGTCAGCCATATTATTCAGACTGGCGTTGGCGAGGGTCCCATCAAGTCGGATATCTACCTCGTCGGAGAGGATGGCCAGCCCGCCAAGCGGTAGGCGATGAAAGTCGGCGTCTCAATTGAGTAATAGTCGTGCTGCAAAAAGTCAAGCATATAGAATACTTCATATAATTGAACAGTTCATGTCTTTGCTTATGTCATAATTCTCTCGTCACATAGTGAAGTTAGAGTCCGGTCGTGTCTGCCTTGTAGATGCAGCTGCACCTTCCTTCTCTCCCTGGCCTTTATGACCCCACCACCCATCCTTCTCCAACCATCTTTCACCAGCTCCGCCACGTCTCCTCTCAATTACTCGCAAACCCTTGAGTAACGAGAGATGGCATCGACATCGAAGAAGTCGGCGATGGAGATCGAAGAGAGAAATGGAGCTGGTAGACTGCGCAATCGCTGGGTGCATGAGCCCGACGGTCGCATTGTTGAGGTAGGTGGCCTTAATCGCCCTTGATTTGGCATGAGAAGCATCGCTAACACCTCTCCAGGCGCCGACGACAACTACAGCAGCCACTACCAGATTCTGGGAGATGAACGTGCGACAGGTCCTCTATGATGCCTTTCTGCCGATCGGCTACCCCGACTCAGTCACCCCCGACTATCTGGGCTACCAGACCTACGACTCATTGCAGGCTTTCTTCTCAACCATCACCTCCCTCCTCGCCAACCGCGCGGTCCTCCAAGGCCTTGGTGTTGGTGATGCCAACTCTTCTGCTACCTATGCCCTCCTGATGACCATCCTCAAGGACGGCATCTCCCGTGTCGCGACCATCACTTTTGCTTACCGCTTCGGCCTCGTTATCGAGCCAGAGTGCAAGAAGTACCGCTTTCTGGCTGATATTTTCAACGACAGCGCCTTCTTCCTCGACCTCTTCAGTCCATTATTTGGGGCCTGGCCAAAGGTCGTCGCGCTCGTCTTTGCGGAGGCGCTGAGGGCCATGTGCGGCGTCGCTGCAGGCGCGAGCAAAGCCGCTCTCTCGAAGCATTTTGCGCGCCGTAACAACCTCAGTGAACTCAATGCCAAGGAATCCAGCCAGGAAACTGCCGTCGGACTGTTCGGTCTGCTCATCGGTAGTGTCGTTGTGCGTTACGTCGAGAGCCGGGAGGCGGTGTTCACCTTGATGGTCATTCTCATCTTTGTTCACCTCGGTATGAACTACCTCGGAGTGCGCTGTGTACAGCTTGATGTTCTCAACCAGCAGCGAGCTACAATACTGTTTCAGCACTTTTTAAACACCGGCAAAATTCTGTCGCCCGCGGAGGTCGCCAAGAGAGAGAGCATCATTTTCTGGAAGCCTATCTACAGACCCCGTGGTGAAGCCGTCGCGACAGTCGTCTTCGCGACAAGCTACGCTGATGCCATGACCCGTGGCATCGTCGTCCGCCCATTCGAAAGTAATCAGCCTGGGTCTTCGCCAGAGCAATTATCCTACCAGCTTTGCCTCTGTCGCTCCAAAACAGACCTCCCCATCATCAAGATCCTGCTCATAGGCGACCCTCTCCGTCTTCCTGCTGGCAACGTCACCACCCTCGAAGCCTGGTTCTCGGCGCTCTGTCTAGTCCATTCTCCGGAATTTCAAAATGCGTCAGCTACCGAGGGCAAAAACTTCAATGATAACGACGAGAAGAAGGACTGCCGCCACGTGTTCGAGCAGCTTGAATCAGCTGGCTGGAACCTCTCCGAGACCAATTTGGACACATCCGCGCCTTGGATGACCATCAAGATGGGAAATGGCGAGGGCAAGAAGGAGCTCTAGGGGGTGCGGCTGATCGCTATGAGATTGTTGAGGCGGATTTTCTAGGCGGAAAGAGGGCGTAGCTGGTTGCGGGTGAAATGGAACTACCCCTTTGCTCATACTTGCTTTGCACGAGATACCAAATAACTATAGCCCGCAAACATGATTTAACTTCTTCCAGTATATTGAGTGGAATACTCGATGCCGGGTTCACACCCATGCTCTAATCCGTTTTGCTGATTATACAATATTTTTTCTCACATTGACGCATTCGTAACGCGTTCTCTATACAAGTAATTTTGTTACATCCACCCCACACACACACACACACACACACACCCTCTCTCTCTCTATTCCCCCTTACGCCAGCCCAACCCCGCGCAAAGCACGCATCTTGACGCCCTCCCAGCTGTTCAGCTTGGGCCGCACGTCAAGGTAAAAGCTCGGCTTGCCATGCGCGTCGGGGCGACCGGCGTAAAAGTCAATAATGTAGTCTACCTGCACGCCGCAGCGGTCAATGACCCAGTCGTGGCGGTCGAAGGGGGGTGTATAGCCCAGGAGCGTGTTTATCCGCGCCTTGGGCGACATGTTTGTGCTCAGGCCAGCGAAGGAGTGCAGTTTAGGCCCGCCGCAGCTGTGTATCCGTCCTGTCAGTCAGCCACCATTTCCGATCCCGAGAAACATTTCATTTAGAACTTACGTGGTTCCCTCCGTATAAGGCCTCTCCCACTCCTTAATCTCCTTCCACGCGCGCTCGTTGACGGCGTTGTGGATGGGCACGACGGTCGCCATGTCTGCGGCGCGCGTGTCGTGTCCCTTGCGCTTCATGGCGTCGAAGAACATCTTTTCCGAGGGGTATACCCAGTTTCCCGTCGTCGCGTCCGCGCCCGTCTCCTGTTCGTGGTTCGACGGTGCGTGGGTCGTCGCGGGGTTGCCCGGGTACGCTGCGGCGTTTACGGTTCGCGGAATCGTGGAGACCTCACGATGCGTGTCGAGGGGGGATCTCGTTGCTGCGGGCTGCGGCGTGGCGGCGGCGGCGGTGGATTGTGTGGGAGAGGAGGAGGAGGCGAAGGGGATGTAGGAGCGGATTGTCTGGGACCAAGAGCCTGAGGAGGATTGCTGTGGAGGGGCGGCGGCGGCAGCAGCTGCATGGGGGTTCGGTGTGTCGGCGGGAGGGTGAGGGTGAGGGTGAGGGTTCGCGGAGGCGTTCGCGGCGCGGGCCTGTTGGAGCCATGCTTCGCGGGACTTGTGGTCTACGGGGCACGCATCGGCGTTGGCGGGGGATGAGGTTGAGGCTGCGGGAGTGGAGGAGAAGGGCGTGTAGGAGAGGAGGGACTGCGTCCAGGACTGCGATTGCTGCTGGTCTGCTTCGGCGGGAGGGTGCGGAATGGGGTGCGGCGGGTGCGGTGAAGGGTTCGCTCCGTCTGGGTTCGCGGCGCGGGCATGCTGCAGCCAGGCCTCGCGGGCCTTGTGGTCGACAGGACACGTCTCCTCGGACTTGCTCGAGTCGGCCATGGTGTGGTGGTCGGGAGCTGGGAACGAGTTAGGAAACGAGGTGGAACAGACGAGCATTCGTTGTGAGCAGGTAAAAGGTGGCGATGACGATGGGGAATACTTACAGTACCTTTCTAGATATCAGAGAGGGATTTGGAGACTTGTCTATTTAAAGACGGCCCCATCCAAGTCTTGATTCAATTCAACGCTAATATTACCGTAGAATCAAAGTAACAGTCTGTTGCGGCGTGGTGAGGCTATTATGCGACAGGACGCATCGAATATGTGCTTGCTTGCTCAGAACAGAGCTTGGCCGTGATGGAGGTTCAAGCAAATGCGCAACAACTTTTTTGGTGGGTCCTTGATTATCAATTCCGGATGATGTGATTGCACGCTTTCCATTGGTTCTTGGTCAAATCTACGTAGCTACGTAGAAGCAAAATCGTCGGTTGGTCCCGATGACACCGGGACGTTGGGGGGCACCTGTCATTCTACCGTTATTTTGCCGACCATGTGGCTTGCCGGTTCCTGTCCCATCAGCCACAAGCTGCACCGCACGGACCAAACGTTTAATGCCAATTTTCGGTCACTGAAATTCAGTGGTCTTTGTTTTTTTTTCTTTGACAATTTAATTAGTGGCTGATGCCACGGGCACTTGGCTAGTTGCACAGTCGGCTACCTCGGGAAATGACGGAAGACAATATGGTACGATCGGATGGAACTGGAAAACAGCCTTGGCTCCGCCGTCCAACCACCTCCACTCCCACCCCCAAATTCCCAACGCCCCGGAACTACGGACGCAGGTTGGTGAAGTAGCTGCAGCAGGGAAGCTGTCACATGCGTCAAGTTTAGCTGTAGCTAGCATTGGCTCGCAACTCCGGAGGTTGCATTGCAAACTACGAACCTCCGGATCTGGTTCACATGAGCGTAGGGAACACCAATTGAGCACGCGCACGATATTTGTCCTGACTGAGGTCTATTCAGTTTGGGGGCTATGCACGAGTGCGACGAGCTAGACTATCGGTACAGGATGGTTTGCTCGGAACAGACTGCGAAGCAAGAGTAGGTTTGGAGAGAAAAAAAAAAAGGAAATGATAATAGAAGGCCAAAGCAAGAGACAGCACTTGTCTCGGTGTAGAAACTCCTGAAGCCGACCAACTCCCCTCGAGCGTGGTGGTTCGCGAAAGTCCCATTTTGATATCCTCCCCGTCAAGCAACACTCTTGGTGTATTGCAACCAATCGCGACGGGGGTCAAGTCACGCTCCCCGTCGCAGTATTCTCGTCTCTTCCTTTTTGTCCCACTTTGCCGTTGTCGTCACATTACGTGACAATCATAAATGCTGCCGAGTTTTCCCGTATCCTACCGAGAACCCCTCCCATCCCCGGGGAGGTTCGCGGAATTGGCTCGTCAACCCCTCTAAAGGGTGTCGCGTCTTCGTACATACGTCCCGCCTGAAATTTTGTTGAATCAATTGACCTCCTGCGTAAATCTGCTGCTCATGGTATAGTATCACCCGTCCCAAAGTTCGCTCATTTCATGAAGAGAATTGGTTTATAAGAGATTGCTGTTCGGCTTATTTCAGCCGAAGATGGCAGCACCGCCAGACTCGACAGCCTCGATCTCAGCAAGGTCAATGGGCTGACGGCGGAAGCGGGCAGGGAGCTCAGAGCGATCGAAGAAGATGCCCGTAGGGGGGACAACAGAGCCCAGCTCGTGGCCAGAAGTGCCACCGATGCCTCCGCCAACGGCGCGCTGGAGGGGGCCGTGCTGCTGGGCGTGGTCGCGGTAGGAGCTGAAGCTGTTGTTTCTGGGAGCGGCAGAGCCGTTGCCGAAGTTGGGGGGCAGGGTGCCGGTAGGAGAGGCCGGGTGAGGGGCGGGAGTGTGGTCGACGGAAGCTGGGATTGTTAGCAATCTGACGGTACAGTTCAAGTGGGATTGCAGAGCTGGACATACAAGGAATGGTGCGGGGACCAAGGAAGCGGATGCTGGGGACGCGCTCGGCGTGGGCAGCAGCCTGGCGGAGAACTCTGGTAGCGAACATTTTGGTAGAAAAGGTGGTTGAAGGTAGTTGAAAGTTAAAAGGGCTGTGTAACAGGTATTCCGAAGCTCGTCGGTGTTGGGTATAGGTGTGTATATATATGTACTGAGAAAGGTAGGTAGTTCTGGTCGACTCTCCTCCTTGCCTTTGGTGATAAAGCTGTGCGTGGCGCCTGGCGACTGGTTTTGGATGAAGCTCTAGGAATTGATGGCAGTGATGTTGACTGCGGTGGTTTTAGTTTGCAAGAAACTGTTAAGGTGGGTTTGGGGAGCAGAGCTTTGTCGCTTTATCAGCAAAGAGGAGAGCGGATGGGATTATCGGAGTTTGGGAGTTGTGTGGTGGTTGAAGGAAGGAAGGAAGGAGAGGCTAGGCGAAGATGAGCGAGGAAGGGAAGGCGGGTGTACTTATTTGGGAATTTTCTTCACAAGCCGAGAAAGAGAGAAAGAAAGGCCGTGCTGGCCTTGCCTGAGGTGTGGTGTGGGTGTGGTGTGGTGCCTTGCCGGCGGCCATTGCTTCTATCCACCCTTGGTTTCTCTCTCACCTCCAACCTTGCATCGCTCTCTTACTTTTTTTTTTTTTTTTTTGTCTTTTCGGCGCGGCGCACCACAACCTAGCTTGGGCTGGGGTTGGTGGGTTGGGTACCGGAGGTGTGCCTGTCGCTGCAAGCGCGTCTGTCGACCACTAAACAAGAGTGGGCTGGGCGCACCTAGGTGGGCACTGACAGCTACTCGGAGGGGGGCACGGGCAGGGTGGCAGGGGGCTGGCAGGCAGCTAGGACGGGGGACAGGGGACGAGACCAGAGCTGATGTGCACCTGCGAGTGCAACCCGATCCCCGTTCAGTGTCAAGTCTTAGCGCTGAGGTTTAGTTGGCGTGGACTCGTGGAAGGGGGGGTTGAGGTTGAGGATGGGGGATGGATGCTGCAGCCAAGTTTCTCACTGCGAAAGCCCCGAAACCCGAGCCTCGGGTGTGGGCTGCCGTTGCCTAGATTTTCTGTCACTCTCTCAGTTGGTGAGATTGAAGCCCCGAAGATCTCCCCGGGGTCGGTTCGGCGATTGAAAGTTGGTGGGATGACATGGAGGTGATGATGATCCAGACTCAGCAGTATACGACACTGACTTGCGTAATTTCATTTTGGGGTTAAGAGACATTCATTCACACACACATTCAAGGCAGGAAGCGGCAGGTGGCCAAAACAGGTAATATCTTTGTTCCCCGGCGGCGCGGTGGATTCGAGCACATACGTAGTAAAGAACATACCATTTTCTGTAGTGTTCCGTACTAGTAACCCCGTTGTGTAGGGAGAAAGATGGGAGAAAGTCTTACAAACTGCCATTTCTAACACGGCAGGTCCGCTATCAAAAGCTGCCGCCGACGCAGCCGCCCCTCCCTGCTGCTCCTGCTTGATGGTGTCTCCCCCGTTTCAGCAAGCTCCACCTCCCCAAACGTGCTTGTCCTTCCAAAAAGACAGTCTCCGTATACTTTGTACAGTAAGTAGTATTTACATAGTAAACATCTTTATTACACTTATCCAACATTCACTTCTAATTACCACAAAAAGTTATCTAGTACCATGTATGATTGTCAGTCTTCTGCACGGGCATTAGCGTCCCACAGCCCTAATTCACAGGCGCCCTGGGCGGAGATCCCACGCGTTCGGCCACGAGATATCATCTCGTCGTTTATTCGTCACAGCCAGTAACAAAAGGTAAATGCCCCTCCTCGACTATCTCCGGAGACATGTAGGGTAGAACATGCAACCATGTATCCGTACTCCTAGTATGTAGTAGGTGGCATGGGCCCATCCACCCCTCCGCTCTAGCGGATGCAGGGCAGGCCCCCCTCCCTTACCGACACACAGAAGGCAACAATAAAAAGAAAAAAGGATAACAAAAACCAAACCAGCCAGTCACCAAATAGCGGGACAAATATCTATTTTACATGTGAATTACGCCTTATCTCTATCTTCCCACGTCATGACCGGGAATCGAACCATTTTGCCCCTCAAACGTTAATTGCACTTCTCCATATTGCAGCTCCTCCATTCTCCATCTCGAATCCGCCCCCATCGTCTTCTCAGACACGCCGCTAGGAAGTGAACCACACCGTCTCAACTTTTTCGTCGACTCTTGTCTCGTGTTTGTGGCTTGACCGTTCTCTCCACACTCATTTTCAGACTCGACGCGCTCTCAACCGTTCGACATTTCCTGCGCACTGCTTACCAAAGCCCGTTCATGTGGTTGTGAAAACCCACCGCCCGGACATACTCTGTCGCAACCAGAGCATCGAGAACCCTGGTATGCGCAGATGGTCGTCTACAAAATGCATAGTCCATAGCGATGATCACAATACGAGCCAAGCTATTCATCCAACCTTGTTTGACTGAGCAAAACCTTGTGACCGGCCCCCTCCTTGCCCATGGTTTCCCCGGACTTTAGCTGTGGCATGTCAGCCAAATTAGCTTCCACAGCCGCGGCGTCCGGCGGTCTACTACGGTTCGATGTGGAAGGTATCTGGAATGGGTGGCCGGCGGCTCGGGAATTTTGTAGGGATGGGGGGAACCTTTAGCCACGCGTGCCCAAACAACAACCGCAAACTCCAATACCCCTCGGCGGCACACACACACACGCACACACTTTTCGATCGGCATCAGTTCGAGTAAGCCTGTCGCAGCCAGGGGATGGAGCAGCAACTGCGGCCACAACCAAAAGGGAAATCGCGACGAGAACAAGCCTTTCTTGCTTCTTCGCGGCCTGGCCCCCGATCCCTGTACCCATTAACCCCCCGAGACACAGAAACTCGACTGAGATGTGCGCCTGCATCGAACGATCCTGCGGGCCACCGGACGAGTCGCTCGCCAACTAGGTGCCCAACACCAAGACCAAAGCTGCCAGGATTCACTGGTTCTAGGTCTGTGCAGGTATGGCAAAGATTACGCACCCAGCGTGCCATGTAGGCAGACACGCAGAGACAGAAACCAAGAGGGTGTCGTCGTCAATGAGCTTCTTCTCCTCCGTCCAATAGAACCCTCTCCAGCCGATTCTCGTCCAGCAGACACGAAAATGGCCATGCGACTGCCCAAACTTGATTCGTCCAACGCAACCACAGCAGCGGAAGCCGGATCTCCAAGTCGAACCCCCGGAGCGATGGCCAAGGAAACAGCCCGTGCTGGGCCGCAAGCGAGCGTAGCATCCGCCCAACGGGCTGTATTTCCCGCCCTTTACTTCCTCCCTAGCCTAGGCTTGCCACTAGAAGGTTCCCCCCGCAGGCCATGGGCGAACCGGGTCCTGGTCGGTCGCCATGCATTGCATTGCATCAGATGCGGTCTGCTTTGCCTGCTAAAATCCGCCCCCTGGTCCGCTCACCTGCCAAACTAGGTAATGCGACGACTTAAAGGGCCAGAGGGCACGTTTTCGTTTTTGCCCTTGAACCCTCCGACTCAAGTTGCAGGTGCCGAGGAACAACTCAACTTTGTGGGGGTGGGAACGACGACTCAGGGTTGGACATGTCGTGTGTCTGCCCTTCCTTGCCAGGCTCCCCATCCAAACCGCTGTTCCGGTCTGCGTTCCCCTCTTTGTTCTCTTTTACCCGCTCGGGATGGTTTCAAGGAAGTTGACGTCGACGGGAGATCGGGGGGACGTGCAACGGGAGCGCGATTCGCGCTGCGTCGTTTAATTACAGGGCAACTCATCAAACAGCGGTTGTAGACGGAGGTTGGGTAGAAAATGGTATAGTCCCCGCCGATAGCGGCGAAGGGCGGGAGAAAACGCCGCATGCCCGTTCGTGCGGTTGAGCGGTTGCGCGGTTTCTAGCTTCTCCACACATCCTTGAGGCCATGTTTGCGCCAGTGTGCTCCGTATACAACGCCTTCTTCCGCCGCGCTCCTCCAAGGGAAGGGATGGAAACTCGCCGTGCAGACCCACTGAGCTTCCCTCTACGACTCAGTTACCGCATTGCCCTCTACCTGGTAGCTCAGTCTTGGCTCCTCCGTTGTCGGGCTCCGAACCGAGGGTGGGGGGGTTTTGGAAGCTCGACAGGGGTCGGAACCGGCTTCTGACCACTTCAGGCGACCGCAAGCGCTGGATCAGTGTTAATGCGTCCGATCTTTCCTTTTCATTCGGGATCTTCGCTGGGCCATTCGGGGGATGGAAGGGCAGACGCCCTTTCGATCGGGTTTTGGGCTGCGTATTGCAGACGAACCGGCCGATATCCGGTCGGTCCGATGTGTAAGCACCTCTATGGGGTAAAATTTCCCGGGTACGGCGGGCAATAAGTTTAGGGCTCTCCCCCCCGCAATGAATTACCAATTGCCCAACCCGGTCCGGTCGAACAATGGGCTTTGCGGCACGAACGGGTTCGGATTAATAATTCGATGTTTGACGACATCCGTGTGGGCGGATGTGTGATGTGCTCTCCTTTTCGGCAGGAATTATCGGGGATCGCTACTGAGGTCCACGCAATCACCTTGGATCAGCAATTCCGACACCGCCTCACTTGTTCAATACTTTGAGGGGAATGGATGACGTGACTCCCAAGTTTCGGAGATGCCATCGTGGTTTCAAGGTAATTGTTCGCCGCTGCATGTTCGTTTGCATAATTGCTAGAAGGGCTACAAGTCATCTTTGCTCTACTGGTGTTTGGTAAGTTGTGCGATTTCTACAGCCGGCTTCTTGAGTATGAAGGAATACGAAAAGATAGGACATGAGAAAATGAAGTGAGATGAAAGAGGGGGGAATACGAATCCTCTAACACGCAAACATCAAAAATCCGCTGAAGGATAGAATCCAGTTTGGAATAGATCTTGAGACTCTATGATATTCTCACCGTTTGAGCTGCCTTTCGACAACCACTTGATATCTTCACCTGCACCGTGGCTCTGGTGTATCTTTCGTCAGAGCTGCAGTCTCCTCGACTCTTCGATGGTACTGAGACTGGCAAATCCTGCTGCTCGAGAGGGATAGCAGATTCCTTATCGAGGAGCTGTCGAGGACGGGATAGGGTGACACCGTCAAGGAAACTGATGGGCACTCCTTATTAGGCGCAGATAAGTTATCATCTAAAGTCGACGAGAGTTGTTCTTCAAAGTACCCGAGATAGTCGTGAAGTGATCTCGGGGGAGATGTTTCGGCAGAGTAAACGTTCGGCTCAGCCTTCGGCATCGGCGAAGCAGTGAGGAGGAGAAACTTGGTAATACTCTTTTAACAAGCTCTTGCAACTACTAGAACTGAGGTTGTTGTTTATGTAGTGCGAGGTTTTTAAATTCTCTGGTGCGCCTTCTATGGGAATCCTAGGGTTCACTTGTACTTCTCAGCAAGGAAGGACCAGCTGACGACGATCAAATCGTCTTGTCCGCTGACAAGGTCCAAAAAAAGCTATGTTGTCATCATTTTAAATGAGCTTTCTTGGTTATTGGTCGTCCACTTCAAAGCAACTCCCCGTGACCTCGCCGCCCAGTGAAGCTGCAGACTTGACATCTTGCGATAAAAATTGAGTTACCTCTGTCCAACAGTGTAGATTTTTGGGAAAAGTCACAATCACCGGCTCTTGATATGGGGAATTATTCATTGGGAGAACTCCCATTCTTGCCGTACGGGGTAGGCAAGCTGACACCGCAGCTACATCCTAAACCAGCCCTAAGCTTACCATACCCTTTCGGAAGTGACCGAGGAGCTTTGTAACCAACCAAGAGAAAGCCAAAGGTGAGTCCAGACGGTGTCAATCTATATCCTTCCATTTTTTAGACGTTGCAGGGCTTGCTTCGGAGGATGAGGTCCTTTGGATAGATAACATGACAACCAACTAGACGAGCAAAGCAGACTTAATATGTATACGTTTCCCTTCATTCACATTCTTGAAAAGTCTGGTTTTTGTTGTTTTCATGGAGTGGCGGCGCGTTTCCGGATGCCGGTATTCGCAGAGCGATGCAAGCATTTCTCGTTGCCCTTTTTGCCAAACTTACGTCTTATGCGTCCAGTGTTATTTACCGGAGAAGGTATTCTATTCTTTTGAGTCTCAAATAACTATTTTCCTGTTAGTGATAGTAGTTGCCTTGCCTCGCCCTAGACATAGAGATGTTGGGTTCTTAACCCTTTTGCTTCTCTCAGGCTTCTAGAGCAGGAAAAGGTTCCTAAAAGGTTCCTTTCGTTTTTCCTTTTTACCTAATAGTTGAGTTTCGTTTCTCGGTCAGGCACGCGCCAGGTGTGTTCTCACTTGAATTCTCATCGCTATTAAACCATTTCTGTCCGGAAGGCACGATCCAATCGAGCCTAGTCGCTTGCTAGTAAACCTTTCCTCCTCCCTCAAGTCTAAAGTAGTCTTTTTCTTCCAGCTCTCAGATCCAGACCGTCAGCATCACTAAGTAAAAGTGGAAGACTGCCTCATCAACCTTCCTTTTAGTCTCTACCGCTCCGGTCCGCTGGGGAAGCGCGTCTTTCTACCTCATCGCTTCAAAGTATGATTCCTTTCGTCTTTCTATCATCTCCTTCGGATACCAAAGTCGACAATGTTCTCAAGTCAATATTAGTGTATCCCGCTGAGGATCTTGAAAGAGAACAGCAAGCTTGCTAGCTGCACAGATCGCAGGGGACCGGCATATGGAAAGGAAATTCAGCGGACATGCTGCACATGTAGACACGCTGTTACAAGAGCGGCTGCGGCTCTAATACGCTTTTCCCCTTCAATATAAGGTGTTTTACGATATATTTTCGAATTCCTTAAGTGCGCTGGCTTATTTGGCCATAAATAGTTCGACTTTCTGCGGTAATTCCCCATCCTGCCGCCATCATCCGAAGCTAAACTATTGAGGTTGGTCGACGGCATAATGAACAATACTCCGATCCAGCAATCTTTGCTGAAATGATATTGACCGTTGTCTGCTTAGCGTATTAGACAAGGTCATTTGAACGTTTCGTTCTCCCCAGTTGGTGACAAGAAAGAGTACCTGTTTCTTTACATCTTTTGATAGTATTTAGACAGATGATGGTGCCCCCTCCAAGTTGGAACCCCGTTTTATATTCATCTGAAGCGTCTGTAAGCATCAAGCTACCCTGAACTAGTTACTTCAGTACCTTAATGGGCCATTCATCAAGCCGCTGAGTTGGCTGTTGTACCCTGTCCTCTGTCTGACATGACCCCATAAACGCTGTCGGGACTTCATTGAGCCTTTGTTGCTTCATGGCACTGACGAAGAACCTAGTAGAATAGACTGCTGAGCTTTCTTTTAGTACTTGTGATGGTATTGTGGTAGAATTAAGCAATAAAATATGATGAACAAATCACGCGTCAAGCTCCAGACCGGTTTCTGCATCTATCCTTTCCAGGAATGACTCTGCGTTTATCGTCCTTGCCTATGTCGGTAGTATTTCATGCAATCACACAAATATACTCTTATGATGGTGCAGATGAGCGGTTTTGCGGTTGCTTGTTAAGCGTGGTACTTTGAGCGTTGATAAACATGACTTACCTATTTCTTCACTATCCAAGGTCCTCTGATATCCTGCATATCTCCTCTCACTCAATGGAATCAATTGAGTTCTTTCTCGGAGCGTAAACTATCACAGATCTGGCTCGACTGATACACATAAACTCTCCGTCACATCATCTCTTCTTTGACCGGATTGGAGTTAAACGTCACGAGACTTCTGCAGTAATACTTACAGCTGTCAACGAGGCGTAGCCAGCGTCAGGTCGCCTTTGTTGATATCAGATTGACCCAAAAATATCTCAGTACTAGATGGTGACTTTTTTCCGTAGGCCGGGCGTTTCCTTGTCGAAGAAGAGGGTATGCTGTTCAAGTATAAGGCGGTATCCAGCAGCCACGTTCTTGATGAATTGGTATGTAAAGGCAGTATTATACAATGAATGGCAGTGTTATTGCCATATTCATCTCTATCTGTTCGACCAACAAATCTCCTCGTATCTGTATCACACGGAGTCCTATAATCGTCAGCGCCAGATGTACGTACAGTATTGGAGTATCAGAAACATTTGAACTAAGCTTTGATCCTCTACACTATTTCTACCCATGATCTTGTCGATGGTTTCCTAAAGGCCATATCTATTGTAACCATACCTACACTCACTGCTAGCAATCGCCATCCGCACAGTTGTAGGAGACTGCTCAAGATGCTTCGTGTGGAAAACTTAAAAGTCTGCATTTGGTTGGCCTTGTCAAAGTCATGCCCAAATACTGCGCCCTTTATATCCCTTAGACTACTGACTATTATCCCTCTAAGGCGTGTAACGTACAGCAGTAGTGGTACCGCTTCAATACCAACCATCAGTCCGATCCTCATCTTTCAGATCGTATGACAATGCACCATGACAACTGAGCTTTCCAGTTTCCATCTAAAGGGAGCACAGCTATAACAACTATTTTATTGGCGAATGCAACCAAAAGCGTGGTTGTTGCTGTTCCTAACTGCGACGTGGCTATGCGACTCAGTAAAGAGCTCCTGGACTGCCATAAGCTCATATGTGATGGCGCGAATCTAGCTAACTACGCCCTCTTCAAAAGTGTCCACTGCTGAGTGATAGATAATGTACACAGCCCGCCTCGCAACGTGGACGCGACATTGTCGAGACAAGTACGGAGAAAGAATGGCCAGAAGTTATAAACAAGGCATCCCACACGCGATACGAGAAAATTGTACGCGTGGAATTGATGTGGAGGGGTGGTACCTCTACCACACCACGCTTCCATCAGACACTGCCAAAACCATCTGCAGCCAGCACCGGGCGGGCACATGCAGAAAGTGACGCTTTAGCCGACTCCTCAGCGCACCAATTGGTCGTCATCGTCAGCCACTATCCTCGATACATGTTGTCTCAGTCCCAAGAAACCATATCCTCCCTCAAATTGACTGGTTGCTGGGCAGCCATGGCTGTGCCAATGCAGCCCAAGCCCCCCTTGCGTTTAGGTGCAACGGCGCGGCCAACAATGCCAGAGCCGCCTCACTTGGCACCTATTTTCCTACGTTTCTCCACTGAAACCTCGAGAAAAGATCTACGCCACCGGGGGGCCTCCCGGGGCCTTGAACCACGCCACGCAGGTTTTCCAGGGTGTCAACCCACGCTAGGCCCGGCAGTCTCCCAATCAACGGGTCCGGTATTAATAGGACCGCTGTCCGCGGGGAAGCTGTGCAAGTTTTTGGGGCTTACAGGCCTGGTCGCTTGCATTGCAGCTAAACTGGGCACTGCCGGGGTGGAGGCTATCAGCTGCATTTTGGTTTGTTGTCACACGTCAGACTGGAGCCATCAGGACCTTAGAGGACCACGGCCTTGCTCGTGTTTGTCAAAATAATGGAGTGCTAAAATCATGCGAAGGAAACATCCCTAAGTCCATGGAGTCAGCAGGGGAAAAAAAAAGAAGGAAGAATTCTTGGGAACGAAAACACCTCCAGCTCCCCCTTTTGCTCTTAAGCCGTGTCACCCCACTACTTCTTGTCTGCTCTTCTAGATTGCTATTCAACACGAACAGTACCCGAACAATCACTCGTCAACACCAAAGAATTTTCCCAAGTTCATCATAAGCCTAATCTAATTCCCATTACTCCCCATACCAACCGCAAAGATGTCTTCCACAGTCTCAGCAACCGGCACATCTGCTGCCGCGACGCCATCCTCGACCTCAATCTGCTCCTCAAACCTCTACGATACCCCCGTCCAAGACCGCGTATGCGCGATGCCCTACGGTGGCAACCACACCGAGATCATGTCAAACTGCTGCAAAGACGCCGATGTCGTCGCCTACTACGATAACTGTGGGCTCTACTGCCTCGCCCTCGACCAATCCATCAAGGACCTCCAGGACTGCCTGTTTGAGCAGGGCGCAGGCTACACCGAGGTCTTCTGCCGTGACAACGGAAACGTCAATGCTTCCGCCACAGCGACCGGAAACTCGCCGCCTCCCTCGAGCGCACAGGCGAGTATCGTCGCGTCTGGCGGTTCCGGTAGTGGTGACGGTGACAGCAGCGCCATCGGAAGCGGGAGCTCCTCCAGCTCGACATCCTCGCCGAACGCTGCCGCTGGCGTGCACGTTCCCGCCGGTGTCAGCACCCTGGGCCTGACCATCGGCGCTCTGCTCCTCTCTGCCGCTACTTTCGGTGCTCTCCAGATCTAATGGGACGTGTCGTTTACAAGGGGCATGAGATGTTGCCCCTTCGCCATGAATCTTAGGCATGATAATGCGATATCCCACCGGCGTAATGAATTTGGATGGGTAATGACCCACTTACACACATATCTCGAGGCCACACGGCACTCGATAATTATGGCATCAATGAAACTAGGCTGCAGATTGCCATTTAGCAGGAAAAGGGGGAAAAGCACTCGATATCCCTTGCGGGTTCAATATGGGAGTTGTATTTATATAGCACTTCAACAACGAATAATTGAAATAACTTCATTTACAATCATTTCGGTTGCTGCCCCCGTAGCGGGCGTCTCCCCAACTTGTCTGCCCTCAAATAATGTCACCGACTTTGTAAACCATTTTAGTAGGCCCTTGAGGAATCAGTTAATAGTCAAATTCGCTGCCAAATCATGTGAGGCTAATGCAATAAGTCTACGCATCTCAACTTGTACGTAGCCTGGTGAATGACAGACTTCATGAACCCAAGGGAACAAGAAGTCTTGCGCTACTCGGCTCTGGCAAACACGAAGTCAGCACCATAGCATGAAATCTACAACGGGCAGTAAGATTGTATCCTGCATTGAGTGGCAGTGATCCTTGGGTTCTCGTCCGAACGCCGAAAGCATTTTGGGATAATGTATTAAGATTGTTGTCGATTAACATTCGGACAAGCAGTTAGTCATCACTTCGATGCCAGCTATTTTGATGCCTGGGATAACCATAATCATTGAAAGCAGTTGTTTTCTATATATAACGTCCCACACCCACTTCTGGGCACCCCCCACATTTGGGCACCCCATTTACACCAAAAACGCCGTTTTTCGAAATTCTATATTAAACTAAATACTTTACTTATTAAAGAGAATAAATATATGTTAAATAGATTAAGACTTAATTATAATACTTAAGTAGCTATATACTAGTATTATTGATAATAAGTATTATAAATTCAAGGTTTAACATTTATAATACTAATTTACCTAGCCTATATCTTAATATATAAAATAGGTAGAGATATTTAACTAATATGATTAGAATTTTTAAGTAAGATATAGTAGATTTATATATTCTTATACTTAGTAAAAAATTCTTTAAGCTTAGAATAATATTTTAAAATTTCCCTTAAGAAAAGTTTCTATTATAGAATTTTAACCCTTAATTATACTATATTTACTAAAGTAATACTTTTAAATCTCTTTTAGATATAATTATATACTTTTAATAAGTATAAATATTAATTTCCTAGATTTTTTAAATAAGTATAACGTACATGATAAGCGAGTGAGACAGACAAGCGAGTGAGACAGTAAACCGCGACCGTCGCACCTTGACGCGACCGGCACCTTTTCCTCTACAATAAATCATGGAATCAGCTAGTATTGAAAGAAGGTTACAAATTGCCCTTCAAGCAATGAGAAATGACCCAAAACTTAGTGCTCGGGCCGCAGGTGCACTCTATACAGTCAGTCACGCAACATTAAGCCGGCGACTAAAGGGAATAGTCTCACGACGCGACAGCATGCCTAATTCACGGAATTTATCAGATTTAGAAGAGAAGACAATAGTTGAGTATATTCTCGACCTAGATGCGCGATCATTTCCTCCCCGGCTGAGTGGTGTGGAAGAAATGGCCAATCGACTTCTCGCAGAGCGCGACGCGCCTCCAGTTGGGAAGCGCTGGGCTTCTAATTTCGTCAAGCGACAACCACAGCTTAGGACGCGTTTCTTTCGCAAGTATGACTATAAGAGAGCTCAATGCGAAGATCCAGAGGTGATTCGTGGCTGGTTTTCGCTTGTGAAGAATACAATTGCGAAGTATGGTATTGCTGATGCTGATATCTACAACTTTGATGAGACCGGCTTTATGATGGGCGTTATTGCTTCTGGAATGGTTGTTACAAGTGCTGAAAGGCGTTCAAATACGAAGATGACACAGCCTGGCAATAGGGAATGGGTTACAGTTATCCAGGCTATTAATTCCCAAGGGGAGAGCATCCCGCCATACATCATCGTTGCAGGCCAGTATCACCTCTCAAGCTAGTATACAGAAACCTCTCTTCCGGGCGATTAGGCTATTGCAACGTCTGAAAATGGATGGACAACAAACGAGAGAGGTATTGACTGGATCAGACACTTCGACATTTATACAAAACCACGTACGTCTGGGAAATATCGCCTCCTCGTTGTTGATGGTCATGAAAGTCACCACTCCGCAGCCTTCGAGCTCTTTTGTCAAGAAAACAACATTATTACACTGTGCATGCCGGCTCACTCGTCTCATCTACTTCAACCCTTAGATGTTGGTTGTTTTCAGCCGTTAAAGAATGCCTACGGTCGGCAAATTGAGAATAAGATGCGGCGAGGCACAACCCATATCTCGAAGGAAGATTTCTTTGCAGCATTTCACGAAGCTTTTAAGCAGTCTTTTACGAGGAAAAATATCCAGGGAGGTTTCCGAGGAGCTGGACTTGTCCCTTTGAATGCAGAAAGTGTTCTCTCAAAGCTGGATGTAAAGTTCCGAACGCCAACGCCTGAGGAGGGGGTCCCTCAGACACCAGACCCTTGGATCTCTAGGACGCCGAGCAACCCAAGCGAAGCAAGATCACAGTCTACTTTTATTAAGAGTCGAATCTCACGCCACCGAAGCAGCTCTCCAGCATCAATTTATAGTGCTGTGAGTAAGCTAGCCAGAGGGACAGAAGGACTAGGGCATCGGGTAGCATTACTAGAGTCAGAGGTTCAAATCCTTCGAGAGGAGAATGCAATATTAAGTCGGCGTCGAAGGGCTAAGAAAACACGTCTACAGAAAGGAGGAAGTCTTACTATATCTACTGGAGAGGATATACAGTCGCAAAGAGAGGCAGACACGCAACTACAAGAGGAAACGCGACGGAGTAGTGGTCGCAAAGTGAGGTCTGAGACGACTCATCGTCGGTGTGGCGTATGCGGGAATACAGGCCACAACGCGAGAACATGTCAATTTATTAAGGAAACATCCGAAGAATAGGAATCCGAGTAGTATTAATCAATCTAAGATTTCTTGTTATAGATTTCGATATTATTGTCGCGAAGGTCTGGTTTACTGTCTCACTCGCTTGTCTGTCTCACTCGCTTATCATGTACGTTATATGAGCGAAAATATATTTTTCTAATGTTAAGGAATACTAGTAAGTTACTAGTATCTACTAACATTTTAAAGCTTTTAGTTTTAAACTTCTATATTATAACTATTATTATATTTAAACCTTTATAAAAAATTAGATGGCTATAATTATACTTAACATAGTTTATATATATTTTCTTTTCTTAGTAAGTATAGTAGTTAGTTTAATATAGAATTTCGAAAAACGGCGTTTTTGGTGTAAATGGGGTGCCCAAATGTGGGGGGTGCCCAGAAGTGGGTGTGGGACGTTACTGCCTTCTCTTGTTCAGTCGAGGTTGAATGCTAGTCTACCCAAGCTTTGGGTGCCATGCGCTTGATGCAATCGTCCAGTGCTGCCACCACCTACCACAATATCCCACAACGTTAAATGTATTACCATCGCTTCTAACACCGGGTGCTACCGCGGACAGCGCAAATTGTGTCACAGTTGATGTCATTGGCGTAACCCGAGACGCAGCCGCAACGGCCGGTAGGGTAGAGGACGCAGCAACAGTCCTAACAAAGTTGGTAAGCCATTGTCTTGAATTACTTGCTTTCAATTCTATCGGCTGAAAAAGAAGGGCCAACGAAATGCATTGTAGGTAGACGACCCTGTTATGGACGTCTAGACGGTTGTTTTGCATACCTTTGCTGCTACGCCGCCAACGAGAGCGAAGGCGGCAACGAAGACGGCAGTAAACTTCATGTTGGTTATTTGAGATGTTGGAAGTTTAACGAGTCTTGATGACGTGAAGCTGTTGAAGAAGCTGACTTATGAGGATATTGTAAGACACTGAAAGCTAGTAAAGATTGTAGTTACTCGAATCCTCCAACAGTTCAGGATACGACGTGAGCTTTATACTAATCTATAGTTAACGATGTTTATTTGGTATTTTTGAGATGAGCCTTTACCAACTGGCTCACGAGTCAGATTTTCAACGTACTCTTGGTATGCAGAATGTTTAATAAATTAATATGTCAAGCATTCTCTTGCTCGGTACTCGCTAATTTAATCATTGTTTTGAAAGCCCATTCTGACCAGAAGTGCTACTTGCCAGCATACTCTTTGAGAAACCCTTATAGGGATGAAGCAAAAAAAGAATTCCAACATCGAGGTGCCAAATCATGCACTCATTTTGTACTCGTTTGAACGAACTATCATCCTCTAAGTGCTGTAACAATTTTCTGTTCCCTTTTATGCTCGGAAAAGTAAGTAAAATGTCTTGCCCAGGACCCTGGTTGGTGCACTGGCTTCAAGCAGGAATGGCTAAAGATGAGGTCCGAAATTTCCGAATCACCGTAACTGTAGCCTACAAATAAGTGTGTGTGTTTGAGCCCGCAATGTTGATGCCAACTTCCCGAACGAGTAACAAAAGCCGCCTCCTTGGCGAAGGGTTTCCATTGAATTTATCAATCTGACTGAGTCATGTGTGAACTATGTGAAACCTTCAATCACCTACAGCAGATGCCTGCTGAGGCCCACTAGGAGAGCATTGCTTTAGTAAGATTCTCTTCACGTCAACTTCTGGCATTTGTCCAGCCCGACGTACCGATGCCTCGGACTTTCGCTTCTAGTTCTAGCCGAGTGCCATTTTGCCAAGAACCCGTGCAGCGATTGGGAGAAGCTGATCGCCGGTCCTACCAAGTCGTAGCCCACATGGGAAAGAGGTGTCAATCGCCAGTTCACCAGCATTTGTACGTCGTAACAACTTTGGTTTTGATTTTTTCCTCCGATATTAGGTTTTTGGGTCAGTTTTAAAATGGAAATGGCACGACATCCACCTTATTGAACTTGGTTGGCTGAATGGCTCACAATTCGACGTATGGGACATCGTACGAGGTAGAGTTATGCACTGCTGTTGTACAATGGCTCCGCCTTTTCATATGCAATGTTTTTGAAAGTATCCAGCTTATGGGGCAATCTACTAAGAATGATAAGCGGGAGTTGGGCTTGGCTCGGCGATTCTCTATGGAGGCTCCGATGAGATGCCCGCCCGCGACCAAAAGTACCTACCGTAGATTTAATAAGACAACACCACATCTAAAGATTGAGTACCACATGCGGTGGGCAGAGCGGTCTGAAGCACTTTTGCACTGAAAGTGATCCTTCGCATAAGTGATCCTTCGCATAAGAAAATCACAAGGAATGTCTTGGGTGCTAACTCAGAATGTCAAGACTGCAACACCATTATGTACAACATCCTGGAACCGATGACGAATAATGGTATGAATGAGCTGTATCGCTGACCATTAAAGCATTTAGGTTAAAATTTACTGTTGTAATAGCCCGGAACTCTGAATTGAAGTGGCCCTGTGGTCACCCATCAGGTAGACGACCTCAGCTACCTGGCATCCACGTGACGTGTAGCTGGGAGATGTGTTTCTTCCATCTGCGAAAGCTCTTTTTCAGCAGATCTTTTATATATAAGAGGCAATTTACTGCCAAGTCGTAGGAAACTCCACCTCCCATACCCCTAGGGGTATCTTGTGATCCCAACACTTACCGCTGAACTGGAGATGTAACCTTCATCAAGTCTGTCCGCAAGGTCTAGGCGCTAGCTAGGTTTTCACAGAGAGTTGAAAACTCTGTAAACTTTTCGAAAGACTTTTCGTGTTCACCCAAAGAACACCCGAAAAAACCTCATGTTATGCCGCTTCCAGTAAGTTGACAGATCATATGCCAGCATGACGAAATATGTACAGTATTGACAGGAGTTATTTAGATCTCTAAATACAAGGCTACGCTATTTACAGTTTCATGTTCATAGTTGAGTTGATCTCACCATAGCGAATGTTGCTAAAAGTGACTTCCGGATTCGCCTCGACCTTTACAATGTTTTCCGGGAAACCTTCAGTCGCGTTACAAGGACCGGCGGCTTTTGTGTCGAGCCATTCCATCGCAGTTGACTTATCCCACTTCAGAGTTGTTAGCATGGTAAGTATATGTAGATCAACACTGGCGTAGTACTTACCCAGATGCTCAGCGCCAGAACCATGCCGCGGGTCATGGACTCGCCCATTCCAGTCATACCACCTAGATTCATGAACTCCTGGGCGTTGTTGGCTTTGCAGATATCATCATTGAGGAAGTTAAGCTTTGAAGATCCTGCGATGTTGACGACATTGTTGTCAACGACCTTGCCATCCTGGACGTACAAGCGACGAAGCTCCTTCAACTTGCCGCCCTCGGCCGGGAACTGAGTCACAACGGTGAACTTTCTGGTAGTGTCAACTTTGAAGTTGTTGCCTCTGCCATAGAAGTTGGTGACATTCAGACGGTTAGGGTTAGTTGAGCAGCCACTCTTGTCGCAAACGCCCTGCTTTTCGCATTCTTCGCCTGTGCACTGGTAGAGGCCAGGCTTACTGCAAGGGTGCGGGGCAATGTGTGTCGCGCGAGAGTTGGCTTCCCAAATGTCGAGCTCGTTACAGCAAGAGCCCTTGTTGTCAATATTGGCCTTCAAGTAAACATTAGCGACAGTACCTAGGGACCCACAGGCAGAGTACTACTCACAACTCCGTTGATGAAGGATGTTTTGAAGCATTGGGCATCGCAGTAGCCCGTGCCATAAGCAACGCCGGCTTTGTTCAGCATACTGGTGTTCTTGCCCCCGTCGGGAAGCATTTCGGACAGATAAAGAGCGCTGTTCATGCCGCAGGGCAACTTGACCATATCGACATCGAAGGTGAACTCAGCCCCTGTCAGATGAAGCATTTCGTATCTCTGCTTGTTCTCCTCCAGCAGATACACGCGGGGCGATACTTCCGTGCCGTTGTTCAGAATTTTCATGCGAAGGTCTGCGCCCGAGGTGATGACTCCCTTAGTAGTGTAGTCGGCGATGCCCTCAATAATGCAATTCTTCGCGCAAGCCTCAGCGTTAGGACACGCCTCGGGATTTGGCGGGTTGTTGCCCGTGAGGCAGCTTGTTCCATCTTTCGTGTTGATGGGATGCTGACTGGAGTCCACTACGATGTAGTTGGTCTTTTTAACGCACCCGTCTTTCAGGGTGCAACGAAACGTTTCAAGTTTAGGATGGTTGTCTGTGGTATTGCCAGGAGTCTGACCGGCGACGATACTGGCGAGTAGAAGAGAAGCGGAAAGAATGGAAAGGGCCATTTTGGCAAGAAAATGCAGGTGTTGAGTTGGTCAACAGGGTGCAAAGAAAAGAAGAAACGAATGACAGGAATGCTTTCAGGCTGATTTACATCTCATAAACAGTCCGTCTGATATGGCGGCATCGCTAGATTATATAGTTTAACGAACTGCATGAGGATCAGATGCGAATCCGAATACCTTCACATTATCAGCCGAGTTTCAATAGCGGCTCTTAGGTAACGTTGAGACGATGATCGGAACAAGCTTTCGGATCGTTGTGACATAGCCCAGGGGTGAAAGGGGCTAGTCAATCTAGCTACGTCAAGAAGAGTTCTTGGCAAAATCGTCTACTGACAAAAAAACAATCTAAAGTCTCTACTGGAGGCCAGAGCCGGAAGACCATAAATGGAGGTCTTGAAAACTTGGGGGGTGTTGCAGAGTCCGGATTAGTCGGTAGTGAGCAATGGCCACTTAGGGGTCAAACAACGAAATTGGGGGCCAGGGAGGAACCTTGTCTACCTTCAGCGCAGAGCCCGGGTAGCTCCACCCCCATGCATTTTTATATCCAAATGCGGTGTTTTCATCCCGCTCTTTTGCTTATGAGAAAGCTTAGAGTTCTCTCCTGTAACGAAAAAATGGTTTCGCAAAAGTCTATCTTCGTCATAGCGTCAGAAGCAGGGTTTTACGGCACAAAAGCTATAAACATGATTCACATAAACTGGGGCACTTTGCTCAAAGCCGGCAAGGACAGCCTCCCAATTGTACGTCTGAATCCCCTCTCTTTATCCTGCGCTATTCGAGTGTGCCTCTTAATATCCGTCTCATGTCGTGCGCCAATAACTCTCAGACAGGAGAGCATGTTGCAGCGCTGCAACGTTGTTCATCGGAGGTTCGATGCACCATCATAGGCCACAGCATCACAAGATAAGGTGACACACCACAGAGACACGTGGGGTTTCTTACAAGATGCAAGGACTGGACGCAATAAGCCAGTATGCTCCATGCTACTCCGTGCCCATACCATCTTGCAATTTAAACGGCCTGCATGCCCCACGAAGTAAGCCCCTTAATGCAGGTAGGTCAAGATTGGGGGTTCTGTCATAACACATATTCCCGCTCTCTGCCTCCTCTGGTCAGCCTGATATTGAATGCGGATTACAAACCCGATCAAAGTATTATGGACACAGGCGTCCGGAGCATCCGGACTCCAATGTTTGGACTGAGTATTGGTCCCTACGGATCTACACGGGTATGTGTGGAACGCTTGACTCGAAGCTTGGCAGGATGCTGGAGGGTGACCCCCCGCAGCTTGGCGAGACGCATTGTGTTTGCATTCAGTAAACAGTTATAACAGCGGTTAAACCTTTTGCAAACATGCGAGGAGCCATGTTTTTCTTCCTACATTGCTTGAGGCCCAGCCCAAAAGTTTAGAATGAGTGCTGGTTTCTCAAGTACAGCAAGGCAGTCCTTCCGTGCGCATAGAAGAGGTCACTGGGAAGTTGAAACAGCATCTTGTGATTCACGTGGCCAGGTATCATCAGGATTGCGATGCATATGACCGGCGACATGATGAATTTCAGGTCTGACCAAGTTCCGTTTTTAAAGATTGAAGCACAACTGACACTAAATGGTGATCGTTTGTGAAGTGCAGAGTTGAAATCGGCTGATGCAGAACAAAGCAAGGCAAAGCATTTCTGTTAACAATGCTTACATGCGAGTATAGGATACAACCTTAAATTTGGCTTAACAGGGTGGATGCCAGACCAGTAGCAAGCGCATTCAGACGAAAACAATACCAGAACGGCAACTGAGCATAACGTCAGAAACATCGAAGCTGAGGAAGGTTTTCTTATCTATTTAATGACGCCGAATCCATTAGGCTACATGTTGAGGGGCTTGCAGGTCTTTGGAACACCTCGCTTACAAGGTTTGGGATTTTTCGCAATACGTTACTAGGATTATATCATCAACTGATCGTATGGCGCAAAAATGCTTATACAGGACCTCGCGTTTCGATATCTTAACATACGCTCCTTTCATTATAAACAACAAACCCCAATAGTTTACCGAGAAGGGACGTTTCAGGTTGTTGAGACGGACGAAATGTATAGAAAGATTGACTTTTCCAGCTCACCATGGCCTATAATCCCAATTCATTCATGTCTCATGTGATATAGCAGTCAATATAGATTCGACACTAGCACATCAGCAAGGGCGAGGTTGGGTAGTTGAAAAGAGATAAAGTGGATTAATGAATAGGCCGAAAAAGGAGTTTACCTACCTTTAACTTGAAAACTAGCACTTCAACCCTCCTAGTCAATCAAAGTTGCTTCGGTAACTAGATTGAAGGTAATAGGCAATGAAGTTAGGTCTTGTAGTAATAGGTCGAGTGCGCAGAAATCCCCGGTGTCGTTCAAAAAGTTCGGCGAATCAAGGTTCTGACATGAAAGAAATAGTGTTCAAAGGTTACTCTGTTTTGCAAAGCAGTTCAACGAGAGAAATATTCGAATTCGTAGTGCCATGAGGCGGTTGCAAGTCCGAAAATAAAGAAAGATGTTGACTCTATTGTTGCAAAGAATTATGTCGGACTTTTCCTTGTCAAGTCCCCTGTTAACCATCAAGTTCAAGCTAAGGTATAGAGGTAAGTTGTTGCTAAGTCTTTATCGGAACGTTAAAAAGGTATATCCTCAATTGCGTAATTCAATTCTGCGATGGCGTCTCGCAAGCGTCCCACAAAAACAATCCTATCGATCAACCCGCTGGACCTCTTCCAATTTCTTACTCCACCAAAGTCAGGGTAAATGACGGCTGATCGGTTACTACCTTGGTGCGGGGGTGTCGAACTGCCATCGTGGAGGTTGCGTTATGAAGCTTCTCATATCGGCCATCCGACCGACTACCGACATGATGATAACTGACGCGATGATCTCGCGATGGAAACTGCGTTTGAATGTCACATCACTAGAGCACAGCCTCCGATTTCCGGCTAGCATCCGCCGAGTCCCTTAACATTCTGACAATAAGATATAATGTCGTGTTCCTCCGCTTCAGTAGACCACTGGCTGTGACGCTTGTGTTGTGAACTGGCAGATCTCAAGCTCAATATATATCATGCGTTTTTTGTGTGCTTTATGGGCGGCGCTGCTTGCTAGGCCAGCCGCCTCGGCTCCGTCAGGACCGAAAAAACCAAACATTGTTTTCATAATGACAGATGACCAAGACCGCCGGCTTGGATCCACAGACTACCAAAGCGTCCTTCATAAGGAGCTGATTGCCAAAGGAACAGATTTCACAAACCACTGGACAACCACAGCCCAATGCTGTCCCAGCCGCGCGGGTCTTCTTCGCGGACAGCAGTCCCATAATACGAACATTACACATGTCGCAGGCGCCGGGTGAGTCTAAAACCAAACGTACATGACCGCGGGCACTATGCTAAGACGCGATCAGTGGGAGCTATGATAAATGGACTCTCGCTGGCGAGGACAACGACTATCTGCCGCATTGGCTAAAGAAGGCTGGATACAGAGTTGAATGTGAGAGGTCCTATCCCTCACGACATTGAAACAACTGCTGACTGTAACTGAAGACATCGGCAAGCTGCTGAACGGGTATAACACGGTAAACTACAACAGTCCAGCACCAAAGGGCTGGGACTTCATCAACAGTCTGGTACGTCTTCCAGAAACTGAACCTTGCAGATGTCTCAGCTAACCACCCCCTAGACTGACCCGTATACCATGGACTTCAACAACATAGTCATGTCGGAGAACGGCGCACGACCACGCCACTACCCCGGCTTTCATCAAACAGACATTATCAGAACTCAATCGTGAGCGCTTCCCCTCGTTCTGCTAACTACACATGCTGAGACTGGAATAGCCTAGACAGACTTGAATACCTAACATCCCAAGAAAAACCGTTCTTTCTCACCATAGCGCCCACAGTACCCCACGAGAACTACAACTTCTACGCCCCGGTCCCGCTCCTCCGGCACAAGGGGCTGTTCCCCAATGCAACGGCGCCGCGGTCTCCGAACTGGAATCCATCGGACGAGTTCCAGCAGCAAAAGTCCAACTGGATGAAGAAGTTGCGCCAGCTTAACGAGACGGAAATTGAGCACGGCGACTGGCTATTCCGGCAGAGGATCGAGTCTCTCCAGGGCGTCGACGAGATTATTGAGGACGTGGTAAACTTGTTGGAGGAGAAGGGTGTCATCGACAACACTTATAGTAATTCTTCCCGTCCTTTATTGACCATGACCAAGGAGATTGACCAGTTGTAAAGTAATCTACACAACGGACAACGGCTGGACGATCGGCGCCAACCGCGTAGCAGCAGGCAAAGCCACACCCTACGCAGACGACACCAACCTCCCCTTCGTCGTCCGCGGTCCCGGGGTGCCGGGGGGCATCAAGTCCGCACTCCCCGGCGCGCACATCGATCTCGCTCCGACATTTCTCGAGATTGCAGGCGTTCAGCCGCAAGACCTCCCGGAATTTCTCGACGGCCGAAGTCTGTTCGACCAATGGCTCTCTCCAGAGTCGGGATACGAAGGGAAGAACGAGGGTGTGGGGAAGGAGCTCCTAAACGTTGAGTTCTGGGGATCTCGAATCATCGAAGCCCCCGCAGCGTCCGTGGTCGGGTCCATCACAACAAACAGCTACAAGACGCTCAGACTCGTCGGCGACGAATTCTCGTGGTTGTTCATCAAGTGGTGTACCAACGAGATGGAGCTCTACAACACTCAGGTAAACTTAAATACCCTCTCCCTCGCCAGTGAGTACAGAAACTGACGATTGAGCAGGATGACCCCTACGAGCTGACAAACCTCATCAACTCGACATCCCCCTCCATCCAACGCCTCCTGACACGCCTCAACGCGGTTCTACTCGTCACAAAGTCCTGCACACAGGGAACCTGCCGCGACCCTTGGACCGTCCTCCAACCGCCCGACTCAACGACGCGCATCGCATCCCTCCAAGAAGCGCTCTCCCCGTCCTTCGACCCCTTCTTTTCCTCCCTCCCGGAGATTCGCTTCAAGGAGTGCATGCAGTACCAGTACGCCCCTAACGAAGAACCATTCTACCCACCCGGCGCCGCCGATAAACTGAGCGAACACCGCAGACCAACAGACAACTTCGTCGACACCAGCGCGACAAAGGTGATCAAGCCCGACAACACAAAGTTCTACGGCGGACCAGAGCAGAGGAACGTCAAATGGGCCGATGTACGCGCCGCCTCGAGGGCATTAACAGACGACGAGTTGGGCGGCAGTCTGGACCTGAGAAGCTTCGACGAGCGGGACGTGTTGGAGTGGTATAACTAAGGTAAGCAAAAGCCAGATAGATGACAAAAGCGGGATCTAAAATCCCCGATCCCCGATCAAGATCCCGATCGGAGGGGCCGGTCGATGTACTGCTAGTGGGACCCAGACATCTGGGGAAAGAGGGACAAAACGGTGGAAAAACTAGCTTAGTAAACGTCGTGCGTGATTCGTCTTTGTTTACCTTACATAAAAAAAGGGCTGAGAGAGCCATGGAGAGAGTTGAAACCGTCCCCCCCCAAGCGTGGGGTTTTGCCAACATCGGCCTTGGCCTTTGCTGGGATCGGTTGGTGTCCTTTCGAGCTTGTTCTGCCCCGTCAACCCACCCCCCTCCCCGAACGTTTCCCGCAGCCCGGTCAAACGCTGGTGGGTTCTTCCTTGTCAGGTGGCTCTAGATGGAAAAGTTTGTGTCGACGTCACAGATTTAACCTAGCTTTTAAGCTGGGGTTTAATGGGACCTTTGGGCTGAAGCTGAAGCTGAGGCTGAGGCTGAAGTTGCGAATAATCGCATGTACAGTGGTTGTCACCAACTTTGTAGGTAGGTAGCAGTTCCCGGCATTTATAGCAAATAGGTACATAACATGATAAAATTCACTAGCAACGGGTATTTATCAATAATAGGCACTAATATGAAGAAAAACGAAAAAAGTTGACTTTTGTCTATTCTATGAAATATCTCAACGCCCGTCCCAATGCTATTCTTAATGCAATCCGCTCTCGCCCGTCTCAGCCATGTATTTTTGGCAGTTGAGCATGATCTTGAGCTGGTCGCTAACCTCCTCAAGGCGACCCAGAACCTTCTTGTTGCCGTCAACGAAGCCGAGGATCGAGTACGGGATGCCGGTGTCCTGGCAGAATTCCCGAACGAAAACCTGCGCCTTGCGCAGGTTGTGTCTAGGCACACGAGGGAACAAGTGGTGGACGGCCTGGAACTGCAGACCACCGTGGATGAAATCGAGCCAAGCGGGGCAGTCGACGTCCATGGTGGTGCGCAGCTGGCGCTGGGGGAACGACTCGCTCTCGCCGAGATCAGAGGTCGACATGCCCCAGTGGCTGAGGGTGATCTGGACGTGCAGCGGCATGGTGATGATGTGCGAAACCAGGACGAAGGCGACACGGATGGGCCAGGTGGGCAGCGTGCAGAGGAGCAGGCGGTAGCCGAAGATGTACCAGAAGCAGAGCATGAATGCAATCTCTGTCGGGCGAATCCACCAGGCCTTGCTGTTGCCGAGGGAGGAAGACTTGGCGGAGAGAACGTGCAACCAGGAGAGGAGGTAGAGGTTAAAGCGAGCGATGCCCATGACGGGGTAGTAGGTCCAGCGCTGGTACTGGACGAGGAAGTCGGCGGCAGCGTCCCAGACGAAAGTGAAGTCATAGTAGGTAGAGCGCAGAGACTTGAAGAAGGATGGGCAGGTGGCGAAGAGAGGGACGTTCTGAATATCAGGGTCATGTTCCTGCGATTGGTTAGTAGAGTTCTGTGTTAAAATGCGAAATGGGTGGACTTTACAGGTTGGTTGGTGATGAGGTGGTGGACGTTGTGACTGCTCTTCCACCATCCCATGGAGAGACCACAGCAGAAATCGGCAATGAAAAGGCCGATGAGGGTATCGAATGAGAAGTTGTGAGTGATGGCTCCATGACCGGCGTCGTGCGCGGTGAACATGATTTGGTGCTGTGGCGTACATGTTAGTTTGTGTAAGTTGAGATGTGATATTCACGCAAAGTTGACTAACCCAGAAGAGACCCAAGAAGCAGGCCGAAGTCATGTACCACTCATAGCGGAGGGCCACGAGGAAAGACACGAAGAGCGTCGAGTAACGGGCCATCTCCTTGCCATAGTCGAGGTACGGGCAGTCGTAAAGCCCGGCTTCCTTGATACGCTCGTGCAGGGCACGGTACTTGACCTGGATATCCTGCTGGACGGCAGGGTCGAGAGAGGGATATTCGTCGAGGTCCTTGTTAATGCCCTGCTGCATGGCCCAGTCTGTGTATTTGGCCGCGGTCATGGGTGAGTGACTACGGTTGGACAGGACAGGCCCATCGGAGAATACTTCAGCGGTGACATCCTCATGGGCAGCAAGGCGTCGTCGGATGCCTGTCTCGATCTTGGTTTGGGGCTTGTCATCTTCGGCACTGCTGCACTCGGAAGTGACGGAAGTGCGGGAACTCTTGCTTTCAGAGACATCGCTCACGGCATCGTCGGTAGAGTCTTCATCGAGATCTGACGAGGGACATTCCACGACATGCGCATCTGCATCTGCATCGGAAGCATCTGCAGGTGTCGTATCTTCCTTGCTGTAGATGCCGCCCCTAATTGGTGGTGTCATGTTGATCCAAGGACCCGCAGGTTTCCGGCCTATCCGGAAAGCCTTCATAGTCTTCAATGTGGCTGCCGAATGGTACCTAATGGGCGATATGTCAGCACACTAATTCCACTTTGCGCATCCATAACGGAGTCCGAACTGCAAGACAACTCCGAAATATTTAGGGGCCCGTTCCCATCCATCTCTCAGTTGGGGCCCGATGAAAATTAAGCTTAACCAGACTTCTGATCTTCTTCGTTGCACTTTGCACTTTGCTGCCCACCCCTTGGCCATGTTTCCCAATTAGGAAATAAACCGGGGATCGGGGCTCGGGGAGGGAGAGGAAGAAAGGGAGAGACACAAGAGAGACACCCAAGAGTACAAAGGTGGAGAAAGGGAGAGAAAGAGAGGGAGAGAGGGAGAAAGAAGGAGATCGAGTGTGTACGTGACAGAGGCTCAAAAACAAAAAAAAGGACATTGAGGTAAGTTGGGTTCATTTACACTTTGATTTCGTCGGTCGCGTCTCTTCCCACCATATGTAGGATTGCCAAACGGCCACCGGGGTGCTTCTGGAGCCAGCTGTCGAGGCGGAGAACCATATCGTCGAGGATGATGATGGTCTTGCCGTCGGCGATCATGCCCTCGACCTCCCGAGGAGTGATTATCCTGCTGTCGCGATCCATGACGGCGACTGCGTATAGAGATTCGGAGCTCGGCGCAAGACGAAGTAGGGGCTGGAGGAGAATAAAAAAAGAGGGAAGCTCGAAGAAAAAGTCGGCTCGATATGAGGAAGGTACGAGCTGAAAAGGTGCGCTGAAGAGGTGGCCGCCGAAGAGGTACGAGTACAGACAGTTACCGGCGATGGGGGAGCTGTCGAAATATTCACCGTCCGGGTTCCAATCGCAATTCTCGACTGCGTTTGGGGAGGGAAGAAAAGGGGCAGGAACGCTTCGACAAGGTTTCGATGAAATTGAGAAAGTCAGTCTGCGCCAGGGAAATGGAATGGGTAGATGGCGCTGAGCTATTTTTCTACTACCGACGACCTCGACCAGCTTTGTTTAAAAAAAAACGTCAGAACTCCCAAGAGTCAAGCTTTACAAGAACGAATCCCTGTCTGGCTACCTGGGAAATGGCAAAAGAGAAGTGTTGGAAGAGAGTCGTGCCATTTTCAGACGAGAACAGTCGACACATTTCCGGACGGAGGGGGGGGGACAGGATAAAGGGTCAGCAGCAGCTGTGTAAGGAGATGGCGACAGACTCGTACCCCGTACGAGTAACGACCAGCATGTGGATCATTCTTTTCTTGTGCCTCCCACGCACACGCGCACACACACACACCTGAACAAGGACAGGACAGCTTGTTCCCAGGCGGGCAGGTCGAAACAGTGTGCGTGGGCTGGGCATCTGGCCAAACGGGAAAATCTACTCATCTCCTACGGATACTCCGCCAAGAAAAAGGTCGACAGGCAAAAAGCTAACAAGCGTGGGCAGGCACCACCCCTTCTCCTCAATCTTGTTTTCCCCCCCGGTCCAATCCAGTAATGTGGCCGTTGGTGCTTTCACTAGTCCCGGGGCGCAGCTTGCCGCGTTTCTTGTGTTGCTCTCTGGTTTCCTACTGCTGCTGCTGCTGCTTCTTCTTCTTCTTCTTCCTGCAGAAGTGGCAGAAACCGGATCAGGCGCCAGTGAGTAGTGGCAAGCAGCAGCAGCAGCAGCAGCAGCAGCAGCGTGTCCCGGAAGATTGGAGCGGTGGACCGAGTGGCGGCACCTTGTCTGAATGAACGAGGTTGACAGGACCCTGAAAGGCTGAAACGAAGAAATTCGGGGTCCTTCGATTCATGCCGTGCGCGTATTGGTCCATACGCGGGTGAGCCACCCTCGGAGCCCCGTTCTCCAGGCTTTTTCTGCTCTCTCTCTCTCCTCTCGCTCTTTTGTCTTTGTGGGTCCAAACTTCTCAAAGTTGGCAGAGTCAAGACACGCGTCAGAAGCGAGGAAGAATGGGGAACGAGTGGGACGGTCTCCAGGACCCTTGAAACTCAATTCTGTGCACGGCTAATCTGTATGGATGTGGCGCTGTTATCTATTCATTGGGGTCATGGTCAAGCTGGGATTGCGCTGCCCGTAGGCTGCGATTCATGCGGCGGTGCGGTGGGAAAGAATGTTTCTGGAAAGGTGAGATGGTCTAAAGCCAATTCGGTCTGCTTGGTCTTGGCCTTGTTGGGACTTTGGAAACTTGTCTTGCAGTTGGGACCAAACCACCACACCTGCCGTTTTCTGGAGCCAGTTTGGAACATCCGCAAGCGGGTCGCCGATAAAAGAGAGAAAGAAAGACCGAAAGGCATACATACTATAGCCTATAGGTAAGAAGAAAAGGGGAGGTGGGGGAACAGAATACGGAGAACAGGAACGGGGAAGACTTCCAACTCGAATTTCGGCGGAAGCGGGGACGCCTTTCCGAACGGATACCTACCACAAGCAGTGAGCACATACCAGTAGTAGTAGTAGTTCTCACTGAGACTTTACTATTGCTAGGTACTTGCTTGGCTGCGCTACCGTACTAGGCCTGTTCCTCCTTGCAAGTTTGTCTGCGTTGCGGTGCTCATTTGACGAGCCGAGCTTTGGCAGCAAATTGGCATGAGGCAAAGAGGATACCTGTCAAGCACAGTAGCGGAGGACGTTTCCCATCAACGATAGTCGGGGGGAAGATCCAGGCTCTTGGCCACGGAAATTCCACTTGGCGGCACAGGCTGCGCCTCGAGCTAACCCCACAGAATCTCGCAAGCGGGTGAGGAGATGGCCATGCAAGGTGGGTTCTTCCGTTGGAGACTTGGACAAAAGGCCGCTTGTTGGCCTGCCACCTCCTTAGTCTTCCCGGAAGCTAATGATTGGAGCGACAATCCTCGTGTAGCTGCAAACGCTTGGCGCAAGACCGAGGTCTAGACGTGCACTAGACAGTGCGTTCCTATCTCGTCTCATCTTTTTTTTCAGGCTGCATTATTGTTTAATGGTGCGTTTCCTCGGCAAGCTTCCTGGAGGCTTTTGAGAGCAAGACACTTCAGCTCACCTCAGCTGGAAAAGCCCCAGTCCCACGCCACTAAATCGGATCCCTCGACGATGGGCGATAATTGGTATGCCCTAAGCTAGATTTCTGTGCCGTAGAATGCTTGTCAATCTGGGATCATCTCCACTTAACAGTTGCGACCAGACCAGATCCAATACGTACCGTTGCACTGGACGCGTACGTAATATCCCGACCCATGTCCAAAGTTGAGTCGATGCATGTGGTGGAAAGTGATAGGCAGGCAAATACCAAGAACAACCGGGAAAAAGTGGTTTGGTACCACATGTTGGCAAAAAGGGGGCAGAGACCGAGCACCCAAGTATAGATAATCTTGGATAGAAAGCGAGTGTGTGATTGCTTCTGCATCTATCCGCATCCTTTCGTTCTCTCTCTCTCTTTTGGACCTGATGTCAGACACAAGGCAATTAAAGTGGATATTCAGGGAACATCAAAGGCGATCCAAATGAGCGGCATGCAGATGGCTGCACCCTATACGCGTGAAGGAAGGCGAGAATACGTCGTAGTGGGGCCTGCAGAAAGGGGTTAGTTACACCGCCCATGAAATCATTGGTCATTTCTCTTGTGAGGGGGCTTGCTGGTCCTGTCCCATCCGGTCGGTGGGGGAGGGGGACGCTACCTCGTTTGTCGCGAGTAGTATGAGCGAAAGGTTGCATTCTCGGATTCCCCTCAGCGGTTCGTTGGGGGTCGGGTCTGGGCCCATGCTCAATCCCTGTCGGTGTCCAAGGCCCGATTTCAATTCGATACCGAACATGTGCAGATCAAAAGGCCGTTGCGCTTCCCAGGCAGATGTCGGTCGGCCTTCATCCCGACAAGACGAAAAAAAGACGAGAAGCTCGGTTCAGTGCGGGCAAACCTTGGTCTCCGTCCCGGATCAACCCCTGCCCGTCTTCCGTTCCTAATAAAAGCCTTACGTAATACGGAACACGGCGGCGTGCTCTCCGCTCCTCCCTCTACCCAGTATCAATGCTTGGCATCTAGCTGACTAAGGTTTCACACTGTTTCGGTTGCCACTACCTCAATCTTGACACCTGTTTCCTTATTGGGATGGGTCTTTGTTTGGCAGGAAGAAGCGCAAACACGGCAGGAGTAAGAAAAGAAACCAAGAAAAATGAACAACAGAAAAGAAAGATTCTGTCACCGGCTCATCCTGGACCGCTCTTGATTCAACAATTGACTTTGGGACGATGAAAACTCTGCAATGACGGCGGAAAACAATTCTATGAAACCCAAGCTGACTCGATCCAGAACAGTCGGCAGTCGTCCGAGTCACGTGAAGCCTGTCATCCATCAGCATCCTGCATATCAGACGAAGTAGCAAAGCATCAGATCAACCCCAGATGGGTTGCATCTCATAGATCCTCTGGCAAACCCGGTGGAAAACCGGTGTGCCTCGTGAAATCATCGGAGACTTCGGAGCTATCTTTACGTGGAACATCGGCAAACTTCAGGGGCGCATTACCGAGTTTGTCTAAAATAGCTCCAAGTCTATCGGAACCGGGTTTTTGGCTAGGAGCCGCATCGGTCCGACGCCTGTAGAGAAGAAGAATCTTCTCCGCGTATCAGTACGAGCCGGTCTTGGCACCGGATTCATTTACGCTGCTTCTTCCCCAACCCTCCGCCTCCACGATAACGAACTCAAGGGATCCCTACTCACCACGACGCTGACCGAGTACGACAGAGACTTGATCGACCTTTACACAGCCCTGTCATACGTATGGGAGAGTCTTGAAAAGCCATGCCAGATGATTCTCGATGACAACCTCTTCGCCATCATACGGTCATTGAATGACGCACGGCGGGACTTGCCCGACGCCACCCGCGAATGGAGGATTTGGGCTGAGGCTCCGTGCATCCACCAGGAGGAGATCCCGAAGGAAGCCCCCATAAGGGACACCTGTTCAACTGCCCACAATACTATCCTCTGCGTCGGGAGTCTCACCGACGGGGCTGCCAAGTCGTTTCCTGCTCACTAATACCGACTCTTACTCCGATTTTAGCATCTCTCGTAATAATGTTTCAGATAATGACATCAAAGTCGTCTCTTGTGTTGTCTTAGGGTATGGACGGACTCAAACGTCCCCTCTGGCATGACTAGGAAAGACGACGGTGGCATCCTCACGCTAGCCTTGAGGGATATCCTCTTCAGTCTATGATTCAAGCGCGCCTAGGTCTTCCAGGAATTATCCTTTCCAACGACTCCTGGCTTTAATGTGGCGGCAGTTGCCTGCCTTGAACTGGTCGTTGCCGCCTTCTTGTTGTCAATGTTTTTGAGAGCGACGATAGTGAGTCGAGGTAATCACGATCAACCGACAAGCCCACGAAAGCATGCGCGTTGTGTATGACTTGAAATTAGCTTGGGTCAGCAAAATGCGGAATGAACGCGTTCCTCTTTGAAGGTTATCAGGATGCCGAAGGGTCTTGAGGCCACGGCCTCACGAAACTCGGTTTACACCAATTTCGATGGCTTTAAAAACGTGAGCAACCTTCTTCGCATCGACTATGATGAAATCATGCTATGAAAATCATGACAGTTGTCATGCACTAGTTGGTTGTCAAAACATCGAACTATTAATCTTCAGGGCCGATGATATCTGCCAATGGATAGCATACCGTCCTAGGCTTCAAACTCTCCATGTGTTCGCCGCTGCCTAATTCAACTTTATCAACACTTTGAACGAAACCTCGCCTAACGGCTTGCCAATGGACTATGGCCTTCTCTTCCCAATGGAAACCAAGAGGGGAACTTGGGCCCGCCCATTCATGAGTCCGGCTGGTGTAGGTATTATCAACCTCATGATATGTTCTTGTAATCAGAACAAAGAGAGCAAAAGAAAACTGAAGGCAGACGACTGACTCAGAAAGAGGCTGAAAGGTGCGGAGTAGTACAATCTCAGGCTAAAAGGGGCGACATCGTCAATTTCTTTGGATGTTCCCCAGTAGCCGTCATCATTTGACCCACAGAAGTCGCGGGGCGAAGAACTCAACAGTGCAATTATAGGGGGCTCTGGACCGACATAAGCTTCCCATATGGGGACACTCAAAGCCATTCTAGAGCCTGCAGAGGGGCTCACGTTGATGCTGAGGATTACTTTGTTATCGGATTGTCATCTTGATATACCTGCTTGCTGGCATGAGCATCAGCCCCGAAAAGAGGACATGCAAGTGTTCGCTCTACACAGAGTCGATGAAATAATATGCTCCCTTTCTTCTGATGGGGCGACGTCGTGTGACGAGGAAAATAAACTCGGCTAACATACCCCAACGCCAGCTCATAAATCCAATAACAACTACTAGACAAGGGTATCTCTACAACTCTAGTGCTTTCTGCACATGTTAAATCATTTTTTTTTTAGCAAGCCAGAGACATATAAATAGCCCCCAAAGGGCCGTCACACTCATTCACGATCCCATCTTGGAGCGTTGAGGATGAGAGCCATGAGCGAGCCCGAGAACAGGGCGGTAACAGGGACGGTAATGAACCATCCGAAATAAATCCAGGCCACCAGGCGCAGGTTAATACACCTCCAATCTCCATTCGCAAGCCCGACGCCCACCGTCGCGCCGGCAATGCACTGCGTCGTCGATACGGGTAGCGCCAACCTCGTCGCCATGAGCACCGTGATGGCACTAGCAAGCTCCATCGAGAACCCACGCGATGGCGAGATGAGCGTCAACCTGTTACCCAGGTTGCGCATCACATGGTACCCGTACGTCAGCAGGCCGAGCACGATGGCCCCGCCGCCGAAACACAGGATCCAGATCGGCACCCCGACGGAGGTCTCGACCCTTCCCGTCCGCCAGATGTCGTAAGCCGTGGCGAAGGGCCCGATGCTGTTCGCCACGTCGTTGGCGCCGTGGATGAAACTCGCGGCCGAGGCGGTGAGGATTTGTAGCGCGCTGTACATGTATTCTGCACGGTTGTCGTAGTGCGGCGCGCGGGAATGCATGTCTTCGATATCCCAGCTTAGCACCGCGTTGCGCTTTTGCATCGAGATGACGTCTTTCTCGAGTCCGCGGAGGAGGACGCGGTTGATCCGCCAGCCGATCACGGGCAGGCTGCTCCAAGGGCCCGGTGGTCGGGGAGGGATTATGTCTGCCGAAGAACGGCGGGATTCAGCGCCGGGTGTTTGGGGAAGAGCAAGCGCTGGTGGCGGTAGGACGGGGTGGTCGTCCTTGAAGAGCTCTGATGGGGTCTGGGTTGTTGTCTGAATCGACTCGAGAAGGGACTCAGAGGCCCGGACATAGGCTAGCTCGTCGGCGGTGAGATGGCCGCGGTAGTAGTCTTTGATGTTGACCCTGTTGACACCGAGAGGGGGCGGAGGCGGGGGCGGGCGGTTAAGGAGCCAGGGACCTCTCCACATCATGGTCCATTTCAACTCCCAATCCTCATCAACGATTCTGCGCCAGAGGTACGGGAGAACAAAGAATGCCTGGAGAAGCGTGGCACCGGTGGCCACGGAGAATACTGCGATGAGGATTTGGGCGGCTGTAAGTTCGACTTGGGTTTGTACGCCCTTCCAAGCCATGAGCACTATCCGTCTATCAGATACATGGTCACATGAATTGCGCAGGGGTGGTGCGAAGCCACTTACTCGTCAACGCTCCAAACGTTAGAAACGTGTAGAACGGTATCGTGTAGAACGCATTTCGTACCGCGTTCGTCTTAGTCAGGACAAACTTCTTCGTTATGAGGAACAGTATCGCCCCGAGGACTCCGGATAACCCCGGTGCCACGGCCCACGCCGCGAACACCTGCGACACGCCGTTCCAGCCCCAGCTCACCTTGGTAATCCCAATAGACGCCGTCGCGGCTCCGACGATGCCGCCGATGATGGAATGCGTCGTCGATACCGGTAGGCCGTTGCGTGTGGCGATGCTGAGAAACACCGACGACCCGAAGATGGCACACATCATGACGAGAAGGAGGACGCTTGGTCGGTCATCGTACAGATGCGGGTCGATGATTTTGTTGCGGATGGTGTCTGCTACGCGGGAACCGATGGAGACCGAGCCCCCGAATTCGGCAAAGGAGGCGATCACCATTGCTTGTTTCATTGTTAGGGACCGCGAGGAGACGGAGGTTGCGAATGAATTTGCGACATCGTTCGCGCCTGGAGCAGTGTTAGTGGACTTGCATGGGGGGGTCTGACTCGAGCAAGCTAGGGAAACGGCATGGGAGTCGGGGTGAGACGCTTGGGAGAAGCCAAGTTTGGTGACATACCGATGTTCCAGGCATCGAGAAAGGAAAAGATTGTGGCTATCGCAAAGATGTAGTCATATTGATGGAGCACCGCCGACATGGCGTCTCGTCCGGCGCGGTGGCGCGGGGCACGGTGGTTTGGAGGCTTGAATTTAGATGATGGTCGTTCGGCTCCGGGGTGTTCGGCGGAGCCAGTCCCGCGGACATGGCGCTGGTTTAATTCGTACTCATGCTAAGAGTCGACACATCTCAGCCTGTCTGTCGCGGGTCGCTGTTGTTACGGTCTACGTTGGAGGCTCCAAACTGTGAAGCTGCAATCCGCCGATACAGATTGCGAGAAAGTGGATGCGAGCAATTGCCCTGCAAAGGCACCGGGAGCAGCCCAATGGACGGTTATATGGGTTGCGCAGCCCGGGCTGCCGTCAGCCGAGATCGAATCAGGACGGGGTTCCGAAGGAAGGGTGACCCCCCCTCAGACTGGCCCGTGGTCTCAAGGATCTTGGGAACGATTGCCTCTTCGCCTGGGCGAGGTGCCTGGGTGAGATGACAGGTCATTCACTCAGGGCTGTCCCGTCCGCCCCGTTCTGGTATCGCGCTGCAGTGGTAGCACGTTCGAGTCTAAAACGCCTGGTCTTTCGAACTAGGGTAAGGGGAGCCACGAGGCGACGATAAGGTGGATGACAGGGCGGATGGGAATGCTTGGGACCTCCTTCAGATCGTTGAGCTGAGGCGGCGGATGAAATTGGTTACATTGGCATATTGGATGCCCAGGCGCAGGCCAAAGCACGGTAGACTCGGTCGCGCCCGTTTGAGGCAAATGGCATGACTTTTAGGCTGCGGCGACGCTATCTATTCTAACAGTTTCTAGCAGCCCCCTCCCCTCTGGAATGAGAACGATGCAAGACCGGTGCAGGATGTGGGAAAAAAGGCGAGCGAGCAGTGGAAAAGCTGATGTGACTTGGCGTACGTTGAAAACGGGAGCCAATCGGTGGCCGGGATTCGAGCACGATGTTGGATGCTGCAAGCTTGCCAAGATCCACTGCCCCCGCGGGGGGCCGGTTATGGAGGCGTTTCCTGTTTGAGCGTTGCCATTGGTATTCGCCCTTCATTTTGGGCTAACCCAGGATTTTATTCACTCGGCTTGGTTTCTCTTTTTCGGTTTATTTTCAGTATTCACTTGACCCTAGGATATTGCCTTCTTCCACTGTCTTTACTTTCTTTATCCTTGCCATAGCTGCATGTCCCGACGGGGTGGGCGCTATCATGCTTCCCATGTCGTCTCCAATGTATAGAACGAAGAAGTCTGTGGGGACTTGACCACAGGTAAATCCTAGACAAAAATAACTAGCCCTTTACTGGTGTATCTTTTCATCATATTGATAGACACAAAAGACTAAAAGCCTTGTTAGGCAAGACTAGGCAAGCCCGCGCAGCTGGTCTGCCATATTCGTCACTGTCAAAGCCAAGATCACCCAAACACAACCTTCAGTCAGGCCCCTGATACCAATGATCTTTGACACGAGGCAGGCTGTACGCCTGTGGGGGCGGGGCTCTTATGCGCATGAGGCACTCGGTGACTGATTGGGACAATGGCATGCTTTACGCCCAGGGCTGATGTTGACACTTTTAAGGTGGAACATGGGTTAACGTCGCACACCCACTTCTCGCACACCCCCACATTTCGCACACCCATAAATTGGGTCATCATGAGGTATTCATCAACTTCATAACTATAAGTCTGATTCGTCTCCTGCAACTGTGATACTATCGCCAGTTTTAATAGGTAATTCAGGCTCGCTAGATTCATCTGAGCTATCCTCAATTTCGCCAGCCTCAATTTGGGCTTTGTGAATTGCCTCAATGTTGGCAAACTTCGAATTTGGGCTCATTTGGACCTTACGCCGCTTCCGTACCATTCCAGCCTCAACTTCTGCTTCCAACATTGCAATCTTCTTCTCTGCTGTAGCCAATTGATAGTCCTTTTCATCAAATCCCTTTTGAACCTTCCGAAACAACAGTCGCTGCGTTTGCTGATCTTTATCCAACTTGCTGAATAAGCTAAGTTGATCATATAGATCAACTGTCTTCTTGGGCGTTGACCAGGCTACTATGGATGTAGCAGATGCCCAGTTTTCGTCTTTTCCACCATCAGAGGCCCTCATAGGCGTAGAATAGCCTGGCTTTGAGGGCTTGGAAGCATTCTCAAGCAGTAGAGGGCTCATGAGCGGTCGAGCTATCGAAATGGGCCATAGTCCTGTTGCTTTCCAGCCGCTTCTGATATTCTTGCTTGAAAATGCCATCTGGCGTGCTTTTCCATAGCAGGTAAGAAAGTTCCGTTTGCCTACAACTGTAGAATCGTTGTGTTGAATGAGGTATCCAAGCTCTTTTCGATAGGTCGCCTTGAGAGGCCCAAAGACTGCTTGGTCTAGAGGTTGGAGAACGTGGGATGTATGTGGCGGTAGGAAAAGGAGATATATCTTGTGTTTATAACAGAGATACATAAATTCTGTTGTTTCATGACTGCCATGACCGTCTAGGATCAATAGTCTCTGCTCAGAGGGATGATCAGGCTTAGTCAGAGGGATAAAGATGTTCTCAAGCCATTCCACAGCTGTAGAGTCTGAAGTCCAGCCATTCTCAGTTGCTGTGAACTTCCAACCACTGTAAATATCACGTTTATGGATATCAAGAGGAAACCATTGTTGTTGAACCGATTTCCCTCGATAAATAACAAGTGGAGGAAGCGCCTGACCAGTTGCAGAGACACACTCAAGCATAGTTGTCCAAGCCCGAGACCCAGGCTGTTTTTTTCGCATTGATGAGCTTTCTGATGATCCCAGTACTAAGCCATTTGATCCTCTGCCTTCTAGGATACCAGTTTCATCCATGTTATAGCGATGATGTGGTTTGATCGCCTTGATCTCTGGAAGGGCGAGTTGTTGAAACCATTGCCTGATTACATTAGTTGAGGCCCCATTGACACGCTTAGAATCGATGGCTCTAGCTCTATGAACCTTGATTGATGGATTTCTCTTAATAAAGAACTGAATCCAGTTTCTCCCAAGTGGCTGGGTAGTGCCTCTGATGTCTAGGATTCGCTGGGCAAATTCCTTGAGTTGTTGATGTGTTGGCGGCAGCCCTAACGCCGCCTGGATACGCACCCATTCAGCTAAGTGACTTTCCTGTGCTGGAGATAGCTTCTGGAAGCTAGAGAAAGCTACATTTCTTGCCTGTGAACCCTTTAATCGAGACTGGAGGGTTGATGGTGGAATTCCAGCATCATGAGCTGCCTTTCGGACACTCTGCCCACTTGCAACTGCATTGAGAGCTTGATTGACTTCTGTTTCCGTATACTGGCCCATTAAGCGTATAAGAGTAACTATTCAAAGAATTATAATAATCGCTGTAAAAGTGGTGAAGATATTAAAGAATGTTGAAGAGGGTAAAATTCTACATGAGCGATTTATGGGTGTGCGAAATGTGGGGGTGTGCGAGAAGTGGGTGTGCGACGTTATTCGCCTGCTGGTAAGTATTGTTCTAGGTCTTCTTTCTCACATTGTGCTAAGAAAGTGGCTTATTATGTTGTCAGACCTCCTCTACTTATTCTTTGGTTGCCCCGTGCCCATGAGCTCGGTCACGATTTTCTTACTTCTCATTTGCCTGTCCCCCTACTCAACAGCTATATGGATCTTCCCGGTCTATATTTAACGACCGCAAGTACAATCTTTGCTAGACAACGATATTATCACACTGTCTTACTAGTATTTACCCCGTAACCGTCATAGCTTACGCGAAACAGCTTTTCCAGCAAGGCTACTATATCTATCGTATTAGGCGCTATGAGTATTGGAAGTAGAGAATTTATTGTTAGGGTACATATTCCTTTTAATAAGACGATCAATACTGATTTGTACTCTAGACTGGAGAGTGGATTCTTTTCGCTCTTTGCTTTATTGTCGTGTTTGCTCGACTTGCCGTACGCACATGGCAGAGGATATGGTCTTTCTGGCTATCCGAAATCTTCCTTTTGATCGCTCTCCTATGGTTCCTAATACTTGTTGTTGGAGATACCTACGCAAGTTCCATAGGTTTAACCGCTTTTTCCCCTATATACGCCGACGAAGGGTTTTCAAAGGTAGACACGTCTTATCTGACATATAAAGTTATATGCTAATGGATCCACAGTGGAGGTTTGCAAGCTCAGTTATTTTTGATACTGGCTTTTACTTCCCAAGATTTAGTTTACTAGCCTTTTATTATGAACTTTTCCCGAGAAGTGAAAAGACATTACGGATCTGTCTACATATAGTTACAGCTTATGTAGTTTGCGCATTCCTAGCAACTGCCTTCATGGATATATTCTGGTGTGGCACAGATCTTTCGTCTAATTGGTAAGTCGTTAATCAGACAACCTATTGCTCATCACAGGACTAATTTTCTCTTAGGTCAGATGATCCAACCGCTTGCGCTTTAGCGAATGTATATCTGCCCCTGTATATAAACTGGTCAATCGGTATGGCTTCAGAGTTGATGGGTAAGTCGAGAAATACTAGCGAAGCAAATATAGAGACTAACATGAAGCCCTTGGCAAGTTTTTGCGTTGCCATTTGGAATACTCAGGATGAAGGTTCTCGGGTCGAAGGAAAAGAAAGCCTTACTCTTAATCTTCCTCCTTGGCATAGGTACACTTCTCGCCAGCATTGCGCGCCTTGTTTTCACAGTACAATCGATCTGGGATTATACCACCTGTAAGTATCGACATCCACTACGAATTTGATTTCAATAGGCTGATACTCCCTTGTAGTTCTAGTTTCATTCGCAGAAATTGCGTCCCAAATGATTGTCATTTCCCTACCAGCGTTGCGCCCGCTGCTCGTCAAAATTCCTCGACAGTGGGCAAAGTGGACCAAATCGAGGACTGAGCAACCATTCGATGAGGCAAAAAAAATTACACAAGCGACTGCCACTATTGACAGCTCCCGAAGCAGGAATGAAGTTGCACGTGATAGTTCGTCTAGTGTTTAGCCTGTTATTAGGCAAAGGCTTTGCAGTATTGTTTATCTAGTTTTAATGAAATCATGATGACTAGACCATGTTCCATTGGAGAACGTCCTGCTTATAACATAGTTTTCCAACTGAAACTGGTCACCCCTTGGGGCTCTTGCGATGTAAGTATCTTTCTCGTTTACTTATTTGCAAGGAACCAGCCAAAAGCCGCCAGGCATATTAGCAGCCTGCCCTCATTAGCTTGTCTATAGGAGAGCAGACGGGATCCCGAGTTTTCCAATAGGTATGGTCGTATGTAGTATTTTGAGGCTAAAATTTCTTTATGCAGTTTTGGACGTGCAAGGGGGTTGTATTGTTATGGACCTCTCATAGCTTTCTGGGGTGGAAACCAAGTTGTTTAAATGCCTAGCTTCACTGGATGTCTTTTAGAACGACCAAGGTAATACTATGGGTTGACAGAACCTCAGCACTAAAAGATGAAGGAATACTCATTTCTCAGAAATTAATACTCGCCAACACCTACGTTGATTCTTGCAACTTCATGAAGCCTCAGAGGCGAGTCATTCAACAATACGCAAGTCCGACAGGCCTGCAATACTATGTGACAATATGATGCTCAAGTTCAACAGGAGGTTACAGCCGGTCATAATTCCGGCCGTCCAAGAAATAGGTAATTTTGCACATGGCCATGGAGTTGATTGTTGGCGCGGCTAGGGTTGGGCTGCACTACCAAACCATTGTTCTATGTATCAGGCCGCCAAATAACGAAGTCTCAACTTTTCAGCGCCCGTTTGTTGACTTCAAACGGGTTTGTCCACAACACGGCGATCGGAACTATCCTTCGGGTAGTACCACCTCGCTGGGTTGTTTGGTATCGGATTTGGCGTATCTCCCCGGATGAATGACTCGGGACTTACTCTTAGAACATACATGATTCGCCAGCACGTCTCATCTTGAGGCAACCGTTTTGATAACGCGCTTTATGATCTTCCTATGCCCATAATTTTACATTAAAACCCCTACTGCATTTCTAGGGCACGGTGGCCTCAGCGAACCATCCAGCGAGTAAAGAGCAGGATGGGTAGGCTACCGGCTGTAAGTGGAGACTGAGCCTCGGGATTTACAAACAGTCCTTCAAACATGCAGGCAATTAAGGTTTTCCCCTTTATTTGGAGCAATAAAGTTCTGGTATCAGGTTAGTGGGGGGTCAAACTGATGAACTAGTATAACTTCACTCGCGATCCTGCCATCTCAACATCTGTTGAAGTCCTAACTCGGTAGTTTCGCAGGTCTCGGCCAATCGTCAATCGTTCATCAAATTTTAGCTTCAGTCACTCTTTTTCTTTCATTCATCATGATTTTGCCTCACGTGGCCGTCCGATCTCTACAGGCGCTCTCTGTGAACGCTCCCCGCCCATCGCTGTCATCGTCTGTGCAGTGCCCGGTGGTCCTTGACGGACGCATCCCTCAAAACTTCACCCTCGACGCCTTTGACACCAACGCGAGCCCTTATAACCCGGGCTTCACTAAGGGCGAGGACCCGTGGTCCAAGATTATCCTGTTTCCTAACGTCCCGACCACTTCGCGGTTCGACGTCTCGGCCAATACCACGGGAAACTTCAAGGCGTTGGAGGTTACCATCAACGACCGTTCCATCTTCAATCCGCCTCCGGGAAAGAATCCACAGCTAGGGTTCCGTCGCGCCGGGCTGTTGCTCGGAAGTGGTTCCGATGCGTCTAATGAGGGCGTCATGACATTCCACTGGAGCTCGATGCAGGACTCGGAGCGCAAGTTGAACCTCACGCACGAGTACCTCACGGCATTCCACGAGACCAACGACTCCGGCGGTGCACAGTTCGCACTACAGCTGGGGCTTCCACTCGGCCAGAATGGCACCGAACCGCCTGCAACTAACTGGAAGATGTTGGACCGAAACAACAGCGTTGTCTTCACTACGCCGCTCAAGTTCAACGCTTGGCAGAACTTTGCGGTCACGCTTGATGTACCCCAGAAGTAAGTAGTCCTGCAGGCAAGCCATCGAACACAATCAGACGCGATACTTACTCTTTCACAGCACCATGCAGGTTTTCTTCTCTGAAGGCAACGAGCCACTGAAGGCTGTCACCAAGGTTCTTCCAAACAACAACGCCGGTGGCGGCGTACTTCAGATTGGCATGTTGAAGAAGCCTACCGAGACCAAGACGGTTGTGAATGATGGGTTCCAGGAGAGCGGGCTGAATGAGGGCCAAATTTTGGGCGGAATCTTTGTTGAAAACAGCGCGAACGGCTGCGTGTCCTTGTGATAGGCGTCTGCTCTAGTTGTACACCGACAGACAAGATCCTGCTAGAATTTCAGCGGTGGGACGAGCGTTCAATAAATGGGAAGTACAATGCCAATGGCAAAAAAAGGGGCCCTCGTGACTGAGCATTTCGACTGAGACCTTTCTCGGCAAATGCGTATATTACCCTGCCCCCGTGTTACGTGCGTTGTCTCGACCCTCATGACCCCCTTTCCTCCGCCTTCTACCTTCAATTACGCCTGAGTATGCTCCACATGGAACATGGGACAAGAAGCAAGGGTTGTTTCTAATCTTTGTTATTATGCACGTCTATATGACGCGGTATGAAGAACGCCACGATGTTTCGATCCAGCAGGAATCTCCCAGACACTTTGCCACGACTCTCGGCTCCACATGCCTTTATCTACAATATGTAAAATCTTAGAGTGTCTCGCGCAACCTTTACCTGAACGTCTCAAGTGTATGATTTAAAAACTTTGTGGTATGAATTCGCGAGCCACTCAGGAAATGTCCCTTAACCTGCCACTGTCATGTCATGTTTCGGCACCCTTACTTGACGATGGCCAGAGCCGCGGAAAGGGGATCGTCGGCCTGATAACTCTTGGACCACTAGACGAACCTTGATGGCGTGGCCCCCATACGAACTTGGCATTGATACCAGTGGAGAAACGCACCAACACATTATATCAAAAAGGGGCAAGTTTACGTTGCGAAAACAATGGAAATGACGACGAAAGGATCAGAGTGCAGTTTTTGTACAGCTAGTAGTGGATATGCGAACCGGAAATCTTACAGGGGTTACTAATATCGCCTGGTACTCAATGTAAGATGCCCGCGTATTAGTTTCTATGACAGTCACATTTTTTGTTTTTGTTCCGATAAAAAGCCGGGTTGTTTAAATAGCATGATCTACTTCATCCCTGTAATCGAAAAAAACCATTCATCCAAAGTCCCCCACGCTTATCTATCGGGCCGCAGGGCTGTTGGCTGGGGACTTGTTACGGCGGAGGAATGAGATTCCAGATGAGTCCATTTACCCGCAACCCGTAAGCATTGTCATAATAGCTCATTATAGTTCATGAAGTTTCCATAAAACTGTTCATGGGATCTCCAAACTTTTGGGATGAGGGGTTTCTTCTCGACCTAGATACCTCGGCATGTTCGAAATTCTTGTTGAAATACGGCTTGTGAGTGCATCGATCCTGGCTTTCATGCCTAGTTCAGGAGAAATGTCGAGAAAACATTAGATGCGATTGGCGCCCACCGGATCCTCAAGAAATGATACCTCCCAGCATCCCCCTTACCAACTGGCTGGTGCGTGGAAGATCCAAAACCTTGGTCGAAAACAATTCAATCTGTAACAAGGAGGGCCATCCCTAGTGTTTTTGTCGCTTGTTCGGTTAACTCGGAGGATTATAAACGTTGATACATTTTGCAAGGGGCGGCCCCCCGTATATCCACGGTATGGCGAGGATCTCATCGCAAATCGTTCGTTCTTGAGGTCATGGGTATTAAGTAGAAGAAATGTCTTGCATACGAGAATTACCCCTGAACTCCATCGCATGGTGCGACCAGATGGTGCCGTTGCCAACCAATCGTAATGCCCGACGTTGATGACGGCCAACGCCCAAGCGCTCCCTGTCTTTTCTCTGAGAATTGACGTCCCCCCCTATGCACGGCCACTGCCAAGGTCAAGTTGTCGCAGAGGACTCAGTGCACGCTGCGGGAGGAGCAGTATCTGCCAGCACAGATGCCGGCTGATTTTTGATTAAACCGGATTCAGGGTTGAGACTTTGGTGTCTATGGGATGAAGCCACCAATCATTATGAAACGGTCAAATCGCAAGAAACAACGTTTTTGGACGAATCCAACTCATCGCCTCAGACATGGGATGGCAGACATGGAGATATGGCAGTTTGATTTCTTCAAGTTGAAAGTGAGGTCTCGGTTGAGTACTCAAGACCCTCTTGTATAAGAGTCGAGGTCCTCGCCGCTCAATGTAGATGATTTTGGCTAGACCACACAACATCAGGAACTATCCAGTCCTTTCCCATCTTTTCAAGTTCAACTTCTACATTCGCTCTTCTGCCTCCCGGTGCAGGTCATTCTCTTTCGTTCAACTTTTCAAGCAAACAAAGCTACTCACGCTCTTTTGATAAGACGCTCACTTCAAACCTACCAAAACAAAATCCACCACACAAATACCAACCGCAAACATGAAGACCGCCGCTATCACCGCTACTCTTCTCGCCGTTCTTGCGAGCGCCAACCCCATTGAGATCCGTCAAAATGGTGGCTGCAAGGCGTTCACTCTCCTCTTCGCCCGTGGCACCACTGAAATGGGCGGCCTTGGCATGGTCGTCGGACCCGGCCTTGATAGGGATGTCAAGGCTGCCCTTGGCGCCGATGCCGTCACGGTTGAGGGTGTCACCTACCCCGCCGATATGGGTGGTATCATGGCTGAGATCACCGGCACAGGCCCTGGCAGCACTGCCATGACCAGCCAGGCAAACTCCTGGCTCAGCAAGTGCCCGGACACCAAACTCATCCTCACGGGCTACAGCCAGGGCGGCATGGTCGTCCACAACGCTGCTAAGAAGCTCAGCGGCAAGCCTATTGTTGCGGCTGTCACCTTTGGCGACCCTTTCAAGGGTCAAAAGGTCGCGAACGTGCCTGAGGGAAGCTTCAAGAGCTTCTGCGGTGCTGGTGACACCGTTTGCATGTCTGGCGGGTGCGCCAGCGCCGGGGGCTGCAACAGTGCCAGCCCCTCCGGGCATCTCGGCTACGGCTCCGATACCAAGACTGCCGCTAGCTTCATCAAGTCAGTGGTGGGTTAAGAAGGGGGGTATAAAATCCCGTCTTGCAACCATAAAACGGGGGCATCCATGGTTGGATGGTATAGAGGGAGGCTGCTGGGTCCGCAGCGCGGATACATGACAGGATTGGAGGTCTGGAACATTCTTTTTTTCGATTGTATAGCTTACCCTTTTATGTACCGTGCAGTTTAGAAACAAATGACATTGGTACCCTCCTGAATTCGATCGCTGCGAGATAACTAAACCAAACCGTATACGCACGCCCATACAACCCAACGCGCAGTAACCTATGTCAGACATCTCCATTCCGGCTTTCCAGGCCTCATTCAGTTGTCCAGTAGAGATTCAAGGAACTCTACAAATTTCATCTCGAAGTCTTGACTGGCGAGAGTTCTTCTAAAATATAAATCCAGCGCTTTTTCACCCACTTGAGTTCTTTGTTCATCCCCCTAAGTTTTTGCCTTCTTCAGGATCTGCGAGCGCCACGGCATACATAACGGCAACACCTGATTTACTAGTGACAGAGTAAGATGCCCCTTCTGCCAAAAACATTTCGAGAAACTCATGGCTATTGTGATAAATTGCCTCAAGGGTGGAAATATCTCCATATTTGTTTCGACTGTTGATATCTGCTCATTGTTGAAGAAGATATTTACCAGAAGGTACACGGTTGAGCACAGTGGCGCCGGAGAGAGGTGTATTAAGTGAATCGCGACCAACCTTCAGCACATTTGTGGGAGTACATAGTACTCATCCAGATCGGCTCCGGATTTCCATCGATAATGTATGATGTCGAGACTTCAATAATTTTACAAGCCTAAGCAAGTGCAGTCAAGGGGATCACTGGTTAGACATGGGCAGCAACTGACTATCACCATTGCAGTTACCTAGGCCCGGCCCTTTAAGGAGGTATTCTAGTGGTGATAGCGAGAATGTTTACCCATCAAATCACTGACGTGGTTCATGCTGGCGCCAACATGCATGAGAGGCCCACCCGATTATGCCGAACGAAGCAGATCATCGCGGTTATCGGATTTCTACCTCCGAATGCTCGTGAGCTAGAGGGCCTGTCGTACTAGAAAATCCGAGGCATTGCAAGCTGAAGCCATTAGAGACAATTAGAGTTGCACACTGATGTGATATCCTAGCATGAGGTGTATAAAAGACCCCAAAGAAGAATCAATTTTTGCCATGATCATCTCAGCAAAATTACTTCCAAGCCCATCTCAAAACTTGTGCCAAAGCTTATATCGCCGTGCCAGGACTAAACTCTGAAGTCGTATTTTCAGCGATGCAAAAAAGCATGAGATACTGCTTTTTCAAGTTAGTTCCGACGAAGTTGCATCGCAATTTAGTACTCAAATTCAACACTCAACTAGTAGGTGGAAAACACGTCTACGTTCATTGTGACGCACATGACATTGGTCAATGGTACCCACTGGACGAATCTTATACCAGCCCTAATCACTGGTGTAACACCAGGAAGTCTCGGAGCTGATGCGGCTAGAGTCGTTACAGCTCAGAGTCCGAAGTTGCTAATTCTTGCCGGCCGTTCTGAGAAGTCAGTCCAAAAGACCATTGACTCCATCAGAATTGTGCGCCCGATAAGACCACCGAGTCACAAGAGTACTCTTTACTCAGCCAGAATCATTGTGATATTTTTAGGCCGACCCGGATACCTTAGTACTAGATTGTACCTAAAAGACGATCAAGGACAAGAGGTTGACACGGGGTGATTTAGCAACTTCACCCAGGGCCTCTCGTGCCCGGGGGAGGTTGCGGGCTGTGAGGTAGAGAGTGGCGCCCGTAGCGAGCATGGCGCGTGCAGTCTCCACGCCGAGACCTGCAGAGCATCCGGTGATCAGGACTACCTTGCCCTCAAGCTTTCCTTCGAGGCCTTCATCTTTGATCACCTGTAGCGCAGTTGGACGTTGGTCTCCTGGGCCGAGCGGTCTCTCGTGGGCGGCGGCGTACTTGTCAGCCATTGTCACGGATGTGGTGATTTGGAGGAAGAGGAGGATGGATCAATGGATAGATATGAATATGTATATGGCAAAGGTGTGAGTTGGAGTTGACGGATGGATGTTGGCTAGGATATATATAGCAAAAGTATGGTGGGGTGTGTGAGAGGGATGGAAGTTTCGGCAGAACGTGATTTTCTAGTATATCATCGACCTGCATCGCCGTCGCTAACCCGATGTAGAATCGTACCTAATGGAAGATATCGATTAGATGCATGGTATCAGACATGTATTCATCAGATAAAACCAATTCCGGCTACCAAATCCCGAGTACATCAGGCGAAGAGGTCAACGGAGTAGTCCAGTTATCAATCACAAGCCACTTCGGACGCTAAGGCAATCTGATGACTAGACTAGCGAAGAAGAAGACCAAACAAAAAAAGAAAGAAAAAAAAATGGCGTAATCAGTGGATATCAGTAAATTATAGTACAAATGATTATTCAAGACTTTTTCTGACTAGGCTAAATTTCAGTATGATGGAGAAGACGGCAGGGGACGAAGTGCCGGGAAACTGTTGTCACAAAAGCGCGCAGCTGGTGTCCTATTAGTTGATCTTAACGCAGCAGGTTCAGATGGACTTGGGCGTTAGAATCAACGCAGAAGTTTATCAGAAGTGTCCTTACCCTTGCCATCGATGCTGCTGCTTGTGCACCCGTACCGCACAGCGGAGCTTGCCATTGCAAAAGCGATTCAGGCTTCGTCAGGCGAGCAGATACGATAGTGGTCCGCGTCATAGGCTGGATTCGAGCTACGTGCTCATGCAGATTGATTACCCAGGCAGATAGAGTGAAAGGAGTTCACGAAGTGAATTATCCCGTTTGAATTCCCTGTTGCCCTCGCATGTGGAGTGAAATGAGTCGATCCGTGACTTCTTCTCGGCTTAGCCCACCAGCTAATGCGGCTGTCATCATCTCGCATTAGCGGCGAACTTCCCCACTATCGGCATTCATTTCTTTGAGCTTAAACAAGCCAAGGAGCCCACGTCTATGCGCGATAACGTTTTTCTATGCGGTATCGACTCTTTTGTCGAGGGGCATCATCATTAACTAAGGTACCAAGCCACACTCTGGCTAAACCCGAAGCTCCACCCCCATGGAGCTCCCCTACCCATGTTCGGCCTGTGGCCGGCCGAGCTGAAGCTATATTCTTTGTATAGCCGGTCGGTCAGGCACACGGCCAACGATCTGGCGGGCGGGGCAAGTTTCCAGTAGCCCTACGGATACTCTAAGCAAAGACCAGCACCACGCACGCACCCGGCCACTAATGCACCTGTCACTCATCCACATTAGCTTGCCACCAAGTAGAGCATCGAGCCATTGCCTGACTCGGTACATGGCCACGCCGCTGATGCTCTGCTGGACCTTTAGAGGTTTCGAGTGGCCTAGGCCAGTGAGAAGCCAATTCAACACCAGTCGGTAATAAGGCATTTAAGTCCGTTTAGTACGTAGTATTCCAGGATCCACGGATTTAAATGTTCGGGTAAGAGATGGGCCATGCGCGTTACTAAAGCGAACAGCATCAGTACAACGACATAAATACTTCGCAGAGCTTCTTCAGTCTGAATGATTTCTTTCGTCAAGCCATATCTCTTGCAAAGTATCTATTTTTCGTCAAGACATTTCCACTTCAAAGGTAGGTCCTCGCAAGCATTATAACATCTCTGAGCAATAATTCCTGTGCTCTTCGAAAAGACCATTCTTATGCTGACTTTGACCATAGCTTCGACTTCCCACATGATGATTAAATCACTTTCCTTCAGCAATCGGCAAGTCCCGATCCCCGGCTATGGCGCCATGGGGCTGAGTTCAGCCATGGGGAGCGATTTGAATCTCGAACAGTCTGAACCTGTCCTTTTGAAAGCAGTCGAACTCGGTTGCACATTTTGGGATACCGCGGTAAGTTTCATAGGACTTTTTGAGCGTCTAAATTTTAACGATGTACTTGGATAGGTTGCCTACAAGGCCGGCGGTAACGAGAAGCTGCTTGGGGATTTCATCAAAAGGCACGGAATACGTGACAGTCTCTTTGGTGAATATGACAATCTCTATGCTTTATAACACATTCGGCTGACCTAGATTTCCAAAGTGGCATCGAAATGTGGTTTTGATGTCTTCGGCCCAAAGCGAACGGTGACCAACTCCGCCGCTCACATCAAAGAATACATCGAAGGCACGATCGAGAGGCTTGGCTTCACTCCCGACCTATATTACTTGCACAGAATTGATCCTAGTGCGTGCATACTGTGTAAAATCTTCTAAAAGAGCTCTACTAACTTTGCGATAAAGACACCACTCTCGAGGAGTCTATTGGTGCCTTGGATGAACTCCGCCGTCAAGGAAAAACAAAGTACATTGGGCTTTCTGAATGTTCCGCTGAAACCCTGCGCAAGGCAAACTCGAGTTCGTGTCCCCTCCTTTGCTACTAAATACCTTGATCTGACGTTTCTTAGTCGCTAAAATCGATGCTATCCAAGCCGAATATTCAGCTTTTGAGACGGTACACGAGACCAATGGCTTAATTGAGACAGCCAAGGAATTGGGTGTGGCATTTGTAGCATTCAGCCCTCTAGGACATGGATGGTTGGTCGATGACTTCAATTTCAAGTCCCCGGACGATTTCGCTCCTGATGATTTCCGACGTACAGGTAGGCCTAAGCCGATTTTCATTCAAAAATGGAAACCCAGCAAGAGCAAGCTAATTCTGATTCGATAGTACCAAAATTCCAAGGCGAAAACTTCTACAAGAACAAAGCCATCGTTGAGGAGATCAAAAAGTTGGCGACACGAAAGGGTTGCACAGTTGCGCAGATTGCTCTGGCCTGGGTCGCTGCGCAGGGTTTGATTGCCATTCCGGGCACTACTAAAGCTTCACGCTTGGTGGAAAATTGGGAGTCACGAAACGTTGAGTTGACGGAAGAAGAACTGAAAGAAATGCGGCGCATCGTGGACGATGCTAAGCCAGTTGGAGAAAGATTTGCCCCATCTTTCAGTCCATGGTTGGACACTGAGATATCGACGGCTTGCTATGGCGATGGGACGACTCCATGCATGTATTTACTGTCGTGATAAGCCACAATCTTTGTCACCACATTTACTTTATTTCTTACACTTGTGTTTGTTTGTGCGTGTGTGTGTGTGTGTGTGTGTGTGTCTGTGTTGACTCGCCTTTACCTGGGCCTCTTTCCGAAATATTCTCACAGCCGAGCCCGCGCAACCCAGCAGAGCAACAAGTCACCATACAGGCTGCCAAGTGCCGCGTCCCGCCTTGTGGCGGCGAAACACCGGTGGCGCCCTTAAACAACCTCGTTGTAACACTTACTCGACAGAAGAATTCAGATGAAGCCGTACATATAGGCGAAAATGTTAATAAGAAGAGGTAAAGCACCTCAGGAGCCGAGCATCCACAAACAGTCTCGGCGGTAACTTCACTTTTAATTCTCAAGCTAGCAATAGTGAAAAGGGATAGCTTTGCAAGAGCCATTTCATCGTATAGTTAGCGAGGCTAAGTAATAATCTCAAATGAGATAATAATGATAAGACTAAGAAGTCTAAAGTTATCCTTTGTTGCGTAAGACACGGTAATATGTTAGTCATATGTTAGTGATTAACTTTATTGAAGTGTAAGTATCTGTAACACCGCTTAATTAGGCACATTACCAAGCGGTGTTGCTATAAACCGAGCATCGCTTTTAGATCTAGGGGACGTAAAATCCAAGGTTGCCTTGTAGGAAGAGTGTATTCGCAGATGTACAGACCTATCATGAACGTCAGGCCCTGACTGCAAATCAGATTCCGTGACTCCATGTCTGCTTGTAGGTCGCTCGGCGAATATGGAGGAACACATCCCAATAGTGATCGACACATCAGTCGTCGCACTACCAAGAGTATTTTCATATCGCGCATCGTCTATTTGCCATGCATTCCCAGACAGGACATCCCGTGCCCACATAATACCACTTCATCCTACCGAATCTTAAATCCACCGCGGCATAAACCACCAGAAGTGAAAATGCCCTTAGGATCAACATCCTCTTGAACCTGCACCAGCCTTTCGCGATTGTCTGCACCATACGACGAGAAGATGTCCTCGCCCAGTCTGCCGTAGCCTATATATTTGTAAGGATGATGGATGCTCAGGCGTCTGGAAGCATCCTCCAACCGTGCGAATACTCGGTCGTAAAAGTCGCCAACGAGCGCATCATCCTCCGCACGCAGCCAAGCCGTACTTAGGAACGTTACTGCGTTTTCATTAACACAAGTATCTCAACCACGCTCTACAGCTAGGGGAAGACTTACTAAGTAATGGTCCTGGCACATCTCCAAGGCCGAGAGCATTCCCTCCTCGATCGGTCATGCCACGAATAGCGCGTGATGGGATTGGATAAGTGATGATTTGTGGATTTAGACCCTCTACGGACTTGAACGCTCTTACCTCCTCGCGAAAGATCTGTAATGATTCTTGTAGCCACTCACGAGACGGAAAGGTGGTCATAGTCTGGAACAAATGTCTGTGTCTGGTGAGAAGATTGCGAAAATAGGGTGGCCCACCGAATTCTTACCTAGTAGGAGGTGGAGCCGCTGGCACATTACCTGGCCCAGAGGTGTCGCCTAAGCTGCTGATTTGTCCGGATGATGTGACGACGGGAATACGATCGATGGACGCAAAGACCGGAGGACTCTCAACGGGGTCAAAGTATCTTAGACTGCCGACCGGAGTAAAGACGTCCCTGGCTGGGGCGTAGGCGTAGTAAAAATCGACAGACACGTTCGTGTTGTGGTCTTGGCTCGTGAACAGGTCGTACACCTCATTTACCACCTGCTCCGTGTTTGTGTCGTTCCAGATCCGGCTTCCGGAGTAAAGTTGTCCTTGTGGAGACGTTCGTACGACGAAGGAAGTGATGACGCCAAAGTTTCCGCCGCCTGCGCCGCGAAGAGCCCAATAAAGCTCGGGATGCTGGTGCTCGTTCACAGTGACAAAGGTAGCGTTCGCTAAAACCAGCTTCTCCAGGTTAGGGCAGCCGTACCTGAACAGGAAGAGGATGCATCTTCAAACACTTACCTCATATTCATAGACGTTATCGACAGCCCATCCGTGTCGAGCTGAAAGCGGTGAAGTGCCTCCACCCGTAGTGAAGCCACCGACACCGACGCTGCCAACGCGCCCACCGACAAAAGACAGATTGCGGGCATCGAGAGCTGAATAGACGTCCGCCGTTACAGCTCCGCCACCGATTCTCGCAAAAGACCCGTTTGTTGCCACCTCCACGCTATTCAAACGCCTCATATCAATGGTCACCCCGCCAACTGAGTTCGAGAAATCCGGGTCGCGAGAGTGACCACCACATTTAATGGCAAAGTTGCACCAAGAGCCAGTGAGAACACGAAGAGCGGCAGCAACGTCGGTCTTGTTGGAAGGCTCAAAACGGCATGCGTACTGGACTTCATTTTGCTTTGCGTCCCAGAGCGTGAAGTTGTCTTGACCGTAGTAATGTACGGCTGTAGGTCCAAATTCACTGTGCAGGATGCTGCACTGGGAGCATCTGCAGTTAGCATAGGAACAGAAACTCGATCAGAACTGTTGAAAGCAACTGTACTCACAGCCTTTTGGCAGTTTAGTGAGGTGGGATCGTGCTGAGCCATAAGTGTGCTGGCGCTCGAAACAAGCAACCACACTGGCAATGTCCATGGTAGGTGCATAACGAAGGTTTCGTGCTATTACAAGACTGCGAATGTCAGAGATAGTGATGAAGGTGGCAGTATTGAGGGTGAAGATACCAGAGGAGAGAAGTGGAAGCAGTGGTAATTAATACTTTGACCCGTCATCAATTAAGCCGTTTCATTCACTCCATCACCCTTGGCTGTCTCCCCACGCCGACGTACGCGCATCCTCATAATGCCGTATCTCCGTTCTCTAGAGCATCGTTGTGTGAGTAATGACTTTAGTTGATTCTCAACAATACTGTAGAATCGTCCTCCGGTCCTTGGCATCAAGGATATCGTGGGGGTTGTATGAAAATACTGCTTGATGCATAGATAGGTTGAGTCAGTCCTTTCCACGCCCATGGTCCATGGGGAAGTTCGTCGCTAGTGCAGGCTGATGACAGCTGCATTGGCCAGCGTTAAACCAATGTTAAGATAAAGAAGGGTCGCGAATCGACTCCCTGAACCCTGCGCATCCGGCAACAAGAACGGAAAGGGAATGGTCCACTTCGCGGAACCTTAGGAACACCCTTATGCAGGATGATGACAGCCGCATTAGCTTGGCTACAAAGCCCATGGGCTCTCCTGGCATGCCAAGCGACGAATGAGTCGCGGGATCGATTCGTTAGCCCCGCATAACGGAGCGACAAGGGACTTAAAAGGGAATGGCTCACCGCGTAAACCCCAACACTTCATCTGCTTGTATCATCAGGCTGCATGAGGATCGTCTTTATCCTAGTTCGAGTTCAACCTACGACGTGAACCACTGTCGCCATCTGCTCGGCTGACGAAGCCTACATTGCGTTCTATCATGGCAAGCTCAGGTATCACCGGTACTGGTGCACGAGCTAGTAGCATGGCGGGTATGTGGATTAGGGACGAGGCTGACTGGTCGGGCATATCAGACCCGAAAGCGAGGAGGAAGATTCAAAACCGGCATAATCAGCGAGTACTCAGTATAGTGCACTAACTAATCAGGAATCGATCTGAGTTGACTAATGCTTGACAGGATTGAGAAGACGGAAAGGCATCGAGTGTCGTAAAACCGTTGCTCCCAATGGCGCGCAGCTGGTGGCCTCTTCGTTGTCCTCAGCACAGCAGGGTCATATGGACCTTGACATGAAAATCATCGCAGACGCTATCAGAAGTGTGAACATCCTGGCCATTGATTCTGAACATAACCGAATGGTCATGCGAGATTTCGAGGCTTTCGCGCGCCGATGCTATGCGGCAAGCGCGCCAGCAATCACATTCCGACCAAGTTTATCGCAGTTCAATTTCATCCGAGCGTTGTGGGCAAATGTCGAAGTCTTGGGGCTTTCGTCAAGGCAAATGAGTGACGATGACGCACTATCGCCCTTCAATTCCTTGGAGTTCAAGCAAGCCGATGAGCCCGCATCACTTGAATCACGACTTCCAGCTGGATTACGACCGACCAATCTCCAACACTCTACATTGCATCATCCCTGGATCGATTTGCTCCCGATTCCTGAGATGCGCGATAACCTATTTCGACGAGGTCTCGATTCTTTCGACGAGGAGAAACTTTGTCATGATATGCGTGGACAAGTTCATCAGGACCCCGGTGTTCTTGTTTGGCGCGACCCTTGGGATCCCACCGGCTGGGAAATAACAGAGCCCTTTGTCCGTTCTTGGGGCTGGACCATCGTAGGCTGTTGGGACCTTTTCCGTTCCACCAATCGGTGGCGCGCACTGCGAGGCGAGAAACCACTTTTTCGAGTTCCCTCGGTGAGGAAATAACAGTCTTATTTTGTACGTGTCAGCCCTCTTGATTAATGAATCTAAATAACCGTATGTCACTTTCTCAATCTAGACCACCTTCTTGTAACCTTAGTACATTATCATACAGACTTCGCTTCGAATAGTCAGCTGCCTATTAGAACTTTTGCGAACTGCAACGATTGCACGAGGATCAGCAAAAGACAGTATCAGGACGAGGCTTTGGTGCCATATCAACTTACACAACTCAATTCTTGATAAGCCTCATTTAAAATATGGAGAACCTTGTACCTAACCATCTCGTTCGCACTCGCCTAGTCTAATTCTACTTTCTTGACCATACCCTTTGACTTGTGCCTGTACCTTCTAGACTCCATTTCCACACCTTTTGGAAAACTCACTTGCCAGGAAGGCCTCGTCTGGGAGCATTAATTTACTAGCGTCCTATTACATTGCCTGGTGTGTGGAAGAATGCTGGTCCCCAAGCGGCTTCGCAGTGTCAATGACTTTTCTCATCTGATTTTTCTCTTCACTCATTAAGTCCATATCCCTCGAAGCCCAATTCTCCTCCAACCACCTCGACTTCGTTGTGTTAAGTATTGCAACCATTTCTTGAGAACCAACCCAGGCAAGCGCAATCTGGGATGTAGGGCAGCCCTTTCGTGCTGCGAGCTTCTTAATTTCCTCGATGATGGCTCTGCTCTTGTAAAAGTACTCGCCCTGAAATTTGGGAGCTTTTACGGCGGTCTGTAAGTGTGAACTCTAGAGGGGAAAGAAGTTGGCTTACCTGCACGTCGGAAGTCGTCTTCTGCATAGTCATCGGGCGAATTGTGGTTGAATTCGTCCACAACCCATCCGTGACCTAGAGGGCTGAAGGCTACGTGTGCTACCCCGAGCTCTTTCGCCGTGCCGATCAAGCCGTCGGTCTCGTGCATTGTTTCAAACGCAGAGTACTCGGCCTGAACAGCATCTATCTTGGCGACTTGCAACTCAGTCAGTGGATTTTGCTTCATCAAATTGGTTATTCGTGACTCAATTGAGTTGGTTTTGTGCAATGCCTCAGACGAGTTCTCTGGCACTCCAATGTACTTTGTCTTTCCAATTTTGTGAATTTCATCAAGAGCTGGAATAAAAATCTTCGATAGGGATGTTTGGGTCGATTCTGTGGAGTTAGGACAGATTTGGAGTCAAACTAAGTCTCTCAATAGTGCCTTCAATGTACTCCTTGATATGGCTGGGAGAGTTGTCTACGCCTGACTCTTTGTTGAAGCACTTGAGACCGCACTTTGGGGCGACTAGAAAGAAGCAATCATCCCCATTAGAAAATCTAAATGGAATAAAAGGGCACCAGAAGAGGAAAGCCAAGGGCTGTAAACCGCCCCTCGACAGTTCTTTCCAACAGCCGAGATCAAATGTGGGTTTTCCGCAAGGTTTCCATATTATCTCATCATACTTTTTGAACGGCTTCCGACAAAAAACGCATTTCTTCGCACCTGGGCAGTTTGAGATAGTCTAGCGATGTATTCCTCAGTAGCCATACAGTGAAAGAGGTAGTTAGGATCTAGCCTCGTTCGTTGACTGTGCTTATTTGAGATCACCTGGATGATAGTAGTTCAAAGACCAGGGCTGTGTTGACGAAGCCAGACTTGGTAACCGAGACCACGACTAAGGAAACAGGCGGAAAACGAAACCCTCTAAAGCTTGGCTATTTTGTGGTTAAGAATCGGAGTGCTGATGACACTTCCTCTTCACTCTTGGAAAGTGCCAGTGCTGAAGGGGCGTTCTTTTCTGACCCTGCCTGGTCAGCCATCATTACACGCTGCGGCATCACTGCGTTGAAAACTTGACTTCGAGAGCTGCTTATGAGTATATCTAAAGGGTTTTACTAATTTCAAGGCCGAAATTGAGCAGAGACTTCGTCAACGCAGCGAAGATATCGCATCGATGGGGTCATCTAGAGCCGACCCTACGCCTCTCAAAGGCTTTATCTGGCCCGGCTCGCTGCTAGATATCAGAGCGTCACACAAGCAGACCTAAATAGATTTTACGCTGGCGAGTCGATCTTTAAGTCGCAGCCTGACCTAAAGCTTATAACCAAGGTAATCAAGTTGAACAAAGTGTTCTCCAATATCATGTGGAAACGGGGTCACAAACAGCATTTCAGTCCAATATGGGAAAATGAAGGGGAAAACTCAGTCGGTAGTACGCTTGATGGGCTCCCCTTTGATACTATTGTCGCAGAGTATCTCGAGTTCCACGTTGTATTGGTTGAAGAAGGATATGAATGCCCTAAGCCTCATAAGGGACCTATAGTGGCCAATATCGCGGGGTGTTCGAATCAAGCAGTGGCCTAGAACTCGGAACGTTTTGTTTATATTTCAAAGTGTTTTTGGTCAAGCTAACGCGTGCTAGTTTGGAGGAGCTATGCTCGCTACAGTTTTTGAGGATGAATCCAAACAATGGGACCACTAGCACTTTCACACACGAGCAAGGTAGTCACGCTTGTGCATGACTATATCCTTGGAGTTCTCGCTCAGGTTTGTCCAGATGAGCAAGCCCGAAGTCGCTTTTTGGATTCTCTCCTCGTGGACAGACTACTTGAAAGGTACCTTCGAGCTCTGGATCAGATGCCTTTTCTCCTCACCATGAAGCGTGGCTCAAGACCAACAACGTTCAACCATATTTTAATGCGAACCTGAAAAAGAGACGCAGTGAGCGTGTGACTGAACAACTTAGGCCAATGACTGTTACTTTCACAAAATATGGGGACGAATACGTACCATTACGACAAATAGGGTTATCTGCTGTTGACAAAAACAACAGTCAGCAAGTATGCAAAGATATTCTCGATAACTTGTCTAGCCATTATAAGATGGCTCAAAAACTATTTGTTGACGTTGTCTTTCAACAGGCTATATTTTGCTTTCTCCTTGAAGGTATGAGCAATCTACTACAAGTGCTGGATGCCGATCTACTCATGAGCCTTGATGATGCCCAGCTTGAACTGATTGATGGGGAGGACGGGGACTCGAAACCACTAAGGCATGCAATTGGGCGAGAGAAAGAAAAGCTAAGAAGCTGCCGCAGCGGTATTTGGTACGTAATCAGACTGTTCCTCCAAGGTGCGCTGAGAGTCCGGAACTAAAGGTTTCCGCAACCTGTCATTTCCCAGAGTGTTGGTGCCACAATTTTAACGGTCCAGACTCTGAGAAGTTCACAGAAGTTCTTCCTTAGCTGCTACATTCGGAGCTGTCGGGCAAAGGTCAGTAAGGCCTGACTGCTGCAACTGAACCTGCTAAGTAAATGGTGATTATAAATAACATCTCAAGGTAGCCAGTTTGGTAGTCACACTTCCAGTTCTTCGTGCACAACAATCCGGGCTCGAGCATCTAGGGCCAACGGTTCGATCCATTCTTCCATCGTTGCAATATGCGCTTCAACGGTTCTCGTTAGTGATAAAACCTGGCGGTAAAGCTCTTCGTTCTTCTTCCCGCTTTTTGAACATTTGCTGATCATTCAATCAGAGTTGCTTATGTAGGATATGTATGTTCTTAATGGAAGCCACCGCAAGGTGCGTAGCAAACTGTGATCTTAAATCTGCGAGCCTTAGTCGCTTTTGCTCCTTCTCTTTCTCATTCCAAAGGCCTTTGGCGGCTTTTCTCAAGGCTCGCCACTTTTTGCCTTGGTTTTATGGCTTTGGCAACGGGAGTGCTCCCCTGCGTTCGCGGCAGATGTTGCGGATTTTGTCTGTCAGCTGCTTTAACCCGGCGACATGATTGATTTCGAGTTGTCCTGATTCGAAGTAATCAAGTAATGATTCCATACTGTTCAAGATACCGAAAATCTCTTGATCCTCAACTAGAATGCCATCAGCCGAATTGGCCAGCCTGATTGCCAAGGACAATAGCTTCGAGCCACTGTCAATGAGTTGGAAAACATTGCCGACAACACCCAACACAGCTGCGGACTCCATGAATGCGACAGGATAACGATTGAAACATCGATGAGCATTAGCTTGTGTGCACGACTGCTCAACATAATAGTAAGAGATCATGCGGTAAATCAGGCTGCAGACTCAATGTGAGGGGTATTGCCCAGCGCCAACCGTCCAGACAGCTGCAAAGCCCGGCCATGAAAGCTATTGGCCCAACGTTTGAAATGCTGTCAATTAGGTCGCAATATATACGCATGGTATCAAGTAGAAGACAAAAGATGTTTTATTTCGTTTCGAGAAAATCTTCAAGACCCTGCGACCAAGTAGATATCCAATTGATGCCGTAGTCTGCCTTACAACCTCTCGTTTTCTTGCAACTCATGAACAAGCACGCGAGGTCCTTTTGGAACGATGATGGGCCCTTGGATGCCCAGTACCCGGGCTCTCCCCTTACTGTAACCCCTCTTGTACTCCGAAATCCAAGTCTTAGTAGTATTGAAAAAGGCCCCATGCGTCCTCTCTCCCCGGTCCCAGTAAAGACGTCGAAACCAAAGGTGCAAGTTTGGATAATCATGCCTTATCGTGCCCCAGTTGCACAGGAAGACGGTCACATAACCAACATCAAACCTTGCAATGGTCGGAAACAGGCGAATATCGGCTTCTGTAATATGATCTCCAAGTAGAAAAGGCCGGTCCTTCAAGATATTCTCCAAGCGGTCCAGCGACTGAAACAAATGCTCGAGATTTTCCTCGTAAGCATTCTGTGTGAACGCAAAGCCGCACTTGTAGACGCCGTTGTTGACAGTGTGGTACACCCATTCATTAATCTCGTCAATTTCTTTCCGCAGGTTTTCGGGATACAGTCCACCGCCGGGCTTGTTTACTTCGCGATCCTCCTCAGCAAGCAGATGATCGAACTCGGTGTAGAATGTGCGGATAATCTCACTCGACTCGTTACTGACGAGGGTGTGCGTCTTCTTGTCCCAAAGCACAGGCACCGTCACGCGGCCTTCATAGCCTGGGCTGGCCTTGAGATAGAGCTCTTTGATCGTTTTGAAGCCGTAAACAGGGTCTTCGGGTAGAACACCAAACTTGGCGGCTTCGGGGGAGTCGTTGAATTGCCAGCCATCCTTACCCATATCCAGATCGACAATATATAGGTCAATGAAGTCCTCCAGGCGCTTGAGAGCGCGAACAATCATGACCCTGTGGCACTAATTCTTTCGTGAGCATGAAACCAGGGCAACGCGGGTTTGATCTTTGCGGGTGGCTTACCCATGGACATCCAGGGCTCACATAGAGGGCGTAACGGCCCTTTTCAGCGGGAAACTTCGCATTTGGGTCCTTGGAAATGAAGTCACGGAACCGAGCTTCTGTGCGCTCGAATCCGCCGCCTTTTCCGGGCTGGTACTTGATTGGGTCCTTCTAGCACAAGTTAACAACAGCCCTGAACTTAGTGTGTAGATAGTGCAAACCTCTTCGCTCATATTGATCAATGTATTGTTCTTGAAACTATAGATGCAAAGTTTAATATCAAAGATAGAGGTGAGTTGTCAAAGCTGAACAGAGTGCAAGCGTTTCGCTTTTGAAGACAATATAGAGCCGGAGGGATGCCTGATTAGTCAAGGGTGCGATGAAGAGGGGTTGTTGTAAATCCCACATTATGCTACATCAAGAACGTCAAGACAACGTGCAGATGTTGGTGCTGTAGAATTGACTTTCTTCATCCCCACATGCAATTGTTGCGTCAGTCCCGCGCGGTTCGGAATTCCGAAAATATGCGACGCGCGAGAGCTACCTTAAACCGCTTTGTCACCCGCAGATATCACAGCGATCATTTGTCAGCTTGCGAACGATTGGTTTGTCTACGAATGCCTAGCTTTGATGTATTAGAAAGGATTCGACCGATTGCATGAGCAAATCAAACAAGTCAGAAATGATGTAAATACGTTTTTGACCAATTCAAGGACGAAAACCTCCATATCCATGGGCTTCGCTGCATACCGTAATGTGATGTCAAGATCGAGCCATATTATGCCACAAGACGGCCAATTATGCTGAGATCCTTTGCTGTCTTACTTCTGCTATGCACATCTATCTATAAGTCTAGTCCTTTCCATAGCTTCTATTCGTCCAGCTGTTTAATTATTTGCCCAGTCTCACAGCAATCTTTCTTCCTCACTCAGTCCGGCTTTCCACTCTTTATAATTGAAACCAAGCTCCTCTAGTGTCGTGACTTCATGTCTTTTATCGCCCAACTTTCGCGATGCGATCTTAATGAGGGGAAACCGTTCTCTTGTCCACCTCTTCTCATCGTCCCAGAAAGGAGGAATCTTACCCACGCCATCATTTTCCAATCCGGGTCTCTTGTCAGCTTCAAGACTGCGGGCGTGTAGCATGTTGATGTACTCTAGATCCTTAGGGAATGCCAAGTTATGCAGGAGCTTATTCTCCCCCTTCTCCTTGAGCATCTGCGCCTCCCACTCTCTCATCTCAATCCTGCTAGGCAAACGCAATCTATCTGCCCATGCGCGCGCAACCCACGCTCCCTGGCCTTCAGCGACAGGGAACGGCACGATGCGCTGCGGAATGCCAGCAAATGCTAGCGTGGGATCCTCAATGTACAGCAGATGTTGGTAGAGATTGCGCGCGTAAGCACCGTCAGTGATGACAGGCGGTGAGAGGTCGCGGAGGAAGGGGAAACTGTAGAAGTATCCCGTGCAGAAAACGACGCCGTCGACGTCAGATTCGATGTCGCCATTTGCCAGGCGCACTTTGCGGCCCTCGGGAATGAACTCGAGGATCTCGGGCACCATTTTGGCCCAGTGTGAGCGGTCTTCGGCAGGGGTGTTTGGTGTGGACTTTTCGGAGACAATGACGGGGAGTTTGGCAACAGTTGAGATCTGAGAGCTCAGGTCGATACCAGAGGCCGAGTTGCCCACAACAATGACTTTCTGTTATACGTAGTTAGTATCTCATGAAGTCGTGTGTAGAAAACGATGCGCAATCTCACCTTTCCTTCATATTGAGCAGGATTTCTGTAGAACTTGGAATGTGAGATGGTTCCTGGATGCGCTTTATCAAAAGCGGCGAGGCCCGGAATATCGGGAATGAAAGGATCATTGTAGTGACCACTCGCCACCATGACAGCATCAAATTGAGCCTTGCTAGTCTCTTCTGACTTCAGGTCCCGCGTCTCAATTTCCCAGCACATTTTATTCCCACTTTGTACTTTTTTCAACGACAACACTTGTGTCGAGAGTGAAATAATAGGCTTCAGCTCTTCAGCATAATCCTCTAGGTACTTCTTCACTGTCTGGTGAGGAGGGAAAAGCGAAGCATCTGAAGGGAACTTCTTGTCGGAGTAGTTCATGAGTGTGTGGGGAATGTTTGTCTCCAAGAAGTCATAGACGGGTGAGACAAACTGCTTGGCCTCATGGCCCTCAACTGCAATGGCCGTGTCCGGATTTCTCGTTGGCCGCGTCCTAGGGATGCTGAAGTCATTGTCGATTACATTAAGAGAGCTGTATGTCCACACGCCGCCAACAGTATCTCTCTGCTCAAAGATCTGAACGTTGGAAAACTTCTTCTCGGCCAAAAGGTACCTATAAGACTAGGGTCAACACCTGTAATTGCGCTGGGCCTGGTCTAAGGAACAACTCACTTCGCAGTTGCAAGCCCGCACGGCCCGGCACCGATGACGGCCACCCGATCGACGTTGAGCTTATCTTCCGTATACATGGGAGACATGGTTGCGGGGTATGACCGACTGGGAGTGGGACGAGTTGTGGAATAGCAGCAAAGAAAAGATGGTGGTGACGAGGGGTATTGTCGCGCCGGTGCACACTTCGGAGAAGAGCCGTGATGGGAGAAGATAACGGTCTTAAATGGGTAAAAAACTAGCGAGAATCGTTTAAACTGTCGAGAAAACATCAGGCGATTCCAGTCTCATATCTTCAGACTTTGGTAAAAGGTGATGAGCTTCAGCTGGGGGTTAGTATGATTTAGAATCGGGCGAAAAGCCCGCACGAGAGAACGGCGACCGACGCCGGTCGGCCTTGGCCCGACTCGTGCGAGGATTGGCATTGCTAATTTGTGCGAGTCGTGCGAGGGGATATGCCACACACACACCCATCTTTCAGAAAGTGTGGGTGTGTTTTTGGGATGAACTGCTAGCAGTCTGTTATGCAAGTCATGCACATTCCATCTTACGTACCTCTTGGCACTTGAGTATGCCTGCTTGGTATTCTTCAGCAACTTGAGGCTTACAATTGCTCTTTGATGATACCACTCACTTCCTCTCTCATGCCCCCTTATCGTGAAGAACTAGGATGAGAAGAAAAAAAAGAGATTTGCCAAATTATTCCCGAATGACGCATCCCCGACAGCGGGGCTAAACATGGGTTTACTACTGGAACAACGTACCCAAAAAGAATTCTCATTCGTCCGTCCTTCAGAGCCATGACAATGGCGTGCTCAGTGCCCGTTTGACTCGTGCTTTTTGCTCATCGCTATCAACCTTACTGCCGAAGGGCCTAGGTAGTAGTAGTACATAGTGCCGGGTGCCAATTCAAACGCTGGTAAAATGCTAATCGGATCTGCGTGGACTAAGCAGACTGGGTTGGATTGCGACGTTGAGAGGGGGGGAAAAGGTCTGCATTTCGCACAAAGATATCGCGCACTTCTTCATCGACATCCATAGGTGAGATTTTGGAGTAGCTGCTGCATTACAGAACATATTGAAGATAGATGAGCCTCCAATATGGCTTTGAACAAGGCAACATAATAGCGGAGAGGTCACCGACTCAGACAGCCCCCCCCCACGACACCCAGGCAAATCTTCTGCAGGCCCCCTTATGCGACGTGGCCGCGCACAGCTACCGACTCCGACTGATTGATCGATCGACCGCGTCGGCCTCTCGCCGTCTCCCGTCACCGGGAACCGTCGCAATGTCGCCCGAACAGATCAAATCCAACATTCACCGCTTCCGCATCCGACGAACATCCCCATCTTCCCCATCCACTCTACGCCGCTCGGCTTCCCCGCCCTCCCTACCCCGTGCGCCTCGGCCGCCGTCTCTATCATCATCGGCAGGGCCAACGCGGGCTCCGGATATTGGTGCTACTGATGTCTCATCTTCGGAGGCAGCGGCAACAACTATTGTAGCGACGCCGCTTCAGCCCCCTACATCGTCCTTACTGCCCAGTCCTACTACCTCTGCCCCGGGACTTCCTCAGGCTAGCGCTCCTCCTAATGTTGCGAATGCCTCGGCATCCATGGCCTTGGCGGCCTCCGCTTCTTCGCCAAAGGCTGTTCGAGATATCCCCGCCTGCGACCGCTGCCGCAGTTTCAAGAAGAAATGCAGCCGCACGTTTCCAGTCTGCACACTCTGCGCCAATGCCGGGCACAAATGCTCCTTTTCAACGCCTGCTGCCTCCGCTGCCGCCCAAGCGCATCATCTACGGGCGCGGATCGAGTGGTTAACGCGCTTCATCAACGACAGCCTACCGGTGTCAGGTATTCCCGGGGGCGGCGTTGAGGCAATTGATACGGGGGCTGATCTGGCGTCACTTTTGGGCTCGTCACCCGGCGCTGTTTCTCAATACCAAGGCCAACCATTGGACATCAATCCGACGACACCAGCAAACGGAGCCACACCAGGATCGGTCAGTGTTGGGAGTATCCGTGGAGAAGGACGGGATACATATCTGCCGCATGGGAATGCCGGGTCTGTCGTCTTTGATCAGCGAAGCTTGGCAGTGAACGTCGACTCAGAGTCTCCTTCGTCAAGGGGCAATGAGCATATGCGCGCTCTGCTCCAACCGGCGCCCGAGCCGGGGAGGATACTCGGCATTGAATCCATCGGAAAAGAAGGCTTCTCATCCTCCAGTCTGCCGCGAGATGCCATAGCTCGTCGCTTTGTGGATGCGTACTTTCGGAATGTCAACCGAGCGTATCCCTTTGTGAATAGGACCAAGGTTCTGAGAGACCTCGAGAACCTAGGAGAATCCTCAAAGAGGCAGAGGGACGCGGACACAACGTTGCTATACCTTATCATGGCCATTGGGTGCACAACGTTGCAACGAGCTGGCCAGATGCCCAACGATGCGACGTCCAAGTTTGACGTGGCGTATGCCGATATAATCCAGGAGTGTCTGGCGCGAGAAGATCTAGAGTCAATCCAGATTCTAGTGCTGGTTGCATTGTACTCGCTCTTTGACCCCAATGGTATCTCCACTTGGTCGATAGCTGGCATAGTTTCCCGCCAGGCCATGCTACTTGGCCTGAGCCGCAGGTCGTCCGAAGATAGGTCGTTGTCTGCAATGGATATTGAGTTGCGTCACCGTCTGTTCTGGAGTATTTACGTCCTCGATCGGATGATGGCCATCTCACTTGGCCTGCCCGTGGCTCTTATCGATGAGAATATGGACGTCCCATTACCCGGACTCACTATTGAGGAGTTTGCTTCCCCAGATCGACAACATTTTGCGTCGATTCTTCAGACAAACCGGCACGTAATTCAATTAAGGCAGCTAGAAGACCGGATCCTCCGCCAAATACATACCAGGAAGCAGGCGGAGGTTGCGGCCCTTTCTCCAGCAGACCGCCGAGCTATCGTTCAGAACATCAGATCCGAGATCGAGAACTGGTACAGCAATGGCTGCCTTGTCTCCCCATTGGAGCCGGACAACGTTCCAATCCATAATTCAGTCACCTGGCTGAGCGCACGCTACTACCACCTCCTGTTGCTGCTCCATTACCCGTGTCACTTCAACTCATGCGGCTCTATTGTTTCCGCAGTCGAGCTTCTACGTTTCGCTCAAAAGCACCTCCAATCAACTTCAGTCCTACTCCAACAGCGCCAGCTGCCTCTCAACCGCGTAACTTTATGTCGATTGTTCCCGGTTGGCCTAGTACTTATCCACAGCTTTATCGCTTGCGCCGCTGAGTGCACCTCCTTCTCAGCCAGAGACGAGGTTGCTGTCATCGTTAGCATTCTTGAGGCCTTCCCGGAGGGTTGGGCTCAGGCGCGCCAAGCTGCTCATGTCTTTCGTCAGTTCATGAGTCTCATATCCGGCGTGCCGAACAATGGCTATACAACCCTTCACTTCCCCAGCAACAACAACAGCATCTATGGCAACGGCAACAGCGGCCAACTAAGTTCGTCGAGAGAGTCGTACCAGGCCATGGTAAGGCCTATAATTACGGGACTGGTAGCTTTGATGCAGGAAGTTCTGGGTAAATCTACGTGCTATGCTTTCCATGAATGGCCAGATGATTGTGGTGGTCAACCGGCGACGGCAGGCTTCAGGGGGCAGACAGCGTTCTCGCCGACTGGCACAACGCGGCACTCTGCCGCCGTGGGCAATGAAGACGCTTCAATGGATTACGGTGGTTGGGGCTCACTAGAGCTTGGGTTCCTTTAGTTATTAGATTTTCTCTCTAGCGGTGCAGCTTTTCATTTCCAGATACCATGGTTCTCTTCTAATTAAGCATCAAGAGGGTACCTTTTGCTCGCCATATCTCGGCCGTAGACAACTACGACTAGTTGGGGGTAAACATAGATTTTTGTTCATTTTAGGCACTCTTAGATGTTCAAGTAACTTCGGATCTTGGGAAGTACCACTTCCGGCTTCTCGGCGTGGACCCCATGGTTCGCTCCTTCAACCAAGAATAATTCAGCTCCGGGCACTCTTTCGGCAATCAGTTTTGAGTTTTCTAGAGTAAAATAAGTTAGCACCGGTTCCCAGCCAACTGAAGTTGCAATCCAGTTGCCTGATCCCTTACCTGGGGGGCAAATCCAGTCCTTAGCGCCGACAATGACCAGCGTCTTGGCAGTAATTTGAGGCAAACGGTCCGTATAATCGAAGTACTTCTCTTTTTCGGAGTAAAGATCATCTGCATACTAATAAGCTTTTTATTCTGGCCTGGAGGAGTAGCAGTAAGCTCACTGTGCGATTCAGCAACATATACGCCATCAAGAGCACTTTTCAATGCAGCATCAGGATCGAAGACTTCCCGGTACAGCGGCATCATAGCAAAGTATATGAGCTGAAATTCGCGGTCGCTCTCGTATGCTCCAAAGACCTTGTTTTTAAGCATATCAACAGAGAAGCTAGGGACCTTGTGTATCCTCTCTTCCAAAGTCCGTATCGCGCCGGCTTCATCTAGATGCGAGGTTCAGCAACTAAATGCAACGGAACCCCAATTTGGCGAATGCTTACGATGATGAGATGGAGCAGTGCCCCTAAGGATAAGGTGCGAGACATGCTGGGCGTACTTAATCGCATAGTGCTGTGCCAGAAACCCGCCAAAACTGCCACCGCAGATGATGACTTGCCTGTCTCCAGCAAAGTGTTGCCTGACGCCTTCAATGTCGTCAACTATCTGCTCAAATGTGTACGGCTTGGTTCTAGAGCTCTGGCCATGCCCGCGGTAGTCGAATGACAAGACCCGGATCTTATCGCTTAGCTGGCTATACACTCTGAAATCTGATCTATGGTCGCCTTTGACGGCACTTTAGCCTTATAGTCCTCTGCTCGACAGTTTATAAGACGTTGGAGCTCACCAAGTCCCCGCCCTCCATGGAGAGTTATCATGAGTGGTGCATCTTCAGGACCCGCGATACGGTATGCCAAGTGGGCGCCGTTAATGTCTACGAAATCAACCATCTTGAAGCAGAATCTTCCGAGACGAGGTGTTGCCGATGGTACAAACTGAGAGTCAATGATTCCTGACCACTACCGAGTGACGACTGACTGCTGAATTGGTTTATGATATCGCACAAGCTCGCCCAGTTACTGAATGATGCTTCAATGGTAGGTGGTGGTGCCATGAGTAGCCTATCGCACGAGAAGCCGAAGCAGCGGGGTTGGAGACTCTAGCGGCAAACGAAAGATAAGATGGGGCAAAGTGACTGTGCGAGTAACTTCCGATGACCGGTCGGGAAAACCGGACAGAGTCCGACACAAACTACCGAAAGGGGTAAAGAAGCAGGCCCCTCCCCGATTCCACATCAAAGGGAAATCCACCCTATCGCCCCGATAGCAAAATGTTCGTTTGTTTTGGCGTTCCATTGTACAGGTTTTATCAAACGCTACTGAACGGGAAACCGATGTCGTGATTGACCCAGAAAAACTCGTTACCCAATAAGTTTTAGGCTCTATTCCATCTTTGGGAAGCCTTCAGGGAGGGATTAGCCATCATAAAGATCTGCTTGCTGCCCAGTCCCAATCTTTCACTTGCAAGGAGTTCACCGAGCAGAACTTTTTTGTTCATCAATCCTGGGTCCCACGTGTTCATGAAGTGGCATTCCGTTATATTTCGCTGCTTGTAGAGTCACCAGTACAGCAGGCCGAAGTCGACATGGCGAACCCTGACAACACAATCAAAGCCGTCGACCGAGTTGAACCGGTTCAAGACAAGGACGGTGCCTCGACGGTGTCCGCTGCCGCTGCCGATACGAAGCCGGAGCCCCCACAACAGCCTGAAGCGGCCGGATGGTTCCACTGGCATGAGCCGGGCACATCGCCCGAGGAGAAGAAACTCATTTTCAAGCTGGATTGGTTTCTATTGAGCTTTGGCTGTTTAATGTATTTCATCAAGCAGGTAAATTTGTCTCTCTCTACCGATGTATCTTTCCTTCCGCTGATTTCCTTGCTTTAGCTTGACCAAAATAACATCTCCAATGCTTACGTCTCAGGCATGTCCGAGGAGCTTGGCTTCGGTCCCGGTAACGAATTGTCATGGATGAACACATACTTCAATATTGGCACTATCATCGGCGGCTCTTTCGCAAACCTAATCATCACCGTCGTGCGCCCGCGGTACTGGTTGAGTGGCTGCTTGTTCGTGTGGTCCCTCTTCGTCTTGTTTCTATTCAAGTGCAACAGCGCGCATCAGTTCTACGTCCTGCGCTTCTTCATCGGGCTTTTTGAATCATCCGCCTGGCCTGGTGTCATGTATACTCTTGGTTCCTGGTACCGCAAGAGCGAGCTCGCTCGTCGCTCTGGCCTGTTTGTCATGAGCGGCGTCTTGGGGCAGATGTTTTCTGGGTATCTCCAAGCAGCTCTTTACAGCGGCATGGGTGGAAAAGGCGGTTTGTCTGCATGGAGATGGCTCTTCATCTTCGACTTCATCCTTGCTATTCCTGTCGTCATCTACGGCGTCGTAAGTAATCGGCTCGCTTCATTAGCACGCGACAGATTCGCTAACTATGGGCAGACCTGCTTCCCAGATACCCCTCACACAACCCAAGCTTTCTACTTGAGCGACTGGGAAAAGGAACGCGCACGCCAGCGCATTGAAGAAGAGGGCCGCAAGCCCGTCGGAAAGATGAATTGGTCCGTCATTGGTCGTGTGTTCGGCTCGTGGCAAGTATACGCCTTCACGGCGGCCTACTGCTTCTGGACACTCACCTGCGGTTCATACATCATCCAATACTTCACGCTTTACCTCAAGTCGACCAAGTTCTACACCGTACCACAGATCAACAACATCCCTACCTGCATCGGAGCCGTCAACTTTGTGTTCATGATCTCAACTGGCTTCGTCGCCGACAAGCTAGGCCGGCGCGGCCCTGTCTGTTTCGCCGTCGGATGTTTGCTGACATTTGTTTACGCCGTTCTCGCGGCATGGACTGTGCCGCACATGCTTCGAATGGCAGTGTTCATTCTCGCGGGCTGCTACGGCTGCTACACGCCATTGCTTGCGGGTTGGGCGAATGAGGCATGCGGAGGTGATCAACAGAAGCGCGCTTTCGTGCTCGGATTCATGGTGTCTGTCGGCCAGGCTGTTGTTATTCCGTTTCAACAGCTTCAGATGCCTAGTGGGCAAGCACCTGCTTTCTCCAAGACGCATGGATGGGAGAGTGCATTGGCGTTCGTCGTTGCGTTGACAATTTGGACTGGTGTTGGGCTGCCGTTGCTACAGAAGTGGAGGGAGTCGAGAGTGAAGGTTAGCACTCACGAAAGCGATAGCGAGGAAGCTTAACCTTTTACTCAAACTGTTTGTAAAAGTTTATGCTTATTTTAAGAGATTTGATTGAATTGGATGTAGCCAGGTATATAATTACAGATTTGTCTCATTATTAGGTAGTTATCTGCGCGACTAATTGCTGTCGTGATAACATGGAATTTTGCAGAGGGTCGTCTCACACTAAACCATTTCTGCCACTGTCACGAACGTCGTCCTTCAAGAATGTTTGTTTCGCAATCTGATTTTTGAAATATGATCGAGCCTAGACTACCAACATACGCCAGACTGAGTATGCCCAAAACTAGAAACATCGTGCCACCCAGGCGCTGTCTTTGTCACGTTCAAAATCACAGAAGCACAATGCCCTGCGTGTTCAAAGGCGTGCACAACCATATCTGCTTTCGTCCCGAGATTCAATGCAGCAGCTGCTTGAAGCAACATGTACATGCAGTGTACCATGTGGTGTCCAACCGTTGTCCACGCTGGCGTAAGGATATCGAGATAATTCAGTTCGTCATCAGTCATCCTCGTCCCAGGCTTGCCGTCGTCATCCCTATAGAAAACAAACTCTGGTAAGTCACCATCCAGAGCCTTCAAAACAGCGCTTTTAGACGGCTCAAAGTCGGTTTCGCAGTGTGGTGACATCCATCTATTATGCAGCTTGTCAAAAGTGCAGCCTCTTTTTTTCGCCTCAGCAGTTGACGGGCCACACCAGTAGTGTCCTTCAGCAACTTCTGCCTGTTTCATCCACTTCAACACATTTTCTGTGCCTTCATCGGGTTGAGGGTACCGTGATTTTTGCTTCGCAAGAGGGAGAACCAACCAGGTGATTACCAGCGATGCAGCCAGCACGGCTGAAATAAGACGCCATCTCCAAATCGCAACATTCTTTCGTTTCAAGTCGAGCGCGAGTGCTTTCTCGCTATTGTCTTGTTCATATGAATCTTCAATTGGCGAGTATCTCCAGGTTTTTAGAAGATATGTGAAATCCCACAGGTTGACTTGCTTCTTTTTTAACAATCCATCAGCTTCGTTGCTAAATCCGGGAGAGTTTCCAGCAGCGATTTGTTCAAGGTTTCTCATGATGCAAGGTCTCTTCAGCCTTTTCGGGGCATCATCAACGGTGCGACTTGGCTTTCGAGTATTTTTATGAGCTTGATATAATGGAAGTGATTAGCAAATGTGAGCTTCAGCAGGTGAAAATAGTTCAAACGGCTTAGACTCAGGTAAGGTATTACATGGTTCGATAAGGCGGGTCACGGGGAGTTACTGTGAACCCTAAATTCTATCACTGTACTGCAGCGCAGCACGTAGTTCTGCCGCGAAGAAACTTTCCAAAATAAGAGTGAATGGGCATTGCACATTTATAAGATTCGTAGTAGTATGATTAAATAACTGGAGTCCTAGAGGCTGTTCTCGATATCCTGATTCGCTATACGACATTATCGGTGTGCTCGCTTTGATCTCATGCGGTCTTAGTGCTAGAGCATCTCGGTCCGAAGTTGGAGTGTAAACTGATTCGGACCGCGTTTAATTACAACTGCCTTTTAAGCTCAATGTTTTTACCAATAATTGGGTCATAATAGGCCCACATCTATATGAAACAAGTCCGTTTCTTCAAATGAATCCTAGGTAGAGTACAGATACGATCACTGGGACAAACCTCTTTATTTTCGTTAAACATTCTTTTGCTTTCCAGGGCTTCGTGTTCATAATCAGAGAAAGCATGATGAGGCCGAATACATAGGAACAAGGAAGTTGAGTTACTCTTCCAGAACCGTAACGTGGGGTGCACGACGTTGCAGGCTCATGACCTTTTGTGGTTTTGTGTGATTTTGTGTGGTTTTCATACACGTCTCACGAATTGTCTCCCCGACTCATGCCTTATGTCAGGACCCGATGGTATTGCATGTTTTCATCAACGAACCTCGAATGGTTTCTGGAACAAAACGGTCGTTGTTCAAGACATAGCAGCATTTATGAACTGGAAACGGTATGGAGATATTGCGTTTAATAGACACTATGGAGACAATGTCCCAAACTCCCACGAGTTTGTAACGTTTACTGGGCAACCTTGGCGCCCTCCGTGTTGTAAGTGCTAACCTCGATCTCGATGTGACCCTCCAAGTTTCCCAGAGCGAGCACGACAACGGCAGTTCAACAAGGCTAGTAGCCAGTCATATACTTCTTGAAGTCCTGGACGCAGATTTCGAGAGCCTCATCGGTCATGGAGACGTGGTATGAGGTGACACGAAAGACCTGAGACCAGCCCTTGACACCGGCGGTCTTGAGGTTGAGATCAACATTCGTGAAGACCTGCATCTGTTGGGCTCCAAAGGCTAGAACGCAACGATTCAGCTGACTCGATGTGTTTGGCCGCGGATCTGAATCCCTCCGCGCGGACTCGATGCTGGCCTGCTGGGTGTCAATGACGACGGGGTTTCCGCAAGTTTCGGTCAAAATGCATTCGAGCCGTTGCTTGGTCAAGACTTAGGTACTGTTTTGAGCGATCACAATTTGACCCGGCTACGTCGTTTGGCACACAATGTTGACTCTGAATAAAGTTACCTCCCGAGGCGTGTGAGAGCCTTGTCCCCCTAACACCCGATCATTTGCCACCGTTCGTTAACCCCGACTTCGCAGTGTCCGACCCGGACTATGACAACTCGTCTTGGGAGACTCCGAGTATAGGGTCCAAAGCACCCAGCACACATGATCAGTCTCCGCCAAACCACCTCGTATCCCGTGCAACACAGAAAATACAAAGGCATCAGCGTTCCTTACCAGAGGAAAGCACGTCGATGAATGAGAAGCAGAAAGCGTTGATGCGGAGGAGGCAATTGAACAACTTAGCTTCGCGAAGGTGTTGGAAGAAGCGCATGGACCGGATCGCTGACCAGGAGGCCATATTTGGGACGGCTTAACAGAGCGGAACAGCCTACAAATGCAACTCTCCGCAAGGAACGCCGAGGTAGCTAGTTTTAAAGCCGCCCTTGGACTCATCGGTTTCGGATCATGGCCCCATTCTATGCATCTCTGACAACAGCGGCACAAGCGATTATAAACACCAAATAAGTGCATGGATGATGGAGCCTCTGTTGTTGCTGGCAGTCATGCAGACGTAGGTAGGTAATCAACTATTCTCCGGTTCATATAAAATTAGGTCCGCAGGATTGAGATGCAGCTCGACTGCGCCTCTCTACTGAGAAGGTACCTATGTGGTCTGCTCCGCCTGAATCTCGATCTGTTGCTCATAGGTGTGCACCTATTTTCGCGAATACCATCCCAGTAGCCGTAGAATTTACTCAAGTCCTTTTGCAGCCTACGAGAAGTGATTAGCAGCATGGATATTGTTCCGTGGCGTGCTCCCATACTTGTTTGGTAAGCCCGGATTACTGGTATCACATTTTGCAGAGACGACGCCATCCCAACCACTACCCTACACTGCTTCCAGAGCACATTTGTTTTTCCATCCTCCACAAGGTATGACTGGGACTCTCTTTTCACTTATAGTATCTTTTAGCATGCTATTGAATACAGTAGGTAGATTCCAAAGTTCATAGAATTTTATCTTTCTCCTCTTCAGCATCTATGCGAGTGTAGTACTTTGCCTATTCTCGTTAAGGCCTGCTTCCACTACTTTTTCGATGAGCCTTTTCTGAATGTTCTGATTCTGGACGTATGCCAGAGTGAGGAGAATCCGGTATGCCGTATCATCCTCTCGCCGTATATGTTCCATCGAAATGGACCAGATTTCCAGGATGCTGTTTGGAACCTCGCGTCTACGAGGTCGATCATGTTCTGACCTCGCCAGGGTTTTCCACCTCTTCTTCTCTCTCTCTAATCGTGACAGATACACCACTACTGGCGTGGAGGTTCGGCGAATGTAGGCAGCGGCTTGTGAGACTGCAAGAAGGGGGTTGGTCCAACTGTGCCTATAGACTCCCTTTCTCACCCTCCCGACACAGATCGCGCGAGCTTAGGGCGGCGAGTAATCCAGCAGGAGAGCGGCGTTAGCATCCCTAGCCTAATCCAAACAAGTCAAGGCCTGTTGCAGTACGCAACCCCTTTTCGCTGTAATGAGGAGTCACACAAGTGAAGGAGGAATAATTGCTGGACTTAACACTCATATGGAAATGACTATTCATTTTTTTCACCCGGAGAGGCACAGTTTCGTCCAAAGGGCTCGGAAACGTTCTAACCACAGGGTAAGAGTGACAGGGCCTTCCTTGATGTGGCCCGGTTAAGCTCCGGACATGTTGGCAACGGCTTTGCGTTTGGGATGAGTGGAGCTGCTGACAAGTTATTCAGGTTTACAGCTCGTTTCGATGATAATTGCCTCCAACTTAAAACGTCCTCGAGGGTCCAGCCCATCCGTCAGCACATAACAGCAGGGATTTGGATCGCTCCTAAGATCGGCTGGAGGTACTACATTGTATACATATCTATGGGACGAATCTAGTGGTCACATCTTTTCTCAAGGCCACAGTAGTTTCAATGATTAGAACTACCGGTGATGGTGCAGAGCTGGCAAGCTGCCTTATTGTGCTCTTTTGGCTTTCAAACTGCTCTTCTTAGCCAGCATGTGGGTTTGCAAGCCCATCTAGCGCTCTATGCCAGACGTTTGTGTCTGTTGGCCCGGTTGCTCTTGTACGCTGTCGCTCATACGAAATCGCAGTAGTCGTATTGAAAAAAAAAAAAATAAACTCCCACCATGCAGAATGTGATTAGCGATTCCACGAGCCTCTTGGCATCTACTGAAACACTATCACAGGGGAGTTCAAGATCTCAAGCTCGTGCGAGTGTATGCCAATGAGACACGAAGAGTGTTTTTCTTTTTTCCGATGACAGGTATTATGTAGTATTTGGAGAAATATGAATCTTGAGATGAATGTGTTTGTACCTGCTGCCAGTCAGCATTCCATGGGAAAAATCAACCACTCTACATATTGCGCTTCGATATTCAGACTGGGTCTTTTATGGCGAGTGTAGTGTGACGACTAAGTATAGACGGCCACATCCTGCAGTCCAATACCTCCAACTTTTAAACCTAGTAGTCCGTCGTCATCGTTCCAGCAGAGACCCATCTTGCGAGCAAGGGATGCAGGTGCGTATACGTGGCGCAGCCCCATCCAAAGGACGGCTGACATGACAATTTTGAGTTTCAAGTAGATACTCCAAGACTCTCCGCTACGGGCTTCATCTTGCCCAGACACGATGATAGCATTCTACCTTAGTCAGCATCTGTAACTGTTATATCTTTTTAAGGTTAGGAACACTTGTAAGAGCCACCAGAAGTCCAATCGCAGTGGAACTAATCTATGCACAACACTGCAAGCTCTTTATATCCCCTCGAGCGCTACTGGGTTCTATTTCCGCCAAGCCCTTAGAACTCCAGGTTCAGAGCCCCTTTTTCTCCGCACTACAGCCGGTACAGAAGCAGCCAGTCATTTATTATCGTAAGTGTCGAGATACAGCGTTATTTGTCTGTGGAGATTGCTAGTACCCACAGCATGCCTAGCATTACAGAGAATAAATATACTCTCGAAATGAGTAACGTACATGATAAGCGAGTGAGACAGACAAGCGAGTGAGACAGTAAACCGCGACCGTCGCACCTTGACGCGACCGGCACCTTTTCCTCTACAATAAATCATGGAATCAGCTAGTATTGAAAGAAGGTTACAAATTGCCCTTCAAGCAATGAGAAATGACCCAAAACTTAGTGCTCGGGCCGCAGGTGCACTCTATACAGTCAGTCACGCAACATTAAGCCGGCGACTAAAGGGAATAGTCTCACGACGCGACAGCATGCCTAATTCACGGAATTTATCAGATTTAGAAGAGAAGACAATAGTTGAGTATATTCTCGACCTAGATGCGCGATCATTTCCTCCCCGGCTGAGTGGTGTGGAAGAAATGGCCAATCGACTTCTCGCAGAGCGCGACGCGCCTCCAGTTGGGAAGCGCTGGGCTTCTAATTTCGTCAAGCGACAACCACAGCTTAGGACGCGTTTCTTTCGCAAGTATGACTATAAGAGAGCTCAATGCGAAGATCCAGAGGTGATTCGTGGCTGGTTTTCGCTTGTGAAGAATACAATTGCGAAGTATGGTATTGCTGATGCTGATATCTACAACTTTGATGAGACCGGCTTTATGATGGGCGTTATTGCTTCTGGAATGGTTGTTACAAGTGCTGAAAGGCGTTCAAATACGAAGATGACACAGCCTGGCAATAGGGAATGGGTTACAGTTATCCAGGCTATTAATTCCCAAGGGGAGAGCATCCCGCCATACATCATCGTTGCAGGCCAGTATCACCTCTCAAGCTGGTATACAGAAACCTCTCTTCCGGGCGATTGGGCTATTGCAACGTCTGAAAATGGATGGACAACAAACGAGAGAGGTATTGACTGGATCAGACACTTCGACATTTATACAAAACCACGTACGTCTGGGAAATATCGCCTCCTCGTTGTTGATGGTCATGAAAGTCACCACTCCGCAGCCTTCGAGCTCTTTTGTCAAGAAAACAACATTATTACACTGTGCATGCCGGCTCACTCGTCTCATCTACTTCAACCCTTAGATGTTGGTTGTTTTCAGCCGTTAAAGAATGCCTACGGTCGGCAAATTGAGAATAAGATGCGGCGAGGCACAACCCATATCTCGAAGGAAGATTTCTTTGCAGCATTTCACGAAGCTTTTAAGCAGTCTTTTACGAGGAAAAATATCCAGGGAGGTTTCCGAGGAGCTGGACTTGTCCCTTTGAATGCAGAAAGTGTTCTCTCAAAGCTGGATGTAAAGTTCCGAACGCCAACGCCTGAGGAGGGGGTCCCTCAGACACCAGACCCTTGGATCTCTAGGACGCCGAGCAACCCAAGCGAAGCAAGATCACAGTCTACTTTTATTAAGAGTCGAATCTCACGCCACCGAAGCAGCTCTCCAGCATCAATTTATAGTGCTGTGAGTAAGCTAGCCAGAGGGACAGAAGGACTAGGGCATCGGGTAGCATTACTAGAGTCAGAGGTTCAAATCCTTCGAGAGGAGAATGCAATATTAAGTCGGCGTCGAAGGGCTAAGAAAACACGTCTACAGAAAGGAGGAAGTCTTACTATATCTACTGGAGAGGATATACAGTCGCAAAGAGAGGCAGACACGCAACTACAAGAGGAAACGCGACGGAGTAGTGGTCGCAAAGTGAGGTCTGAGACGACTCATCGTCGGTGTGGCGTATGCGGGAATACAGGCCACAACGCGAGAACATGTCAATTTATTAAGGAAACATCCGAAGAACAGGAATCCGAGTAGTATTAATCAATCTAAGATTTCTTGTTATAGATTTCGATATTATTGTCGCGAAGGTCTGGTTTACTGTCTCACTCGCTTGTCTGTCTCACTCGCTTATCATGTACGTTACATGAGTTGTTAAAACCAACAGATATAGCAGCCCTGATCGGCTTCACTTCTCCCTGTAGCACTTGATGGAACAGGCTATAGTTACATGACTAGTTGTGTAGATCTTACAAACTTTATGAGGGCTACGGCTGTAACACTATCCACTAATAAGTTTTATGAATTATTAAGACGGGAATTAATACTTGCTGAATTACCTGGTTTACATTGTTTCTAGTGCTATGAAAATATATAAATAATAGTTTAAGTCCACCTACAGGTTCCTCTAGTTTACATCATTCGATCACTACTATTCAGTCGAACCCACTCCTTCCTACATCACACTCATTCAACAACTGTCCCCTCACTATTCTCGGCCGCCTCAATACCAAACATGATGAAAATCGCCCTTTTGTCTCTCTTCGCCGCCACGTCCGCCGCGGTGGCCCCACCTCGATTCCCTAAAACGCCTGAGGAGTCGTGCCTGAGTCCGTGCCAGATAGTCAAAAGCAATTTTTGCGACGGTTCGAATCCTTCCTTTTCCCAGGGACCTCTACCCCCCGATAGTCCTTTGAAGACTCAGTGTAACTGCCCGGCTTTCAACTTTCCTGCAGGAAACTTTGTCGCAATGACTGACTTTGGGGCGGCCGAGGGTGGCAAAACAATTTTCTGTATATCTTAACAGGATAACTGCCCATCGCTGTGGGGTTTGGACAGTTGGCATGGGGTAAATGTACTGGTATTCGCTTTCTAATGAAGTAGAATGCAAATGAAATAGATTAACGTACATGATAAGCGAGTGAGACAGACAAGCGAGTGAGACAGTAAACCAGACCTTCGCGACAATAATATCGAAATCTATAACAAGAAATCTTAGATTGATTAATACTACTCGGATTCCTGTTCTTCGGATGTTTCCTTAATAAATTGACATGTTCTCGCGTTGTGGCCTGTATTCCCGCATACGCCACACCGACGATGAGTCGTCTCAGACCTCACTTTGCGACCACTACTCCGTCGCGTTTCCTCTTGTAGTTGCGTGTCTGCCTCTCTTTGCGACTGTATATCCTCTCCAGTAGATATAGTAAGACTTCCTCCTTTCTGTAGACGTGTTTTCTTAGCCCTTCGACGCCGACTTAATATTGCATTCTCCTCTCGAAGGATTTGAACCTCTGACTCTAGTAATGCTACCCGATGCCCTAGTCCTTCTGTCCCTCTGGCTAGCTTACTCACAGCACTATAAATTGATGCTGGAGAGCTGCTTCGGTGGCGTGAGATTCGACTCTTAATAAAAGTAGACTGTGATCTTGCTTCGCTTGGGTTGCTCGGCGTCCTAGAGATCCAAGGGTCTGGTGTCTGAGGGACCCCCTCCTCAGGCGTTGGCGTTCGGAACTTTACATCCAGCTTTGAGAGAACACTTTCTGCATTCAAAGGGACAAGTCCAGCTCCTCGGAAACCTCCCTGGATATTTTTCCTCGTAAAAGACTGCTTAAAAGCTTCGTGAAATGCTGCAAAGAAATCTTCCTTCGAGATATGGGTTGTGCCTCGCCGCATCTTATTCTCAATTTGCCGACCGTAGGCATTCTTTAACGGCTGAAAACAACCAACATCTAAGGGTTGAAGTAGATGAGACGAGTGAGCCGGCATGCACAGTGTAATAATGTTGTTTTCTTGACAAAAGAGCTCGAAGGCTGCGGAGTGGTGACTTTCATGACCATCAACAACGAGGAGGCGATATTTCCCAGACGTACGTGGTTTTGTATAAATGTCGAAGTGTCTGATCCAGTCAATACCTCTCTCGTTTGTTGTCCATCCATTTTCAGACGTTGCAATAGCCCAATCGCCCGGAAGAGAGGTTTCTGTATACCAGCTTGAGAGGTGATACTGGCCTGCAACGATGATGTATGGCGGGATGCTCTCCCCTTGGGAATTAATAGCCTGGATAACTGTAACCCATTCCCTATTGCCAGGCTGTGTCATCTTCGTATTTGAACGCCTTTCAGCACTTGTAACAACCATTCCAGAAGCAATAACGCCCATCATAAAGCCGGTCTCATCAAAGTTGTAGATATCAGCATCAGCAATACCATACTTCGCAATTGTATTCTTCACAAGCGAAAACCAGCCACGAATCACCTCTGGATCTTCGCATTGAGCTCTCTTATAGTCATACTTGCGAAAGAAACGCGTCCTAAGCTGTGGTTGTCGCTTGACGAAATTAGAAGCCCAGCGCTTCCCAACTGGAGGCGCGTCGCGCTCTGCGAGAAGTCGATTGGCCATTTCTTCCACACCACTCAGCCGGGGAGGAAATGATCGCGCATCTAGGTCGAGAATATACTCAACTATTGTCTTCTCTTCTAAATCTGATAAATTCCGTGAATTAGGCATGCTGTCGCGTCGTGAGACTATTCCCTTTAGTCGCCGGCTTAATGTTGCGTGACTGACTGTATAGAGTGCACCTGCGGCCCGAGCACTAAGTTTTGGGTCATTTCTCATTGCTTGAAGGGCAATTTGTAACCTTCTTTCAATACTAGCTGATTCCATGATTTATTGTAGAGGAAAAGGTGCCGGTCGCGTCAAGGTGCGACGGTCGCGGTTTACTGTCTCACTCGCTTGTCTGTCTCACTCGCTTATCATGTACGTTATCCTTTCTGCTAAGCAAAACAGTTAGGACTTCTAACGGAGGGAGAGGGGCGAGTGATTCTTATTTTATTTCCAAATACCTTGCAACGAGAATTAGAACTATTACAGAATTCGAAGTTGGACGTTCCAGAGTCCTTGCAAATCAAAATCGCACAAATTTGTAGGGACACTTGCTTGGCTAGGAATCCTTTGCCTTAACATGGCAAAAGTAACTCGTCAGGCTGGCATCAACCAGCATTCTCAGACCCCAACTTTGGGACCCTGCCTGGGCGCTCAAATGCGGGGATTGAGGAGTATGCTTGCGGAGAAATTGCCCGGCCATCCACAATTCTAGCTCTCTCTTTTTGTTTACCATATTGGGTAAAGGCCAGTCTCAACTCGTGTTCACCCCACCATTTACAGTCGGCAAGCTCGAAGATGCCAAGGGTCGGATCAGGGGTCGGATGAGAATTAGCGGATGATAGGGATGGATCTCACTCCCATTGCTTAAATAGTAAAGGTGCGATCATGGAAATAGCTGGGGAAAGAGCTAAGTCTCCCAGATCCGCTGGCCACTCGGCATGAAGGGACTCATTTTTGGCTGATCATGGTGCCACCAAGATTTGGCATCCGCGATCTGGGTCTCAACCGAAGGGCCGAACGAGCCCATGAAGCTTGAAGTCGTCGAGCTTTTCCTCTGTGTGTACGTACCTCTTGATTTTTCTCCACATGGAGGGCACCATGAAGGCCATGATTTATCTCCAAGGACTCCGCACCTTTCGGTTCAATTTTCCTTGTCTTCAACCAGTTCACTTCTTGATACTACAAAGAAATTTCTCTAGATTTTACTTCTCGGTATTTCAGCAGTAGCTTTCAACATGTTCGACGTCGTCGTTATCGGTGCCGGCCTAAGTGGTCTTCAGGCTGCCTACACTGCCCGACAGGCTGGCCTATCTGTCGCAGTCGTCGAAGCCAGAGACCGCGTTGGTGGAAAGACGTGGAGTGTGCCGTTAGCTTCAGGGCGTGGATACGCCGATCTGGGAGCTGCTTGGGTCAACGTCAACACACAAAAACGAATTGCTGAATGGGTTCGGAGGTTCAAGCTCCCTATGGTGGAGCAACGACTGGTAGGAACAGCGGTGATGCAGGTGTCTTCAAAGGAGAGGATTGAGTTTCCTTTTGGTATCACGCCCGAGGTAAGTGGGCTTCAACACCTTAAAGTACCATTATGCCCCCTTAAATTCTAATACTATAACAAAAGTTTACGCCAGAGGAGAAGAAGAACCTCGAAACCATCCGCGACCACATTCAAGCTGAATCTCTAAAGCGCGAAGCCCCGAAGCCTGAGGACGACAAAGTGTCTTTGGACGAATACGTGAAGAAGCTTGGTGCACTGCCCAAGACAGTTGCTATGATCAACCTCTGGGTCAAGGTCATGCACGGTGTTGAATCTAGCGAGGAATCAGCCGCTTGGTTTATTGAGTACTGTCGTTGCAACAGAGGCCTATTTTCCATTCGGGCAGATGACAAGACCGGAGGAAACTACCAGCGCTTCCATAATGGTGTGTTCTTCAACCCCGAAAACTGTTACGAGTGAAGCAAAGCTAAACATGATATCTAGGCACACAGCAAATTGCGAATGGCATTGCCGAGTTGATTGGACACAGCAACATCCACCTTTCCGCACCGGTCGCGTCCATCGAGAACAACCAAACTCACGTTACAGTGATTACCACTAAAAACCAGCGTTTTGTTGGAAGAAAGGCCATTGTTTCGATTCCTAGCGCCATGCTCCATGAGCTTAATTTCTCTCCAGCCTTGCCGTCAAGGGTACGGGAGGTCACAGACTCTGCCAGACTAGGCCACTACAACAAGTGCATCTTGTTCTACGACAAGCCGTGGTGGAGAGACCTCGGCTACAACGGCTTCTTCATGTGCTACGAAGGCCCGATCACACTTGCTCGCGATACCAGCGCCGATGAGGTGCGTCAATTCTCTCTCACTTGTTTCGTCAATGGCAAGTTTGGTGAGGATTGGTCCAAGCTGTACCCCCACGAGCGTCGCAGCCAGGTGATTAAGCAGGTTGCCAAGGTTTTCAACGTTGATGAGAGCTCAGAAGCATACCGTCCTATTGAGGTCTTTGACCAGATCTGGAAACATGAGCAGTACAGCAGGGGCGCACTCGCGCCGATTACTGCCATTGGTCATTTGACTGAATATGCCGACGTCTATGGGAAGCCTGTTGGCAACCTTCACTTCGTCGGTACGGAATACTCAAACGACTGGAAGGGCTACATGGAAGGAGCCTTGGCTTCCGGGGAGCAAGGTGCTAAAGAGGTCATCGGGGCTGTTCAGCGCTCACCGCGAGCCAACTTGTAAGACGTGCTCTGGCATTAAAGCATTCAATTGATATTTAACGAGTACGTATGTGTCTAGGTAGAGTTCACATCCTATTGAACAAAACTACGTGTTGTTTTTATAGTTCCATTTAACGTCCCACACCCACTTCTGGGCACCCCCCACATTTGGGCACCCCATTTACACCAAAAACGCCGTTTTTCGAAATTCTATATTAAACTAACTACTATACTTACTAAGAAAAGAAAATATATATAAACTATGTTAAGTATAATTATAGCCATCTAATTTTTTATAAAGGTTTAAATATAATAATAGTTATAATATAGAAGTTTAAAACTAAAAGCTTTAAAATGTTAGTAGATACTAGTAACTTACTAGTATTCCTTAACATTAGAAAAATATATTTTCGCTCATATATACTTATTTAAAAAATCTAGGAAATTAATATTTATACTTATTAAAAGTATATAATTATATCTAAAAGAGATTTAAAAGTATTACTTTAGTAAATATAGTATAATTAAGGGTTAAAATTCTATAATAGAAACTTTTCTTAAGGGAAATTTTAAAATATTATTCTAAGCTTAAAGAATTTTTTACTAAGTATAAGAATATATAAATCTACTATATCTTACTTAAAAATTCTAATCATATTAGTTAAATATCTCTACCTATTTTATATATTAAGATATAGGCTAGGTAAATTAGTATTATAAATGTTAAACCTTGAATTTATAATACTTATTATCAATAATACTAGTATATAGCTACTTAAGTATTATAATTAAGTCTTAATCTATTTAATATATATTTATTCTCTTTAATAAGTAAAGTATTTAGTTTAATATAGAATTTCGAAAAACGGCGTTTTTGGTGTAAATGGGGTGCCCAAATGTGGGGGGTGCCCAGAAGTGGGTGTGGGACGTTACCATACAAAACCTCAAGATACCGCATGTTTAAACACCATGCTAGCCGAGCAAATACAACTTATCTACATGATGAACACCCGCATTCCAGGAATCAACGCTGGCCAATTTTTCTCGTTTTCATTCATATTCCAGACTTTTCTTAGCAAGTCCAACGCCCTCAAGATATTCATAAATTTGTTGCGATGGTAATTCCGGAGCAGAAATCGTTCAAAGAATGATTGCTGCTCACGATTGTGGCACTCTAGCGCAACAATAAATGTAGGCCAAACGAGGACATGTTCGCCAAAGGATCCTTCTGTAAATGAATCCAGGCTTTTCTGGTAAGTCTGTATTAATTCTTCTGATGAGTGGTCTCCGCTCCCGTCCGCCAAGACCCGGTGCAAGTAAATTTTGAATGCTTGCTGCCGAAGATCTGCAATAAGGTCGAATGTGGAGCAGTAGTCAGGATACAGGTTGTGGTAGTAGTACAAGCAGTCGAAGCTCTCTTGTGCATGGTACATGATGGCGTTTACCCCGGCATCGAGGCTAAGAAGCGGTGCCGCATATACTCGCATCCTAGGATATTCGGTGAGTGAAAATTGTTCGTAAATGAAACAATCAATGACTTACTTGTGAATTTGCCTGAGTAGAAAACTACCCATCTCTCCTCCACCAACGAGTACATTTTCTCCGCCCATTGCGTTGAGTGCTGATTCCAACATCTGGAAGACGATAGGGAAATCTGGCAATCCGTTGACCATGACCGAAACGAGGAGAACTACAATGGCTAGAACAACTAGCAGTTTCGCTTCTTCATCCCCATTCACCAGGTCTTTCCGTTTCAGCAACTGATTGATTGCGCGAGCATAGAGACGGCCCGGATCGACCACCGGCTGAACAGCAACTCTTCCGGCAATATGGAACGCAGAAACGGCTAACACGGAGTCCATGATCATCTCGCTAGACCAAGCCATAGGCAGGATAATATGTCTCCAGCCATTAAAACAATCGTCGACCACTACCATTTCTGGCGCGATAGCTTCTGAGACTTTATAGAAGCCGTCAGCACCAATACGTCGTTTTTCAACGGAAATGAAGAAATTCTCTAAACGAGTGTGATGCACTTACAGTGTGTGAGCAGAAACTCTTTCCATGGCTCAAGTATACTCAAATCTACTGGTGTAAGGGACCTCCGTGACACTTCGGAATCTAGGACTTCCATCATTGAAGGAGAGAATATCTCTTCCTCAGCCTCTTCATCGAATTTCTCATTTTGAATTTCAATACCTCCGCTATCGACGCTATCCTCGTTTGGAGGAATTGCTAACCAGGAGACGTCGATTGCATCGGGTAAAGGTAGTTGTTGTTGGCTGCCATCGAGTTCTGAAGCTGAGATGGCCCAATAAATCTCATCCCAGTCATCGTAGGATTCTCTTTGTTCTATAGCAGCCTGTTGTTTCCGGTTGTGTCGCAATGGAAATGGCGGATTCGCTGATGATTGCGCCAGGGCGTCCTTTAACTGAGTACTTCTGTTCCCCGCCGAGGACGACTTGCGCCTTGAAGAAAAGCCGTCAAGAAACTTATACGTGGGACCAAAACCGCTACACGAAATACCACGTGTGGTGCACTTCGTGCAACTGGGTTTCGTCCCATCGCAGTCGATGCGGCGTTGAGAACATTCATAACAACCTGCCCGTCATCAGCTTAACGCTTTTAACTCGCCAACGCCAAGATGGTTTGTTCGCAACAACATACCCTTCACCTTGGGAACATATTTCCTCTTCTTTCTAGGCATGATACCGTCACAAAGCTGATCTTGTCTTCACTCTGGATGTGATACCTGGAGTTGCTCAAAGCAAGCAAATTGAGATGGGGTATGAAGAGATGCGGGGGTTGGTAGAGCCCCAACAAGCCCGGTCTTATCTCCGCTTCCCCGCATTTTCCCACGGCTAAGGGACCACACCCACGGCATTGTTAGCGCACTTGTTGCCACCCTTCTCTCCGGAGATCGGCCTGGGGGCTCCCATGTAGCGTGGGAGCAACCCTACTCGAACTATTCCAGAAAAGGAAAACCAAATGAGAGCCATGTGCCCGGTTGCTTGTTCACGCGGATAAGACTCTGAAGAACGACGGAGCTGCCTACCGTAATCTTAACAAGTTATACTTATAATCGCATAAGATTCTTAGGATAAGATGAGTATCTCTGTTAGGTGACTCGGCCTCGTTTTCTTTTGTCACTCAAGCACCGGCTCAAGTATCTATCTGGTGGCCTAAGCATTCGGAGAATATTGAATCATGACACATCCCGCAGTGCTGCTACTTACTAATAGTTATGCTTTTATTTGCTTGCTTGCTTCCTAGGATTTCTTACGTCCCGGCATCTAAACTCTGATGCTTTAGTATGAACCGAACTATGCCAAAGCCTCCCCGCCTCTTGGCCAGGCCGTGCAGATCACGGATGACTTGAGAGAACCACAATGTACGACGACAGATTCCAAGGGAGATACTAGGGACATTTTACGATAAGAGATGTTTACTGCTGCTGCACATGAAAGCGCCAAATTATGCCATTCCCTATTCTAAGATGTCGAGTGCAAAATGACAGCATCCACAACCTGACGCATTCAAGAATTTATGTTTCCTCCAAACACTAGATCATTCGACGAAAAAACACATAGTCAGGGTCAAATAGTTAGAAATCATCATTCTACCAATCTGCTGAAATTGTAAGAGAGACTGGTTATATAGAGTATTGTTCTAGCCCAACAGCAAGCTCCAACCCGCGATGTGGGCAAACTAGTAGTGCTGATTGAGATCGGGCGTAGTCAAATCTTTGTCAAGGGTTTCGGCGGACATCTTTTGCATGGAACTAAAGGATCATCAAAAACGCAGGTCATGCAGTTAGAAGTATCGAGCCCCTTCCGTTCCATCGTTCGACTATGAGAAAGGAAGGCCAGGCAACGACGCCATCGCATCACACACCGGCTACAATTCCAACGGTTACAGCGGACATGATTGAAGGTCTCTTGCAAGTTAATATTAAGAGACAGGCCTACAGTGACCACTCAATCTAATTAAGTGAACGGGCCGACGAACTCCATGGGGAGAATTTGCAGCTCAACTGAGATGTTTGGAGGTAAGTGCCCCATTTTTGGCGATTGGATACTTCTTGAGATATTGCTTTAAGTATGTATAACTGAAAGGCATATCACTCATGTTTCAAAGCAATAATTGTGAGAGCATTTCAGTCTGGCAGCAATGGGTAGGTAAATCGCTGACTACATGTGATACTGGCACAACCTATTGGAAGGATATGTTTGATTCTTTATCAGAACCTAACTGCATAAGCAATCTTCACGCTAAAGCCGTGTCTCATTTGATCGTTCCGTATCGTAATACATGCTGATTTCCTCCTCTGAGCGCCTTGACTAGCCCTAATCATCAAGCCTACATGTAGCTATGCGAATATACCTCTTCTGGCTTGAGCGCTTATTCAAGTTCAAGAATGGTGGCCTCGAGAAACTGCTTTTGTAGATTCAAGAATTCGCGAGCCGAGTCGAGGTCGAAAGGACGGCCAGTGCGCTCACGGTCCCGAAGCCTCTTGGCTCCATCACGAAGACGCTCCTCAAGCACCTCGAGACGGTACTGACTCCATTGGTAGTAGAGGTCAGATCGGCCGCTAATTGGGCGAGAGCCAGTGAGAACTGTTTCGTCTCTGACCAGTGGGTTCTTCGGGCGGAAAGCGGTCACCATGCTGATCCGCTCTCTGCCGCCTTTCGCCTTCAAGGCCTGGTGTTCGATGTATCGGCCCTGCATCACAACGCCGGTGCCCTGCAAGTCGACCTTTGTTAGAACGCTCCCTTAGAGTACTTGGTGTTTTGAAAAAAAAATATGTCAGCTTACCATTGCTGGCCCCCGGACCTTCATAACATCTCCAGTACCCGTTCGCATGGCTGTCTCGCCGCCAACCATGCCAGTGCAGTCTGAAAGCATGGTTACACACACAAAGGCGTAGCTATCTCTGTGCCAGGCGAATGCAGATTCCTCATCCTCCAAGTAAGTCGCGGTACTCTTGGCCGTGATAAGCTCAGTTGTCACATCGTTGATAGAGATGTTGATATGGCCGACTTCGTAATCAATTGCCGGGACAAGATCGACACCAGCAACTTTTGAGACGGCACTCAAGACTTCGGGGCTGTTCCACGCGTCGAAGATAAAAGGGCAAAGCCTGTGTGGCAAGAACAGTCAGTAACCGAATTAACCCTCAAGAACCAACTCTGAGCCTAAGCTTACTTGGGTCCGTAGCCACGGATCATGTTCTTCGCAAAGTCAGAAGTATACTGGCAGCTCTGAAGCACTCCCTCGCTAAAGATCTCGGCTCTCATCTGAGCGACGGCCTCGGGTGTGAAGATAGAGAAGGGTGCTGATGCCGCGACAGGTGAAATGCCCTGTCCCCCGAGTCCGATTTCCTGCATAGTGTAGATCCTTTCTGGTTCAGCTATCTGAAGATGCTTCTTTGGGTCAAATGCAACCCTTTCAACACGCCGGGCCTCACTAATGAGAAAGTCTGGCAGTTGATTCGTTGGCCGCATAGGTTCCTTGAGCTTAGGGCCCTGCACGGTAGGTGGAAATGTAGGCATCATGACTTCGGCGCCCATTGTGATTGGATATGTGTCTGGTTCTGAAAGAAGATGGTAGATCGTTTGAAGGTTAGCTAGGTATGTTGGTAGTCAAGGTCGCGGGTCCTCGATGTCGATTTAAATGTGATACCAGTTGAGGTTGTTGAGAAGGAGGTTGTGGCATGAGGTGGGAGAAGCGTTTCCGTTTGGCTTTATACCTGACTCTACGGATACCCGCACCAATTTTGGAAGCCACTATCGCTAAGTAAGTTAGCATTGGGCGTTACCTAGACTCCCCCGTGGGGACGTTGTGTTCCGTCATGAGCGGGGATCGTCTACACACAATTAGCGCGGGGAAAACATGGGGTGGGCAAGGAAGACTCTGGCTGAAAGTTTAGATACTGTTCACACTAGCTTTTTTGAGCAATTCTAATGAGACGTCTTACTTATGAGTGGCCAGACTTAATCACGAAACTAAGGTGTATCACTCCGAGCCGCGACAGTGTGGGTGGGTCACATCTCCAAGCTCCTGCATCGGCGATAAGTTGCGCTGATTGCCCTCGTATTCTGTTGGATTGTGGCCATTCAGCTTCCGGGAATTCCATTATCTCAGGCATATCTAGCCAAATCCACTATGCAAAGCTTTGCTTCTGATGATGATTGTTGGCGTGCAAGATGAACGCAGCGGAGAACACGAACCCCGCGTTCATCGTGAAACTGTTACATAACAACTATGCCCTAGTCAAATCAGGGATAATACCACTGTCCTGAAAGTGGTGATATCTCCAACCCTCCCAACAGCCATGTTATTAAACAGGTATACTTTGCTTTTGGCTTGTATCTGCGTTGTGAAGAGTGGTTGGCCTTGAAGGAAGGCGGGAGCAGGTTCCAACCAAGCACACTCTAATCGCTCGTTTAAAAACAGTTTCGACATCTAAGTAAAATAAATAAATAAGTAGAGACTTTTGTGATATAGACTCCAGATCCAGAGATGAAATGGAGCAGATACTCTTAGAAAACGGTGGTATGAGGGCTGATCTCTCTTATCCCAGCAACATGCGAGCTGCGATGCAGGTGGACATGATACAAGATACAAGCAACCATCGGGATGCCAATTCTTGACCTACCTTATCCTCTAAATCCGGAGTGGGCATACATGCCCATCTTCCGCCACATGACCTAACTGAAATCCACCCCTTAAACCAAGATGTGTTAGACTCTTGCACTTTGGGTAATTCAAAAGAGAGTCCTTTGGGTGTTACTTACATCCGAACGGCATTTATTCTCGCCGGCTCAACTGTTGGTGCTGCCCAGTCAACCCTTTTGTCTTACACATTGCAGGCCAGCCGAGTCTTGGTAAGAAATACCACAGGCCGCTGCTGCCGTATCCGCTAAGAGCACATCTTGGAAATGCTTGCGGGGTTGGGTAGATAGGCAGGCCGTGAAAGGATACACAGACCTTTGGGGACACACAGTTGCCAAGTCTTCTGCCGGGGTGTGGCTACGATTTGGGTAAAGGACACATTGTCCGACACACCACTCAGCAGAAACAGTTTTCCGTCGTGAAGATAGATTCTTCAACCTATTAAGCGCCTCATTTGATACTTTCTTTTTCAGGGATACCTAAAAATCTCAGCAATTAACGCTACTCATGTGGTAATAACACGACCTGTGCTGGCGCCGACCCCTTGAATAATTCCAAGCAGAGGCTACGATATCCTAACCAATACTGAGCGACATCAACGTTTAGTAACGATTCACAGATGGAGGGATTTGCAACCATTAGTTGGTAGACTTTCGCCACAACCAATCACTAACGCCTCGATTGATACTCGACGATAACGCACCTGACCACCTTGTTCCTCAAGGAATCGCTGCCACTAAATCTCAGCCACGTGGTACGAATCCAGTTGCTTGGTGCTTGGCCATTCACGCATCTCCCTTCACTCTTCCTCCGGAGGCATTTTTCGGTTGTTTCAGAAACCTGGAGTGCTAAATGAGCAGACCCAACCAAGCAACAAAGACATAACGGGTGTGGCACCTTGGTATCTCTTGGAAACTGCCGAAAGTGGAAATATTCTCAGCGTACAAGATTTTACGGATAACATTGCTGTATTAGTTAGTAATTCGCGGCTGGTTGTGTTACATCTCGGACGAATCATACTACAACTTCCTGTGCCGGGTCATCGAAATCGCATGGATCAACATGATCAATCACAAGACTGGTCATCATGCAGCAAATTCTTTTATTCGGCATCCGTGTCACTTACGTGACTTGAAGGCTTTATTTTGGTATCTAGTCCCCTTTGCCACATGCCTAGCCGTGGACCACACCAGGCCCTGTACTAATCCTTTGACTGGAGTTCCTCATCCATAAAGAGGCTCTTAAGGTCACCCTCAGCACTCAAATGGCCTGTTTGATACAGTAATTAATGAAGTCTCATGCTGGGAAGAACTGCTTCAACACACTCATCGATAGCCTAGCCTGTAGAAGGGCTCTCATCGTTCCCGTTGCTGTTCGATTGGGGGCTGCTGGCCCCCTCATTTTCCTTAGTCTCTGAAGCGTCTTCATTTTTGTCGTGATTGTCAGCTGGCAGTTCTTCTTTCTTTTTATAGGTGTCGCTGGCAGAAACTTTTTCTTTCTCGCGATGAATTCTGTTGGCAAGTGGGGTTCCATGAGCTTCAGGAGGTAGCATAAGCAGCTCGATCTGCTCCCTCACGTGTTCTCTCGCAATGCTTATAAGAAGTCGTCTGTCCTAGCGAGTTAACTGATTAGCTTATATTGATATGAGGAAGGAATAGTTAACCTACCTCAAATTCCATAAACTCGTCTACCTCAGCGTTGTATCTCAGGGCTGCCTCCAGGTCACTCCGTTTCTCCAAGTCAGCTCGGCAGGTTGGCCAGGTTGGCGCCATCGTGGCGGCGGAAGGCAACAACTAAGAAGATTGCTTTTTCATATTCTTAGTCAACTGGTGCGATCTTTTCACGAGCACCGCGTTCGTGTTCCTGTTGGGAAACTGAGACGTAAGACTGAAGTTGAATTGAAGAACGAAACAATAGAAAAAGAGGATGAGAAGAGGCCTCATTTCAAGAAGATGAGAATATTACGTCTTGACTAATGGGGAAGGAGCTACTTGCGTTGTGATCCGATAAAAGACAAGAGCTCAGAAACTGCCATTTGAAAAGCGAAATCAGCTTGCAAAAAAGAAAAAGAAAAAAATAAAAGATAGATGGTAGGAAGACAAGCCCCGAGGAAGAAGCTGCCCTCGTCGAGATGGACTGAGAATACCTAGTTGGTGACATTGCAGAGCGAAATCATGAATAGCAGCCATGTAAATGATAGCTGAAATCAGATAAAGGGCTGTTCCTTGAAAGTGTGGGAATTGCAGGGGCTATTCATGTATAGATAGACCTTAAAGCCTGATAGGCGGTACCCGGTATCTAGAGGGGGGACCAAGGGCAACGTGGGTCTTTCCTAAAAAGGTGCTCAGAATGAGAACACCGCACTAAGTCTGTACATGTTGCCCCTGCGCTCTTCTACAACACAAGTGCAGGCATCACACTCGACGGCAAATGCACACATGTCATACTGCGAGTCATGGTTCAGGGGTTAGCGAATCCGGGGTAGGCACAATTGGCACCAACGAACTTTTGATTGTTCAAGTCGCTGGTATCAGTCGTCCCCGCATGGTTCACTGCTCCCGTTTCACCTACCTTGATTCGGGCATTGTAGTGTAAGGTAGTGGAGGATCATATGGGGAACATCAACGTCATGCCCATTGCAATGCCAACCCTTGTAGTAAAGTAGAGGCTAAATGTTGAATTGAGGTGTGAAAACGCAAGCTTTCAAGTTGCCCCTAGTAAGGATTCGTGCTAACCCAGTATTTGCAGGGACGACTTCAAAGATAACGCAGCCAATAAGATGCCAAACAGTTTAATAAATTTGGAATTTGGCGGCTTTTTATTGACTCTTTCCGAGTTATTCTCGACTAGAATGCAGCAAAGGGTACTTGGGTTTCTTGCAGCAAATCAGGGACATCTTCCTGAACCTAGCTTGAGCCTGTTGAGGATAACAATGCCCAGCGAAGTCCCCCTCTATGTTACAATTCAGACAATCATAAGCCATGGATCACACCCGGCATGTCCGAACCTGCGGAACCCCGAAATTAAAACCAAATAACCAGAATACTATATAAGTATCTACCGTCTTACCCCATCGTTTCTACCTTCAGGCTGCCACCAGCCATTTCCTCTTCCTCTCTCTCTCAATCAACAACTTCGTCAACCATCATGGCAACTATGTTAAACCCCAAGGGGCGTTCCCAAAGCGACAGCAAGGGTAAAACGTCACTTGAGGGATCCAACAGCTCAACCCATCACAATGAAACCCAGGTCATCGCCGCAACTTCTGAAGACACCAACGGCTTACATCGCAGCCTCAGCAATCAGCAAGTCCAGCTCATCGCCATTGGCGGGTCCATCGGCACTGCTCTTTTTGTGAGCATCGGTGGCGCTCTCCAGAAATCTGGGCCCGGTAGTTTACTCCTCGCCTTTGTTATTCAAAGTAGTGTTCTCGCACTTTGCAACAACTGCATGGCCGAAATGGCTACCTACATGCCCATCAGCGGCGGCTTCGTCCGTCTCGCTGGCAAATGGGTCGACGACGCCTTCGGATTCATGGCTGGGTGGAACTTCTTCCTCTATCAAGTATTTATCGTACCATTCGAAATCGTCGCGTTGAATCTGGTGCTGTCGTACTGGAGCGATCAAATCCCAGTGCCAGCGGTTTGTTGTGGATGCATTGTGCTCTACGCGTGAGTCCCTTGCGTGAATATGGCAGAGTAAAGCCGCCGCCCTCTTGACTGTCTGCTAAGTAAATCTCTTTTTTTCGGACACAGTGGTTTGAACCTGTTTGCCGTTGGTGTGTATGGCAGCACAGAGTTCTATCTTTGCAGCGGCAAAGTCCTCCTCCTCACCATCCTCCTCTGCTTTACCTTCATCACGATGGTAGGGGGTAACCCTCAACACGACGCCTACGGCTTTAGAGCGTGGTCAGCCGGTGCTTTTGCCGAATACTTGAGAGCCGGCCAGATTGGTCAGTTCGAAGGCTTCCTGGCAGCCTTGTGGTCCGCCTCCTTCACCTGTGTCGGTCCGGAATACGTCTCCATGCTGGCGGCCGAGTCCAAGCACCCACGCATCTACGTTAAACAAGCATACATGGTGGTCTATGGAAGGATCCTAGTCTTCTTCGTCGGCAGTGCCATCGCTGTCGGCATTGTCGTCAGTTACAAAGACCCCATCCTCACCTCCATTTACACCGGTTCAGGTGGCCACACCGGCAGCGCCGCGGCGTCTCCCTACATTATCGCCATGGGGAACCTTGGAATCGGTGTCTTGCCCCACTTCATGACCGCACTTCTTGCTACTACGATCTTCTCGGCTGGTAATACCTGCACGTACACCTCCACCAGGGTTCTATATGGTCTGGCACTTGAGGGCAGAGCACCAAAATTCTTGACCAAGACAACCAAGAATGGTGCTCCGATATACTGCCTTGGTGTTGTTATGATCTTCCCCTTTTTCTCCTTCATGCAACTTTCAAGCTCGTCTGCAAAAGTCTTGGATTGGCTGATTTCGCTGACGACTGCATCTACGGTTATCGACTTCATTGTCATCTGCGTCACTTACATTTCCTTCCATCGAGCGTGTAAGGTACAGAACTTTGATCGTTCCAGGCTTCCCTACTATGGACGTTTCCAGCCCTACTGCGGATACATCGGGTTGGTGTGGATGGTCATCGTTGTACTCTGCTACGGCTACACCTCCTTCGACCCATTCGATGTGGGCTCCTTCTTTATTCACTACACAATGGTCTTCCTGACCCCTGTTTTGTTCTTTTTCTGGAAGTTCTACAAAGGCACAAAGTGGTTGAAGCCTGAGGAGCTGGATCTCATTTGGGAGGCCCCTCAGGTTACAGCATACGAGGAGATTCTCCAAGAAGTCGACCCTCCAGTTGGTTTCTGGAGAGATGTTGCCAACTCCTATGGACTCGCAAGGTTGCTGAGGAGGAAGAAGAGCGCAGACGCCGTTTGATACGATTCTACGATGGATAGTTAGCTCTATGATCTCGCGTATACATATACCCACTTGAGAAGGCAAAAATGCCAATCACCTCTTGATTTGTCGCTATTGAACAAGACCGCAGTTACGGAACGGCCCAAACTAATACATACCAGCAGATTTGCACATGGGGTACAAGCCTAAGCTTTGGATATTGTTAAGACGACATGGCTAAACATACAAGTTCAATCAAAGCTCGGAAACTACTTAAATGTTTGGGTCTTTTAAGAACAATCAGGTCGGTCCAGGCTTTTGCCGCAGGGCTTCTACTCTCTATACCGCTCCATCACAACTTCTAGACATGATCATAATTCCATCTTGCTATCCTTGCTAGGATTCAGGGCTTTTTAATGGCTAGGCTCATCAACTTGAAAGCTTCTATTAAATGATTGGATGAGCTGGGTCAGTTGGTAAGAAAAGTTCACGGTGGACAAATTCAGTTGCTGGATAAGAGGAGCTGTGTATTGCTACAGGGGCGATGCAATTCTCTCCTATTTTCCATGCTATCTCATAAGTAGGCTACCGACATACTTAGATAATTTCCGCTTTGAAAGAAAGTCGAGAAGCTTGGGGATACCGACTGAGGCAGTTGTTGGGCTTAAGCGGGCAGTGCAGCGGCAAGCAGGTCAGGCGTCCCAATTGAGGCAAGCTATTGGTTGTGTTGGTTTGGGCCATCGCAGTGTCCGGCCGCGCAGCACGGCCGGCTTGAATCCTACGGGGCTTTAAATCTGGAAGGTGCAACAATCCCATGAATTAATACTTGTTCGTGGCATTTTAGGAGGCCAGAGCGAGGCAGTGATGGGGCAGTTCTCGAATCCTTCTCAAGTGAAGGATTTCACCAACAAAACCTAAATATCCACGTTCCAGTTAATTATAAATACTTGCAACTTGTTCAGACGTTGACAGGCAATCAAGTAATACATTTTCGTTCATCATCTAGCGTACAACCAGTATCCAATCCTTGCTTCTACTCCAGCAGGCTTCACTCTTCATTATTCAGAAAAATTGAAACCACGAGACATCGCTCGCGCGAGAACCAAGGCGGCTTTTGTACCGTCAATTAATTTCAACATGCCTGTTCCTGCATTACGAGGCGACAAAATAGCTCCTGCCTTCTTAAAGAGGAGTGAAGCAGCGTTTAAGTACGCAAGCAGAGGCATGGAACATGATCTTGAGACAGACAACTCGAATTTCGCCCAGCACATTCCTATTATCCTGTTCTGCTGCAGCTTGGTATTCATGTTTATTCTCTTGACGACGATCATTGTATGTGTTAGGCGAGGGATGAAAAAGCGAAAAGCGGAACACATGAAGATGTATAACAGATCAGCCGGGCTTGCAGAAGGCTCAGCAAAAAGCAACAATCAGAGTGGCCATGGTCAGGGAACATTTCCAGGATATTCATATAGTAGCTGCCGAGGACACGTGTACCACTCCGACTATGACGCTGCGCACAGCGATCCGCCTCCAGCTTACTCGCCCGATGTACCGGGCTGTCGTGACGGTCACACTACGAACGTCACTTCTTGGAACGATTCAGGAGCCTTGAGCACAAGCTCCAGTAGCAATGATAGCAGCGGTTCATCAAGCTCAACTAATTAGATAACGTAGCGAGCATCAGAAGTAGTTTTCAATTATTGCCTTACCGTTCAAAATGCAGCTCTGACTTTGACTGTCGAATGCCGTGGTGTTAGCTAGCGATGAGAATATCTTCACTCCAGTGGGAGTCAACCGCATGCTGTTCCCCACGCCTTCCCCGCGACGCGGACGATCCATCCAAAATCTCCATACTGCCTTGCTTAAACACGTCGCCGAAGATTTGCGGGAACAGCTGCCCAAGCCTAGTCTGTGCCTAGTCAAGCAGGATAACTACGATATCCTTGTTTGTAACCGGCAATTCCTGGTGGATTATGGCGTGACCCTGCGTGCCCTGGAGTCGCTTCTCCGGGAAATCTTCAACACTCACCCGCTCGTCGCTAGCTGAACTCTCGGCCGCTGCCCGCATCCTGAGCATCCTCAAATTGAAGGACGTCACCCTTGGACGCGTTACCCCCAACGTCGACCAGGAAAATCCCCATGCCTTCAACTGCAACCCCAGCACTTGGCAGACCGTCGTTCAGGTATACCGAGACCGAGAACTCACGGGGACCGCCACCGGTGTTGCCTGCGCTGTCAAGTATTACCGTGCACACGGACTCGAGAAACTTATGGCTCTGAAGATGAACGCCATGCAGGAGTACGCAGCCTCCTTGTCGGAGGAACAGATCATTCATTCCACTCTAAATTGCGGAGAGTCAAGCTGAGTTTCCGGCCATTATTGGAGCGCTTCATCGTGGAAGAACTTTTCTGGTAATTGTAACGGCCGTGTTTTGTTTTGATGTTTTCTATTGCCTTTTTACTACTGTTTTGACAGTTCAAAGAGAACCTTGTAATCGTTCTCAGGACGTTTCGTCAATCACTCTGAAGAGGAACCATTTAAACCGTGGCACACAAGCTTTCATCTTTTTTTTTTCCTGCTAGATCAGGTCCAATTCTATGGTCTTTGAGGTACATTCCTGGACGTCAAACCCAACCAGAGTTGCAAAAGAGGTTTTGATGGCGTGGCCTGCTTACATTATTGCCAGAAATAGACCGAATACAAACGTCATGGGAGATAAGTGGCATCATTTCAACTCTATGTGTACACAAGGACTAATATATAAGGTAGTTATATGCACAAAATTTCTTTGAGATTACTGCGAAGCTCTGGTTCCGCAGTTCAGGCAACGCTCCGGTATCATTTGTGAAGCTTTGATCTTTTAAAGCAAACAAACCTGCCTAGGCTAGTATATAGGAAAGGTTTTCTGTGAAGGATTTCTAACTTGGAATGATATTCCTCTCTTTTAGTTAGAGTCATGCTTTCTGACCGCTTCCTTCTTGATGGTGCTGCAGCAGTTCAGTACTAAGCTTCCACAATCGTTCCTCAGACTTTCTGTTAAATGCATGCGGAGCAAAAGTGATGCTGCTGGCCTTGGAATTCTGAATTGGTATCCCTTCCTGAACATCAGAGAGGTACAGGCCACCGCGACCTTGTAATTCTCTTGCTATTGCAGCCCAGACTGTGGTTGCTGCTCCTTGTTCCGGGGACTTGACAACAGGCGCAACCTTCGGAGATTCCAGCATTCGGATACCTGCTTCCCCTATATACCGGATACCCATCGTATGAATAGCGCCGGGATGGACCGAGTTTGCATGAAGGTTTTGCGAACCATAGAGCCGTTCAATCTCGTTGGCCATCCAAATATTCGCAGTCTTCGACGCGCCGTAGGCTTTGCCAGCATCGTAAGTGCTCTTTTCCAGGTTGTAGTCCTCCAGGTCGAGCTCCATGCTGAGATGAGCGATCGATGAAACCATTACAACGCGCGACGGATAGTCAATGGAGGCCGATTTCAATAGGAGGTCTTTCAGGCCTTGGAAAAGGGCGAAGTGCGCCAGATGGTTAACACCAAAATGAGTCTCGAACCCATCTTTAGTGACATCCTTTGGGTAGTGAGCAACACCTGGGCAATGATCAGGTCATTCGACATCAACAAATCCTCAAAGCATTTGGATACATACCAGCGTTACAAATTAGACCGTTGAGCGTGCTGCTTAGGCGTTTAAATGCTTTTACACCATCGAGGGTGCTGGCCAACGAATCCAGATGGATCTCGATGAAAGCTATCTTGCCTGGCCTCCCGTCCTGCAGGAACTTTTCAACTAGCTTTTGACCGGTCTCTTTGTTTCTTCCGGTAAAGTAAACGTCAGCGCCGGCAGCACGAAGTGCCCGCACGGTTTCTACACCAATGCCCGAGGTGCATCCTGTGACGAGGTAAACTCTACCGCTGAGGGCATCGTCTAGATTTTGATCTCGAATGACCTTGAGTGCTGTAGGTCGTGCGTCCCCAGGGCCGTTTGGTTTCTCATGGTCTTTAGCATAAGGGGCTAAGATCGTCATTTTGTTTCAGCTTTGACCTTTCTTTGTTGATCTGGATGTTCAGGAGTACAGAAGTGAGTTAGGAGACTCAATGACGAAGTGGCAGAACCATGTAGATATAGATCTTTCCCCTTACCTAGAAATAGGCTCTAGGGTATGTATACCGAAGTCCTGCCCCGGGCAGTCCGGAATAGGATTTGACTGAATCCCGTAGCCTGGCTCATGAGTCAGGCCCACTTCAAATGCGGATTAATTCTAAAACGTTCGATCACGATAATGGGACCCAGCAGTGTGCCACTGCAGCTACAGAATACTTGTGAAGGATGGTAACAGGGCACATATAGCGAAAGCATAATAAATAAGGTAGCCATAGTCACCAAGAGCCAGGGTTGCTTTAGGGGGTGCTTTTCAAGCAGAAACACAATGTCCGCAGTAATTGGTTTGCTGAGCCGCCAGCTATTATCTGGCAAGGTCTAACAGCAACAACCCCAATGTGAAGTTCTCTGACGTAATTTCACATTTCGGGAGCTTGGTGGAAAGAACCATAGTCAAGCTTCGTTAAGGGGTTACTCACCCGTCTCCTGCCCCAATTCTGGGCGTGGCAGAGTTGAGAACCTGCCCACGGCGGTTGTCGATAAAGCTAAAAGCACATCCGGCTTCAACATCGGAAATTACCTTGAATGCAGTTGGCCAGTACAACTTTTTACACCAGGTCCTGGAATGGTTGTAGCAGGGTTTAAAGTTACGTACATGTCTGGGTCGAGTACCTTACACCAGTTGACTTAAGAGACGTCTACGGCGGTTGAGGGAAAGGCTCGAAAGGCAGTTTTGTACATGTTTCCATGCAGGCGTAATTTCAAGCCCTCGGCACTAAAAATAGAACCAATATCAATGGCTGGTACGGCAATATCTCACTTTACCGGAATTCGGTAGAATGCTAGATGGCCGAAGTAGGTCCCCCGAAATGCTTCGGCTTCAGGCACTACTCCGAGAGTGCTCCATATTTTCGGCCACCGAGCCGTGTCGACCCCGCATGGGATGACAGATGCGTCTAAGGCAAGATAAATCCCCCAAACATGAACAAGCCTTCAAAGCCGCCTTACGGGTATGGGAGGGCGCCAGCTGCGTCAGTACGCGCAGATGAGAGTCCTCAAGAAGGTTTGGCGGAATGAACAAGAAGATATAAAATGGGCTTAAAATGGGCGAACTGCTGTTAGCAATTCGAGCCCAATTTGAACTTGCAAACATTGATCTTTGTTTCCACTGAAGAAATCTCGCCTTAGAAAGAGCCACCCTGCATATCGACTGGCTAGGTCAATATGGAATCACATGGTCCTGCAGCTCCAAGCCTATACCAGAACATTAGCCGAGCCGACCTCCTAGCTAAAGCAGAGCGGCACCTCTTCTACCATGGTACGAGCTTCCACAAAGATGTCATTGTTGGAGCCGCGGGACTTTACATATTTACTTCCTCTGGTCACCGCATCCTAGATTGGACCTCTGGACAAATGTCATGTCTCCTGGGCCACGGGCACCCTGCTGTTGTCAAAGTCATTGTTGACCACGCCATGTACCTGGACCACCTACTCTCGGGGATGATCTCCCCCCCTGTCATTTCCCTTGGAGAGCGCCTCTGCAGTGCTCTGCCCCCCGGGCTCGACAAAGCTATTTTCCTCTCCACGGGAGGCGAAAGCAACGAGGCAGCCATCAAAATGGCGAAGATGTTTACTGGGAAGTTCGAAATAGTGGGCCTGGGGGCCTCGTGGCATGGTATGACTGCCCAGGCGGTGGGGTCTCAATACCACTTCGGACGAAAGGGCCATGGGCCTCTAATGCCTGGAATGCTCATGCTACCGGCCCCCAATGGCTATCGATCTGTGTTCCGCAAATCAGAAGACGGCAGTTACGACTGGGAGGCCGAGCTTGATTACGGCTTCCGAATGATTGACTTGCAATCCTGCGGGTCGTTGGCTGCCTGCATTGTCGAGTGCGTCCAGAGCTCAGGGGGCATGCACGTCTTGCCAGATGGATACCTCAAGGCCTTAAAGAAGCATTGCGTACAAAGGGACATGCTCCTTATCATTGATGAAGCGCAGACGGGCGTGGGCCGCTGCGGTAGTTTCATGGCATTCGAAGAACATGGCGTCATCCCAGATATTCTTACCCTTTCCAAAACATTGGGAAATGGGCTTCCCCTCAGCGCTGTGGTGACAGGCGGAGAGATTGAACGCGTTTGTAAATGTAGGTTTCACAGGGGGTGAAACGGAATTCCGTTCGTCAATAACAAATAACAGTAAATTGGTTCTAATCGATGGTTCATGATAGTTGAAAGTGGTGTTGTTGACTAGAAGGTGGGGATATTCCCCCTTGGCCTGTCACGTGGGTCTGGGAGGCTTGGGCCTCTCAGCCTGGCGGGCGTGTGGCTGGAAGTGCCACACGACTCCGTATTCCGGAGGCTTGGGCCTCTCAGCCTGGCGGGCGTGTGGCTGGAAGTGCCACACGACTCCGTATTCCAACTATCGCAACACTGGAAACTCTCTTTTTATAGTGTTGAAGCGGTTGGAATACGTTGTCCCTATACAGTTCCGTCTCCTCGTCAATTCGGCCTCCTATCCCTACTTTCTCCCGTAGTTACGGTCTTGTTACCTATCCCTCTATACGTATCGTTATCGTATTGCTATTAACGAATCTCTCGAGGGCTCGATTTGGTTTGCTCTTCGTGAGGGTATTAGCAGGGTTGTCTTCGCTGTTAATCTAACGAATTTCTTATAGTTCTTGTCTTTCGTATGATTGTCTTAACGCTATGATATCGATTATGAGTTGCTTTTCTTTGGTAGTGCCTAGCTTTACGAGATACTTATATAGCGAATAAGAATCGGTATAGACAACTGTCTGAATCGTTAGTAGGTTGAGGTGGTTAGTAATTATCGCTAGGGTTGTAGCGAGGGCGTAGGCTATATTGACGCTAGCGACTATCCCGTAAATCTTTGACGTTAATACGCTACGGGTAACTTGTTTACTCTTCGTAAAGCTGTAATAAACGAGGTTACTATAAATCGTAAATTCTCTATTATTACTATTAGAGGAAGTATTGTTAGCTAGGATAATTAGAAACCCTAATTAGGAGGAGAGGTCGTAGTTATTAGCGAACGACCTGTTAACGAAAACGAATAGCTTAGCTGTTATAAGGTTGAGTAGGATAAACGTTATTCCTCGGTTAGGCGATTCTATTTGCTATCAAATCCGTTGATTTAGTGCTTTTATCGCTTCTAGCAAGGGGTCTTGGTGTTAGGTAGTAGTAGATAAATCGAAACAGGCCTCGGGTTGACAAATTAACGCGATGTACGCCCCTCTGGCGCGTTGTTCGATATATTGCTATTTTAGGTTAGGTTTAGTAGTCTTAATATATCGTAACTTCTTAGCTTATCCTTTTTGCTTTAAATTAATCGAATTATCGGTTAATAGCGCGACTATCCCTCTATTAAATTAGAAGGGTTTGTTAATTATAAGGATATTCTTCGCTTTTGCTATAAAAGCCGCTTTTTCTAATTATTCGTTTTCTAATTATAAGAATGCTTTGTCTAATAAACCGAGGGTATCGTCGGTTTGCATGCCGATATAGCCAAAGTATAGATTTTCGGTAGATAAGATTAATAGGTATAGATCGTACGAAGAAGTAACTATCTAGAGATTCTCTCTATAATGCTTATGATACGTTGCTTACTAGTAGGTTCTAGCTTCTGCGATTCCGTATAGAGGCTTTATAACCTTTATAATAGTCCCTTTTGGGTACTGGTCTTGAATTTGCTTCGGTAGGTAGGCGAGAATAGTACGATTGAGCCTTGTAGAGGATTGAACGTAGGCTTGTGTAATATCTCGAAGCTATAGTTGTTTCCCTTCTCGTAGGAGTGACGGGGTAATTGATAGAATTAGCTGTTGACTTGCCTGCTAAATCGTTAGCAATTAGGTTAATATAGCCTTCTTGCTATCGTCGGCGTAACCTTGTATTATAAGTCTCGATTTCTCGTAGGGTTTGGTTGTTTTACCCTTGACTTCGTAGACGATACGAGATTGGAAGATTCGTACGTTCTAGTGCCTTCTCTTATTAAACTAGGTGAATTTGAATACTTTTCTAGCGATAAGGCTATTGATCTCTTGTTTAGTTGACTATTCGAATAGTTCGCCTAGTATAGTAATAATACTTTCTTATCGTAGTTTGATTACTAATTCTTTGTCTGCTTGCTCCTTAATCGATAGGAATATTTGTTAATAATCCGGGTTATCGTTAAATTCCTTTATAAAGTAGGCGATTAGTAGTAGTCTCTTCCGGGGTCTGCCTAGGCGTCTTCTCGGTAGCTCCGGTGCCTCTTGCGGTTCGTCTGGTTTACTGCCTCCGCTAGCGACGATAATCTCGTCGCGTACTATTTCCTAGGGATCTTCGTAGTATGGTTTGACTACGGTAGACCGGAAGGTCTTCGGACTACGTAGCATATCGACAGTATAGGTTTCGCTGTTTATAGCTACTAAAGTAAATAGTCCGGTCTAGCCCTTCTTTTCGCGCTATACTCATACTTACGACCGTAGTAGTAAATTAATAATTAGCCTTATATCAAGGCTATTACGGGTAGCGATAGCTTCTACTACCTGTCGCCTTGCGTAAAGTTTGCATACTTCGCTTGTCGCCTTCTTAATCGCTTTCGCCTGCCTTATGACTTTAGGAGATAGCGGCGAATCGTCGGTAATTCGTAAGTACGAGCCGAATACTAAGAGTGTTAGCATTATTCCGTTCGGGCTAGTAGTATCGTTGACTGCTTTGACTACTGTTTAAAGTGCTGATTCTGGCGTAATTGTTAGGTCTTCTGCTTTAATGATTTTGTACGCCCTCCTTAGAGGTGTATGGTATCGTTTAACTTTCTTAATACTGTTGTAGGCTTTTATAGGAATTTCCTTGATTTTAATTGCTATTCCTCTCGCTGCGTTTCGGAATTCTGTTGAGCGGAAGTTTGTTCTAGCGTCGGTAACTAGCTAGTCTAGGGGTCCCTGATACACATCTATCTAGCAGAGGCGTAGGGCTTCCTAAGTGGCTTTCGCAGAAATGTCCTTAAGGAACCGGGCGGCGTTAAACGCTATAGCGGTATCGACGACGTAGAGGACCGGTCTATTACCTTTAAGGTATATTACGTCGGCGATAACCTTGTAGTTGAATTCGTAATCGTCTCGTAACGTGAATTTGAACTGTAATAGCGCTAGTATATGTATTTAGCATCGATAGCAGACTTTCGATAGTTGCTTAATTGCCGTAATTTCAACTAGGTAGCTAGCCTTCTAGAGCACCTTGTATAATCGTTAAATAGATAGGTATCCGAAGCGACGGTAAACCCGTCGTAATTTAGCGTTTGTAAGGTAGTTCTAGGCAAGTAGTTTCTCCTTATCGAGTAATAACTATAGGTAGCCTTATTTACGAATAATAGGTACGACCTTGTTTCCTTAGATAAGGGTATTCGTAACGTTGTTAAAGTAGACCTTTAATCGGTCTATATCTCCTAGGCATATAAGAAAGGGAGTATTAGTCTTAATAACGTGAAATTTAACGCTTCTAAACGGCGTTAGCACTTTGGTAGTCCCTATAGGCTTTAGTAGTATCCTATCGCCGAATTTTACTATAACGCCGCTAGCTGCCTTAGTATTTAACATAATTCCTTCGTAAATTTGTTATAGGGCTACGAATTGTAGGTAGCTAGCGGTTAAGAATCCTGCTGCGCCCGAGTCGGGCATGATCCCTTAGAAGTTCTAGGCAGAGTAGCGTCCCTCGAGTATAAATTGCGAAGGTAGCTTTTTCGGTTCTAGTTAGTTGCGGAAGAGGTCTTCTTTCGTAATAGCATAGCAGGTTAACTAGTCTGCTAGGATCGTGGCGATCCTATTGCTGTTAATTACTATTATAGTAAAATAGGCGGTAACTTGGAATTAACTATCGCTGCCGGTCTCTTCCTCTTTGTTACTTTTACTAGTTTGTTTAGTTACGTAGTAGTATTGCTAGGGGTCTTCGGCGGTAGGTTATAGGTCTAACCCGTCGAAACCTTCGTATTGGATAAGAAATTAGCTATATGCTAGAAGTAACGTATCCTGGGCATATTAGGTGGTTTTAAACTTCTCGTACGCTTTTCGTCTCTCTTCTATAGTATGTTTGGTTGACTAGTAGTTAGGTTTTCTATATACGTAGTACTTCTTAGGCGTTAGCGGTAATAGGGGTTTATTACGGCTTCTTCCTCGTGATGATCGACTTCGTAATAAACGACTATATCGTAAATAACGCCTTCGACCGTTAAAAGTTCTGTTAGTCTAGTACTGCTTTAGTAAGTTGGCTACTGTGTTGAATTGTTATTAGTTAAGACGGGTAGCTGTCTCGATCGACGAGATTAATTAGCTACAAAGTCCCTCGTACGTCTTAGCCGGTATAAATAACGCTATTATATACTCTAGAATATCTCTATAAGCGTATAGAAGTTAGGTATAGAGGGATCGGTCGTTATAATCCTGTTATAGCAAACCAGGCTAAATCTTGCTTAATTTGTTATATAGTATGTTAAAATACTCCGATTTAGTCTTTCTAGGGTTATCGCGAATAATTTAGGGAAGAGTAGTTATATTCTACTACGTAACGTACGCTTGTTGCCTTTCCCTAGTCTCGAAGTATGATTTCAATTAGTTAATTATAGTCTCGAAGTTAGGCTATAAGTTAATTACTTTAATCAAGGCGTAGAAGTAGGTTTTAGCTATTCCTTTTAGTATTAGGGGAAGTACCTTATTATATTAGGAGGTATAAATTCCTAGCATTCTATAGTAATCTACGAATACTAGCATCTTCTTTTCGAGTATATCGTATATATCGCCGCTATATTTTATATCGTCGGGGTATAGTTTCGCGAATTCTGTTAATTGCTTTCCGATACGGTCTGTTGACTTGTATGGTTAGAAGTCTGTTAACAGAGAGACCGTAGGATATAGCGGTCGGTACGGTAGTTGCTACTATTGTTGTTCTTATAGAGGAGGTAGCTGTAGAGTTGGTTCGACTCTTCCTCTTATACTGTTGGCTATTATTGCTAGTTTTGTGATCTCTTCGTAGAATTCGGGGTCTTTTATTAGAGCCTTTAGGTTGCGATATCTCTTAACGCCTTGTTCGAGTTCTTAGGGTAACTAGTAGTAGAATTCTTCCTTTTTAAGGGCTAATGCTACGTTTTTCGAGATTTTCTTACTATCTATTTCGACGTAGACGCTATTACCGATTAAATAGTCTTTAAAGAATCGTAGGATTAGGGGAGGTACGTTTTAGAAGTCTTCTTCTAACTAGTCGGCGAAATCGGGAGAAACTTCGTTCTATAGCTTAAGGCTTATAAGATTCCTCTTCTTATAGGTCTCAAGTAGGAAACCTATATAGGAACCTAGTTGCTATAGGCTAGCGTTTGTAAGGTCGATTGCCTAGTTGCTTTATACTACTAGATCGATTATACTTTCGATTCTCTATAGGATAGGGACTGTTAATTAGCTTTTAGTAGTAACGCTGCTTGCAGGCGATCCTTCTCGTGAATTTCGCTCTATTCTGATAGTATAAAAGGATTACTTCGTAGATTCTTTCGTAAATCTCTCTTTCTCGCTTCGGGCTTTGCTCCTTACTGTTAGGAAGTTTAGAATCTAGCGGATAGTTGGCCTTATAACGCTTATAACCACGTGTGTTTCTCCTAAGCCGTAGCCTCGGAGGCGTATACGTATAGCTGTATAGGCGGATTACTGCTGGTAGTCTCTGCTTGCCTTTCGGCGTGTTCTTCTTCTTAGTGGGGAGGTCTCTTGTGGCAGGCGCCTCGCGGTTGGCACCTCGTCTGGGGATTTATTGAGAAACTAGCGGGCGCCTTGTGATTAGCACCGCGCGTAGGGGATAGTTATAGTTAGGGAAGTTGTTATCCCTTATAGGATTTGTGAATCTTCGCCTTTATAGCGTGAAGAGGTTGGAAGACCGTCGATTCGGTAGGTCTCTTCTTCTAGTGATTGAAAACGCGTGATGGAACGCTCTTGCTAGCGATAATTAGCTACGATTAACCTTATCCCGCCTAGGGTAAGCATAGCAGTCCCTAGGTTACTCGAATAATCAGATTACTAATAGATTCGAGGAAAAGAAGCTTTCTTCTACTAGTTTCCGTAGATCCTAGTTACTCTTACTTCTTCTCTCGTTAGTACGAAATCCCTACTTTTACCTAGGCTTAGGTATCTAGTTTAAGAAGTCGTCTCTTTTAGTGTTAACCTTGCTGATCTACGGTTTGTCCGTAGCAGAGTAGTAATTGTAAAGTTAACTAAATTAATAGCAACTATGAGGTTTACTACTGATCAGTATAGGTTTCACAGGGGGTGAAACGGAATTCCGTTCGTCAATAACAAATAATAGTAAATTGGTTCTAATCGATGGTTTATGATAGTTGAAAGTGGTGTTGTTGACTAGAAGGTGGGGATATTCCCCCTTGGCCTGTCACGTGGGTCTGGGAGGCTTGGGCCTCTCAGCCTGGCGGGCGTGTGGCTGGAAGTGCCACACGACTCCGTATTCCAACTATCGCAACAGTAAAGAAAGGGGCTTCTTTTTCGTCACAACTCACGTCAACGATCCACTACCCGCGGCGGTGGGTGATAAGGTTCTCGAACTTGTACTTGAAGACGACAAAAAAGTGGTCAAGAAAGCTCGAGAGACTGGACTGGTTCTCCATGAAGGCTTGCGGAAGTTGCAACAGAGGTATGGATGCATTGGCGATGTGCGCGGGAAGGGTTTGATGGCCGGGGTAGAGATTGTTGTGGATAGGGAAATGGACAAAACACCAGCGTTAGAGCTAGCTGCGAGGATCGCAGATCGTGCTTACGAAAATGGTGTCTGGGCGAACTTGAGTACACATCCAAGTTTTGGAGGAGTATTTAGAATCGCACCACCCATCACCTCTACAGAAACACATATTAGGGAGGGCTTGGCTAGTTTAGAGGAGGCTTTTGCGACTACTGAAGGCACAAAGCCCCTTTACTAGGCCACATCTTCCTGTAGCTAGCAAGTCCAACTTCAACAGACATAACTTATATGAAACGAGTTCTTCATCAATCTGCCGTTCACTTACTTGAGGATTAATCACGGTGGAGTATCCTGTCAAAGGGGCAAAACTGATGTGTATTCTTGTGTTATTACTGGGAGAAGTTCCAGTAGAAGTGAGGGCTGAAGTGGTCGCGGAACTTGTACCTATCTGGCTGCTGACAACGAAACCACTTCAACCCGAAGTGGGAGCAGCAAATAACGGTAATGAGGGGAAAAGAAGAGACGGGAAAGAGGACGAGACAAACTGATGATGAAGTAGAAGAGAGTACGAGATTCAAGGGTTGTGGGAGACGAAAGCTGAAAGGGAGGCAGGAGTGGCAGGAAGCCCTGTAGGCAGACGAGGAAGGAAGCTCTGTAACCAGGGTTGGAAGGAACCCTTCCATCTTGGGTACTCAAATGATCACTCTTCTGGTTTTAGGCAATCCTGATTTTGATCTAAGGTTGGGGTTCTTCCTGCTCCCCGTCTTTCTATCATCGGTCGCTACCTCCCTCAATATCTTTTCAAAGGAAGGCGCCCCATCATGGTACGGTCTTGGGCAATAAACAGTAGATCGTACCTTAAATAAGCATGGGTCATCTTGTATTATTAATTCATTATCTGATCCGGAGTATCATCCCTAAGCTAGCAGACGCTAACCTAGGCGATGGCCCTCGTAATCTCTTCTATGGATATCATGCGGTTGTGGGTTTTTTGAAAACAGATCGTTTAGGCCGTGAGAGAAAAACCTGAAAAGGGAAAATGGGCAGAAACACTACCTCCAGACGACGCCTAGAGGGCCAATCTTTTTTAAATCCCCGATGCTTCCAACATTTCAACTTTTCGTAAAGCGTGACAGCGAGAAGAAGCCCTTCTTTTTCTTTTCCCCCTTGACTCCTCTTTCTCCATCCGGCTTGTTCGCTTCGTCCTGCGTATTGAGCTGCGTGGTGTTGTCGTGCATGACCTGTTGCGCGTACGAAACTGTACCCCCCGTAGCCGGACCAGGTGTGTACGAGATACTTGGCGGTGGTGAACCAGGCAAGTATGGGTTTGTGCCAGGAGGTGGTGTGATGGGACCATGCGGATACATGCCTGGTGGCGGTCCAGGTGGCGGCATCCCTGGGCCGTAAGGGTATCCACCTGGAGGAGGTGTGCCCGGTCCGTAGGGGTATCCACCTGGCGGTGGCGGGCCAGGAGGAGGCGGGTACATGACACCCGGTGGCGGTGTGCCGTACGGAGGTGAGCCCATCGGTGGTGGACCGGGAGGAGCAGGCAATGCCAGTTGGGGCGGCGGCCCTTGGATTGCCGGCAACTGCTGTTGCTGTTGCGGTTGTGGCTCGGCGAAGAGATCCATAACCTTTCCAGAACCGGTAAGTCTCTCGTATACTGCTAGAGTGGTGCCAAAGTCTTTCTGCCCGTCAACCTTGATGGCATCGAGAAGCTCCAGTGCATATGTTTGGCAGTTGTTAGTGATGAGGTTGTAGGCTGGCTGCCTCTCTCTGATGCTTTGTATTACAGATTCACCTGCGCATTATAAGGTTAGTGGCCCCGGTGACGAGACAAACTTGGTGATTCAAACTCACCAGCTCGCCGGAGGGCATCGTCGTTGAAGCGCGTCTCTCCAACCTGGAAAGTCCGCCATTCTTCACGCTTAATCCTCTCATTCGTATAAATGACATGGAAACTCTCGTCCTATCGCGCAAACTCAAAAGTCAGCATGCACACATGTCTGCATCGACTCATCCCGAGGTTTCCGCAAACTCAGAACTCACCATCCACAACTGATGAGCGAATTCGCCCACAAGAACAGCCCAATGCTGTGTGGGATCCGGATAGTACTTGATCCTCTCGGTGATCATCTTCCCCAGCCCAGTCTCCTCAGCGAACCACCTTCCGGCAAGGCCGCCAACGGGGTGCCAGCCAACCTCGACCAGCCGGGGCGGGCCGTTGAGAATGGGCTGGGTCACCGGGATAACATTTGGCTTGTAGCCGAGGCCGATCGCATGTTTCAGTGCGAGCTCGCCTTTAGTGAGGTTCTTTTTCCTGTCATTCAAATTAGTGAATGATTCAAGCAGCCCTCACCGCCAATGTAGCAATATGAATAAAAGGCCAAGGGTGCTCCTTTTTTTTTTTTTTTTTTGGCTCTCTTAAGGCGGAGTAGGCCAGGTCGGGTAGCTAGGGGTTGGGTATGTGTAGGGGGGGAAATAACGCGCATACAAGAACTCTCCCACTATATCCCGCTTCCTCTTCGCTTCTTCGTCGGAACCAGTCGCTGACATGGCGATAGGCTTCTCAAGCAGATCTCGGAGGGGGGAAGGCGGACGGAAGGCCTATACGGCCTTTGCGACTCAGGGACAGAGTCAGGCTAAAAGAATTTTGAAGAAAAATAAGAGGGGTTGGCGTCTTACGCGTTTGGTGTGGCTTTCGTAGGGTGAGCAAGGCGAAATATTTACTGGCCCAGCTGAGCTGATTTCACGTGAGGCGCAGGTGCACCGCCGCATTAACAAGCAATCAAATACGGGATGGCGCCCAACGGCACACCCGATTGGACCAATTAAACCAGATTCTGGGCCGGTCAGCCGGGGGTGGATACTGCCGAATCAAGAAAGATACGGACCGCGGATTCTTCGGGTTTCGATCAGTAGCTGAGACGAGGCATCGACATCACAGTGATTCGTTATTTCCTGGGGTTCTTTTGGTTCCATGCAGCTGCAATGAAACTTGAGTCATTTCCTCCTTTTATTTTAAAACTAGACTTGCTTGTTTGGTAAGCCTTTTTGGAACGGGACTGTTCTGATGCCCCACACACAAGGCCTAATTAAACACCAAAACACTGAACGAGGCAGCCTTGAAATGCCTCAAATTATCCTCTTGCGGGCTCGCTTTCTCGATACTATTGGTGCGAATTGTGTGATCATTTGTCCCCTTACGAGATATCAACTTTAAACCTAGAGAATCCAAGACATCCGTAGTACTCATTGATGGCCAAAATAGCTTGTTCAAGGTCAACTCGTTATTAGCATGGACAAGATCGTAACTCTAAATGGAGATGTCAAACTCTCAAAATTCAGATCATAAAACGCGACTGTACCACCCGCTTCCATTACTGCACCGTGCTTTTTTCGTGTATTCTTTTGTTAATCATTGTAGACCGGGCTCATTTTTGCGCTGGGGCTTCGACAGCACCAGGATTTTCAACCATTTTTGCTTGCGCGGTAAGCAACCGAGGACTCCAGGGTATTCAATAACGTCTGAACTCGCTGTTTGCTACTTGTAGAATTAAATTGCAAATATCATTGAAGTTGTGGAATGAAATGGCTGAAGTCTTAATGTGTAAGATACCTAACATGACAAAGTGAGCATTTGAGCATAGTCGGCTCCTTTAGGCCATAGTTCAATCAACAGATGTCTCTACAGTATAAATCTATGACAATACTCTAGCTGTATTATACCTGCACATCTTGCCCCTCATGATGCGGATTTATCAATTCGTCTGTTGCGAAGCGCCGGAAAGAGCCACCGGTTCTGCCCAAGCAGCGTAGGTTCCTGCCAAACATCAGTCTGTGGCGAATACCACCGTTATCTATTCCCTTTTCAGGTTTATTTCCAACATTTAAAGAGCTTTTTGTTGTACGAATGTGATCTCTCATGATAATGCAAATCATAAACACAATATTCATATTGCCAAACGTTCTTATTCCACCCAAGCCGATATAATCTCCATCGCCTTCTCGCTGTCCCCTGTCATACTCTTCGATCTTGTCTCGCCTCTTGGTTTAAAGTCTACGTCGAATGCCTTTGGGGCCAAAACCAGGTCAGAACGGTAGCCGGTCTTAATGTCGACATCCAGTGGCCCTTTGGCAACAACATCAAACCCCCAAGCCAACTTAGCCATAGTAACCAATACCTGGTTTTCTGCGAACTCAAGGCCAGGGCATGCTCGCCGCCCTGTCCCAAAGTTGTAATTCGGCCGCCGGTTCTCTTTTGCTGCAGCGGCCGCCATCTCGGGTCTTACTCCCCATTTGTTCTCCATGTACCGGTCTGGATTGAACTTTTCGGGCTTGTCGTACCATGTCTCATCGTTTTGGATGCCCCAGGCGTTCATGATTAGGACTGTCCCCTTGGAGAACTTGAATCCCCGATAGGTGTCGTCTCGGGCCACGACACGTGGGAGAGCTGCTGGGGTAGCAGGGCGACATCGCATTGTCTGGGAAAGCATCAGGTTACATGAGGAATTCTGTTTTTGGTGTCAGGCTCGGTGCTTCAACTCACTTCCATAAGCACTGCTTTTAGATACTTAAGCTCAGCAAGCCCTTCTGCGTGTGGCACCTCGTCCTTCCAGATCGAATCTACCTCGGCTTGAACCCTCTGCTGTATCTCGGGGTAGGCGGCAAAGAACAAAATCATGGTAGTCGTAGTAGCGAAGACGGTATCAACTGCCGCATCCAAGATCCCGCTACCGAAGACCGCCAGTTCATGGTCCCCCATGCTCATTTCTTTGGAAGTCTCCCCTTCCCTCAGCGTCCTTGCCATAAGGGATTCATTTTCAACGCTTCGAAGTCCTTTGGATATGTTGGCGTGCTGAATCTTTGCGCCATCCAACATATGATACATCATCTTCAGCATGTCCTTTCGAAGTGCCAATGCCTCTGATTTCCACTGGGCTAGGAACCCAGGAACATACTTTAAGAAGGGGAATATCTCAACAGGTGGTGCCTGTGCGGGGTTCAAGAATCGAAGCCACCTTGATTGAGTGTTGAAGTACACGCTCGTCGAGGTAGGACCACTGTCTTTGACACCCTGCCCGCTCACGATGGAAAGTGGCGTCGCTAAAGCCCAGTGCTTCATGTGATTCCGGAACCCTTTGGGATCTTCGAGAATCTTGCGCATCAAAAGGGCCGATTGAGCTGATTGCAGCTGGAGGATTCTTTGCAATCCAGCAGGCCTGAAGAGATACTGCAGTGCTGTTCGCGCCTTCTTTATATTATGGTCATGAGGCATGAATAGTATGGTGCCCGGATTGATGACTTTGGCAGTGATGTAAGGTTCTGTTCGGTCTGAATAGATGCTGCCGCGTTTTTCGAAGAGTTCCCTGACGTGTTCCGCGCTTTGAAGGATCACCATGTCCTGAGATCCAATTTTCAGGCCTATGATGTCGCCGTAAGTTTCCTTCCACTCCCCAAACTTAAGGAACGACTTGTCGAGAGGGATTTGGAGGGCATTCCCGAATCCCCAGGTCGGCGGGGGGCCTGGTGGGAAATCTTTCGGTCGTCTAGCTGCCAGAGCCCAGCTACCAATCAAATAGAGAAATGGAAGTGTAGCCAAAGCTAAGAGAGCCGGATGCCATGTGTATGAGAGTGAGGCCATGGTGTTGATACAGTATCCTATAGAACGGTATTTTCAGAGAAAAAGAAGAGAGCGAAGTGGGAAAAATCACAAAGGTGCTTCTCTGCGGTTTTATTCCTCAATCTCCCCGCATCTCATCAACTTTGGGTTGCGTCGCCGGCTGTTATTGTTAACCTTTTCAGTGTCCATTTTTGGGCTTGTGCTACCACTTGAGGTTACAGTAAGGCAGGCTGAGAGTTGTGGATGCGACTATCATGCAGATACACACGGGCGTTAGCCAACCATTTTAACGAAAGCTGAAGAGATGAGATCAGGCATATGCACGGAATGCAGTTGTTCTCGGCGCCAATGCGAGTTCAAACGCACCTTAATGCACCATCCTGTTGGGCCGCGACGAGTTCGACCTACGCATAGTGCGGTTCGTCGCCCACTGGTGTTGAGAGCACGCATTTTAGTTTAGCCAATGAATAATGAGGGATAACAATCAGACTCAGTACCTCTGATTGGACCTTAACGAGTTGCAATTAAACTAGATGGGACATAGTTTCCAGAGTAAGGGTCCATGGCCCCCAATTCCGGTCAAACGGGCTCACTCCTATCGTCGTTAGTGACAGCAGAAGGTGATGTCGCACTTCACTAGCGCGGAAACTTTCAAGTAGAGTATGATGCCACATGAGTTCCATATGTAATTCGACACCGAGACCCCAATTCAGGGCTATGGCTGCCTCTCGATCATGAAGGCGGCATGTCAGCCGCTACACTAGAGCAGACTTAAGTATCAATTTACGGTCCGCTGCAGTATTCTAGCCCTGCGAGGGCAAGGCCTTCAGGGACGTGGAAGTGGGATTGGGATGGTTTTACGACACAGGTCACTGATATCTTGTAGGGGAAGTCTCATTTAAATTCAGTGATGCTTGAAGTGGCTACCAGGTCTACAAATTACATTTTAATGGCATGTATAGATCTTCGCGGCAAAATGTGTACCAGTTGGTTGATTACGCTTGCTATCATTATAGAACTAAACATAGTAACTAAAGCTCATGAATGAAACAAAGCAATGTCTTTAATCACCATTGTTTTAGCTGTTCACCGCAACAGCATTTCTGTCGTGACACAAACCTTTGTTGACTTTCCTCTCGACTAAGTCCATGCTGTCAAGAGCCATAACGTCTTGAAGTGCCAAAAAAGAACACCCAATAACAATACACTAGCGAGTGACTCCTTTCGACAATATATGATTCAATTGGGATTTCATCAAGACGTTGATAAAGCACCAGCTACTACAAGCAAAGCACCCCAAAGATTATCCTACGTGTCATTCCCACCACTTTACCGTTAGTTACATAACTTCGTTGATATTACCTTGGTCTCCAGTCTTACTGTCACAGCAACTACTCGGCGAACATGGGACAAAAACACCCGAAAGTCTCCGAACGCTACCATGTGGCTACGTCATGCAATCATGCAACCTAAAACCTTCATACTATTTCAGTGGCACTCATCATACGCCGGACAGGTTTATTGTCCCTGATATATCCTCCATAAACCTGTCCGCGGATTTGCGAGAACTGTCAAAACATGTCTGGTATGTCGAAACGCCAGCCAAACAACTTGGCGAGAGATATTAAGCCATTTAATTACCGCTTGATCCCCATTTTACCAACAAGAATAACCATTGTGGTTACTTGCATATCATATTATCTTTGACGTTGTCTTTTCGATATTCAAAGTAGCTGTTTTCTTGGGGTGTTTAGTCGTTACATCGGTGAAATGTGAGATTAGTCCGCTTCCCATGTCTGAGAAATCTAGTGTAGCTTTTGGGAGTCTTTTAATCAGTCAATTTCTAGGCTTCTTAGTGATTGAGATGTCTTATCTCAAGTAACGCTAGTTGGTAGGCAGGCAGGCGCTACGTAGACGAGCAAAGAACGATGTTGGCGGGGCTTCTCTCCGGTTTCCTTTCATCTGATCTTCAGCAGCTTTCGCATGAGGTTACCGAACAGCCTTGGCCCTTGAAATGCAAGCTAGGAAGCACCACGCGAACCAACCCTTTCTGGTTCTTTTAAAGCGATAGGTGTAATCTAGAGTATTCCGCGGCATCTAGACTCTGTCAATCTTCATTACCGTCTCTGTTGCCGAAATTCGCAGCATTCACATGACCGCTTCACCCGCTACAGCGCTTACACTGTTGATCGATATGAGGCTGGATATACCCTGGAGACTATGGCGATGTATGTATCAGCCAAGGGCGGGATATCTCTCAAACGAGGCCCCCCCCAAAAAATGATAAGGTTACAGCGGTCTAGCAGCACGTGTGCCGATATTGGCAGTACTTGGCAATGAACTGACATGCCAACATGAACTAGCACAAGTACAGATGTTCAGAACGTTCGTTCAAGCCGTAGAAGGATTGTACAGGGCCGATCTCAATGTCTAACGGTGGACATCACAGTGGGGTATCGTGTCATGACCTGCAGGTGACTGTCGTTGGCGTCAATCACCCTCGTCGACTGCACGAACAAAGTTGCTTACTTCCTTTTAACTGAATTTTGCTTGTCTCAAACCACAGGTGATTTTCGCCTTTCGCCTTGGATGCGACTACGTCCACTCCCCTTTCTCCAGCCCAGATAGATTTTCAACCCTGACAGACATGATGCCAGCCCTTAGGATGAAGTGAAATATTGACAAGGACCAGGCCAGGCCCGCTGAGGGACAAGGGAAATGTTGCAATACCCTCCTTGGTGAGTGGGTGTCAATGCAGACGGAGGGAGAGAATACTGCCGTGGTCGTCCTATTACGGCCACCAAAATTGCGTGCCCTGTCTGCATGGACAGTTGGGGCTTTGGTAAATGTGAGTGAGAAAAGGAACCCCCACGTGCCTATATTCTGTTCTTTTTCAGGCACGTGTGTCTGCACCCCCGGCTGCTTCTGCATGCTGCTGCCCCTCACTATCAACAGCTGGATGGGAGAGAGCAGGGGCTGTTTATGGAATTGTTTGCAGCTCGACAGCCTAGTTCAAATCAATATGAGACTAACAAGTACCGAATATTGCAAAGGCGAGCCCATTGACCCGCTGACTTGTGGAGTCGACATAGTTAAAAAGATGGCCGGCCAGGAGCCTTGTGTGAAGGTCAAAGAGGAGGGGCCTAGCCGAGGATGGCCATGTGTCGCTCTCGGCACTGTCAGTTGAGCAACCCTGTGAACCCTGGCACGCACAGACTCACGGACGAGCAAGCGAGGTAGAAAGGCCGACGCCTTCGCGTGGTCCGTGAAACGCTTCTTGTGGGATGAAGGTGATATCAGACGCGTGTGGGCACGAGGGGTCCGGGCGTCAAAGCTGGAAAGTGGAGATGTGAGGGTGGAAAAGCAAAGGGCACTCATTTCAACACGAAGGAATGAGATGCCACATGTGATGCGCTCGGTTGCTTGCGCCATAATAAGAAGAAAGATGAGCATTAGTCGTAGTCGGGGAACGTTGGGCGGCGAATGCGGTGGTTCTGCGGGTGAGTTCCGGCGACCGTAGAACCTTAAGCCACCTCCGCAACGGCCCCGATTCCAGAACACGAGGGCTTTAATCCCCGTTCGAATGCGACTCGGTCTCAAAAGAGAAGTGTTCTTGAAAAGGGGTGACAAAAATTCAACCCAAGTATCTCCCCCTTGACCAGCCCCCCGACGGAGTTGAGACTTCAGATGCACACAGGCCTCGTCATCAGTCCGATGTACAGAACGACAAAGCGGGCATTCAAATCCACTCTCTAGACAGTCTAAAGAAGCAAGTAACATGTTACAGACCGACGAAGGGCCAAGAAACATATTCATCATTGGAGAAGATAACCACCACTTAGCTGTTCCGGGCTGTAACCACGTAGCCTTTCCTGTCTCTCGTTGCGAAATTCCGAACGTTAGGCACATCAGGTTGTCATGAGCTTCCCAGCTGCGTTCGCATAAAGCACCCCTGAAATCCATGCACTAAAGAGAAAAGAAAACGTGGACCCGGACAGGATCATCCTATCTTGGTGGGTTTCTTGTGCCAGTTGGTGAGAAGGAGCTTTCAAAGGTCCGCTCGGTTTCTTGACAGGATGACGCTTTTGAAAACTGTCCACAGGTCATATCCTTGAGTCACTGGAGTAAGGTCTTCCCGGCCAGCTAACACCTCGATACTTGCAAATTTTGTTCCACACCGGTTCCGCAATCCGCTCATGCGGCCCGGCGCAAGAGCCGCTGCCACTCCCGTGCCAACCCAACGATACTCCGGTCTTGAGTTCCCTGCCCCGATGCTTCCCACATTCCCACATGAATGCCTCGTGTTGTGGGGATACGCTTTCAAAGTTTGCGTAGCCCGACAATCTCCACAGGAGCCCAGGTCCCCGGGGCTCACTATTTTATCAGGCTGGCCGAGACCATCTTCCGACGGCATGAACACCGAATGAACGGGGGTGGAATGGCAAGTACTGACAGAGCACGCAATCATGTCAGCCATGGAACAGGCATTCTTCTGGGTGGTCCCTCGTCCATCAGGGTCTAAGCATAGTAGAGGGAGGGCTCGCATTCAGAAACTATTCTAAACCCATACTACGTGGTACGGACAGCATCCGAATGTAATACCACCTGTATGCTAATAGCTTACGAGGCCTAGTCTCATAGTTCTTGGCGGACTGTTTGATAGGGCAGAACATCGTGATCATGTTCAAAGTGAGAAGAGCTCATAAGAGCAGATGAAGAAGCCCTGGGCAGCAACCCACCGTCAAGCATGGATCTGTGCAGTGTAACTGGCCCCAACTTTGCTGGTCATTATAAAAGTCTCCGTTCAACTGGCCGAGCTGCATATGATCTAGTTACAAGTTAGAAGAAGCTGCCCACCTTGGGCATGATAAACGGTCAATTTTGTTTAGCAAAACGAGTCGCCAAATGCACAGAACATCATCAAAGGTGGCAGTTTCGGTTCAGCAGGATACTTGACCTTGCCAGTTTAAACATTATTAAACGTTTCGAACTGCAGCATCCCTCCTATTGTTTGCCGGCGGCAGTTAAACATCTCTTCGCAATACCAGATTCGTGAATCAAGATATGAAGATTTGAAATGCCATGTGCTCGTTAGGATGCTAAGAGACAAGGGATCCGGGGAAAGTAACTTGGTCACGTAGGAACGGCTTGTGTAAACCTACCGAAAACGTCGCTTTGTCAAATGGTAAGGATGCCCGTCTCATTCCAACCTTGAAGTATAATAGCAAATAGCCTTGATATGATATCACCAACTTGCCGTTATACCCTTCCATCTCTCCATCGCGAAGCGCATGTCTACACGGTAAGTGCATGTAAAAAGGAAGACCCAGAAACTGAATCATCACGATCTCAACTCATGCGACACCCTGATTTTCTTTCCCCCCCTCTTCTGCAAGGAGGACTCTCGGCACATCCTGAGACCCGGAGCTCAGTCGTTCCGATTACAAACTCAACGACGGTCCCTGATCACCGCCAGGGCCGTGCGCACCCATTCCCAAACAGGACCCGAGTCAGAGCCTCCGTGGTCTTCGCATAGCACCTTGATTTTGGAGGCCTTCCTCTGTTATATCCAAAGGTGCATCATGGGTGCATTTTGCCTCCCTTTGACCGTTACGGTAATGATGCGTTGACCTGGTGACGTCTGTAAAGTTCCACGTAGAAGACGAGCCGGTCACTGGACAACCATTTTTGAGTCATGAAGGCAGTGCTGTCTGCCTCTTGAACTGTTTCCTCAGCAATGACTGGCACGCCTGTGATGACGACCAAGGAGGAGGTCGTCCCGTCAACCAGCGCGCGCCAGCTCAAAGGGCTGAGAAGAGGACACCAACAGCTGAGAATATGCCCACCCCAGACAGCCACACCGCGTGGCGACAGACTTTCTTAGTCCGAAACACCCTCCAGGGACAAAGAGAACGTTGGTTCTATTTTCGATGATCTTCCCTCCAACAGTCTCGTGAATTAAGTTAGCCTAGTAACATGGGCTCATCTCCACAGTGGCTTATTTTTGACTGTAAGCTTTTTTTTTTTTTTTTTTTTTGGTGCTCCCTCTTCATTCAGAGGGGTTATGTAACACGATCGGCTCTAAAATTGGAGTTCGGTTAGGTGCAGGACGCAGATCAGATACGCCGGCCCGAAGCCTAGACCAGAATACTGAAAACCAACTGCCATGTAGTAATGCGATGGTAATAATGGTCGGCTGAGGCATGGCACACACGCAGAGTCAGCCTCGTGGAGCTTTGCCGCCTTATCGGATGACAACCGTAACCGCCATCTCGGACTCCGGACTCGCATCTATCGCCGGGTCGGGGGGGAAGCACTGCTCGGAGAGAGCCACCCATCCCATGTCACCTCCGAGGCAAACTCACCGGCGGAATTCTGCATCGAACAACCCTTCTGTTCGGCAAAGTGTCCTTTCCAAAAAGGGAAACTCACTCGGCTAGAGCCATGTTAAATAGAAGTACCATGACGTATTACATCTCAAAATAAAATGGTTACGTGGCTGCAGATGCACAGTTCATGCAGAACCTTGGTGGAAGCTCTATTTGTAGTCTCTAGAAGTGTAGAGGCGAGCGAGGGTCTTTACACACTTCTGTCGGAACCCAGCTCGTGGAAATCGAGTCCGAAGAACCGAGCTTCTCGGTGAAAACCCGCGTTTACACCATTCCAAATTCCACTTTGGAAAATAGGGTCTTCCTCCAATGTAAAATCTGCCCGTCGTGGGTCTCTTTTTGAATATAACAAAATATTGGCAATATGGAGAGACTCGCTGAACGAATCTTGTAAGCCAAGGGCTCCCCCATGTGTATCCACATGGGATAATGAACCTGCCAAATGAGAAAACAAAAAGAGTATTCTATTGGTGCTCGACTCAATCAACTCCATCAGTGACCCAATCGTATCTTCACCGAGTCAAGAGTCAGGAACTCGGCTAACGGCACCGTCACTTCTTGTGCCAGCTATTCCCTAAACAAAAAAAAAACCATGCTATGAGAAATTTATATCACAAGCAGTAGGCTCCAAGCCCGAGGTGAGCGATCGCTCCGCATCCAACAGCTCGACCATGTGCCTGATGCCAGGTTACATCGTCAACTCGACGTTGACTGGGGGTCCAGCACAAGATACCCGATTGGGATACAAGTGCCGTGGCGCCTATCTGGTTCGGTAGGGGTTCCCGCGAGATGACAATGTCCACCCATCACGAGGTGGAAGCGGAGGCCTACCGTAGTGTTACCTTCTCAGTTTAATTGCTGGCATTACTTAACAGCAGGTTTATCTTAACAAGGCGCGGGGGTGGCGGAGGCGAACTTGGCTCACCAGAGGAGCAGTTCATGTATTTTATATTGCCAGATTTAATAAATAGAAAGCTTACCTGTTCGCCGTTCATCTGACGTTTCGTTCTTCAGCTCTGCCGAAGCCAATTCATACTTCCTGTTCAACCCCCCCCCTCGTCCCATCTAACTTCTGCTGCACTCAGTGTCACAGAAGACGGACAAAGACTGCCCATCATGAAGTCTACCAACGTCAAGATGCTCCTCGCCGGAGGCGCGCTCTCCTCCAGCGCCCTCGCCCAGACTCCAGTAACAGGCGACTTCACCGTCCTCGCCATGAACGTTGCGGGACTCCCCGAAATCCTTCAATCCAACGACGTCCCCGGAGACAAGACGACCAACGCCAGAACAATTGGTTCATTGTTCGCCAAATACAACTACGACATCATCAATGTCCAAGAGGTAAGAGAGAGAGAGAGAGCCTTTCAATTTTCTTCTACCATGTCTTCATCATGGCATCCCTGCATTGAAGACGCTTGTGCCACCAATTGCCCCATTACACATTTTTCCCTGCAGGGACTTTCACTCCTCAATGGAGCGGCAATATGTCATTGTTTCAAGTTTCGCTGCTGGCTGTAGTTACGTTGTGATTTCCAGGGAACTGACAGTTCTATTCTTTGTAGGACTTTAATTACCACGCCTATATCTATGAAACCGACAAACACCCGCACCGCACAGCCACGTCCGGTGGCGTGCCCTTCGGCTCCGGTCTTAACACCCTCTCCAACTACGACTGGGTGGAATTCGAGCGAGTCAAGTGGGACACTTGCTCCAACGCCTCGGGTGCAGACTGCCTCACCCCCAAGGGCTTCACTTTCCTCCGCGCCCGCATCGCAGAGGGCATCTATGTAGACGTGTACAACCTGCACACGGATGCCGGCACCGAGGCGGACGACCTGAAGGCCCGCAACAGCAACCTGCGCCAGGTCGCAAACTACATTGACAAGACGAGCGCCGGCAACGCCGTGTTGGTGTTCGGCGACACCAACAGCCGTTACACGCGCACGTCTGACGAGATCGAGCTCTTCAACAGCCAAAACGGCCTGACGGATGCCTGGCTGCAGCTCGAGCGCGGCAACCAGGTGCCCACCCAGGAGACCATCTGCTCGAACCCCAGCACGACCAACTACTGCGAGACGGTCGACAAGATCTTCTACCGCAGCAGCCCCGTGATCGACCTGAAGGCCACCTTTTTCAACTACGAGAGCAGCAAGTTCCTCCAGCCCAACGGCGACATCCTGTCGGACCACAACCCCATCACGGCCAACTTCACCTGGACCCTGTCGACGGCGCTGCGTCAGTCCGACTTCTCCGGCGGCCCGCACGGCGATTGGTTCTCCGACCTGCCGACGCTGGCCGCCAAGAAGAGCCCCAAGGCCTCGGTGCTCACGTTCCGCGGCCAGAACCGCCTCGACTCCGTCGGTCTGACCCTCGCTGACGGCACCCCCTTCAAGCACGGCGGCACCGGCGGCACCGAGGCCACGCTGACGCTGGGCGCCACCGAGTACTGGACCAGCGCGAAGCTGTGCTGGGGCCAAAAGGACGGGCGCACGCGCAACTTCTACATCGAGGCCACCACGAGCACCGGCCGTACCCTCAAGTCAGGCACCTCGACCTCGGACTGCGCGACTCACACCGCCCCCGAGGGATTCCAGATCGTCGGCTTCATGGGACGTGGCGGGGATGAGGTTGACAAGTTGGCATTTGTCTACGGGACAAAGTAAGCAGCGGTGCCTCTGTCAATCAATGCCAGCCCACCTGTCATGGCATGGCAGAGTTCATGCAACGAAATTCTCTGGGGAGGCATCGTCGCCGTCTTTTTGCAGATCATGTTTTGGCAAAAACCCACCCACTCACTCCCTTGCAGCGGCCCTCTTTGTGATCTGCATCTTTTCTGGTAAAAAAAGTCACCTGCCGTTCATCACGAATCATGAGTGATCGTCTCGAGTGTCAGAATAAGCTGTCAAGATCGACAAGCTGTCTTGGCATACAGTAATTGACGCCAAGCCAACACCTCTGCCCCTCCCTTCCCCCCCTCTTCTTTATTTTATGCTTCAAGGAGATGCTACATACAGCAGCGTCGCAATCTTTGTTCCTGGTTGGATACTTTTCATTGTACATATTTTTTTTTTTTAAGCCTTTTCCGCTTTACCGTTGCGGGGATGGATGGTTAATATTTAGTTTAGCCTTGTAAATGATGCGACGACGCCAAACCCTGAGATACCTACCTTGAGTACATACCTACTACATACATAGCAGCAATAACAAGAGGTCATTTTGAAGGAATCGCATCTCCAAGCCGGGTTGAAGATCACCCGTTCGTAGAGCCATTTCCATTGTCGAATGAGGAATGTCCATACCCCTTCTCTCTTTCAGCCGTCGGCAACTCTAAATGATGAACGGCATCTTCGGGGGATGCGCCTTTGGCAGCGGTGCTAACGAACGCTCTGGCCGTCGCTTCATACTAAAAGAAGCTATTCTATAGGTACATCATCCCCACTACGCCCGGATGCCGGCGCCGGCTTGAACGATCGCCTCCCAGTCTCCAGTCTGGTGCGACGGCCGCAATTTTTTTTTTGCCTCCGAAACACTGCAACAAATCGCACGCCCCTCCCCCCCCCGAACTAAATGAAATAGCAGTAACCCGTTTGATGGCGAGGCTACCCAACAGAGTGGCAGCCAGACCCTGGGCAAATGTCCACCAACCTTGGACGGGACTATGAGGTGTCGTGAGCGGGCAACAGCTCCAGCCCAATCATCTCTCTCGTCTCAGTAGCTAACCGCCCCCCCTAAGCGTCCCTAATACTCGGTCAGTAAGCTCCAACACCACCTCGCCCCAAGCTTTGAAGGACGCCATTGCAAGACGGCCAGTAATAGCCACGATCTCGAACGAAGCTGAGCTCTTTAGTTTTTGTAGACTAGTGGTCGTCAGCGGAGATTTTCTTCTATTTATCCTTTTGAACCTTCCTCAGCTCCGCAGTGCTTCATTTCAGGATACCTGGCGCAATAAACAAAGCGGCTGCTTCGGAGCTCACTGATCTGTGGCATTTACAGACGTCACCGTAACGATGCTAATCAAGGCCAGGTATTTTTTTTGCAAAGTACCGCAAGCAATCAAAATCGGAAAACTATCACATTCATCAGCAAACGCCCCCTCTCATGTGATGGCGCATGTGCTGAAATTTAATCGACTTGTTTGATTCGCGATTTCCAATCTCAAGCTGTGCTTGGCGACAACATCGCAAGCCTGCGAGAGGCTGGACATCATCCTCCCCCGTTCAGCGTAATAAGCCATACCGAAACGAAACACGTCATGGCGCATTGTCGAGAGGTTGCAGAATAGGAATAAATTGCCAATAGCGATTCTCCAATACGCCACACTAGAGCCCAGCAAAGGAATGAGGCTGCCTCGTCTTGAGATTGGAGAAACCATTTGCCTCCAATGCCAATTACTTCATCGAACGAACTTGGCGCCATGACGTGGGCAATAAACAAGAACGCACTAGTCAGACCCCTGAGCTGGAAACAAGATCTGGTGCAGAGTGCTCCTCAGCTATTTCAAGTGGGCACAAGGCCAGGCATGTTCAGAAAGAAAAGAGTTCAGCCATCCTTCCGAATGTGACGCGACAAGCTGCTAACATGAGACGGCGTGAGTAAAAATGGGCGAGATTGGATGAATGGTGGTGGGGTGAGATTGGAGGCAGTCCTCCCGCTACTCAGGGCCCAACCGTCCCGGGGAAGTATGTCGACCGGCTAGGACTTTGCTAGATGTGCGACGGACCCTGAATCTGTGGTTCCGTAAACCAAACTTAGCTGTCCAGAGGCACTCTCCTGAAAACCTTGACTGACAAAGCTCCATTCTCTTCTAATGTTGAGGCGGCAAAGCCATGGGCTGAGGTAAGGATGGTTAATAGCGTGGAGCTCAGGGCATCGTCATCTTGTCCTGTAATACATCTTCAATTTAACTGTTGGGCTTGACACTGTTGTCGGATTTTTTCGGCAGTCAATTGCACATGGCGATGCCCAAGAGCACTGAGAACTGGTGCGCACCCAATTGCCTGGTTCTAGACTGGACTCTTCATGCAGCCTGGCGCCGGCAATCATGCGCGGAAGTAAGCAATCAACCCGCGGTTTGCCCAGTACGCCAAGCCGGATTCAGCGGGCATGGTATCTTTCCCCTGACACTCGGGTCGGGACAGCAACATACCGAAACACTAGACACAAGAACCTAACAGCAAGAAAGTAGGGTAATGTCCGTCGCTGTAGAAAATCATCTCCTGTTCCTGACTGTTGGTGTCGCAGCAACTGGTGGTGATTTTGTAGTGGGGCACATTCCTCTCAATGTTGATGTTTGCTTGTTGGAGGATTGTTTGCCATTTGCGCCGGAGACGATGGAAGTAATCTTTGCCCAATGAGTAATGAGCTTTCAGTGGCTCCTGTGAGTAACTACCATGCGTATGAAATGAAATGTTCAAGGGGTAAATCAATCGCTACAACAAATCTTTGGTCCCAACATATGGCAACGGTCGACCAATTGCGAACTCAGGGCGGAATGCATGTGTTGTTCCGAAGAGCAAGACAAAAAATGGCCTGTGGAATTGCAATAACGACTGCATAATGCATCCAAAATCACTCTTTGAGTCTCTGCATCTCAGAAATCGATGTCAAGGCGTGGCTGAGTTGTTGATCATCCAATTTGATGCTCATAGCAACTCTATCTGGATACTTGGGGTGTGTGGGTCGGCCTCAAAGTCTTCGTGGAGGCGGCCTTCGGCCTCCGATCCGGCCTGTTCCGTCCACAAGGGTAGATAGTACCGACAAATAGCTGATAGTTCAAGGGGGCGCCGGACGTATTGCCTGGTTACTGGGTCCGGTATACCTAGCATCCATACGAGTGCGACTGTCCGAGAAAGGCCTGGATCCCGTTGTAACGGCCATACCACGATGCAAGATCGAGTAAGGGTTTTCACGCTGCCACCTGGAAACCCCCCTCCCCCCCTGGCTGTCGGCTAATTGATACGTCGAGAGCCCGATAGCAGGCCGAAGAGTATACAATCCCAGAAACTCTAGGCATTCTGGGAAGTGAAATCACACTGACGAGGCTTGTGGGGTATTCAACCAGTGACCTGGTAGTTATCAAGTCTCACAAGTGAGAACCGGCCGGCTTCACCGCAAGGTCGTTTTCTAGCCCCTGCCCAGAACAAAAATCTGCACAAGTTCTCGGTAGCTAGATACTGATTGTCAGAAGTTATGAGAGTGATTGTCGAGCAGGACGCTGGTTGCGAATGATGGCAATATCTGTACCTATGATTGAAGATTGTTTCGATATTGACTTGCTGAATGTACCTGTATTGGCGCAAAACCATCATTTATGTCTAGGACTAAAAAAACCAGAGCTCCGCCGATGCGAGTCATCCGTGTCATTGCATATAACAGGGATTCCGTTGTGTAAAAGCGAAAGACCCATATTCTCCACTATTGAAGCTGGTTAGGCGGATAACGGGGTATGGCCGTTGAGTGGAGAACATATTGTTCCCATTCCCCAGGTTGCGCTCCTGGAATGAGTAATGAAACAGAACGCTCTGTACGGAGCTGTAAAAGCTTTAACCCAATGATAGCTAAGCAGAGCCTACAGACTCTTTGCAATCACTTTTCTTACCAATTAGAGAGGCCATAAGGAAGGAGCCTAGGAGCCCGGGACCCTAGCCTTGAAAGCATCACGGCCGTGGCGCACCAATTGTGGACTGAAGGCCTTCCTACACTTGAGCTCCGTAGAGGATTCGGTGACGGGGTAAGTCAGGGGACGAATCTCGATTGAGTTAATAACTTTTTATCGTACCAGGCTCCTTGGTAATGTTGCAACCATCTTGCCATCGGGGAGGATCCCGTCCTTGATTATTGACGGATTCAGATGCGATCATACTTTGCACATGCCACAAAGAGGCTCCTGCAAAGACCTGTGCTGGATGTTATTGTAAAGCATCTAGGCATTTCCAATTGAGGAAGGCAATAACAGCATCGCAATGCCAAAATATCTGGTAGATATTCAAACGTTTTTTTTTTTTTTTTTTTTTTTTTCCTTTTTGATTGAGACGCTGCTACTTACCAGCGGTGGTAATGACATTTGGATTCATGATTTCGAGGTCACCATCAAATGATTTCATACTGAGAGTACATAGTAGACATCAGTTGCGCTAGGCCCTTGCGACTCTGCGATCCCAAAGGCATGGAAAGGGAGCGTTGGAGATTGGAAAATACGGGTCGCGCTGTGGGTCGTTCAGGTCGGCCAAGGGCAGAAATTTACATGAAGCCAGGGTCAACATCTGAGTGTGTCCCTTGCCCCCCTGGTTACAATTGGGTCATCCGACGCGTAGAGGAGGACGGATTGAAGGTCCCTGGCCTCTGCTGTTGGATTGAGCACGATGAACCCCCTCGAGACTGCGGTGATTTCCGGGAGATGCATGGATTCGACTCAGTCCAAACTTCGCTGCTGCCCGGACGAATATAGTCTAGCGAATTCCAGTACGTTTTCTGGCCAAAGAAGACACCGCGAGGTGCAAGCCAAAGTTCTCGATAACGCATGATTGCCCCTGCGTCCAAGTCGCCATCATTCGTTGTGAACCAAAGATTACCACGTGGTGCGTCCGAGCCTTTAGCAACAACTACCTTGACGTACGGAGTAAACGGTATGCCCAGCTCAAGCTTCAGAGAGCCTTAGACAGCCGGAGGGTCGCCGAGAGGGGTCCACGGCAGGGTTTCCTGAATAGCTGATGTTGGGGCTTGATGCGGTATGCACGTGCCTGCGGACGAGGCTTGCGGGCAAGGGTATACCCAGTTACGGTTTGGTATCTTCCTAAACAGGAAGAGACATTCGCATTGAGTGCTGACACTGGCTGCGCGCGCGAACGACTTTTGATTTCGAGAAGAGCGAGGCCGTAGGAACCGTGAGATCCCGGGTGCCGATGATGGGCGGGAGGAGTTGTAGTAGCGGCCCTGGCGCGCCGATCAAAGCGAGCTAGGACCTCAAACGAACCGAGACTAACGATGATGTGTGTTTTGGCTTAGGAGGTCACCCGAAGCCTTAAGACGTCAATCATACGTGCGAGGTGAATCGCCTCCGTGACTTGTTGGTGGCATTGCCAGTGCTGGCCGATATGCTACTGTCAAGCCCGCTGCAGGGGAAGTGGCGAGCCAAGCACGGGGAGCCGGATCGTAATGGTTGACCGCGGGGCATATGAGTTGGAAGACTGGGATATTGAACCGGAGCCAGCTGTTCAATAGACCGTTGCCAGTGGGCCGACCGGCAAGATTGACGAGACACGCACCTCCTTTCCCACCCGTACCTTGCTTCATGTACTTGCTGTGCCGCTTCCTTGCGGCCCTTGCCTCCCCCTGATGGATGGTTTACTGTTAGCGACGGAGTGCAAACTTCAGATGGCCAGGGTCTGCGTGTCCATGGGTTAGAAGGAGAGCACTGAACGGGTTGACGGGTCGTTGGTGACGTGTGACGAGTGGAATAAGGCTGCCTGAGCCGCAGACACCGATGACCAGGTAGGTGAAGACTGCTTGGCAAATTGGAGTCGGGTCGATACGAGGCGTGCAGTGAAAGGGCTAACGGAGGCCGGGGGGCCGACGGTAAAAATGCCCATCGCCGCGAAGAATAGAGGACATGGTGATTATCCGTATACTACAGAGTACGGATATGTACGAAGGAGTCGAAGGAGGACAGGAAGGGAAGGTGTTCCATATTGGGAGACGGCCTGGAGTTACATAATCTTGAACCATAGATAAAGCCTCAGTGAGTACATACAGGGTAGCTCAATGGCCCAACCCACTGGAAGATACCTCCTAGTAAGCGAGGAGCTGTGAACCTCCAAAAAATCGCAGAAAGAATGCAAGGCATTCTAGGCAAGACCTCCCAGGCTCACCTTAGTCGTGGTCTTTCCACCCTCATCTCCACCCCCAACAAGAAAAAAAAACAAAACCATGCTGTGATTGTACAATACCATCACCACCATCTGCCTAATCGCCGCCCCGGCAAACGCCTTTGTCGCAATCTATTCCTTCTTACCGGTGGTATTCAAAAGCCCGTTTGCTTACCCAAGGTCATGATCCTCCACCATCACTGCAGCATCTCGGAGATGAAGAGCTACACCGTCCAGCGTGGGGTTCGGAAGAGACTGACATAACGAGGAAAAAGCAAGAAATTCGGTGGCAGCCAGTACAACGCCATCCAAATAAATTCCTCACTACGCCGATAATCGCACTTTGGTCGTACCATATACCACTACTCGATGGAAGATTGGGCGGTGGTTGCGTTGCCTCCAACCAGACTTGGACCCTGGCGACGTCGCATCACATAAGAACGACAGGAACGGTTTGGGGGCCCGACGCTTCGTACCGTCATTGCATTACACTATCGGCTATGTTCCTTACAGATACATGCATTTTCCACCTCTTTCACATCAGTCATCACCTAGTCATCACACCCATCACACATCTTGTCACACACCCTCCACACCACCGGGATGGCCGTTCCGATAGTCAAGACAGCTCAGAATTGAAGGCAGAGCGATGCCTAACAAGTCCTCACATCAAGGCTGTCACTTGAAGCCGAGCCTTTACCCGCTAACCAAGCTTCGCCATGTCCCTGCAGCTAGCCCGACGGCTTTGGTCCAGGTGGCATGATGTCCTAGACACCGTCAACAAGACTGTCTCTCTGCCCGCCATTGCCCTGGTTAGCAACAGAAGAGTTCCCCGCATGACGGCTCGGGCCAGATCAAGAAAAACAGGGCAGCACCTCCCGTTTGTCTGGGGGTTGGACGGACCTCTGGTTGCTGCCGAGCCGCAATTCAAACGACGAGACCACGGATCGAAAGCGGACAGGTCTGGTATCCTGTCTAATTATGGAGGAATGTATCCCATCATTAAAGCACGATTGAAAGCCCCGCCTTACAGCCATATTCGCCGCAGAAACCACAAAGTTGAACTTGTCCAAAATACTGACATGGGCACCAAAGCGGCCGCCACACTATCCGCCGTGCCACTGCCGCTCGGCATTTCACAGCACTGTCGTCACTGGGTCTTAAAGATGAAGAGCTGGGGCCCGCCCTGCGCCCGAGCTGGATGTATGTGAGAACGCTTGACAATGTGGCAGGCAAAGGACGAGTTTAGGACCTTGCCTCTCCATGCGCCAGATCACCACAATCAAATGGCTGATGGAAAACAAACAGTAGGCGCTCACTTTTGCTCGCCAGCCACAACGCCCTGAAGGCCTTGGAGCCACATGCTTCTTTGTCCTTTGTCAACAACAATACTACGTAGCTTGAAAATCAAACCGTTGACAATTGTTGTTATTGTTGTTGTTGCCAGGGCAATTTATACTACAAATTGGCTTCTTAAGCCAACATTCAAGGCGAGGAATTTAGCGTGCCGGCGCGACTCGTCGAGAACCAAAAGGCCAATCTTCAGCTAGCCCCAGCCATCGCGCTGCCCAGTCAAATGTGAAAATCAAACGACACTCAAGCCAGCGCGACGGTAGAGGCGCGCCAGTACAACTGCATCAGTGCAATGGATCTGTGGCCGATTGAGACACCGGCCGTAGCCAAAATGGGAACATGGTATTTGAACATTGACTGGGTAGATGATTTTAAGGAAAAAAAAAAAAGCCGCTAACTTATCCACCTGACTTCGGAGTCCGATGGCAGCAACATGACACAGGACCCAAGCTTGAACGAAAAGCAAGATGCTGCAGAGCCCCGGATGTCACGATTCAGAGGCGGCTACTTTCCTCGAGACGCCTTAATTCGGGGACCTTTTAGTCCGTCGGCATGGGTCGTGCAAAGTACCGCTGCACAAATCTTACGGCGTCGACTGTGGCACAAGTGTATCCCTCGAAGACTTGTCCTAGTCCTGCATAAAGTTTCACCTTCGGCAGCTCAGGTTCCAGAAGGCCAAAAGACCATTGTGTTGTGTGGTTATCAGCACAAAGGGCAGGCTGCTTTGGCTTTGGTTTGACTGGCAATTAGCGGCCGTCAACCAACGGTAGACACATGATTGTTCGAAGCACGGATTGCACACATAGCAAGGAAGCGAGGGACAAGATGAACAGGGTCGCAAGTACACAGAAAGAACCCATTTGGGATGCTCCCATCATATCATGCCGTGAGAGAAGCAATCAATTAGCCCAGCGCTGATTGATGGCATATTTCCCTTGAAGGGGGCCGTTGCATCCGGCGTCCGCTCCCGAGGGCCTGGATGGAGCCTCCACAACCCGTATAAACCGCCCAGCCTGGATGTTCGATTCGCTGGGCCCAGCATTCTGGGGCATGACGATACGCAAGACCACTAGGCCCAAGGGTCAACAGATCTCGGCCAGACCATAATTAACGCGATGTCGTAAGAAGAGGTAATATCTAGTTGTCGTCGCAAGCGGCAGGGCCTAGTCGTTGAGCTTCCGAATACTGTTTGCCCACTACCGGTTGACGAAACATCTCACCTTACTCGAGCTACGGTTGGCCATCACGTTCTCCCTGGCAAGCCGTAAGCGTGGAACATGCCCTGCAGACATCAAGCAGCAAGGGCGATGGGGAGAAAGCCACAAACTCTATCCTTGACCTAGGTATCAGCATCGCAGCCAAGCGTCTGTGGGCCTGTTCAAGGGATCAGACTCAAGACGATGGATTGCTGGCAGCCTTCAGCCCACACGAACCAGGGCGAAGGTCAAGTCAGGCACAATCAAGCAACGATGACAGAGCGCGCACGCACACGCACCAGCGATGATAGATAGGGTCTGAGAGGTACTGAAAGAGGGAAGAGAAGACTTTGAGGTAATGAGGTGGGCGCAGACAAGGGCGAGGGGGGCAATCTGACCCTGGCCTAGAGCCCGGGAGGGAACCCCATTGTTTACCTAAAGGGCCCCTGCTAAAAAGAGAAGAAAAAACACCCTGGCTTACAGGGCATCCGCCAAAGGTCCACCGGCGCACTTTGGTTTTCAATTGTGGCCGTCTCTCTGGCAGTACGCCTTAAGGGGGAAGGGGGGTGGTGTGTGAAGGAGCTTGTTACCGGGGGAGGGGACAGACTGGCTGGGCTGGAGGAGAGAAAAAAGAAGAAAGAAAACGAAAATACAAAGTAAGCGGGCGGTAGAAGGCACACCCGTCGAGGAAGCTAGGACCACTAGAGGGGAGTGTGATTCGGAAACCCGTGGATGTCGATTTTCTAGCACGGAGCAGGTCTTAGCAACTCAGACCACCACCGCCGCCAACACCACAGCCAGTGTACGTACCACAGCCGATGGCCGACGATGGCCAGCCAGTAAGGTACTTCTACCCGCCCGTACAAAGCACAGGAGGACCCCGTGCTTAGGTAGGTGGCTTGGGGAACAGCAGAGAGCTACTCTCAGTTTGGAAAGGCAAATCACTTCTCAGTGGACCAGGAGGAAAGCAACTTCGGGAGGAAATGATGGTAGTTGGTGTTGTTGTTATTGTTGGTGATGACGGTGGTGTTGATGATCTTAAGGGAATCTGAAGCTGACCAAGGCAGATAGGCAGCCAAGAGGCTTTCCTTCAGTGTTGCCATGAAATGAAGAGACGAGACGGCGCTTTCCAGTCTGATATTCGGAATTCGGCAAGATACTTCGCAAGATACTTGGTCAATGGCAGCAACATTGGAGGCACTGATGTTGCCCGCAGACAAACTATAGCACAAGGTGAAGTGTTCGCAGCTTCCGAGTCAGTTGAGCAGCGAGTGAAGGCGAAGGGCAAGCAAACTTTGCCTTCCCAGGCCATGCGCACATTTACCTCCGACCAAGGTAGCAGACACAATGCTTTGGGTCTTCCTGGCATGGAATACCGTAGCTTGGCCGCTGCCTGGCTTAATCACGGTCCTCCTCTTCTCACCTTGAGCTGGGCTTTCCTTTTCTCATGTAAAGAAGGGTCTAGCGATTCTTGATTGCCAGGAAAAAGAAAACAGTGCACGACGCTCCTTTCGGTCCATCATCGATTCCTACCATGTCGCCGCATCAGTGCGTTCGCCTTGCCCTCCAAACTTGACTAGTCACAGCGCCGTCCGAGGCCGGTACAAGACGCAAATCTAGGCGCGCGCAGATGCTCCATCTCCATGGCTTTTCACCCTACAGAGATCAATGGCAGGCCGCTTGCTCAATGTCCCTTCTCTCTCTCCTCCTTCAGATTTCGGCTTGGGCAGCCAGCTGTAAGCAGTCCCCCATATGGACCCTAAACTGGTGCCCGGGTACGGTACGGATAATTGGACTGGATCTATTGCCTGCAACTCACCTCGCCTTGCCTTGCATTGCCGACTTCTACCCGCCCATGTCCAGATAAGGTGCGGACAAAGACGAGAGAGGTCCAATACGGGGCGGGCCCTGCGCCAGCGCCCACGGCGACCGGCACCTGTCTGCTGCTTGTCACATACACACAGAGTTGCACTCGGTCAGCCTTCACTGCATATGCATATGCATATGCACAAGACACGAGCGACACGACCATGAGACTGCATTCCTTACACCTTCTCTAATTCTTCCTCGCATTCTCTCTTTCCCCTCCTTACACAGAAAGGTACTCGGCTCAATTACCCTTCCCGTGCTTGCTTATCATAACTTTCGATGCTCGAATGCTTCCCTCGATCGTCCATTCCATCCATCGTCGCCAGTAAGCCATAGCTCGTTGATTTTCCTTTGTCCCCCGAGGTCGCGTGTGTCCGTCTCTCGGGAGACAAGAGACGCCAGACTGACGCACGATACATCAAGCTCGCCCCCGTCCCTAACCAGCTTGGTTCTCGAGCTCCACGCTAACTAACCAAGCCTTGTGGGCGGCCCCAACTGGTCTTCAACGTCGACAGGCTCTCCCCCCCGAATCAAAAAAACAAAAAAAGAAAAAGAACAAAAAGCCGACGAGGGGCGACAGCAAGGTGCACACGCTTCACTCCTGGGGGGGAATTACTACTACATTACAGAACGTACGCCCACGCCCCCTTCCTGGATCCAACGCCTACCCACCCACACACATACATACACACACCCTCCCAAAGTTCCCGGACGCTTGGCCTGGCTCCCCCTCCACTTCCCTACTACGTGATCGTCCCTCGCTTTGGGCACTCACATGAGGGACTTCTTCTTGGGCTCCCGAAACCTTGAGTCAAGCCCTGGTCCCTGGTATGCACCTATCCACCATTAGCACAGTCAAGGATCCCTCCAGCACGTCCGTCCCAGGGCTATGACATTCTTGCTATTCCTATTCCCCTCCCACTTCAATGCCCGTCATCTCCTCCCTACATTCCATAACCTCTGCTTCTTCCCATCAAAACTACCTTACACACAGGCCAGCATCCTGTTTCTCTATTCACCTTTTCCGCCGTCAACTGACAGTCATCGACAGCTTGACAGCTCGATTTTGAGACCTAATAACAGCAGCACCCACTCGACGTTCGGGATCACGACTGGCGATTTCTGTTCTGTTTCGAGGAAGGACGACTTCACGCCAGAGGCCTACTTTTACTTCACAATCGAAGCTTTATAGCCATTCTCAGCCTCGCCACTGACGTCCGATATACGTTCGAAGCCACAGGGAAAACGCAGAAGGAGGATTTCGTATCTGAAGGGCAAGCTGGACTAAAATTGGATCTGCATTGCATCCGTCGGAGATCACCAGCGGCCCCAAGTCTAATCACTAACAACAACACTTCGTCTCTTTCACTTACACGATCCTCGCCCATGCTTCTCCACGAGAAAGCCCAGTAGCAGCCATGGTAATGCTGAGCGACCATACCATGCGTGCCAGTCTCCAGGTGGCCCCCCTTAAGCTTCACAAATCCCAATCCTGCGATGCATTGTCCGCGAAGCAGGAACAATACAGCTCCAAATCATTCGCAACGACACACATGACACCACCCGCAACACCCAATGGCTCGCAGGAAGATCTGGCAGCGCAAATGCCGCCGCCGGTATTTCACAACTTCCTGCGAGCTTTCTACCCTTTCCACCCGAGTTATGCAATGACCGACTCAAGCGTCACCCTACCATTAAACGAAGGCGACATCATTCTTGTGCACTCGATTCATACGAACGGATGGGCCGATGGAACTTTATTGGTTTCGGGGGCAAGAGGATGGCTTCCCACCAATTATTGTGAGGCATACGACCCTGAGGAGATGAGAAACCTTTTGAAGGCTCTCCTCAACTTCTGGGATTTATTACGCAGCACCTCGGTCAATGACAGTGAAATCTTCGGTAACCAAGAGTTTATGAAGGGTATCATCGCTGGAGTGCGTTATCTCTTGGTAGGTTTCTCTCAAGGTTTCCATTGCGGCTGGAACACTTGGATTGGGTGGACTAATCTGTGCAACAGGAACGGACGCATTGCTTGACCAGGGAATCGGCCATCATCACCCGCAACGAGAACCTGAGGCGTGCCAGGAAAACATTACTTTCAGAGTTATCAGCGTTGGTCAAGACGGCAAAAAAGTTGCAGGAAGCGCAAAAGGGCATCTTGCAGCCCTCAGAAGATGTTAACGATATTATTGATGAGATGATTCTCAAGGCTTTCAAGATCGTTACAAAGGGCGTGCGGTTCTTCGATATCTTGGAGGATGATCGACGGCAACGGGCGCCAGCGGTAACGGTTATGGCGACCGTTATCGAGGAGTCTTACATCCCCCCAACGCCGCCCGCAGATCACACCAAGTTCGATGAGACTCGCCATGCAGCTTCCCGAGGAGCGACGAACAGAACGCCGTCGCAGCCAAATGCTGCGATGAATTCACCAAACGCACCAACGAACAAGCGTCTTTCGACCCTCTATTCCCCCGCCAGCCCCAACTCTCACCGATTGTCTCAAAATGTCAAACGACTGTCATCCAGTATTTCGCATCGAGTTTCATTGGCCGGCCCGTCACCGCTGTCCAGACCGCATCATCTTGTCTCGGAACGCCTTAACAAGAGTCACGACACTTTCCTGTCCCACCTAGGCTCATTCATTGGCCGTCTGCACCTGCAGTCTCAATCTCGACCGGAATTGGCTTTCGCCATCAAGCTCTCGGCCACGTCTGGCGGAGAGTTGTTGGCCGTGGTCGATGTTGTTTGCGGACACAGCACCAGTTCAGATATGCTTGTTCGAGCGAGGGAAATGATGTTCGAGCGCATCCGCGAATTGGAGTTGGCAGCCGGTCAAATCATCCGCCATGCCGTAATGCAGGATGCCGACGTCATCATGCCCCAGGACAACAGCATGTTGCTAATGGCCGCTACGGGATGCGTGAAGGCCGCCGGCGAATGTGTGGCCAAGACTAAGTGGGTTATTGAACGTGTGGGCGACTTTGAGTGTGAGTTTGATGTTGGCGACTTGGGCATTGACCTCAGCGTGCTGGATTTCGCTCCTGAACCACACCACCGACGACCGTCCCTTGCTCCGTCAGTTGCAGAGACAACGACGACAGAGGCCACCAGCGTTGCGGAGTCTCACAAGAGTACTGACTCTGTACATTCTGTTGTACCGTCAACGCCCCACCGACCTAGTCTTGTTGCCAACGACAAGCCGCTCCCTCAACTACCACAGACTGAATCACTCGCTGGTCAAGAAGTTCGGCGCCATCGGTCTTCCTCTCAAAATTCAGGTGCATCAAATTCGCGACCGTCGTCGTTCAACGATGATGCCGCTGCGAGCGCTGCGTCTTCATTCTCATCAATCCGGCCGACTCTGCCTCCTCTCCCCAAACTCTCTACATCCCTGCTCCCGGGAGATGAATACGGCCCCATCGAAAACATGGGCCAAGACGGTGATTACCACCCCTCCTCCCGTGTTGACAGCATGACCGCGTCGAGTGCCGGCAGCAGCAGCACCTATCTTAGCCGTGACTCGGAGGCGAGCCTCGTATCCCAAACATCTACCCGTGCAACTACTCCGGATCACACTCTGGCACCACGGAACAAGCCGTCCATGTCGGATCTCAGCAACGCCGGCAGTTCTAACAATCATGAGGAGGTTGACGAGGTCGAGTCGAGGATGTTGGAGAAGACGTACGCCCACGAGCTCATGTTCAATAAGGAGGGCCAGGTTACAGGTGGCTCCCTCCCCGCACTTGTCGAGCGTCTGACAACCCACGAATCTACTCCCGACGCAACCTTTGTCTCGACTTTCTACCTTACTTTCCGGCTCTTCTGCAGTCCTATCAAGCTGGCTGAGACTCTCATTGACCGATTCCACTATGTCGCCGAGGCGCCTCACATGGCCGGTCCTGTCAGACTCCGCGTTTACAACGCCTTCAAGGGTTGGCTCGAATCGCACTGGCGAGACGAGACTGACCGCGAAGCGCTCAGCCTCATCGAGCCGTTTGCCGAATACGAGCTGGGCAACGTACTGCCATCTGCAGGCCGTCGACTACTGGAGCTTGCTCAGCGGGTGTCCAATGACGGCTCGCTCGTCCCTAGACTTGTGTCTTCCATGGGGAAGACAAATACCTCAATCGCTCAGTACATTCCGGCGGACACCCCTCACCCGCCTCTTGCTGTTACCAAAAGCCAGTTCTCCCACCTCTTGGCTTGGAAAAACGGCGGCAGCAACCCCACCGTGCTCGATTTTGACCCGCTCGAGATCGCTCGCCAACTTACTATCAAGCAGATGACTATTTTCTGTGCCATCATGCCTGAAGAGCTTCTTGCGTCGCAGTGGATGAAGAAAAGCGGCGTACATGCTCCGAACGTCAAGGCCATGTCAGCCTTGTCCACTGACTTGTCAAATCTCGTTGCCGAGACCATTCTCCACTACTCGGAGGTGAAGAAGCGCGCTGCCGTCATTAAACAATGGATCAAAGTGGCTCACCAATGTCTTGAGCTTCACAACTATGATGGTCTAATGGCTATCATCTGCAGCTTGAACAGCAGCACCATCAGCCGCCTTCGCAAGACTTGGGAAGTTGTCTCTCCTAAACGACGTGAGATGCTCCGCACTCTGCAAGCCATTGTCGAGCCATCACAAAACAACAAGGTCCTGCGGACGCGTCTTCACGACCACGTTCCACCTTGCTTACCCTTTCTCGGCATGTACTTGACCGATCTTACATTTGTCGACATCGGAAACCCAGCGACTAAGCAGCTCCCTACCCTGGGCGGTGATGGCTGCGAAGAAAACGGTGGTGGCTTAACAGTGGTCAACTTTGACAAGCACACTCGCACGGCAAAGATTATCGGGGAACTGCAGCGGTTCCAAATTCCCTACCGGCTGAATGAGCTCCCCGAAATGCAAGAGTGGATGGCGGCCCAAATTTTCCGCGTCCGCGAGAGTGACCCAAGCAACGTTCAGGTCAGCTACTACCGCAAGAGTCTTCTGCTTGAGCCTCGTGAGATGGCGATGCGAGCTCCCGCTGAGCCTCAGGCCACTACCACGACCAGCCAACGTGGCGGCGACCTCTTTGGTTGGATGAGCCGAGATCGCGGGGCGGCTACGCCCACACCGATTTGAGGTCTCGGTCCAAGGCGCCCATGTCTTGATGACAATTTCCAACGGCAAAACATCATTTCCACATTTTCCCCGTCATACATACCCCCTTATTCTGCTTCGCTTTTGATACCCAATTTTTGTCACCTCGCGTTAGAGGCTTATGTCATGAACGACTTTTATCCTCATCATCGAACTACACTTGGCGTTCTTTAATCTGCTTCTCTGCCTGTCCTGTTTTGTCAGTTGGGCTTGAGGCTTCAGTCACCTGGTGTGGTGTTCAATGTGGCGACTATGGTTTTCTGTTTTTTTTTTCTTCTTTAGATGGCGGAATGGCATGACCATGCCTGTGTTGCTGCAAGGGGAGGAAGTGGTCAGCTTTTTTGGTTCACACAATTACACAACCGTTTATCGGATGGGACTATTGTTCTCCTATGTAACTTTCTTCCATGGTTTTGGATTATGACCCATGGACATTGTTCCGGGTCGGAGGGAAACAGGAGCTGTAGGCATACCAGTCATGGCCCTTGAGCCTTTACTTTTGGACACCGGCGTCACAAGATGGTGTGGCGGACATGGAAGGCGGCGTCCAAAATACCATACACTGTATATGTAGGATAATCTGTATACAGCCTCTAGAGGTGGTAGGCGGAGATAGACACCATGAATAGGACACAGAATCCTGATGATCAAACAATTTATTTGTGTAGTGATTATACAGTTGCGGTTGATATTAGTTTAGCTTCCAGACCACATCATCGAGATACGGAGACTAATTTAAGCCAGATGGCCTGTGGAAGTACTGTCATCTTATGATTTCAGCCGAACAGTTACAAGGAACCATAAATACTGGTAATTGAGTGATGGCAGAATCTGTTGGTCATTATATTTACCTCTGTTTCTATTTCTTGCTTTGCTAGGCTCGTCATGACATGCCCATGGTGTATTGTGTGAAGCAATCGACTTATCACAATTACAGTCTCCACCTCTTTATATGCTTTCTCTGTTGGACCTGCTGCCGTCTTTGAACAAACCTTTCGATATTATGGCGCAGATGACGTGCAAAAGCCTGTAATCATCCTCTAGAACCCTTCCCAGCCAAGGTTATGGAACATAGATTCGAGGCACTTCTCCCTCGGGCGCCTTGTACTTCCCTTGAGCTACGCGACGGTTGTGCACAGTGTAGATGACGACTTGCAAGATGGCGAATGCCATGCCGACCGAGACCATGATTATCTGGGTTCTCAGTCCTGTTTGGTAACTGATGGGGTCGAGTGTTAATCATGCTATATCCTTTTTTTTTTTCCTTGGTGACTTTGCAAATGAAGCGAGGCAGCATGGGACGGACTTACAATGGCGTGTCGTTTGCTCTGTAATACTGCGTTCCTACCATCAAACCGCTGATGGATAGCATAACCCACATGCTAGGAGAATATCAGCTTAGGTCCTCGGTGGCATTTGCAGAAAAAGGTCGGGACTTACGCAATGCTGATGCTCCGCTCCCCCGGCTCTCGACAGTTCAACTGGACCCACGAGTTGTGAACGGGATGGTAGCCGACGGCGAAGCTGTTCACGGCCGTCCACAGGCCCCAGCGAGACCACTTGCCAACGTGCGGATGGGCGGTGCGGGCAACGACGAGGACGACGAGGTAGCATACGTGCGCTCCTATCACGGAATAACCGCGCTTGTTGGTTTTGTCGCTGATCCAGGCGACCGTGAAGACGACGACCAGCGCGAGGGAGGCGCCTACGGCGGCAAGTGCGTTTGCTTGGATACGGTTGAAGCCGAGGTTCCTAGATATACGTTAGATATGTGGGCCTTTTTAAACCAAGGAGAGGTAAAACTTGCATGATGATGGTCGGGGTGTAGGTGGTCAACGGGCTCCACGTGGAAAAGACGGCGAAGCTGCTGAGGAAGTGAGGCCAGCGCTGCCAGTGCAAGATTGTCTTGAGCACGAGCTTCGGCGGGATGCGCATGCCCTGCGCGCCGCCTCTCTTCTCTTCGTCGTCGAGTTCCAGGCGGCGTTGCAGGATGGCTCTTTCTGCGCCTTTGAAGCGGATGAGGCCGGGGCTGAGTAACGGGTCTGGCGTGTCGGGAGATCCTGGGAGGAGGAAGAGGAGGGACAATCCGACAAAGATGGTGAATACGCCCTCGACTGAGGGTTTCGTTGTTAGCTGACTTTGCTGAAGCGGCGTGGGATATGTGACGGACGTACTGAGGAATAACCATTGCCAGCCCCTTAGACCGCGGGCACCCTCGAGCTTGAGAATGCCGGATGCGAGGACTGGGCTCAGCGCGTTGCCACTGAACATGCCGAAGAAGAAGACGGCGACGCGCTTTGCCAGTTCTTGTTTCCTGTACCAGGTCGAGAGCGTGTAGCATGCGCCGGGGATGTAGCCTGCTTCTGCGAGGCCGAGCATCATGCGCGAGGCGAGGAAGCCTTGTCTGTTGCGGAGGAAGACCTGAAGGGTTGCGACGAGGCCGAAGAGCATCACCTGCGTTGAGATGTATTTGCGAGGGCCGATCTGTGAGGTGTGTCAGATTCTTTTGCTCAAGGTAGGGGGTGTTACTATGAGGATACGATGAGTGCGATTGAAAGGCACTCACTTTTTGAAGAAGCATGTTTGATGGGATCTCTAAAATGACGATACCCAGAAACATGAGCTGGTTTCCAAGGTTGATGGTGTCTTGGTCCACTCCAATGTCTTTGGCAAAACCTCCCGTGAGAGCGCTTGCGAGGTTCATGCGATCGAGCTGGAAAACGAGTAATCCCAAGTACAACAGCGGAAGTACTGAGCTATCGATTCTTTCGAGTCAGTTAGTCAAAAGGCCTCACTCAGTGTTTTGATCCTCACTTACTTCCTCCTCGCATGAACTTCATCTTGAGCCGTCCAGTCTGGCTCAGAAACAGGTGTCAATTGCCCAGGCGAATCAGCATACTGCAACTCTTCCTGTTTTGAGTCCCCCATTTTTGTTCAACTGCAAAACTACAGACACGGAGGAAGCGATGGAATCGGCTTTGGCACCGCCGGAAAAGAAAGCAGCGGAGGAAATGTGGTCAGGTTAACTACTGACCACACACACACACACACACACACACACCCCTCTGTACGAGGGACCCAATCTCATCTCACATCTCGGCCTTTGCTATTCACAAGCTTCCTCTCTTTTGCATCATCTCTGGGCTAGTGTCACATCGCAAACTCATCCCAGGCATAGCGAATCACAATACCCTGCTCCAAAAAAAAAAACTAAACATGAACATCCCGCCACACATTTCTGGCCCCCTCACCGTGCCACGCTCTTGGGACCATCACGCAATAGCCTCCCAAGACCCCCCCTTTGACGTCCTCAGTACCGATCGGACAGGGATCAAAGAGCATGGTCCCCCGCCGGCACCGGTACCGTTGAAGACTCTCCACTTTTTTTCACCGGACGTCGACGTCCATCCTACCGAGCACGCCATCTTTCACCATCGCGCCAAGACAAACGCCGAGCTGTTTATCTTGTGTTATCGGGATTTGAACCGTGCCATGGTATTGATCTGATGTAGTGAAATGAAGTTGCGTCATTGGACAATTCCTCGCCGGGCTAGAACTATCACTTCCATCGTCCTGGTCCTGAACCTGTTCCCACCCCTTGTATCGGTGGGGTTTCCGTTGAGCCGGGGGAAAGTTCCTGAGAAAGATGGATAAAACTAAGTTGCGCCCGAGCTCAAACGCGGAGAGTTCGTCTGAAAAGCTGCTGAGTGTGATCAAAGCTCTCATTCATAAGTCTGTATGCCCAGGGGTCATTCTGTGTTGGGCTACTTTTCATGAGCATTTGGAGGCCTGCCTGGATCACTTTGCTCCGAGATTGAACATCTGCAAAGTTGCCGACCTCTGATTTCACCATGGGAGCCGTAAAGCGTGTCGCGGTGATTGGGGCTGGTCCAGCTGGAGCCATCACCATCGACGCCCTCGCACAAGAGAAGACGTTCGATGTGATTAGAGTTTTTGAGCGCCGGGAAGCTCCAGGAGGATGCTGGTGAGTCTGTCTTTCGCACAGCAAAGATGATGCTATCATACTCAGACTTGGGATTTTCAGGCTTGGCGAGACGAAGCCGCCGCCGATTCTCCAGCCCGATGAATTAGGCCTGCTCGCCTCACGAGCAGCCGATGGCCCTCACCCATCAATACCGTCAAAGCTTCCGGCTCAGCTCCCCAAATCCTCGACTCCCCGTTACGCCGAGTCTACCGTGTATCCCTACCTCGAGACTAACATTGACTTTTTGCCGATGCAGTTTTCGCAAGAGCCGTTTCCGCAGGAGCAATCAGAGTGGTCCGTATCGATCCACGGCGCGGACACGCCTTTCCGTCCGTGGTCGGCTGTGCAGGGCTACGTCCGTTCCCTTGTCGAGAGAAGGGGGTACCAGGACTTTGTGGAATACAACACCACAGTAGAGAAGGCCGAGAAGATGAGGGATAGTGGGGAGTGGAAGTTGACGCTGCGTAAAGAAGGCGAGAAGACGGACTACTGGTGGGAGGAGACCTTGGACGCAGTTGTCGTCGCGTCTGGGCATTATAGCGTGCCGTATATCCCCTCGATCAGTGGCCTTGCGGAGTTTGCGAGGGACAGACCCGGGAGCGTCATCCACAGCAAACACTTTCGGGGTAGAGATGCGTACAAGGGCAAGGTAAGCTACCCCCGGCCGCTCTGGGTGGTGATCTGGTCTCGATAGCTAACTAACATCCCGATTCAAGAGGGTTGTTGTCGTAGGCGCCTCGGTTTCCGCGGCGGACATCGCATTCGACCTTACATCGACCGCCCGGGCCCCGGTTTACGCCGTGACCGTCGGCCACAACTTCAACGGCTACTTTGGCGGGGAAGCGTTCAACCATCCGCAGATTGTCAATGTGCCTTCAATTTCACGCATAGATCCGCAGACCCGTACTGTACATTTCGTGGACGGCACATCCGTCGCCAATGTGGACGACATCATATTCGGGACGGGATATACTTGGACCTTACCGTTCCTTCAGACCTCTACGGAGTCCGAGTCGTCATCGCCATCATCGACTGAAGAGTTGAAGCAAGCGCCAACGCCCCGTAACAACCGCGTTCCAGACTTGTATCTTCACGTAGTCTACCGGCCGGACCCCACCCTTCTATTCGTGGGTGCTGTGAACGCGGGCCTGACGTTCAAGATATTCGAGTGGCAAGCCGTCCTGGCGGCTAGAATCCTCGCGGGACGTGTGAATCTGCCTCCCGTTGAACAGCAGAAACGATGGGAGGAAGACCGCGTGGCGAAACGCGGGGACGGCGCCAAGTTTGCTCTCGTCTTCCCCGATTTCGAAGAGTACTTTGAAACCGTCAGGAAGCTCGCGGGACCGGCGAACGGCAAGGGCAGAGAGTTGCCGCCGTTTAACAAGTACTGGTTCGAGCGGTTCCTGATGGGCCATGAACGTCGGAAGGATATGTGGAGGCGGCTTAATGCAGAAGCAAGGGAGGCCTTGAGTGGGAAGTCGGCCGGAGATCAATTACGTGCAAGGTTGTAGCTTGTGACTATACCAACCGAATTAAAGAAGTACCTGAGGAAACATGTTAGAATAGTCCAGAGTGAAGGCAAGATTCGGGATCATTACCAGCCGTTGCAAGTACTTGATAGCCCTCTCGACAAGGTATCAATCAAGTCGAGACTCATCACGACCTTGGAGTCCATCGTTGAAAGATGCCGATGTATAATCATACACTAACTCGTACGGGTATCTAGTCATGACAATCATTCCGTCGTCCTTGGTCCTTCGAAAACACACCCTCATCTCTCTCAGTAATCTAGCCACGAGTCAAAGTGGCGATCAACCTCCCAATCATCTTCGATCTCGCTCACACCCTTCCTCCTACCCATCCCCTTCTTCCCCTTCCCCTTTTTCTCGTTCTTCTTCGCCTTCTCCTTCTTGAACTCCGTCATCTTCACCGGCTCCGGCGGCACAACGTCCTCCGTCTCTACCTTCGGGCCATCGGTCTCGACGATGATTCTCCCTGCCCTCTTCCTACCGGCCTTCCTCTCCTCCCTAGCGAGCTCCGCAGCCCTCGCAAGCTCCTCCCTTTCAAGCTCGCGCTCCTTTCTTTCGGCGTCCCTCCTGTCATCCTCCTTTCGCCTTCTCGTCTCCAGCTCGCGTTCCCTCTCCCTCGCCTCCTCCAAAACGGCCTCCTCCTTCTTCTCCTCTCGTCTCCTCCGGCCCTCCGCCAATGCCTTTTCCTCGCCGGGATTCGGCTTGCCCATCCTCCTCAACTTCGAATCCCGAATCATCTTCTCTCTCCCGATCCTGATTCGCGTCTCCTTGCTCTGCGGGACTCCCTCGAAGCAGATCTTCACCGTCTGGCCCGTAGGCAGCTCGACGTCGTACTCGGGGCATGAATCGTTGAGCGACGCGAGCACACTGCCCCCGTGCAGATCCACATTCTCCATGTCCCAGCATCCGAGAAACCTCTCCTTGACGACCCTGTCCACGTGGACGCAAAAGTTGGTGGTGAAGTTCCTGTAGAGCTCCTTACACGCCTGCGCAGTGGGTTTGAAGGCTTCCAAGTCGACCTCCTGCGCGGCCCTCACAAACATGATGTGTCGCTGGACCTCCGGGCTGCTCCTGATGTTCACGTAGTCCCTCGCGTAGGCGGCCGTCCTGTCCTTGTACTTGCCTATAAAAGTCATCTCCAGCTTCCGGAGCTCGGGGAGCAAGGTGCGCAGCCTGGCCACGTCGTTGGTGCACTTGCGTAGCACCTCGGGCCGGACGGCCAGACGCCTCATCCCCTTGCACTGCTTCATGACGCCCCAGAACTGGTGCCAGCGCGGGGTGGGGGGCATGTATTCGTCCGTGAGGACGTTGCGCGTTGTCTTGACGTCCATGTTCCAAGCCTCCAGGGAGGCGATGTTTACGTTCCTGAGGAGGGCGCGGTACTCTTGTCTCAACCTCGAGCCGACGCAATTTGTGAATTCGTCAGGGGTGATGAAGACAAACTCGTTCTTCTGCCAAAACAGAGGTGCGGCCTCGCGGTGAATCTGCCGACTTGCCAGCAGCAAGTTCAGGCCGGGTCGCTTGGCGCATTGGCATTGTACTGGTTCAATCCATGAATTCAGCCTCGGGCCTGAGATTTCGACATTGGAATCCAGCACCATGTACGCGGCAGGCTCGATGCTGGTGCGGGTGTGGTTGTGACGGAAATGGCATTCTGATTTGTGGCTCAGAGAATACTTTGGTGGTGTGACGAGGACGGCATTGTAGATCTGATTGCGAAGTTCGCGAGGGAGTCCGAGGAGGGTTTTGGCGGATGAATGGTACTGGTTGGGGGGTAGCTGGACCGTAAGCGTTAGGGTGCTGCTGGTCGCCATTATTATGGGGTATCCTGATTGCTGTTGTCGCTATTGATTGATTGAATTCAGGTGGTTGTAGTGGTGGAGGTGGTAAAATACAGTGAGGTCGTGGTCGGTGGTGCCAGCACCTGGGGATCTTTTTACGGGGCTAGACCAGTAGTTTGATTGAGAATATACAAGTGTGAATTGAATCCGAAAGATCTGGGAATCAAGGCATGGTTTATCAATTGTCTCAAAGCCAGCCCTTTAGGCTTCACTCTCTTGGTGTAAGGCTGCGCCAAATGGGTATTGAGGCAGCCGCCGAATGAGTCACACAGGCAACCAACCCGGAATCCGAGGCCAAAACGCAGTAAAGGCTTGTCGCCTCGCAGTCCGCCTTAGGCTGCACGGATGGGGAGAGCCAATCGACATGGCTTCGTTACGGCGAGGGATTTGGGGGAGACTGGGTTGGGGAAATGCGCTGCTCGTCGTTGAGGCTCGGTGAGGCGGTGCTTACAGCGGCGCCGCCGATGAGTCTGCTGCGGACGGTAGTCATCTCCACATTCTCACGGCTCGCTTTCAATTAGCACATCTTTTGTCGTCGCACATTTGACTCTAGGGGCATATGGGAATTTTCTATAAGGTATGCAGTGGAATTATGTTCGTTACATAGCTTCTGTTGAGACTTGATGTCATCACGGGTTCGTTTGCTATTCATTCGTTCAATCCTCAAAAAACAAAGTCCTCCGCGCCAAACTCCTCAATGAATAATGTCCAGACTTCCCGACAGCAAGCCTAGCCCTGAGCGATGGTGTCGCGGATGATCTTGTTACAGTCGACGGGGTTTTCGAACACGAACCAGTCGTCCCTGGGGATGTGTTTGAACGCCTTTTCAAACCGCTCTGGTTCATTCTTGGCCGAAATGCCGACTGCCGCAATGTCGGTGACTTTGCGGATGAGGATAAGCTTAACCCAACCCTTGAACTCACGGTAGCTACAAACGTTAGCCGGGATCTTCAACATGGTTTAGCGTTGCTTACATATTACCGTATGCCTCGGGGTCAGATTGCGTCGAGTCGCCGATGAGTATCATCTTTCGCTTCGGCAGCCATGTGTGGACCTTTCTCATGCGGTCCACCTTGTACTCCTCGGTCGCCAAAGTTAGTGCTGACAGCAGACCGGCAACCGTCTTCCAACTCGAGTCCCGCAGGATGATGGTGCCTGGAGGATAGTACCTGTCGCGGAACTCCCTGAGGAACGGGTAGAGGTTGTACGGCGATGCTGAGAGATAGAACCACGGTGATTCTTTGGGCAACAGCGCCTCGATGTTCCTGTATAGCTCCGGCATGCCCTCGATAGGTGTCGGCTCATTAACAAACGTCTCACGTAAAATGCCAATAGGGTCGCTCGTTTGTGTCAGCTTAATAGTGTCGTCAACATCTGTATCTGTTAGCACATATCCGCTAGCGAGTAGACAAGTACCTACCAGAAATGATGGCCCAGCCCTCAGGCGCCGCAAAGAATGTCTGCATCTTGAGCAAACCCGTTGTGCCCTCCGGAACCATAGCGCTGGACGTAACCAGCGATCCAGACGGCTGATCGTGGATTTTGATCGTGTCGGTGGTGATGCCGTTCGATGCAGATGGGCCCAGCTTAAGCTCCTTCTTCTGGTTCACAACCCGAAGATGTCGCGACGGCTGCACATCCCAGAGGAACGGCAGTATCCTCTCCTCGATTGTATTCAACTCCTCCGCATCGTCGGCGATTCCTAGCTTGTGCGCGATGCCCTGTACGATATCTACGACCTTGCACTTGGGCTCCCTCTCAAAAACGGCAGCGACAAACTCGGCCTGCCAGCTGCCAAGGCGAGAAGGCTTATACGCGGTATTGTCGAGCAGCCAGACAATATCGTCTTCGGTCACGGGCTTGCCCCACGGGTTGTAGCTGCCGAGATGCGACAGCAGGCCGCTGGCGGTCACAAATGCCGACTGTAGAGTCGGGACTCGGGGGTTGGGAAGCTCAGCTTCAATGTCGTCAAAACGACGCTCTTTGCGGGTTCGTTTCTGCATTTCGTCTGCGAAAGATGCGGCGGCTCTCGAGTCGTCTTGCTCGCCCATTTTTGCAGTTGCTGCAACAAACGGTATTTATGCCTGCTTTTGATATTCGCCTCTGGAGCGGTCACTTGGATTAACCGTCGATGTGTGACTAGATTTCGGTCTCACTGGTGCCTTGGCGACGAAATGGTTGGTAGGCTGACGGGCTCAAGGCTGAAGAGGGGAGAGTCGATAGGAACTGTTCCTGGAGGATTGGACTTGTGAAGGGGAGGGCCAGATGGGTCAAGGCAGGCTGCTGGGGGTAGGCTCTCCGAGTTGGTGTCGTGTCTCAGCCAGATCCGAAGTTATTTAAGACGGCGCGCGCAAACCACAACGATGCAATATGTCAGACCTAGCTAACGGGCTGGCGGCGTTAACTGCGTGGTATGCGCCCGTGACATGGTTTAGGGCGAGCTGTGACAGGACAGCATCAGAAGGCCGTTGACGAACCGGTCGTGGAGCGTCTTGGCTGAGGTAGCCCACCATGCCCACCCTGGTCCCTTGTGACCTGAACAGGGTGACGGGCGATGACGATGGTCAAATCTGCTGCAGGCGAAGGTGTGTCGGAGGCGTAGGAGAGATGGAGGGGTGGAGGGGTGGAGGTCGCAGGCAGACGGTAGACTACTACGTAGGCGGGGGCGGGAGACTGCCCGGGGGGCACCTACCTAGTACCTTGTCCCCTGTTAGCTTAGGAAAATGCCCGGTAACTCTTTTCGCAATTGGCTTCATTCATCAGATCTGTCATTGTGTTGGAAACTTACGCTTACTGACAAAACTTAACTCTAAAGTTGCGCCAGTATTTCTGCAGCCGCATATACCACAATAAAGAAGATGAGCGACCATTAAGACAAAATCACGGCAAAAAAAAAAACAAGACGACGTGCAAAAATAATGTCCCTGGCAAGGCTCGAACTTGCGACCTTTGGATATCTCTGACTTGTGTCCGAGTCATATTTATTAGGTAATATGAGACCAACGCTCTTCCAACTGAGCCACAGAGACATTTGCTTGTGGCTGGGTTGATCTTACTGTTTACTACATAGCCTTCACAAGAATGCAATCATTCCTTTCCCGCTTTCTCATATTGAGGTCTCTATCTCAGCTTCTTGTCAGCATCAACTCTTGAAGGATTTGACCTCCTTTCAAGGGCCTCTCCCGCTATTTAACTTATAACCGCCTTCGCAAGCAAGCCTCATTCGCACGCCTTCGCAGCTCAACGCCCTTTCTATCTGATTACAATGATAGCCTATTGCTATGCAGTGATCCGTCTTACCTACATGAAGCAACTCTTTCCGGAACCTCAACATTGATGATTAAGTCCCTTGCATAACTTATTTGTCTTCCAATGACAGTTGCATCCCCATCACCTTCAAATCTCAGCTTCAATCTTGGCGATGTAGAAGTGTATACTCGAAAATCCTATAAATCAAGGCTTGCTTTCTGTGCTTCGTGTTAGTTCTCATCTTTTTCGCGGCACAACATCCAATTAAGATAGCGAATATGCGTTTCAATACTGTTCTCTTGCCCCTGGCAGCTTGCTCTGTTGCTGCGGAATTAGCCAATCGCAATGGGGAAGAGTCTTTTACGGGCAGCTACAAAAGCTCGCTTACCATCACCCACATTACTACCGCCACCGCCATCTTCAACATAGATGGGGTTAACTTTCTGACAGATCCTACCTTTGCACCTGCTGGGACCAAATGGGACATTGGAATAGCAATCTTGACAAACACCGCAGGCCCAGCTCTAGAACTCAACCAGCTTCCTGTCATTGATGCCGTCCTACTCAGCCATGAAGATCATCCTGATAACCTCGACGAAGTAGGCCGTCGCCTTCTTGATGGCCGAAGGGTCATAACCACTCCCGACGGAACCCGCAAGCTCGCCCCTCGACCCGGCGTCCAAGCTATAAAGCCCTGGGAAACCGTGCAGCTGACAGTCAACGGGAAGCAGTTCAGTATAACCGGCACGCCATGTGAGCACCTCCCAGGCGGAGAAGTGACAGGCTTCATCGTGCGCACGGCCAACTTTGGCAAGACTAATGGCTTGCCCAATGCCATTTACATATCCGGGGACACCATTTACCTCGAAGAGCTCAAGAAGATTCGCAAGAAGTTTCACATATTGGCTGCGGTACTCAACGTCGGAAATGTGAGGATTGCTGTGTCAGGTCCTCCCTTGCAGATCACCATGGACGGAAAGCAAGCAGCAAGGCTTTTCCGTGAGATTGGTGCCGATATTCTGGTGCCGATGCACTATGAATCCTGGGCTCACTTCACCGAGAATGAGGACCAACTGAGAAAGGTCCTTGAGGAGGAGGGTGTTTCCGACAAAGTGCACTGGCTGGAGCCCGGAGTCCCATCAAAGATCTTTTAAGACCTATAAATAAAAGTATCAACCTTCATGGCAATGGGAATGGCTAGGAAAGTCAACCTTCTGAAATGTAATAAGGTTTTGGTACCAACTAGGCTCAAATCGATGCCTGAATTACTGTGATGAATACAGTGAATTTGGCTGGCTGATGAATGCGTTGATGAACTCTCAACAGTTTGTCTCACGGCATTCCTACAATGCAATGTTTGATATTATTGGTCATGATACGTAATGGTTAGTCGTGGCTGTTGAATTATAGACCTGAACCCAAACTCTAGCTCACTTCTGGAAATGTCGACTAAAAACCATTTATTCTCCGACAATCCACGCAAATAGTTTCTCTGTCTCAACCACGTGGCGTGAACATTAAGGCAGTTGAAGTGGCATATTTTTCAAAGAACTGGCCTTTTTTGGTCCTGTGGCTGCATTCGTGTAAGATACCACTAGTTCTCAGCATGTGAACACGCTGAAAGCCTCCAAACATTCCCCGACAGCGCAGGTGGCTGGCTGCATGGCAAGAAAGCTCTTGTATTGAGTCGCTGTATGCTGTGGGGTAAGCTCCCAGCGCACTACCGTTCTGGGAGCATGTTTCAGGTCAGCTGTATCAGCCCCGACATGATTGTGTAGAGCTGACATTTCCTACGCAAGCCTCAAGCTACAGTGCAAATAATGGTTGCCTCGGTGTTTCCATTTAGAGATATTTGTGAAGACTGTCAGTCTCGTTCCATATACCGCACGTGAAGGAGTCACCGAATTCGGGAGCAATAGGTGATGATGCTAATGGAAGGGGATGTCTACGACCAAAAGCGAGGCTAAGAAGAATGTCCGCTGACCACCGCATGTCTGCCACGCAAGTAAACCAGCCGCTATTATAGCTTACACCACTTTCTTTGGTGATACAAGGACGCCCGAACACATGAAGCGGCACAGCTGAATAGTATGTCCCACATCCTTCCTCACGACCTGTTCCGCTACACGTGCATTGTTGTATATAAGTTTGCCAGTTTTCCCTCTTTCTAATTTGTTTTTGATGGACAACAATTTCGGCTTTACTCACAAGCAAGCTTCACAATTATTACACAATGGCAAGAATTCAAGGTTTCGAGGGAATGCAGTATTCCAGAGTTGGTGACGAGGACGAGCAGCAAGACTACGCGTTCTTCAACCGCCAATATGCCACCTCATCTTACCAAAAGGAGCACGACATGAACCCCAATCTTATCGTCCGGCCTAAACATGACAATGATGTTGTCAAGGCTGTCAACTGGGCTAGGGACAACAAAGTTGCTGTGGCCGTCAAGAGCGGCGGTCACCAGTACAGCGGCGCCTCATCCACCAGCGGTAACAACATCCAGCTGGATCTGTCAAACACCTACAAGGACCTCATGATCCTGAAGCCCAAAGAGCCGATCGCCGAAGACCGTGCCCTTGTATACGTGGGTGTCAGCACCACCATGATGGAACTCAACAACTACCTCAAGCACAACAAGCTCTTCGTTCCCACAGGACAGTGCGCATTTGTGGGCGTGGGTGGACATGGCCAAACTGGCGGTTACGGGCAATTAGGCCGCAGCTTTGGTCTTTTCGGTGATCACATCAGGACGATTCGCCTGGTTTGCCATGACGGCGTCATCCGGGACAAAACCAAGGAAAACGACCCGGATCTATTCTACGGTATTCTTGGCGGCAGCCCTGGCAACTTTGGGATAATCACTCACTTCATCGTCGAGGTTTACAAGGCCAAGAGCTACCTCGGAACCGTTGCTGGCCCCAACGGCTTTAAGGGACCCCACGGCATCAAGGCACTCTGGATATATACTCGAGAGGTTCTCGAGAAGCTTCTCACCGCCATTGCTAAAATGGCCGATGACCCCAATTTCCCCCGTGGCTTCGATATTTGCGTCAGCGTCCTAAGTACAGAGTTCCCAATCACAGCACTGTTCAAGGAGCTAAATGATGCGAGCGTATGGGATCGCGTGCAGGAGCACATTAGGAAGGTACTCGAGGACAAGTTCTTGAAGTTCCTAAACGGCAAGTTCCCTGCATCTGTCATTCTGTATGCACAGTGGTGTCCTACGAGCAAGGAGGACAAGTACGACGCCAAGGTCGATGCCTGGTTCAACAATTTCCGACAACTAAAGGGGCTGTTGGAAAACGAGTCGCTTCAGTTCAATGAGTTCGACATGCCCATGTCCGACATGACAGCCCAATGGATCTTCCCCAAGGCCCGCGAGTTTGATCTCCCTTACGTCAAGCGCACGTATGCAACCAAGTCTACAACTCTTCAAAAGGACGGCTGGGTCAAGGCCGTTGTAGATCGTATTGATCTCATCTACAGCCAAGATAAGTTCCTGGAAGGCAACCCGGGAGAGACAGACTTTGAGCGCTTTCTCAGGTGTAAGTTGGCAGTGCAAGTGCAGTGCTACGGAGGCAACAAATCACGGTTCAACCTGAACAAGGACAACGGCACGTCGTACAGCTGGAGGGACAGCTCTGTTGTCCAGACCCTGGATTGTTTCCATGAACCGGACGAGAAGTCCAAGAAGTACGCCCTGGAGTGGCAGGCAAAGAACGACAGCATTATGAACGGACCCCAGAGCCCATTCAGTAAGCAGGACAGAAGGGTTCTCTGGGGCTCCTGGGGAGATTGGAACATGGCTGATGAGAAAGTTTGGAAGTGCTACTACGAAGACAAGGAGAAGTATGAAAGACTGGGAAAGATAAGAGCCAAGGCTGATCCCGATGGCATATTTACGGCAAACCCTTTTGCTGTAACAAGGGCCACTACTGTAACCCGACGATAATCTGGCAATAGAAGTTTTGGGCGATTAGCAAACTGCTTGTTGTAGTCGATCAAGCCAGACAGACATGAGTTGTAACTCACACATATTTCGGCGAGGGTTTCAGAGCTTGTGAAATTTTCCAATTTTATGTCACTCAGTATGGAATGTTTTTCAACTTCGAAGGGAACGATCATGACATCTTTAAATGTCAATTGTGTGTGGGTCGAAGGACTGGATCTGACGTAAGAGTTCCAGTTCATGGACAATTTCGTTCTGTGTCCAGCTCAGTGTCAAACGCTCCAGCTTTTTTGCTGCGAAATAAGATTCCAGCAGAGCTTTAGACTCTGACTGAATCGAAGGGCAAGTTTTGCATTCCAGCAATCACCTGCGGCTCCTGGTTTGTGTACCATCACTTGTTGAGGCGACCTAGAGGATATCCAGGCCTAGGACCCAGCATGCCTCTAAAAGGAAAGAGAGTGACATCTTCCGCATCTTGAATTACGAGCCCCACAACAGCATGAGAAAGTGACCCCATCAATGCAGCTGCTTCTACTTCGGGAGGGGCCTCATAGACGTCGATCACGACGAGTCGTAACTCGGGGAATCGTGATTTCTCTCTTGCCAGACCCATCAAATCCGGAAAAGATGACGCCAGGAGACAATGAGGCCTAAGTGAAGGACTTGAAAAGACGGAGGAGGTAAACTAGCCCTAAATCTCTCGGGCCCAATGTACTTGTTTGAAATTTCGTCTCCGTCTTGGTCCTTCAGCAGCCCGTGCCCGTAAGCAGTATTTGGAAATCTCTTGTGATAGATCTATGGTTTTGACCTCCTTTTCTGCACTATCTAGCTACAACGGCAAGCTCGCAACTGGTTGGTTGTAACACAAATCATACTTAGTGTTATCATTATGAGTAATTGAAGCTAGAGCGGACATACCTCCGGCTTCATGTAGGCACACAGGCAGGCTTTGTAGTATGGGCTGCGATTTACGTCTCAAACACTAAAATAACTCTAGATGCACCTGGAAATTTGGAGTGCACTTTTACGTCAGATCGACGCGGAAAAAAAAAATTCTTTTCACGACACTAAGATATGGCTGCATAGAAGGGAAAAGGACGTATTGGAAGATGAACACCTCCTCGCAATTCATTCATGACGTCTCATCATTATCATTATCATTAGAAAGTTGATCATTTGGAGGAACTTTGAGTTTGTTCAACTGTATAAATGTAGTTTGCAAAACCTCATTAAGTTTCAACTAGCATGTCAACTTACATCACAAGTCTCTGTCTTCAACGGATAAAGAACGCCATCATGAACTCGATTAAGCAGATCTTTTCAAAAATAAAGCTTAAGCCAAGCGCTGAGTCGGAAGTTAATCGGAAGCCCGAAATTAACAGGGACGTCTTCGTCGACTTCAGGCCTTCAGATGTTGAGAATCCCAGAAATTGGTCTCCTGCCAGAAAGTGGTACATAACCGTCATCGTCGTTTTTATCTCGATAATTCCTCCTGGGATCCTGCGCAGGACCATTACTGTTTGCCCCACTGTCCGAGTTTTGCGGTCGTCAATGTATTTTATACATTACATTCCTTGCCTACCTTGGGTTTACATTCTTGACTGCCTGGCCGCGGAGTTTCGGTGGCTTGTTGGTAGGCAGGTTCCTCGCTGGTTCCTTCGTCGCTGGGCCTGCTGTCACGGCACCTGGTGTTATCTCGGACCTGTGGGACATAGTTGATCGTGGCAATGCCATGGCCATCTTCAGCTGCGCAGCCTGGATTGGCCCAGCCGCTGGGTCGGTCATCTCTGGGTTCCTTCAGCTGAAGCTGAACTGGCGCTGGGGCATGTATGTCTGCCTCTGGCTTGGAGCGTTCAGCATTCTGCCTCTCCTTATGGTTCCCGAAACGCACGGATCCACGGTTCTAGCACATAAAGCAAAGCGGGCTCGCCATCAAGGTTACCGCCATGATGGCCACAACATCCAGTCCGAAAGTGAGGCTTCTAGACCAAAGCTGCTTCAAATCTACAAGATATCCCTTACACGGCCCTGGGTTCTCCTGTTTGACCCAATTTCTTTCTTCTGCTGTCTTTATTCCGCTGTTATTTTCACCTTACAGTTCATGCTGTTCACCATATATCCCATCGTTTTCCAGGACATGAGAGGATGGAACCCTGGCGTATCACAGATTCCAATTCTCGGACAGGCCGTTGGCGGGGTCATGGGCGTCTTCATCATATTCGCGGATACCAAGCGAAGGAGACAGAAGGCAAATTCAGGAAAGGCCCTGCTGCCGGAAGACCGAATGATTCTTGCCATGATTGGGGGCGTAGGCTTCCCCATTTTCATGTTCTGGCTCAGCTGGAGTGCCCAATACAAGTAAGTCTAGGTATTTTACGAGAACCCAACCAACAGAACTAATTGCCAATTAGCTCGGTACATTGGATCGTGCCAACCATTGGTGGTACCTTACTCGCTACCTGTCTCATGCTCATCTTCTTCGCCAACCTGAATTACATAGTCGACGCCTACGCAGACTACGCCGCTTCTGTCAACGCCGCCAACACAATTGCGCGGTGTAGCAGCAGTGCCGCGGCTCCTCTTTTCACTAGACAAATGTTCAGCGCTCTTGGCATTGGCGGGGGAGGCTCCCTGATTGCCGGTGTGGCAGCGCTTCTAGCCATCACTCCATTCTTGTTTCATCGTTATGGCCATGTCATCCGATCAAAGAGCAAATATGCTCTTGCATGAGCAGCAGCACTTTGAAAAAGCTACTTCTCGGAGCATAAATCTCTCCCTGTTTCGTTTTAGGCAGAGAATGAGACAGGTCAGCAGTGACACTTATACGAATCAGGTGTTGACTCTCAAATCCATGGGTTCAATCGACTTCCAACGCTAGATTGTGAGGGACATCATTGTGATTTTCATGACGACAAATCATCAATTCCTTGATTTCAAGGGAAGAAAGATTTCCAGTAAAGGTTTTGTTTAACTCTGGGGTCGAAGGCGCAGATGCATCTGCGGAGCTGGATGACGTGTTATTTGCATTTTTAATCAAGGCATAAAGAGAATCCCAAAATAAAGATTTGCATCGTTACAGACACTGAACTGAATCGGTTGTATTTTGTTCGATAGCTATTGCAATTTTGATCACTCCATCTGCCATCTGGAGATCTCATTGATCGATTACTTCTCCCAGCAATTCAAGATTCAGGTACTGTTGGAGGACTTGTAGGGATAATGTTATGCTGACATGGCACCTGACAGGTCATACTCTATATTTTATGATGGGATATCGGTTTAGGGGACTCGTTCCTAGCAGCGTGCCTAGTCGTAGACATGTATAAAACTTATTTTCCTGCGACCCAGGAGTCTTCCATGTTATTTTTCTTTTTTTTTTTTTTTGGTATCGTCAACGGGCAGCTCTGTGAGGAAGATTTCTTTTTTATGTATTGAAGCAGTGGTTAATCTCTATAAGTCTTTCAAACAAATATTGGACAGTCTGTCTATGTATGTAATCAACCTGTTCTCCGCTTGTTTTTGGTAGCCCTAAGCCCGTAAGCCTCTTCTCCAGAGCTTCTTCGTCAATGTCCTACAACCAGTGCGTTGTTGAATTTCGCGTCTTTTCTAAATGCTCTTCATATTCGAAATTCTTTCCCTTGGAAGAACAAGACTTGCTTAATCCGTCAAGAGGACTCGAGACTTCTTTTAAGTGAAGCCGCGAGTATGATGGCTTCACACCGAGGGATACACCTCAACATATGCATCTTTTGGATGAAAAGAGAGTCACGTAGAGATCGATTGAAATTCAGTAGGTTGTTTCCAGGAAGCATATAAACCTATCTGATGGCGTACCAGCGCAGCACTCAGCCAACGTATAAACACTATAGCCATTTCCTGAGTGTATCTCTAGCTCGCTGCTTTCTTGACTCTCGTTCAAGTTCCATCAATTCATTGAGGATAACGTATCTGAGCGTCTCATGATGCTTCACCGACTCGCAGTTGAGAGCTGCTGTATGAATTGCCTTCATCTGTTGGAAATCATTGTTGGGTGTCGCATCATTGCGAAAACGTGAGGTGGAAACAGGAATTGGAAGAGCTGATGATTGACGATTCGTTGCCATCGGGGATATATAATTCAAACACAGTATCAATGTTAGGTGATGAGTGAAGGAGGATGTCAGTTCAGCGGCCTTGGTGCTGAGTTGTTTGGGAGAAGCCAGCAACAATCTTGGAATCATGTCTTCTCCACTGCACTTGATCTTCGAAGGGCAGAAATGTTTAATGCATCCGCATTTTTCACAAAGCTTTCTGTAGTCAGCATGATGGAAAATGATGTAAGACTGAGTTTAGCGATGGTCGTTGAGACTAATGATCCTACTTGCGAAGCATACTGTTTATGATTGTGCTCTCGTTCGACATTCCAAAAGGCGTTTAAGCAGACGGTGGGGTATTGTTGCAAGCAGGGCAAGTTTAGCCGCTGCTGCATGATCGGCAGAGGACCGCTTTTGCCAGCCCATCAGCGCAGACATTCATACGCCATTCGCAGAGACACTCAAGCCACTCCAGCTACAGATTCATTTATCATTTACTTTTCCTTAAAATGACTTGAAAGTGATGCGATGGATCGAGATCGTCCCTTTCCATCGCGCATCAACCTTTGCCAACTCGCTTTCCTTTACCTCCGGAACCCACTTCTTGCGTCTTTCAGTGTCTAACGTTTCTCTCACCGTTTAAGCACCAACTGCTCCTTTACTGATCAGCGTGATTCATTCCAACTCGTCTATTTTCTTTGCCGCTCTGTGTTTCATGTCCATGTGAGCCATGTTGCACTAACCTAGGCTACCCCAAACCCATTCAAACCCACGGCAAAAACCATTTTACCTAGACCTCACCTCGCGTTTCCCCACTGAAACCAAACAATCAAGTCAACGGCTCAGTCTTGTAACATAGTACGAGACAGAATTATAATGTTGACTCCGAGCCTTGAGATACTGGAAAACACAGATTGGTGGCCTATGTGAGCATGAACAAGCCACTGCTTGCCCCAGCCTAATCTCTTGACAGTCAGTTCTGTAATGTATTCAAGAGCCATTGTGCTATTACCAATCCCAGTGTAAAGAGCTGTGCCTAAAGTTCAAACCTGGAGTGCTTCTACTATAAAAATCTAAACTTAAGGAGAAGAGGTTGTATTTGCGGTATTTTCGCGGACATTTCGCGGTTTGTGTGCGAAAAGCGGTCAGTGTTGGCAGATACGCTCCGAGTCCCGCCTCCGTGGCCCGTTCGCCGGCGTGGGGTCCAGCCCACGCTTACTTCCGGGCATAGCCCGTTACACCCAAAGCCACAGTCATGCCAAATTGGTTCAAAAGCCAAAGCTGTTTTTGACTTTATTGCAACGCTACGGATAATGAGGGGAAACAAATACCGACTAGTCGCAACCACAATGATCCACTGACTACAAGACTACATATATTATTTATAAATTAGGGGAATTTCGGACTTTGATGGTTGAGACAGCCTTTGATATGCATGATTCCTCTGCGCTTTTGATTCATGTGCTCTGTGATGGGCGAGCGACATAAGTGCCCCAGAAAAACCTTACCCCTGTGCCACGACCTCATCATCTCCTTTCACAGACGCTGCACTGCCAGCTCTATGCAGTGCTGACAAATGCCATTTTTTCCAAGCCCTCAGGTTCCCACTGTTAAGACCTCTTTTATCACTATGTTTTACCTTAGTATAAAAATACACATTATCTTCTGCTAAATAATATAGATATTGTAAGAAGCTGCGAGTACTTGTTCTCGTACTAGAAGATTGTGACGTATAAACGTCTTCAAAAACCAAGAGCACAAGTTAACAAAACCAATAGATGTATGAGCTCTAAACAGTTTTATGCCGCCATTGGCAAAAAAAGGAGGCCAGCCAGCACCCTACCTGCCAAGGCTAGAATCTCCACTTTAACGGCTACTTTCAACCCCCATTACATCTGGTACATCAGCAGTTTGCTATTTTCCCTACATTGATCTCAGTATTATGACACAGCGCTCTGTGTCGACGAGATTGATGGTACCTCTGATACGTTTTGAAGTTATAAAGAACACCTGTACCCTAAATCCAGTTACATTTCTAACAAAACCGGTAGACATAGGAGCACTGAATGGCTTTACCCCTCCCTTGGCAGAAATGGCCTCTTGTGACAGTCGAAGGGATAAGATAGGTATGGTACCTACCTAAGGTAGTTTGTCTTAGCACTGACATCACACGCACTGTGTGACTGTCTACTTCCGTCTCGGGGCATATAGAGTATATTGAAATGTGACAGATATCAAACTGTTGGGTATTGCTGAGTAAGCTGGGTTCACTTCAGCCAGGACCGAGGGAATAAAATTGCCCAGAAACCACAAATTGGGTCACTAATAAGGTCCAAGTTTTTATCCTTGTCGAAGACAAGGGAGACGGGCACAATGCTCATAGGTGCACCTTTTCTAGGGTACCAAGTTTTCCACGCAACATCGAGATGAGATCAGATTTGCCTGCAGCATGGGCCCGCTTGGACAGCCCAATCAAAGTGCGCCAGTGACTGTTGCTCTATTCAACCAGTCTGGAGGTTCTCCAGTGCATTCCGATTGGTTAAATGCACGCGATCCCTAAATAGTACTTGCAGCTTACCTCTACTTCTTCCATCCCTGGGAAATCGCCCAGAAGATAATGTTTCTTGAGGAAGAGAGCCCCAACCGTATCCATACGCGGCAATATAATAAGGTGAGATATCCCTGTAGCTTATCAGCTTCTCCAACCATGCTTGGTCTCCGCAGCTTGATGTCCAATCAAAAGGCGCCCGTGACTATACCTCCATGTGAGCCATCCGGAGGTTCCCCGGTATATTTTAATTGGCTGAATATAAGCCATCCCTCGGAGCAGTATTGCAGTTGGCCCCACTATTTCCCACGACCCCTCCTGTGTTACACAGAAGAAAATGACCACCCTGAAAGGGAACCTCGACAGAACGGTAAGCCGGAGCCATTAGTTCTCGTTGTAACTGGCCTATGAGTTTTTAATGGGGGTTTTTTTTTTGTTACTTCTTTTCTTTTCTTTACGAGCCTTTGGGCTTTTACTATTCATCTTTCGCTGTCTTCTGATTGCCAGGATAGCTATTTCCAGAGAAAAACTCCCGTTGTGAAGCTGAAGGCTTCAGTTTAGCCATTCGAGCAATCGGATTGCGGACTGCTTTGTTTGAAAAAGTCATGAAGGACGTAGCTTGGGTATTGCGTCTTGTCGTCGTGTGCTGAGTCCAGGATTGCCAAGAGATTCACGTCTCCAGAATAAACTCGAACATGTTCCGATTTCTCTTAATCTCGGGCCCCACCTGGACGAGTAGCACATCGTGAGTAATGCAGGTCGAAATAAGCCCAGTAAATATGTAATTTACTTGATCCACGACGGTTATCCCATCAACCGCGAATGGACCCCATTTTCGCCAAGGGAGGGGTAAAACCAATCAGGGCTGCTATGCCCATAACTTTCATCGAATCATATACTAAGGTTCAAAGTATATCTATTTACTATAGTTTTTGGGTATGCCAAAGGTACTAGCAATCTCTATCGATATATAACGGAATATCGCAATCTAAGCAGCCCTTCCGAGTCTTCTTCCGCTGTTGTGGGCGATGGGTGAGGCTATTCCTAGATATCTTGTTTAAAGCCTGTACTGCAGGCCTACTGCTATAATAGGCGTAAGGCGAATTTACCCTTCTTGATCCCTTCATATGTTGTTGCTATGGAATTAAGGTATTCCTCTTATCTGTAGCCTGCCTAGAACGGGATCTCTTACGAGCTCCTGCTAATGGCCTAAAGCGTTGAATTAGCTGGGCTGTAAGCAGTTAACGCTATTGATACTGGCTTTTAACTGTTTGCTAGCTGGGATTTCCCTAAAGCTATAAAAAGAAACTATTTATAACTATTACTTCTAGGAGGAAATTCTAAGCAATTGACTGCTAGCCCCCTCGACGAATAGGACGCCCGTATTAATAATAAGACCTTATTTAGTCACTTATATCAACGCCGTTTATATTATGGTTATAAGCGTCAATCGCCGTAGGCACTAGGAGGTCTTTCCGGACGTCGGGTCTGAAGACCTCACGGGCGGCCTGTTTAGCTATAGTATCCCCGGCTAGCCGGCGCCGGCTTCGTATAACTTCTTCGCCGTCTCGGAAGACGGTTGTTAGGAAGAGTATAAGAGCGTTATCTTTCTATGTAAACTAGTTAACCTATAGAAATAGATTAATATAGGGAATTCTATAGCTAGAAGATTATAATAATATACTATGCTATCTAACGAGGGGATATTATGTACTTGACCCTATGGGATATCCCGGCCTTCGGTCTCTTTTTCGGCAACGAGATGTTGATGTATCCCGCTATTCTTCCGGCACGTACCGGAGGTACCGATCTGTTGCTTCCGAAGAGCCCCGAAAAGCCGTACGGAAGCGAAGAGGTTGTCAAGGAATATATGGTATATAGAAGCCGGAAGTAGGGTAACTAGCGTTGTTACAACCTGCTATGTTAGTATTAGAATTCCGGCTTTATTACCTGGCGCCGGCTGGACTTGCGGAACTAGCCTGTACGGGCCCTGCCCGTGTACGTGCTATAGCCACCGGAGGCAGTAGCCCGATTGGGCAAGAATCCAGATCTTGAAGCCGGTTGGGGTTGGTTTTGTCGGTATAGTTGTTGTTTCAAGAGACCGGCCCGTAAACCGGACCATAGCCTTATCAACTGTTAGTTCCGAGCCGGGCGTATAGAAGGAATCTCCGGTTTCCTGTATATAGACCGACTACTTATTAACCTTCAGATAGATATCCGGCATCTGGTCTTCCCGGGCCCGGGCCCGGGACTGGCTGCTACGCGGAGCCCGGTGTTACGGCCAGCTAACTGACAGTGGGTTTGTGTTAACAGTAAGCCAGGGATTGAGAGTAGTAACAGTCGTTCCGTGGTCCTGGTCGAATAGATCGTAGATCTTCAAAGGTCTTGGTGATCAGTCAAGGCCTCAACAAGAGTCGTAGAGTAGTCGTCACTTAGGTATAGCTGAAAGTACCGGTTAGGGTAATCACGAAGTTGATTGCTGAAGAACTAGGAAAGGTAGGACTCGAGAGGACTCGAGTCCCAACTATATACAAGTCTGGTTCCATGCTGAACACTTCCTGATCCTGGGGGACCGACACCCAGGACGTCGGTCCATCGCCATGGACCGCCCTTGGTTGATTGATTGATTGATTTATTCCTACTCGGTTATGAAGCCGCTCTTATGCCAGCAGCTATGCCCGGAAAGCGGGGTTTGGCAGGTAGCCGAAGCGTCGACAATGAACAGCGACGCCCCACTTCGCCCTGATGTTGCATCAGGGCCAGCTATCCCCAAGCTCCCCACTATGTTCTCTATTCTGTGTGTTTGTGCCCTCTGTTGAAGAAGTGTGTTGCTCTCCTGTCTGCTTTCTCGCTTTTGTGTTGCTCTCTAGAATGCTTGTTTTGCGTCCTCCTGCTTCGGTTCAGTTGGTGCTGGTAGCACCGTATCTGGTTCTTTGTACCTACAGTCTCCCCCCAGCGCTCAGCTTTGTCTCTTTGTTTTGTCCGTATCCTCCCGGACTTGTATGTGCCGTTTTCTCAGTTGCATCTGTAAATTCTTTGTTGCCTCCTGCCGGGTTCCTATGTGGCCTCTTGTTTCTTGCCTGTTGACCACTATTGCCCTCCACCACATTGGCCCAAGGGTCTTCCACGAAGCATAATGCTCCACTGACTCCGACATGTTCGATTACTGGGTATGAGAGCTCCCGCACAGATTCCGCAGACATTGTCGCGCGTTGAAGGGACACCAATCCTTCTTCGCAAAAGGGGCGACAGGGGACCAGTCTGTCTGTAGTCTGTAGTATTGTGTGGCATCGATCGTAGCATGCCTAATGCCTGGTGCTTTCTCCGTGCGGAAGGTGATACTGTTCTGTCGGACTCATCTTCGTCGTTGTGGGACGTTGCAAACTTTGTCGGGGGTGACAGGTGACCCAAAACCTGTCGGCGGCTGTTGTGTTGAAGTTGATTGTTTGGGCGCAGTCTTAGTGCTTCGTGTAGCGGCTTGTGGCTCGCCTGTGGTGGTGGTAACAGTGTTGTCTATTGATATGTCGTATTTTGCGGCTTGCTCTCAAGTTTTTCATTGTAGTCGGGGCGTGCTCTGCGGCCATCTTGGGCCCCTTTGGGACGTAGAATCAAGGCCGAGGATGGCATTGCATCGAAGGGGGCTCTGTGGCCGCGAGCACGCGTATTTGGGGCCGTTTTTGCTCCGATTTTCAAAAATTTCGTTCTCGCTGTTGTTGATGTTTTTCGGACCGCCCTTGGCACCGTCGGTCCTGTCCCAGGACCGCTTATCGTCCGTCGGTCCTGCTTATCGTCACGTGACCTGTATCCTAGTTCTTCCGTTCCGTGGGGGTTGTTACGACGTAACGGCTGACGGCCGTCCCTATAACCGCTGAGCCCCTGCGGGGTCGTCGTCAGTGGTCTGTTAACTGTCGGGTCGTAACATCAGCTCCCCTCTTAAAGGTCTTGTCCTCGAGACCTGAGTATAGGTAGGTCGTTGGTCCCAGGTTGGGGATCTACAAATTTGCTTCCTTTGTTTTTCATGATGCCGACACCATGTCAGGTCGCGTTCGAAAGACAAAGTCGTACTTGACTGTGATAAAAGATCGTGAGAGAGCTGCGCTTATTGAATACGTGGAGTCCCGATCGATTGCTAGCGACATGCCTTGCACTCGTTGTTTCCGTGCAAAGGTCCCGTGTCGTTTTGGCGAGAAGTCTACACGCTGTAGGACTTGCATCGAGGCGAAGAAACCTTGTGACGGCGTCCTCGTGGCGTCTACTCGTAAGTCGTGTTTTTGTGTTTTCGCTGTTCTGGGGGTTGCTAATGTTTGCTTCTAGTTCAGAAGTTGAACTCTTAGCAAAAGGAGTGGGATGAGAAAGAAGAGAAAGCGGGTGAGGAGCTATTCGCGCTTCATCAAGAGTTTGCTCGTTTGCAAGTTCAAATGGCGGATGCTGCGGGTCGTCTGAAACGGATTCGGACGGTCCGTAAGATGGTTCGGGAGCGGCAGACCGAAGTTTTTGAGCGTGGTATGCAGGAGGTTGACAGGGAGGATGGCGTCCTGGCGGACGACGAAGTCCTACCTGCCTTGGATGCTTACGAGAGGTTCGTCGTTAGTGACCTCTAGGCAGTGGGTCTCGGGAATGATCCTCCTTGGTCCCTTTTTGGTTTTGGTGACGAGTTTGTGGGTTTAGGTCCTCTGGTGGATGGCGCGGGTGCGGGGAGTGTTAGAGGTTCCTCGGCTACTCAGGGCTAGGTGTTCCTAGGCGAAGAAACGTTTTGTTGCCCTGGGGTTTCTTGGTTGGTCGAAACTTGGGTTGAGGGTTTCTGACGCGAGGGTTGTGTGTTGGTCTTTGCATGACTTTGGCGTGCTGTCGTGTTTCCCATTGCGTCCAGTATTCTTGAAGTTCCTCTTGTGCGTGCTCCAAGTTTGATGCGGGTTCCCATGTGTTTTCTTCGTGTCCGTAGTTTTTCCACTTGATTAGGTATTGTATTTCTATATCATCGTGCTGATCGATGTGATCGAGGATCCTTTCGACCTCGTAGTCCTGTTCCGGGTCGACTTCGATGTGGTCCATAGTTCGTGATCCTTTTGGTGCTGGCTCGAGAAGTGAAATATGAAAAACTGGATGACACTTCATAGTGTCTGGTAGTGCGAGTTTGAAGTTGACGTTGGATACCTTCTTCGTGATTTCGAAGGGTCTAAGTTTCTTGAAGTCTAACTTATCGCTTGGTCGTTTTGTTTTGATGTTCCGGCGGAGAAGGTATGCGCTATCCCCCTCCTTCAGAGTTGGTCCCTTAACTCTTGTCTTGTTAGCGTATTTGCGCATGCGTTCGCGTATAAATTCAAGGTCTCTAGGAAGATCTCGTTGGATTTCCTTAAGTTTGTTGATATCTGCCACAGCTTTCAGAGCTGTTGGGCCTTGTCGGGGTTGTCCATAGGCTGTCGGGTTGAATCCGTAGTTCAAGTAGAATAGTGATTCTTTTGTACTTTCTCCTACTGCGCTGTTGTAGGCGAACTGGGCCATAGGTAGCAGTTGGACCCAGTTGTTTTGCTGATAGTTGACGTAGCAGCGTAGGTAGGTTTCCATGATCTGATTGATTCGTTCTGTCTGGCCATCGGTTTGCGGATGGAAAGCGGTGGACATCTTGTGGTCAGATCCTAGCTGCGAGATCAGGGATCTCCAAAACTTGGAAGTGAACAGCTTGTCTCTGTCGGATACGATTTCCTTCGGCATTCCGTGTTGGCTTACGATCACCTGCAGAAACTTGTAGGCGAGGTCTTCTGCAGTGCTTGACTCCATGTACGGAATGAAGTATGAGTACTTTGTGAGTCTGTCGACGATGACGAGGATACTGTCGTAGTGGACGTTGGTCATCGGTTCTCGGGACTTAGGTAACTTAGTGACGAAGTCCAGCGAGATGGATTCCTATGCGGTTTGCGGCACTGGGAGCGGCTGTATCTTTCCATAAGGCTGATGTCGGCTGGGTTTGCTTTTTGCGCAAACCTCATAGTCCTTAATCGCTAAAGATACTTCTTGTCGTGTAGCCGTTTTGTCGTAGTGTTGACGGATGCGTTTCCACGTTTTGGTTACGCCTTGGTGACCATGTGCGGGTGCGGAGTGTATCTCCCTAATGGCTTCAGGAGACATC